ATATAGAGCATTGATAAGATCGTTATTAGATTTTGGTTGTGAAGCCTATGACAGTGCGGCTCAAAGTATAAAGAAATCACTTGACTCCATTCAATATCAAGCCTTGAGAATTTGTGCGGGAGCTCTTCCTCTTACATCATTAGATTCACTACAAGTTGAACTAGGTGAAATGCCCTTAGACTTAAGAAGACAGATGCTGGCGGACAGATTCAGACAAAAGATTGAAATGCATCGAGATCACCCTGTCATATTAAACGTTAAGCCCAGCTGGCAAATGGAACTTTTGAAGCTCCAAAAGAATAACAAGCCATTTGGATGCAGAACAGAACTAATGAAACATTGTACTATCGAACCTTACACTATACCTAGTTTCCCCCCTTGGAAAATTAATGCTCCAAAAGTGTCGATAGAATTAAGCGAAATAGTGAACAAACATGAAAACCCATCTTATTTACGTCAACGCAGTTTAGAATTGATCAGTACCAAATGGCCAATACAACTACACATCTATACAGATGGGTCAAAGGTTCCAAGTTTTGGAATAAGTTCTGCTTCTTTTTATGTACCAGCATTCTCCTTTCAACAAGCCAAACGATTGGCGGATCACACCTCATCTTTCAGAGCCGAATTGGCTGCAATTGTCCTTGCGCTTAATTGGCTAGAGAACATTAATGTGTATGTTGGCATTGTTATTTTTTGTGATTCCGTAAGCGCCCTGCTCGCCATAAAGGATGAAAAAGATATTACATTTGTAACTGAAATTATTACATTAAGTACAAAATTATCGTATCAAGGAAAACACATACACTTAGAATGGATTCCTAGCCATTGTGGTGTACACGGAAATGAAATGGCAGATTTTTATGCAAAATCTGCTTTACAAAATAACATTGAAATTTGTAATAAATTATCCTTTTCTGAAATAAAGAGTATTATTACCAGCAAGTATATAAAACTCTGGCAAGACAGATGGAATAATTCTGATAGATCTCTTAGACATATACTGCCTACAGTAAATCAACCATATGAATGTAAGTTGAACAGATTTGAAGAAAGTATTCTCCATAGATTAAGAATAGGAGTGATAGGTTTGAACTTAGATCTCTTCAGATTGAATATACACTCGACAGGCCATTGCAATAACTGCATAGGACGTACTGAAACTGTAAACCACTTTCTCACTGAATGCCCAAAGTACATAATAGAAAGAGCTATGTTACTCGTAGAAACTGATTTATCACATCCACAGGAAATCATGACACTACTTAAACTTTCAGAAATAGTTAAACAAAAAGCAATAGTTCGCTTCGTTTTAAGAACAAAGCGGCTGTATCAAAACAATTAAATTGTTGTTGAGGTTTTTTTTTTTTTTTTTTTTTTTTTTTTTTTTTTTTTTTTATCTTCTCTTTTCCTTTTTCTTGCACCAATAAAGCCCACAATACTTGTAACTAATTTGACCATTTACTTTTTCTAACAATTCGGTGATCACCTCCAACATCACATGCTAGCTGGCACCCCCTCACCTATGCCGGAGTGACCTAGGTTAAAACCGAAAGTCTGCGAAATATACCTCAAAGACTGGTAAGATGGCATTTTGAAAAGGGTGGGGGTAGGTGCGAAGTACACATGTGCATACGTGAGGTGATATTTGAACGCGCACGTGCGCGTAAACACAAGTACGTACGTTTAGTTTTATAGGCGTTTTTCATTCACAACTTGCTAGGCCGTCGTCTCTTTCCAAAATTATTAATTTATTGAATTTTCTCTGTAACAAAAGTTATAGAGTCTAAAAAGAAAAAAAGAGGAAGGAAAGAGGATGGAAAGAGAAAGAATCCTAAAAATAGTCATTTATGACATGAAATTGTACATATAATTTATGTGTATATAAATAATTCATAAAATAGTGTGTGGCAAAAATAGTCAACTGTGACTGATTGCCAAACAAAAACAAATCAAGAAGAAAAAGAAGAAGAAGCACAAAATGATTCTGCTCGGATATGCAGGCCAGTTGTTACCCATATTGGGCTTGAATAGACTTGATTATTGAAAGACCCTTTGTTTCACCTCGCGAAGTTTGGGCACTTTAATATAAGAAGTAAAACCTTGCCCATCATTGAATTCATGTTGTAAAGTTGTTTACAGACTGGAAAAGGATAGCATGGGAGTGTAGAGAGTGAATAAAAGGAAGAAAGTAGTACTGAAAATGTAAAAAACTTGTTTAACCTGGCAATAAGGGACTCTTGAATGTAGTTTAAAAATTGGACATGGCTTTGGGGCTAACGCTACCGGCCACCGGCTACGCTGACGACCGCCAGCTAGCTGACGACTCCCCTCCAAAAAAAAAAAAAACCCCAAAGGGGCTCCCTAACATTTTTTTTCTACACTGATCCCCCTCAACAAAGGCCCTTTTTTTTCTTCTTTTTCTTAAAAAAATACACTAGCTGGGGATTGAACCTGATACTTTTCACTTACTAGGCGGTCGCCTATCCATGAGACCACTATGGCTCACTGCGATTACCTGGTTCACTTTTAGTTGTTATCACTGTGCTTTTAGTTGGTAATACTTTTAGCTATCCGACGACAGGCGCAGCTACCCCTTAAAGGCAGGCGCGGATCCAGGGGGCCGAGGGGGCCTTGCCCCCCTCCCCACCCCCGCAAAAAAACAAAAAAGAGGTAGAAAGAGAGAGAGAAGGAAAAAAAGGGAAAGAGGAGAGAAAGGGAAAGAAAGAAGAAGAAGAAGACGAAAAAAGGGGAAAAGAAGCAGATCGGGGGGGGGGGCGAAAGGGCCTTGCCTCCCATTTGTAAACCCCCCCCCCCCCCCGCTAAAAAAATAAAAGAGAAGGACGGAAAGGGAAAGAAGAAAGGAAAAGAGGAGATAAAGGGAAGGAAAAAAAAAGGACGAAGAAAAGAAAAGAGCGGGATATCAGTTGCAATTTTCCCGCCAACAAGTTGTAGTTCTGGGGCGGCCAAAAGGCCCTTGCCCCCCCCCCCCCCCCTCACCCACGCCCCCCCCCTCCCCACCCCGAAAGGGGGTAGGAAGGAAAAGGGAAAAAGGAGAGCTAAAAGGGAACAAAAAAGAGGAAGAAGGAAAGAAAAAAGGTTTAAAGAAGGGAGAACACCTGCGAATAATCCCGCCAACAACGTGTAGAACGGGGGGGGGGGGGGGGGGGGGGGCGAAGGGGAATGCCTCCTCCAGCCAAACTTAAAACAGATAGGTAGAGATCAGTGTCGATTTTTTACGCCAACAAGGTGTAGATCGGGTTAAGAAAAGAAAAGGGGCCCTTTTTTTCTCTCTCTCTCATGATCTTGTTTTTTGCGGGGGGGGGGGGGTCACTTATTAAGGCCCCTTATGATTTAGTTACCTACATTAATTTTGAGCAAGTGTAGGAGGGGAGTGGTGCCTTGGTTGTATCTATACTGTTAAGAGGCCCTATATAATTTTGAATGAGGCTGACGTTGGACATGGGTCCCGGTAAGAGGACACTATTATTTTTTTTTTTTGGGGGGGGGGGGTCAAGAAATTTTTTAATTTGACATTTTCCTCCGTTGGGGGGGGGGGATAAGGTCACCTTTTTATGTCAGCCATTGGCATTTTTTTTTTTTTTTTTTTTTTTTTTTTTTTAAACATCATTTTTAATATTTTTTTGTTGCCGGGGGCACGTTCCTGTTTTTAAGTACATTTTGGGCGAATTAAGGCCTGATTTTAACATATTTTTTGGGCCGGGGGGGGGGGGGGGGGCACGTGCCCTCTGTGCCCCCTCCTGGATCCGCCACTGGTACATATCTCATATTTCAAACATTCATAACTTTCTGCTTTCATGAACTGATCCTAAGGGTAAATATTGAATTTAGGGGATAACCCATAACAAATTGCAAATATATTTTGTTTCTCTGCAGTGAACTTTAGCATGATCGGTCAGTGAAGTCTATGACAACATGTTCACATTTTTATAATGCAAATGAACATCGGCTATGAAAGGAAATTCATATTGTTCATAATAATTGTGCAACTAAGTTTACCCGTACTACCCGACCAAAATAAAATGTTGATAAAGTTTAAAACCATTTATGGACACATTTTGATATCCAAATTGCCAACCCAATTTTTAAATATGCCAAATAAACATCCGTCATAAAGAAATTAAAATTCATATTTTCCTCTGCTCTAAAATGCAAATCTTAAAACCAAAGGAGTGACAACGTTTTGAAAACATGATTGATGTAACCTTTCTACTGTTGGATTCAGCATGTTAAAAGTGAAAATGTCGATATGCCTTCAACAACTTAGTTTTAACAGTGCATAAAGTATTGGCAGGTGTGATGGTTAATCGTTGCCTCTCAGTCATGGACGAAGCTCTCGTTGGTGGTATAAGCCCATCAAGTTGGCAGTGAACACTATTAAAATTTAGTTTTTCTTTTTTTGCCCCCCCCCCCGGAAATGTGAAAATCACGCCGATCGATATTTCGATCAAGGGAGGGGGGGGGGGGGGAGAGGAAGTAAACACTCCTCCCCCTCCTCTTGAACAAAACATAATATAAACATTAACAATACCATCTTCTTCTTTTGTGCCCGGGGGCGGGCCCACCCCTGGGCATATATAGGTCTCCTAGACTTAATTGTGCTAGTCCTCACCTGGATTTATTCAAGTCGCCGGTAATACTGCCGTTTCCTATCACGCTGCCCCTTTATTTTGTTTTTGTTTTGCAACTTTTGCTTTTTTTGTGTGTGTTTTGTTTTCATGAATAAAAACGATGTTGAAATTAAATGTTTTTGGAAAAATAATCCTATATAATATTATATTCACATATTTTATTTAAGTAGACCCTAGGCCAATTAAGCATTTTATGTGTCTAAAATTTAAATTTCCTGTTTTAAAAGTAGGCCACCAAATAAGTCAAATTAAATAATCAAAATTTAACTAACCCCTAAAAGAGAGACAGTCATGACTTATCATACAGTTCACTGCATATAAAGAATCCCCCATATAAATTATGTATTTGAATGATCTCAATAGTTGGTGTGCAATTAGCGCGCGCATGCGCATTGTATCAATTTGTTCGAGAAATGTTGGAGGATATGAAAATCACAGGTTTTTGCTTCGACTGTCCATTACTCTATTTGATCAACATTGAATAATTCGTCAGGTATAATATCTCAATTTCTTATGGTTTTAATTAAAGACAACAGTAGATTACTGTTTTTTATGGCCCATTTTGGGGGGTAGGAAGCGCGAAGCTGAAGCTTAGCTAGATTTATCAAAGGCCGCTTGCAGAGCTTCAGGTCGGTCCCACATACTTCAATGTGTGTTCTGCTTTTGATACAAATTACTGTAGGCCTACTGTACAACTTACAAGATTTCAATTTTCTCGGCTTGATTGCAGAATACGCTACCATATTGTAAGTCTTTACAACAACAACAACTTTATATAGCCGTAGATATGTTGTGATTTTATTGTTTGCGATGATGATAACGGTGCTACAGGTATTGAAGTAAATGCAAGTGTTCGTATTCATTTGGTGGATGAAAAGTGGAATTTTGAGCTGTTTTGTGCGTCATTGGCATAGAATCTAGCTAATAATGATAGCTTTTTTTATCCATAAAATACAATTTGCAGATAAACAAGCAGAGCTAATGGATAATGGCAGAATATAGTGATTCAGATCTGAAAGGTTTGATGGAAGTGTTTCAAGTGAAGGCAGAATTCATTGACGATGAAGTAGAACCAGGGGAAGATGACAACAGACACTTGCCTGAGGAGGAAAATGGTGGATATATCATGGTTCCTGAAGAAAATGATGAACCAGATGATGGTGAGGGTTGTTTCATATATCAGAAATAATTAAAAGTTATGGCAATAATGTTACAATTATACCTCGCACATAACAAATTGTCTATTTTACTTTGCTTTTGTTTTTAAGCAAAGAATTTACGCATCTCATTTTACTTACAATCTTTATGCTTCCTTTTGATTGTCAAAACATATCATTAAAAAATCAAATTTTGAATTTATGACTGCATGTATTTTTACAGGAACCGCACATATGGAGCAAGAGGGAGAATGCAGCTTCATGGGAGAAGAAAGTGATGAAATCCATACTACCTTTGATGCTGAACGGTCTGAACCAGAAGACTTGAGCTCTTTGGGCCCGATTGCAGATCAGGACCAGGATCCAGACTCTGGGACCAGCTCGTCAGTGCTGTATAATGTTCTATCTCATGGAGAATCTGCAGCAATGCAGCATATCGCTATGGGAGGTATCAAGAAAAAATTTGATTGTCGCTGGTGCAAAGCGTCATTCACAAAGAAAACCAGCTTGCGAAGGCATATGAACCTTCATAGTGGGAGCCGCCCATTTCAGTGTCCATTCTGTGAATACAATGCAACTAGAAAGGATCAGTTGAAAACACACATCAAGACCCGTCATACACGAGATAGCTCTAAGCACTTCACTTTCAAATGTCCTCTATGCAGTAACATGTTTCAGAGCCAGAGACGAATGACCCTGCATATGCGATCTCATCAGTGGGATAATTTCCCTTGTGATTTGTGCCATATAAAATTTAAATCTGCTCATGAGCTTGTGCAGCATCTGAAGCGTAGGCACCCAGACTCGGGTACAGACCCAGGAAATTACCCTTATGTTTGTGATGTGTGTCATCGTTGGTGCAATTCCATTGAGGAGTATGTAGATCACATTCAGACACACCCACAAAGATCCCTGCAATCTCCTGACTCTGTAGCCGATCGTGCCTCGCCCAACGATGCAAGTCATTCTAATGGTCAATCAAGGGCTGCTAGAATGAGTATCTTAGAGCAAGCGCTGTCTAAAGGTAATTCATCGCCATCGTCTTCATCAAGGAATCGTTTTCCCAGTGAAAGTAGCACTAGTTCACAGAAACCTTGTCAGAGAACAGAATCCAAGCTATCAGTTAGTAGTTCAACATCCAGTATTCATGGAAATCCACCTGCATGTCCCCCTTCTATCCAAGGGGCCATGTCTTCTCAATCCATGCTGTCAAGGTTACTGCAAGGTGGAAAAGTACAAAATGCAGCCCCAAGTACAACTACAAGCAATGGTCCTTACATCACGAAAACTATTTCACTGAATGAAGGCAGAAATGTCCTTCGCTACCCTCAATATCCAGTAAGGAATCCTTCGCCTACATGTAATTCAAACTCCTCATCTTCAAGGATGCCTCATAATGTAGTGTCACCGACAATCAGCAGAGACTCTCACGACAGCTTGGACACTCATTCCCCTCAACTCTCTTCAAACAGCTCTATACACCGCAGCCGTGGCACAAAGATGGTAGACAGTTCCACGCAGGATGAGGTGATGCGATGTGAGCATTGCCATACTATCTATGCAGACAGTATAATGTATGCCATTCATATGGGATGCCATGACTGGCAGGAGCCCTTTAGGTGCAATATATGTTCATTCCACTGTGCTGATCGCTATGAATTCATGTCCCACATCACCAGAGGCCTGCATCAGAAAAGATGAAATTCTTGATAAATAGTATTGATTGTTGATTGCAATTCTTAGAAATAACATCTATGCAATACAGTCTATCCCACAGTTGCAGATGTACCAGGTTTTATAATTTTAAATACCAAAGATTACTCTGTAATATTTGGCATTTAAAAAAATTGAAACTGTATGAAATGTTAGAAAAGAAAGTTTAGCTAAATTTAGAGCAATGATGAATATCAATGATAATGATGGTGGATATGAGATTTACCAGTCTTCTAAAGAATCAAGTTTTTTAATATTAGGGTACAACCATTTTTGTTGTTGATTTGGCAGGTACTTATTGTTATTGACTGAACAAATATTTCCCTTTTTATAGTAGGCTGTTACTGGGTACATTCTCAAACGTCTGGACTGAGTAGACCCTGTAATTCCTTCAATATACTCTAGAATAGATCTTGTTGCCAACTATCATTAGGAGATGCCCATGGCAGTCTCCACTTGCCGCCTGTTCTTGACTCAGTTCCTTTGTTCTAAACATTAGCAATAGCCATGAATGAGTTTGGTTTGATAGGATGTCACAAGAGATATTGCCATTTTGTAATGGCATTAGAATGAATATTCTTTAAAGTATTCATTTGTATACATGGTATACTTTATGCTAGACAGGATAGTATCTATACAGTTTTGTTAATCAAATAATGTGATGTCAATGTCTAATAACATACGTGTGTGTATAATCAATTTTTTTTTTTTTTTTTTTTTTGGGGGGGGGGGGGGGGGGGGACAATGTATGTTACTGAATTCTGTAATGACTTTCTGATATCTGAATACGGTACTGCTTACTTAATTTCTCAGCATGAATGTTGTGTACTTTTATAGTGACTGTAACAAAGTGATTGCTATGAATTTATGAAAATATATTCAAAATTAAGTTTCATTGCAAAAGTTTTGTTTACAAATTAATGCCTCAGCCAGCAGGGAAGTGAATGGGACACTGTCAAAGATGTTTTCAAATCTGCACTGTTAACTGAAATGATGATATTGTAATTTTGCATACAGTAGGTGCAATGCTAATGACATCTCTTACCAGGGGCGGATCCAGCCGGCGGCAGGGGAGGGGGCCCAATTCGGGAGAAAATATTTAGCGGCGAAACAGCCGGCCGATAATTTGCTCAGTGGAGGGTTGATAAGTCATGCTTATAAATTTGTTTAGTTTGCATTTTATATTCTGACGAGTCAATGAATCTGGACAAGTTGAGTGAAGTTGACATGTTTTAGACATATTTAGCAAAGTAGATATTTTTGCCTTTTAAAGAAGATATGCATGCACCATCATCAAACATTTAACCAAGCTTGGAATATTGTGAAATCTTTTTTAATCTTCTTTTTTATTTTTGTACTTAATTCTGTCATGAATGGCAGAAAATGGCTTGTACTCTGTTTTATTGTTGATGTTGTATGCATGTTTAGAAGTGTATTTCTTAAAGATGTACTTACTCAAAAATCTTTAAAATTTGTCACTATTCCAAAACCTTGCATGAAAGTAAAATTAATTATACTTATAAATCAGAATTTAGATTTTAGAGATGACGTTTCAAAAATAATGCTCATCAATTTTTGTTTTTAAGAAAACTAAGTTATGAGGTAAATTCTATGCTTTTTGTTTTATACACGTATGTCATTAAGTTTTTTTGTGCAATATCAATTAATTTTTGGTAAAGAATACCAGAACTACATTGTGCTGATGATGCATTTGGATTGCTTAGATTGGAGATGGGAAACTTTGTGTAACCTGCTAGGAATATGGTGCTGTAATGAATGTAAATAAGATTGGTCTTAATTTTAAGTTCCATAATGAATGATCTCTTTCTAATTGGATCTCAAATACTACTGAAAGCCTAATATCTCTGTCCGGTTGCATAAAACTTAGCATTAATGGTAACTTCAAGGAAAACCTTGATTTGATTGGCCGTTGAGTGATGTTGCCATGGTAGTTAATATCGATGACAAAGTTACCATCAGTGGTAAGTTTTATGCACCGGGTTCCTGTAAAATGTGTCCTATGTATGGGAAGACTAAATAAGAACAAACAATTGTAGGCTACTGGTAATGCAACATTTCTTAATATTCTGAAAGATCATTACGCAGTGTGAGTTTTTTTTCAATATGGATAAAGACATGTCTTGAGCTTTAATAACAATATAAATGCTAATAGTAGCTGGTTAAAGGAAACCAATCACATACAAATATGATACATATGAAACCAACCGCACCCCACATACACACACACACACACTAAATAAACTTTGCTCATCATTCTATATTTGAGAAGTTAAATGGTATAATAAAATTAAAGAATAATATAAAAATTCCAGTCAGAGCTAGGTCCCATTTACTGATGTGAGTGTACGTCTCACACAGCTTACTCACATCCAGCTTTTATCTTCATTTACAGAGGATTTTAAGATGCTATTTGTTTCCGCAGAAGTAATATTGGTAAGCTGGTATTTTTATTGTAGCATACCAGTATGGAAGTCAGAAGATTCAGATCTAAATATAATTTGGTGATTGATCTCCTTTAATTCAAAGAATAAATCTTGCCCTCCTTTATTTGACATACGCTAGGACCTGTGGAATTTAGTTTTTTTTAAATCTGATTTATAGTTAAGCATCTATAAAAGAAGGAAAAAAAGGTGATTTTTGCATGGTCCATTGAGAGCTTAATATATATTTGTGTAATATTTGGTGCAAAGAAATTGCAGATTTTCACATATTTGATGCACATTAAGAATTAAAATCATATTAGTAAGATACTAAGGAATAACATGTGATTTTATGTTTAGAGTCTTTTTTTGTTTCAAACAGATTTTCATACTTTGTGATCATTGAAAACATTGTACATTTGTTCTATAAAAGGGACTGGAGCAGGTCAAGGAACGCAAAGTAATTTTTTTCTGAACAAGTCTCTTTGGTCTACACTTAGATGTCTACACAAAAAAGAAGAGAGAAAAATTGGCTATATCCAATGAAGCGCTGCTGTGCGGACGAAAATTGGTTTTCTATTTCATGATAATGTAAAAAAAAAATTCTTTTTACTTTTGATAACATGCAAGATTCTTTGAATGCAGTACAGCCACGGAACTGTACAGTTGAATCTTAAAATAATGAACTCTGTGGAACCAATGAATTTTACTGTGTTTTTATTGGAAGCTAGTTCATTACTTCAGGGCTCGAGGACAACAGCTTACAGAGAAGTAGGACTTTTCTCAAAACTACAGTTTGTTATAACAGTATTTGTTAGAATGAGTATCCATTGTACCACTCTACATGCATGTAGCTCTATGTAGTAGAAACCTGCAAAAAGGGGAACAATTCCGATTGTGGGGACTAATGATTTGGGTATTAATTTTCCTATTTTTTCCAAAGGTGCTGAATTTGCATGAGATTTTATATTTTGTATGTATGAAAAAGAAGTGATTTGTAGTATGCAATTTTTCTCATATTAATAAATATTTATCCTAGCATACATGAAAATCAGTGTTTACATTTTATATGTCTGTTTAGTAGATTACAAAATATCTGAATTTTTGTGCTAGGATCCCTGATTTGGATTTGTTTGAAGCCAAATAAATGTATTTCATCCTACTCATAGATACCAGAGAATAAAAATGTGAAGGGGGCGTTATTCGCCTCCTCCCCAGTCCCCCTTCCTCTCCTTCAAATTCAAAGATCTTCTTTTTCTCATTCCCATTAAAACAATTTAAAAAAAAATTCATCTGTGCATGCTTGAAAGAAGTGAATGTAGAACTATTAATGGATGTATGTTATGAAAGTGAATATGACAGAAGATGAAATTAACCTTAACAGCCCTTTTCAAATTGCAATCAAGTCGAAGCATACCGGTATTTTTTTTCTGTAGAGAAGGGTTAAGAAGAACATCTGTACCAAAATCAATTTTGAGGAAAATTACCACTTTTATAGGGTACTCATTTGACTTGACTAAATACATGTATGTTCACCCCCCCCCCCCCCCCCCCAAACCTCCTTTAACACCAATGCTCTTCTTCGGAGTGATAAAACGTCCAGTGGGTTCTTTGTTTTGCTTCGTAACCTTCGTCGAATTATACGGGGTCTGCAGTGCAATACAGCTAGCAGAGAGACTACTAAAATCAAAATGTCAGCGCCCATGAAAGGAAAAGGATTCCTTCAACTTGTTCAAGTCATACAGAAGAACTCGTTTCTTCGTTACGGGCTTCCAATGCTGGTAAGAAAGGCTTCATTTTTTTGGAATAAAAGTATTCAGTACATTAATGGACATAATGCATGCATGTTTATTAAAAAAACGAAGAGTTCTATATGAAGGATCTGGGTCGGCCAATTATGTTCAGTCCCATGTAATCCTTTTCACGTACGCTGACTGAAAGCTCATGCAATGCAGCTTGCTATTTGCAGTTGAGAACTTGAGATGGTATCGGAAAGACGGCTTAAAGTAAACAAATTAGCAAAGTCGCCGCGCTGTAGGAACTAAAGTTAACTCCTCCAAACAAATGGAACATTTCTGTCTAGATCTATCTATTATTCTTTGAGCTTGAGTCTACATCTTGTACACTCAAGTTTTGAGTTGCATCATTGCATGTAGATCTAGTATGTACATTACTTAACTTACCCTTGCTGTTTTCCCAGAAATCTTCTAGGGTCTAATTTTGGTTAAAAAACCCAGCCCAGTCACACTCTGAAGTTTCTTTCATTTTTAATGAATGATGATGATCACTTTCTGTGTATTTATTAAAAAAAATATAAGTCCATTGACAGGACTCTTCACATGATCATGAATACTGACACAGATTCTACCTTCAGTACTTTAATCTGGTAAGATATTGAGAGTGTAAGGGCTGCCTGCTATAAGATGCTGGACACCCATACTTTATTTTATTTTATTTTTGCTCCAGGTGTTGATCGTTGGTGGTGCCTATGGCTTGAAAGAGTTTCGAACACTCAGATATGAAATAATCGATAAGAGGAAGACGGTAAGATGGAAGTGTGTTATTGTATATAATAAATGATCTGTATTTGGCTATACATTTAATTTTTGTTTAATCAGAATTTAAATTATCTATTTCAGATGAATGGAAGAATAAATGATGTCTTGTTCATCGGTCATGCATAATGATTTGATACTGTAATGTTGTAAATAATATATATGTACCAAAATCATTGTTGAATTTGTTTAGAAAAGAAAGTTTTATTATTTCATCATGATTTGTTATAATATAAACATGTTGTCTCACAAAATGTTACTGTTGTAGTTAGACTGCATTTCTTGTATCTAAGTTCTTTCTCTTTTTTGTAAAGGTTGATCCAGAAACTGAGGCAAGAATGAAACAACTTCAGAAAGAGAAAAAGAATTCTGTAACTGAAGAATTTGAGGTAGGCCTATAGTAATTACATGCATCTTTTTAAAGGTAAGGTTGAGTTCTGGGAAGAGGTGAAAAATAATTTGTGAGCGTTATCATTCTTATTATGCAAGTGTGAAAGAACATCAGATAAGACATGTTCCCTGAAAAGCATGGCTCTTCAAATGCCTTCATATTCTAAATATTTCATGTACATCCTAAAACTCGGGGGGGGGGGGTAGGTTTTTACGCCACATGTTCATGTGGTCCCATGTACATCTTTCTGTGTACAGTGTTAGTAACTTTACCAAGACTTGGCCAATTTCTTATCATTTTGATAATTCCAGAACCTTGCAATACACACAATTCTTATATGCTAGATGATCAATCTTTTCTGGTCGATTCTACACCGTTTCTTTCACAATGCAATCGCATGACCAGAACTCAACTTCATCTTTAAGTCAATACATTTACTATGCATTTTTTTAATTACAGAAGAACCATTCAAATGTGATTTAAATGTAGAAACCTTTTATATGTACACAAATGCTTTGCTTTTTTTAAGTACGGGTATTCATGAGCATGAATAATTAATTATTCATGCTCATGAATATATTTTATTGTTTTTGTGATGATTAGATCCAATTGATGATGTGAAATATGTCATGTCAAGTTGAATGAAGTGAGCTTTATAAAGGGTTATAATCATGATTATAATTGTTGTGGTGGTTTCATCTTTGCAGAAAATGCGACGGTCTGACTTGGACGCCTGGCACAACATCCGAGGACCCCGGCCATGGGAGGATTCTAAAGAGTTTCAGATGATGGCGAGAGAAAATATTGAGAAGACCAAACAGATATCAATAAAGAGATAGCATGATCTCATTTATATCAGGATTTATGCATATTTCATTCTAATAAGACTTGTGTGTTCATCCTGTCAATGTGTTCATAATATGAACATCTGCAGTTCTTTTACAGATTGCACTAAAGTGCATGTAATGTGTGTAAGACTTGACTAAAGTATAAGCAGTAATATGTAGTGACTGAATTCAAAGATGCTCATTGATATGAATGCATAACAGACAGGAAATATGAAAGATTATGGATTGAGAAAAAAGTGTCTTCATAATTTGAAATATTTTTGTCAAGTTTTGTCCATGATTGAACAATCAAAGTTTGGGTAATTTTATTGTCAGGTGATGTTTCTATGCAGGTTATTAACAAATGGTTGTCTGCTCTTGATTTTGTTCTGAGATATTAGATGTTCACATTCTTTAAAAGTGATACATAGGTACATACTCAAACCTCGAGTGGCAATTTGGCAAAGCCAAGTTTTTATGTTCTTTCATGACGGTATACAGAAACTATTATACCAGTGCCCTAAATACAATTGCAAGATCAGTTTAATCACATCTACTAGTAAGGAATTGTATATGAAGAAATCATCCGAATGGAAATTGATTGCCTGTGTGAAAAGATCATTTGCATAGATTAGAAAGTCAGTTGAACAGGATTTGTTTTAAGATTTTTATATTAAATTCCACAATTTTTTGTTGTTAACTTGCATAGTTGCATTACAATAGAAATGCATTAACTTTGTATAATATGTATTTCTGTAGGTATTTTGACATCTAGAGACTAATGATACAGATAAAGAGATACTTCAATGTGAATAATAGATACTTATTTTAAGTAAGTATGGTAGTTTTATTTTGTTAGAAATGTGATTTTTATATTTGACTCTCATTGTACTGTCTAGGAATGGATTGGGCTTTCCCCTGCTCTAAACCTTGAATCCAGGAACAATTGTACATGTAATTGTGTGTCTCAAAGCTTTGAGAATTTTTCCTTCAATTATGAGTTTGTTATATGACAAATAAAAGAACTGTGATCAATGTCCTAAATCTAACAACATCAGAAATTATGATATTTCACTTTCTCAAAATCTTAAATTGATGTTTATATTGGCAGTCGGATTATAATTAAAGATATGCAATGAGCTACACTGTTTATCCAATGCAGCTCACCCAATTAATTTTTCTTATGGTATGATTGCGTCATCTCTGAAATAAATATATATTGAGTCAAAAGCAAAATACAGAGTTTGAAAACTTTTTAAAATCTATGTCAATATTTTGTTTAAAAGTACATTTATTTGAAAAGCTCAAAGTAGAATACTGTTCTGCACTTCTTCCCTCCTACTATCACAATGCAGAATTTGCACTTTCTTTATTTTTGTCACTGTTTCTTTTTATGTTTATATTCCCAAAATGTCTCTATTTTTTTTAAAGCTCCAATGAGCTATTGCTATCTATTCATTTGTCCAACCATATTTTTTTCTTCTGTCTTCTTCTCAAAGAAATATGGCCGGATTTTAACCAAACTTGGTTTAAATCATCCTTAGGCAAGAGAGATCTAAAACAGTTCAAAAGGGGTACGTACCCCCAAAGCACTACCACAGTTCTTTAGGGCAGTAACTCAACATTGTATTTTTCTTCTTGAAAATCTATGGCTGTATTCTAACAAAAATTTGTAGGAATCACCTACAGAAAAGGGAAATCTATAGTTGTTCAAACGGGGTACATGCTACACAAGTAGGGTTGAGGCAGCATCCCCCAATCCTATGGTGCTCTATGGTAATCTTTGTAAAATTCATGCAAGATTTTGATTTAAATTGATTTTTTAGGCAGGCGGATATGAAATTGTTCTGAAGGGCTACCGATTCCTCCAGTGGGAGGAAACGTGGGAGTAGCACCACCCCCCCCCCCAAAAAAAAAAGAAGAAGCTGGATTCTAACCAAAAGTTTATAGGAATCACCTGCAGGAACAGAAGATCTAAAGCGTATCAGGACAATTACCCCCGAAAAACTACCCCCATGTAAGGGCAATACCCCCCCCCCCAGAAAACTAACCCATGCAAGAACAATAACGCCCCAGAAAATAACCCCCAAGGACAACCATCCCCGAGGACAATAAGCCCCGACGACAATTACCCCTACCCCAGACAATTCCCTCTAGGAAAAATTACCCCCTGTTCTTTAAAGAGAAAGTTCACCCTGATAATAAGTATGTTTTGTTTTTTTTCGGGGAAGGGGGGTCTTTGTCCTGGGGGGTAAATGTCCTCGGGGAGAGGGAGGGGGCAGGTTGTCCTTGGATGGTAATAGGGACTTTTAGATTTGCGTGGACAGATACGTGTGACGTCCATTCAAGGCAGTGCATTAAAAGGACGTCGATCGTAGCAATCCACGTTGTCGTTGTGCAGATCTAAAAGTCCCTAATATTCCTGAGGTAGTTTTCCGGGGGTAATTGTCCTTTGGAAGAACAATGTGAAGCAAACCTAAATTTGTTTGAATGTAATACTTGCCCCTACAGGGTTTCCTTTAACTCTCATATTGTATAAGTCGCTCCATTTATACTTCAATCAATTTCACTTCACCTCCTCTACTTCTTCTCCTCTCTCTCTCTCTCTCTCTTCTCTCTTCTCTCTCTCTCTCTCTCTACTCTCTCTCTCTCTCTCTCTCTTTCTCTTTACTTTTGTGTTCGTACTCCATTTTCTCTCATTTTCGTTACTATTTTATGTCGGCCTATGTTTTTATATTGAATTGGTTTTTATTCCTGTCAATTTCTCAAACTATAATATATTAAACAATCATTTGACAGTAGAATACACCACTGGCGTACTGGTGGGGGGGGGGGGGGGGCTTAGGGGGCGCCAGCCCCCCCCCCCAAATGAATTGAACCATGGCTTATTTTCATTCCATATACAAGTGATGTATAAATGTTCGTGATTTCACATGATTTTCAACAGAATGCGTGTTTATCCATTTCTGTTGCAAACTGACACATTCCAAATGGCCAGGAAGAGCATATGTTTTTTCTTATAGTCACTAAGGGGCCGAGGCCACTAACAGTAACACTAGTAAAAAAAAAATCCTATCCAGAAGCAACTGTGAAAGCACTGCCGGCCGTTCCATACTTACATCATGTAACACTGCACATGCAACGTTAAGGGCCCAGTGGGGAAATTGAATTTAGACAAGATTAAGAGTAGTGAACGGTACAACAATCGTCTTCTTTCTCTAATATTTAATGAAACGGCAAAGCTTCCGCGTTTCGGGGGGGGGGGGAACTGAATTTAGACTTGGATTAAGAGTCGAGAACGGTACAACGAATAGTCTTCTAAGCTTCTTTAATAATTTAAATGAAGTGTCAAAGCTTCCGCGCTTCACGCGGGAGGAGAAAAAAACTGAATTCAAAACAAAAACACGATACAAAGAATTGTCTTCTTTCTCTAATATTTAATGAAACGTGAAAGCTTCCGCGCTTCGCGCGGGATGGGCAAAAAAAAATTCAGACAAGGATTAAGAGTAATGATTTATTGAACGTCAAAGCTTCCGCGCTTCGCGCGGAATGGGCGAAAATAAATTCAGACAAGATTAAGAGTAATAATTTATTGTAACGTAAAAGTTGACGCGCTTCGCGCGGGATGAGAGGGGGCGGGGGGGGGGGGGGGGGGGGCGGGGGAGCTGGATCCAATCAAGAATTAAGAGTCGAGAACGATACAACGGATCGTCTTCTTTCTCTAATAATTACTCCAGGAAGTGCCTGAAAATGCGTCTAATTTGGTTCTAAAATTGCAAATGCTTCTTACCTTGGGAGGGGGCCCAGAACCCCCTCCCAGACCCACCCTTCGCTCCCTCGCCGCTGAAGCCTCGTTCTGTCGCTTTCATATTTTTACATATATTTAACCCCATGCCATTTTTGCCCCCCCCCCCCCCGGAAAGAAATTCCTGGATCCGCCACTGATGCCCATGCATGTTAGAGTGGGGTGCTGCAGATTTTTTTTTTTTTGTCAGCCCCCCCCCCCCCCCCCCCCCCATCGTTTTTGCTCATTACGCCACTGGAATACACCCCCATTTTAATATCGATTCGATCAAAAACAGTTTGAAAACTAGAGAAAACTAGAGGTATGGATAAATCTGATTTACAAAATGACTTACAAAATAAACATTAGAAACTAACCAAATATGATTGTAAACAAATCATGGAAAGCCTGTAGATTAATAGTTATATTTCGAGATCAAATTACATGGCATTTCTTAGGTTATATAAGTTGCTTAATTGTAATATGTTAACGTGATTGTTTCATGAAGCAGAGATCGTGGTCATTGAAGTATAAGCACGAGGTTGGATCTCAATAGCAGATTAGTTTTATTATTATAAAATGTGTTGTTTTTTCAAACTGATCTTTAATCATAACGCTTTATATTTCTTTTGCCTCACCATTATATCAATACAATGTTTCGAAATTGAATTCGGCTAGAAAAGAAATAAACCTTAGGTACACATATTACTTTTCATAATCTATATTCCAATTATATCGCCAGTATGTACACGTATCGTTACTGCTTGGTCATAATAGTTTTACTTCGAGTTTTTCAGGTTCTAAGTTTAAAAGTATAAGGATAACTTTCAGTCTTCGTCCATCATGTTCTCTGCTGTCGGAAGAGATCGAGCATTCCAGCTACGAAGGAGTCGTCGACGCTCTATCCTAGCTGCGATATGACGCCCTTGACCAAACTTAATCTTAGAGCGAGTCATCATGTTCATCAATCATTCTCGTCTTTTTTACATCGGTGACATTCGAGCGATTTAGATTGTAGTATGACAGATACTGACTACGGTATGCCGGTATATCGTCATCGTCTTCCTCCTCGTCTATCATACCTGTATGATAGCGGGATGGGTACAGTGCCGAATCGGACGCAGAAGTCAAGTTAGGTTCGTTCTTAACTTTTAGGGATGCATTATTTGACGACTGATTCGTATCGTTTTGTTCCTCCTTTTCTTGATCCCCGTCATCATCAACATCATCGTCATCTTCGTTTTCAGGAGTGTAGGTCGAGTTCATGTCGTTCTGTCGTTCTCGGAAGCTTAGCCAGGCGATACTATGCACCATCGACAGTGGTGTTGCCGAAACTCGAGTTTTGAAAGTCCCGTTCATCCTTGAGTCGTCTGTTGGTCTTTGTCGATGATCGTACCGCTGGAGATGTTTTGGTAATTCGGGAAGAACATGTTGTCCTGAGCTATTATTTCCTACCGGTTTATCGAGATAACTGTTTCGACGGTCTCTCCTGAATGCGACTTGATCGTCATTAGTGCAACCCCTTCTGCGATTCCCTTCATCTTTAGAATCACCGTCCTGTACTGTCTGCTCGTATTTTGAATTTTGTCTGATATTATCCCGCGTTTTTTCATCAAGCTGCAATTGCGGGAATATTGATTTCCGTAGAGTTTTGTCATCTGCTGCCACGGCTCCAGATGCAAACGTTCGCGACCTCGTCATCTTATTTGGTACAAGACGTATTAACTCAACAGTGCTCGGCCGATTTTTCAATTTTGCTCCTCCATGCATTTCGTTGGCAAGCTCCTTTTTTGTAATATTGAACATCTTAATTTCTTGTTTGAGATGGAGCATTTCGATGTCATGGTTACGTAACTGTCTGAGATGTTCTTTGTTCATTGAGACCTTCCTCCCATCTAGCAGACGTCTCTCACATTCATTGCTCTGGATGACTCTCTGGGAGTTCTCAGAGATGCGCTTTCGCATCTCTCTCTGATACATCGCGATTGGTTCAATTTGTCCAAAATAAGAAAAAATCAACTATACCAACTTAGCAATCAATGTACATCGCTGAGACTCAGTGATTCCGGTCCTCGTCAATTCAGGGAGACTCCATTTTTGTAATGTTGACGATCATTATGTGCCGTAACGTTTAGGTGTAGACTGGTAGCAAATGTTCATTAACATCATAAACATTTCATTCCAATTGATAGTCGCACAACTTGAAGAAAATGTTTATGTATATTACAGTTGTTTCTGTACTCCTGCAGGCTCCAAGAAAGAAAAATTGAATGAAAAATTTCGCTTGTCACTCAAGGAGGAAAGACTCAGAAAGTCCGTTGTCAATTCTTTTAAACGGCTCCATCAAGTTCGATGATCACACATTTTTTTTTTTCGTCCTCGTTGACAAACGTAACATTCATAAAAGTTTCCTTCTTTTTACGCAGAGGTAGTAACCATGCACCTGCTTGATGTCGATGCAACGTAGTTATGTATGAGAGTATTCAATTATTTGTTCACTTAGTTTCAAGGACCAAATAGTTGTAGCGTTGTGGACAATTACAAATTTACAATATTTGCACCAATTATTGATTAACAGTTTTTATCATGTATTACGTAACCGTCTGATAAAAACGTCATGGATACGGCGGCAGCGGCCTGACGCTGTGTGGAAGGATTATGGAGTTTTCAATTTATTATGTAGTTATTCACATAACTTACAAATTAGGTGGGGGAGGGGTGGGGTGGAGGGATCCGGGGAGAGGTGAGGGGGGGGGGGGTGGGCAGAAAACGATTTTTGATTTTTATTAAAACATTGCATTTTTTAAACCTGTCCTCTCCAATCTGTCCCCTTGGCTAAAAAGTGTCATTTTGACAACGACGGAATGGGGTAAAGATATATCGGAACAAGCGATAACGTACCAAGGCGCGTATATAGCCAGGGATGGGCGGTCGCCCCCATCAAAACGCCGGCCAAAGAGAGAGAGAGAGAGAGAGAGAGAGAGAGAGAGGAGAGAGAGAGAGAGAGAGAGAGAAGAGAGAAAAAGTAAGAGGACGTAGGAAAAAAAAGGAGCAGACATTAAACATTTTTTTTAAATTCAGATGATCAAGAGTCAAGAACGGTACAACGAATCGGCTTCTTTCTGTAATAATTTAATGAAACGGCAAAGCTCCCCCTCCCTGCATCCACCCCCTAGGGATCGAGCTTCGCATGCTTTGCGTGCTCACTACCAGCCCCCTAAAATAAAATCCTAGCTACGCGCTTACGATACCTAGGGTCGAAAATTTGTGATGAATGAAATTTCCCCTTTCATGTTTTGTCAGAAGCGAATCCGTCCCAACGTACCCATATGCGAGTGTACATACACTTAGTCGAAACAATGTTTAGTCGTATCTGTGTTTACTTATTTACGTTATTTCTGAAGCTATTCAAAGACTTCTTTGTCATATTAAAAAAAAAGTCGGCCTGATATCTTTCTTTTTTTAAAGAAAAAAAATCATACCAGAATTATAGCTACCTCATCTAGAGCTTAGTTATTGTAATCTTCGATCTCCAGAAAAGCATTAAAAATACTATGTGCAAGTATGAATTATTCCTATTTTGCAGCAGGATATGAATGCTATGAAATGTAATTGAAAATCAGCGGACCAGAAAATGATATCATCCATATGGTATCATCACTACAGGCATTATCATTTTCATCACCATCATCTCCATAATCACCATCACCATCACAACCACCATCATCATCACAACCACCATCATCATCATCACCGTCATCTTCAAAATCATCATCAATATCATATCAAACTCATTGTGACTATATTGTACATAGTCATTCATACAATCTAACTTCATAAAAAGATATACCTTTAACTCTTCACAAATACATTTTTCCTGATTTATTCAATTAATTACTCAATCATACAACCATACAAAAATGAGCAAATAATCATAGCTGTTAATAGTAAATGGCAAGAACAGGAATGTCATTGACGTTTCAAAATTAGTATTACTATTAATCCAAAAGATATTGTCCTAACAAATGTAAGGCAGTACATTGCTGACAAATACAGGTGCAGAATATATTTATTATGATATCTATACAAAAATAATGTGTCTATTATGTTGGTTGGAATATAACTATGTACTAGAAATAAAAATGGGATGGGAAAATATCTCAACTAAACTTCAAGAATATTAACAGGTCAACTTGATAAGCTATTCCGTTTTTACCAAACTTTGACAATGAGAATGTACAGTATGATGAATTTGAGAAGTACGCAATCAATATGTTTGGAATTCAAATACAACAAATTTTGTACTCATTACAGTTTTACAACAAGATATATCTTTCACCAAAATCGTAATTTAACCGATACACAGTTTAAAGAAAAAGAGGCAAAAATATATTAGATGAGTAACTCAAGCGGAAAATATAGCATGAACAACAGGTTTAAAACTAAAACATTTAACAGTATAATTGAACTTCATACATGTTTAACCAATTCATTATTCTTGGACCCTGAAGGATGTAAAATTGATTTTGAATGGTTGAGTAATATTGCTTACTGTAAAGAAAAAAAGTCCTGTATTCAAGACAAACAAATGATATATCCATATAACTGCACATATACACGGTATGGTGTACAATGTATAACGACCGAACTATTAGTTTAGCAAGGGTTTTGGAAATCATCTAAATATTAGTTTAGCACGCGTTTTGGAAATCTTCTCATGAAAAGAATCAGATTAATAATTCTGAAACAATTTCACAATCTTTTCCCTTGTCAACAAAAATGCAAAAGTATATAATATGCATATTTAAAAATGGAAGCACTAAATTATTAATCCCCCTAAAAAAACATGAAAGACAAAAACAATTGTTTGAAGCTCTTAAAGGGTGAATTTTTTAAAGCATAAAGAGTGATTTTTAGCATAAAAAGTGATATTCTGCATAGAGAAACAGCTAGTTTTTCAAGCACTAGTAAAGAAGAAAAAAAATCATAATCAGAATATGAAAGAGGTTTTTTTAAACTCTCCTGTTGTAAAGGTAAGATAAGAAATGAACATCGAGTTATTATTTCTTGCAACATCTTGCTTAGAACTGCTTCTAGGGCTTGTGTTCACATGTGTTCATAACCAGGCCTCTTCACATCTTTTTTAGAAATTTTTGTAAAAGTTCTGAGTGTACAAGAATATAGATGTATCCAATACTTAAGTTTGTACCAACATGTTAACAACTTGTGACTTCCGGTAACATCTAATGATAGCCTTTGTAAACACGGCTGTTGATCTATTCTTTTGTCAATGAACAAAGTTGTACACATGACATAACATATCCATCATATATATATACCGGTATATTATAATAATCATGTTTAATGATGAGGCATGATATATTATGATGGAATACATTTTGATGAGTATTATTTTTTTTTTTTAAACATACAAAAAGCAATGCCTATTTTGTTACCTTCATTCTACAAAAACGGGTAAAAATCTTGTACGAAATTACTGTACTACACTATTTTTAAAATAAATTGGCAGAATGGTGGTTGGACCACAACAAATGACATCACAATGGCACGTTGGATTTAAATGATAATTTTCACAAACTCATGTTGGAGTGTCCTGTTAATGTAGATTCAGGGAATGACATTGAATGTAATAGCTTTGGTATAATCATAAGACCTACTGTGAATTGGGCACAGGAAAAGGAATAAAACACCATGGTCAGTTTGGAGTGTTAGAAAACAGAGAAAGAGAGAGAGAGAGAGAGAGAGAGACAGAATGAGTATGGGTACATTTTAATCATTGGTATAAAAATTCTGAAACAACCATATCTTTAATAAAGAAGACATAATGATATTAATGCAGGAACATAGTTTGTAATATCAAACACATTCAGATCATTCCCATTCAGGTACAAACATCACATGACTTAACACAACACGTAAAGCACCACAATTTTACAGTTTCTAGCAACAACAAAATTAAAAATTGTTATCAGCTTACTTAAAAGGAATAAAATAGTAAGGAGATGTGTGGATTGTAATAAAAAATGGGGATCAAACAATGAAAATCTCTAACACACATTACAGGATTAAATCAAACAGTGAATAAAGTAGAAATGTATTTGAACTACAGCAGTGTATATGATATGCTAGAAATTTCATTTAAAGTATGCATGGTAGTTTGAAACTGCTGAAGTTTCACAATTCACATACATGTATAAACAACAGTGGAGTGTTTTTGCAATGCTGTAACATTTAAATGCAGGTCTTTGCACCTTAAACAGAGGATATCCTGAAAACTTGGAACGATTCTACGTGTCTACCTGCCAATCTTCTTTGGTCCATCTCAGATTTAGGACTTTTAATTACTTGGCTTGAAAGAGCAGATATATATCACATGGCCAGGCAGGTCCAGGTTCAAGAAGTCTGTATAGGACCAGGACCAGGACCAGATGCAGGAACAGCTAGGAAGTTAAATCCACTACAAGGGAATGATTGCACAGTCTTCAATGCCAGGAATCTAGTGTCTGTTAGTCGGGCTCCATCTCTTCTTCATCCAGTGACCTTTTGATACCTAAACATTAATAAAAGATGAGACAAAATGATAGTATTCTTACAGAGAAAGCAAAAAAGTAGTTGTAGAATCATTCAGTATACCAAGATTTGTGTATATTTTCAATGTATACAATTTCAAGAGAGAAAAGTATTACTGGCATATGAAAATGTGTCATGAGTAAAAAAAAACATCAGTATAAACTACTGAAAGCATAGATAAGTTTACAATGGTAATTTTCCAACAAAATATCATCCTAGAATAATGATTGGCTTACAATTCATCAATGGTCTGAAAATTAGCATCCCTGATCATACTACCACTGCTCAATATCAATTAAGAAATATTGAAATTAAATAAAACCCAAACTAATTAGGAATTTGGACATTCTATCCATTTTGTACAATGCTTCTGAATACATGTGTCAAGTGACATAATGATTGTTGAAAAATACAATGGCATTTGCCTGAATTTGGCTCACCTAGTCCTTCGTCATACCAGCAGGTACTTGCATCCTTGCAGTGAATATTGCTTCGTACTCCTGTAAATAAAATCATCCAGTCACAATTTTTTGTTTGATAAAACTATTACATAATATGCTACTTAGCCTAACATTAGTATTTTTCCTTTCATAAAACACTAACCTATCTCATAAATAAACAAGAATACAAGTGTCACAATGTGACTGAATGCTTTTCATTTAAAACCCTGTTAGCTGAATAGACAAAGAATTTAGTAGGCCTGCAAGATGAATGAATTTTGTTGCTTGGCAATCTAGGCAGTATATCAAAGTAAAATACAAAAACATTCTTAAAACAGGTGTGTTCTTTATGTGGTAGAGAGAAATACTGAGTGGAGTAGGAGCTTCTACTCACTGCATATCTTGTGAGAGTCAACGTGTAGGGTGAGATCACAGCAATACAGTAAAATGTACAAGCTATGTACAAGTATTATGCAGGCATAGTAAATTGTACACAATGGCAAGTTCCAGGCACCACAGGCCATGGTAGAAAGCCCTTGTCAGCCCTTCCCTTAATTTACCATAGTGCTTGACATCTGAACTGTAAGTTATATTTCACTATGGTTTCTTGATCAATTTTTAGTAGAAAGTATTGGTTCCTAATTTGACACCTGAAGAATATAAAGAGCAATTTCAGAAATTCTTAACTTCTTCTAATCAGTTTTGATTACAGGAACATACCGGTAAAGAGGAAATTTAAAAAATGCATAATTTTTCTTTTGGAAAGATGTAGTTTTGCAAAAATTGTTATGATTATATCAATATTCATTCCAAAAAAATTCTCACTGATTCACCAATTCTCTTTCTCATATTCTATATTTGTAAGTTAACAAGTCTTAAAATATTAACATCTAATCATCATAAAATTACTTTATAATGTGATGTTATCACTTACAAAGAACTAAATTAGAGAAAAGAAGAAGAAAAGAAGAAAAGAAAAGGGAACTAGGTAAAGTAGTGGACAGAGAAGTCAAAGAAAAGGAAAGTGTGAAAAATAAATGATAACATAATAAGGACTCAAGAAGTACAAGAGAATTACACAATTTTGAATACCTTCAATTGACTGGCAAATCCATCATTTACACTGATACAGAAACGTTTCTCCTGTACATAGCGGTAGGCAATCCTGGTAAAATACACATAATATATTCAAAATTTCAAATGTTTTCCACTGGCATGATTTTTATAGTCTTTGCTATGTTTTAATCACTTCAGCATCATTTACTTTTAGTCCAGACAAAATCGGACAAAACATCTAAAAGAATGATGTTTTATGTTAATTCATGTTCACAAGTCCACAATACTTGGAAATGTATGGGATATACCATTGACTTTCCCTTTTAGTTTGTATATATTTGTGCTTTCATGAGAGTCAATATATCAAACATCGCAAATCATACTATTTGTTTGGTCCCCAAATGTTAATAACTGGGCCCTGTAACATAAAAATAAACTTTCTATATTACAAACTTCTATTGGATCTGCAACCAACCGTATCTTACCATGCATTGTATCTAGCTGAAACATATAGTTAATCGTAAATTTGATTCATTGTAATTTGAAGGAGATATTATTAAGTTAAAGGAGATACAATTGATAGCAACTCTTTATGTTACACGGCTCTGATTGATATAGGTCTATAAAACCCAAATTACACAAACACATATTATATTTCTAAATCATGTCCACAAGCTACATACCTGTACTTCAGTCCATATGTTTCCATTAGATAACCTATAACTAGTGCAGCACTGTGAATAAATGAACAATAAAGAACAGATGTCACAATCACAATTAATCAAGTTCATTCCCTAGGGCACTTGAGATTAAAAAGCTAATTACAGCTGTCATTTTCTAAATTACTTCTTTATACAGAGCAAATTGGATGAAATATGTTGGGAACATTTTTTTTTTCTCTAATACTGTGTGTCTGTGTAAATAAAACAAGGGAATATCAACAAAATATAGAGTTTGGCTTGTGTTCATAAAGATTCACTAAATTAAACTTAGTCCACAGATTTATGGAGCACCAACCATGTGTCACCTTTTTTTCCCTGTACAAATTACTGTAATTTTGTAATAAATGAACTAATGAAATGAGTCCAGCTATGAAATAACAATAACAAAATTATTTCATAATGACACATCCTTTGTTTTCTTAGTTACATAATTATGATAATTTCTGTGGCATGAATATGTTGACATTTGGCACACCATGATAAATCTGAGGACTAACTCTTCTAAATCAGCTGGGTTTTAAACCTGGACTACAGATGGTCCACCTTTATAAATACAAGCCTATGACTGTTTGATGTTTTCCAAGAAGTGATGCAATGAGTTTACAAAATAACTCACCTTCTTGATATACCAGCATTGCCATGTACCAGTATCCTTCCTCCAGATTGTAAACACGAGTCAATGAATCCCTTCACCTGCAACAAAGTAAATTACACTTGTGATAAAAATGCTTTAGACAATCACAAAAACATTATTTAAGTGATTCACAAATTTTAAAAGTGCACTGAGTAAAATTTAAAGTGCACTGAGAAGAAAATTAATTTGATGTGGTGTAATGACCTTCATGCTCTATTTCTAAAAACTGGCATTTACACTTACAATGCTTGATTAATTTTGCCAGGCAGTGCATATGGTCATATAAGAAACTGATTTGAGAGAGCACATAGGTTACACATTTTTGAGACAAAGAGTAATATACTTTTTAGGGGAAAAAATGATACACACTATTGTAGTAAGTTGCATTATGATACAATCCACTGGTGACATATATTACAATTCAAGTACTCTAATATCAAATTGACTGATAACTAACATCAATATACAGAAGCGGTGAAGGCAAGCAAAGTGAATAATATGGTGAGGATAACTCTTTAAGATCTTACTGTAGGTATATGTCTGATGATATTTTCCATGCAATTGTCAGCTACATCAAGAACTAAATACCTGTAAATAAAAGATAAGTACTTCATTCAGTAAAATACTAATGTCATATAGTTACATCAGGGACTAAATACCTGTAAATAAAAGATAAATACTTCATTCAGTAAAATACTAATGTCTTATAGCTACATCAGGGACTAAATTAAATACCTGTAAAAAAGATAAGTACTTCATTTAGTACAATACCAATATCTTCTTTTTTTGTTTTTACTCAAACCAATTGTAAATCACACCAAATCATTGTCTTAATTTAATAAAGATTGTGTTTAAAAAGAAGCTATCTAATGACAACTTAACATGATATTGATTGTTATTAGAGAACAATTTGGGCTATCTAAATGCTTAGAAGAGACAAAGTTATCAAGATATTTTTTTTCAATTTGGTCTCTATTTCGATACCAAATCTTTTGAGGTAGTGCTCTATGCACATATCTATAGCTTACATAGAAATATTAAATGATGTCATTGACTCATTGTAATATTTCACCATAATAAAAGGAAAAGTAGTTACTAATGTAAACAAGGTCAACATAACTGAAAGAACAGTATTAAGAATCTTCAACGAAACTATTAATTGAAGTGAGACAGTTTTCATTATTACTTTAGTAACTATTTACAAACATGCTGGTGTCAAATCGGCTAAATACTGATGTGAAATTTGTATTGTTGGATATCACCCGATGAAAACCTGGTACCTATGTTAAAGTTTGCACATTAACTTACCGGAATCTGTCTGGAAAGTTTGGTTTAATGATGGTTGCCTCTGGTGCCTGTCTTATACAAAGGACATGGGTTATACCATGCTCTAAAAGAACAGGTAACTATTGAAAAAGAGAAATAAGATATAACTGTCAGGGGTGAAGGTTTTGGAGAAAACAAACAAAAAACACATTCATTATTGGAGAGATCAGAGAGAACACTGAAGGAATTTTTTTTTTAGAAAAAGCAAATTTTTTTCAATTCCAACCAAAAAAATTTCAGTGTCTTTGATTCAAATGTACACATGATACTTCAATAACTCACTCCAGAGATAGCACTTGAACAAATGCACCCCAAATATCCATAGATTCTCTAAACATAGATAAGTCCACTTTGTGCATTTCAGAATCATCACTGCCAAAGTGATGAGGGTGCTTTATTATAACTTTTGTCTTTGCCCTCTTGAATTTTTGTTTGTTCCACCTGTGCATCATAAAATGTACGGCCGGAGCATAAATGAATCTCTGAAGTGGCTTATTAAATTAATAATTGTTTCAAATTAATACCTGTCTGTGTTGTGAGTGTGAAGTATATGATCAAACTAATTCTTACCTTGCTTCTTTGAGCGCAGCATATGGTCCTAAATATAATCCAGGGAGTATTTCCTACAAAAACAGAACATGTATCTATAAATAGCAATCTAAAAATACAGATATATTGTGTTCAAGTCAAACATGAGTACATTTTGATGCCCATTTGATACAAACTAGTTTGTAAAAATAGATGTTGAGATTTTGAAATGTTCCATAATCTTTGTGTCATAGCCTGCATTGATAGCAGCAGCAGTTCTAAAGGTTTTGGGTTCAAGCCCCCTCCCCCCTATAGAAGAATCCTTATAATAAATTCATTTAAGCATGGCACATGTAGGAATTGAATGCAAAAAAAAGCCCCAACCCCCCCCCCCCCCCCACAAAAAAAAACTATAATAATAATACAAATAAATAAATACAAATTAAAAATGTAATCTAATTTAAAAAAGAAAATACTTTCTATATCAGTTACCTGCATCTCCCTTCTCCTAGTGTATACCCAGTCCTGCAATGATATAGAGATGTGCATTGGAATAAAATAAAGCTTTCATCAAATTACAACAAGACTCTAGACCCATTTTTATCATTTTACCATTTACTATTAAATGTACTGCATGCTTCTATCAACTGTCCTGAACCCTTGGTTTAGCAAAATGGCATCACCTAGATTGAATCTACTTTACGTACAATAGTTGTTGCTATGTTGGGCAAACTTCTGGCAAACTTTCAAGTCATCAGAGAATTTGTTGTTTATACGGTATGCATACAAGGTTTTCTAACCGTGTTCAAACTTCTGCATTGATTTAGCACACAAGATCGAGCGAAAATACCCCACCCAACAACCCCTCCCTCTCTCTCTCTCTCTCTCTTACTCCACCCCTCCTCTCTCATGCTCTTACCCCCCCCCCCCTCTCTCCTTCTTTCACCCCCCCCCCCCCCCCCCCCCCCCCCCCCCCCCCCCCCACCGTTTCTTTTGTGTCAATTTCTCTCTCCCTTTTCTCCTTTCTTTTTTTTCTTTCGCCGGCCATTTAAATTCACAGAGTGGTGATATTAGCTTACAGTAATAACTAAGTGTGACATTTGAAACCAAACTCTACCATCTCAGGAAAATTATCTTGGAAATTTGGACATAACACTACAGCGCCGTTCGCTAATTAACATGACGTGACTTTGCTTTCCACACAATTATTATTACGAATGGGACTGACCGACATTAGAGCGATTAAGGGCCGAACATCTACATTTCTTATGTATGATAATTGTATCTTTTCGCAAAATGCTCCGTGGACTGTTATAAATTTTGAAGTTTAAAATATGTATATCTTACCCTTGGTTCTTCATCAGAGGTGGGTATTTGGGGGAATTTTAAGGTTTGCAGAAGGGTGGATAGTGTAGCTTCTGCCATGATCCCGAATAAGCTGAACATATCGTCTAATTTAGAGGATCAATCTCTCCAGCAAGCTTACTGAACTGTGCACAAACAAAACAAACTTTTTTCTCCAGCAAGCTTAGTAAACTGTGTACAAACAAAATAAACTTTTATTTTCGTGCCCGATATTTGCTCAACATGCTTTTGTAGAAACAATTCAAGTTCTATAGATCTAGGGGGGAATTCCGGGGGGGGGGATCGGGAGGGGGGGGGTACTCAGATTTGGTTTGGACGGGGTGTACCGCTGAAGCCTCGAAAACAGGCCTACCCATGGTTAAGGGTCATTTGGGGGGATTTTCTCGAAATAAAGCCCATTTCTCACAATTTTGAAATTTTAAAAAAGCGGACCCATATTTCGGGAAATTTTTGTGAAAATAGGACCCATGTTCGGGATTTTGTGTGTGTGCAAAAGTGACCCATTAGAATGGCACACCTCCGTATGTCTCGATATGTGAGTACTCCCTCCAGACAGGGGGGAAGGGATGTCCCTCCAGACAGATTTTTGACAAAGATAAAGAAATGCAGCCATACTATGATATAGTAAGCATGTTTGGAATCACTGCAGTTGCGTATCTGGGATTTCGTGTCATGGGGGGGGGGGGTGTCGCGCCACTCCCCCACCCCCCCCCCTTTTAGCATTTTGATATTTGTAGTCATGCACTTTGGTGCATAATAATTTTTGTGTTTTATTTGACTTGAAAAGGTCTTCATGCATGATTTAGGAAAGCTAGTAGTTCCGCACTCTATTGAAAAGAAGCTATATGGTTCAACCCTATACATAATCATTTAATTCAATTCATTCAATTCATTCAATTCAAAATGGCCTTATAAAATACTTTCATTGCGGCAAAGACATAATAATGACACAGTGACAATTGATAATATATATATATGATATACGAGGAGACAGAAGCTGTCCTAACATTGACAGAGAGGGTAGAGAAAATAAGGTGGAAAGAGTTACTGGAAGGAGGATGGTATAGAGGGAAGAAAGAGAGAGGGAGGGGGAAAAGAGTATAGGGGAACACACAAAAAATGGATGCAGTTATTTATCATGATAAAATAGATACACTGCCTTTACATAAATATTCTTATACTCAGCTAATTTATAATTTCAATTAAAAGTTTGAGACTAAATAATTCTTTGTGAATTGACACATTAAGGAAAAATTTGTGATTAGAGAAAAGATAAATATTGTATTTGGATTTGCAAACATATTGATAAAAATGGAAATGTTAGTCATTCAACTACATGTGAATTACTCATCTCTTGTTTTAAAGTTTTGCTTAATATTCGGCCTTGAATAAATGTGTTACTAATTTACTACTTAGATTTGAAATATATAGGCCTTCCCTTGAAAGTTGAAGCATAGGTAAAAATATGTAAAATTTGATCTGTCTAACGAATGATGTGTCAGGTAAAAGTATTTCGAATTAATATTGAATTCGTTGAAAGTTCTAGAAATGACCGGCCGGGGATAGTGGCTGCGCAGTCATAGAGAAACAGATTTGCAAACCAGTATAATATCCGCAACAAGGCGCGTACGCAGGATTTTTTCAAGGGGGGGGGGGGGGGGGGGGGGGGGGGGGGGGGTTTTAACATTTATAAATCGGGCCGAAAATTTCGCAACGACTCAGCCAGCCGCTGAATAAGCGGGGGGGGGGGGGGGGGGGGGGGGGGGGGGGGGGGGGGGGGGGGGGGGGGGAGAGGACACATTTTTTTTTTTTTTTTGGTCTCGAAATTTGAAAATTTGACATTTTGCTCCGTTGGGGGGGGGGGGGTAAGGTCAGCTTTTTAGGTCAACCATGGGATTTTTTTTTTTTTTTTTTTTTAATAAAAAAAAAAATAAAAAAAAAAAATCCAAAAGGGGGGGGGGGGGGTTTTGAGAAATTTAGGGGGGGTTTACACACAAAAAATTATCAAAGGGGGGGTTTTAACCCCCCAAACACCCCCCCCCCCCCCCCTGTGTACGCGCCTGTCCGCAACCAATATTGTCAATAAAAGCACCAACAAACATAACAAAACAATCAATACATTTCATAATTATTATATTGGTTTTTTCCCTGTCCGTTTTTCGAAAAGATTTATTTTCTTCTCTCCGAGGGGGGGGGGGGGGGGGGGAGGGAGTGGGGGTGGGTTAAAGTGTTGAAATGTTTCGCCCACTCCTAAGGCTAGCTTCCGGTGTCCATAATGATATATCCATAATTTAAAGATATTCATACAACAGAATAATTGATTAATATAAAAAACGAGAGGTTATACAAAATTTAATGCGATAGTATTCCATTTTTCCAAGGTGATTTTTGTAAAGGATTTCCCATTTAAAAAAAGAGAACCTTTTTTTACGAAGGCTCACCTATAGTTTAAAAAAACAACCCACATCCCCCCAAAATTATTTGAGAGAGAGAGAGAGAGAGGTTATATTTAGCGATGCTAGACACAGTAAATATAGTTTTTAGATTTCAGATTTGAAATTGTGATACAAGCCTATATGTAATAATGCCGTTATGGATTTAATGGAATGGATCTAGGCAATATCTTTTCTCTTACTTGTGTCTACTTCAGTGTAAGTTCATAGCTCTTTTTGCAAAGCTTCTGCTGAACTTTGGAACAAACTACCTTTACATGTCAAAAACTGTCAGACTGTCAACCAATTCAAAACTTGTCTTAAAGGTACTATGTCCCTTTTGCAGCTGCAACCTCAAATTCTGTAGAACTTTGCAGGACTTATGAATATGTCATGTATGTCCTATCTGTGAAATTTAAATGTTACTAGTGTCCTAATATTCATATTATGCAAGGAAACCTGTTTACTTGCTAAACTTCACTGTCAGACACTATTGAGTGACTGACTGGCTTTTTTTTCTTCTTTTGATAATAACATACATAAAATGAGCTGTAAAGGGTATACATGAGCATTTGTCTACATCAATAACCCACTTCTTGTGATGGCCAAAATTAAACTGATTGAATCTTTGCGCAGCATAAAATGATGACCATTCAGTACAATGGTCTGAAAATCAAGACTATACTTATTGGCTCTATAGCTCCTAAGTCAATTTGACAACTAATAGCCGTTATTTTCCCACTTGAAGACATTTTCAAGCCCCACCTATTTTTTAGGGAAGTTCCAAATTAGTATTATCTGTCAAATGCTGTTTGAATTTAACCGTTTCATTTTTTGGGCCTGCAAATGGGACATAGTACCTTTAAGACCCATTTATTCAAAATTGCTGTTGATGATTAACTTGCTCTGCATGTATTGATGTATATTTCATATGAGTTGTAAATTTTAGGTTTATTTGTAATTTTTTGATTAATATATAATTGTTTGTCATTTTATTTTGTTTGTTATAGAGACTTCGGTGGCCAAGCGCATTATCATCAGCACCATTTTATTATTGGCCTACATTTATTTACATATCAAATTTGGCTTGATGCAGACAATAATTTCAAAACTAGTTGTCACTTTTGTCAGACTCTTTGAATGCTTCTTATCACCTTCTTTACCCTTCTTAATAATACTTCTCTTGTACATTTTATAAGCTATACGGCGGGCCTTCGGATCTCCGAGCCATTTATGATTCTTAGCATGACAATCTAATTACCAGAGTGAAGCATTAATTGTTTATTCTTCGTCACTGTTTTTGAAAAACGGAATTTTCGACCTATGAAAGTTTGGATGCAGTATATACCTCTTCATCATCATTTATCACAGAAATCCAGCAAGTGTTCATTTTAGCATCTCAGCACTGACCATATTATTGTGCGTTGACGCTACCATAATACTCGCATGTTTCCATGCGAATATTTCAGTCTCACTTTTGTTTACATTTGCACTTGTAAGTCTATCATCATCACGAGATTGAAAGGATTTCGCAAACTTACGGATTCGAAAAACATAGAACAAAACCGGATTGTGGTTCACTTGTTTGGATTTATATAATAATATCTACGTATCTGAGGTCCATATGAAGAATTCCAACAGTCACTAGAATTATCTGTAGTCTAGTAAGTATTTTACCATTTTACCATTTTCATAGCTATTCCGTATTCTATTACTATCAGTGTGTGTGGAGAGTGGAGACTTCTTGGATGCCGCTTGAGGCGCGTGCAGTGTTGGGTATGGTGGATGCCGCGGAGTCGATTCCGTGTATCGTAGTCTGCACAGCTGCAGGGAGTCGCGAGGCTGACATAATATAGTATAGTATAGTATTAATGACTGCTTTGAGAGAAATAGTTGTTTTATTACGCTCAAGGGAAGGTTAGAATTGTGCTATTCCCGAGGCTTGCCGAGGGGAATAGCCCAATTGTAACCTTCCCGAGAGCGTATGAAAACAACTATTTCTCGAATATTAAAGCAGTCATTAATACTTTTATATGCCAAAAAAAAAATAGACTAAAAAATAAAAAATAAAAAATACTTTTTTTTGGTCGAAGATGAGATTCGAACTCTTGCGTACAAAAGGTGATGTGTCTAAAGTCAGCGCCTCAGACCTCTCGGCCATCGCGCGTTGTTAACATGTATGGCAGTTTTGTACAATATATACATTAAAATGGATTGAAACCGGCTTCGCGTGTGATGAATGCTTCGCAAAAGCTCCATATACGGACTCTTCTTTTACTTTTGCAATGCATATTGGCACGAACTTAGATCAAGATCTATCGGCAGATGTTGTTTTTTTGTTTTTGGAAGTTTATTTTCGTCTTCATGTCAACAATGCAAGATAAAATTGTCGGTAAGATCGATCGAGATTCAATTGTATTGAAATTACCGACCAATCCTTCGCACACATACGGCATCCTCCATCGCTCAAACCATTTTTTAACATGTAAACCTATGGGGTAACCATGGAGGCTGACCAACTTTTTTTAATAACCATGTTTATTAAAAATATTGAAATGTTTTATGCATGGTTACCGAGAATTTTACAGGAACAGTTGAAGTTTATGAATGCAATTCGACCAATCAGATGGCTGGATTTCTTAAGTGAGGTATATAATGACAAATAAGAGTGACAGATCGACCTATCGACCTTCACTCAGCCGCAGGTCTATGTTTAAAGGTAGATCTAGATCTAATACAAAGTTTTGGGAGATTTTGAAAATTAGGTGGATAGTGATTCTTTACAATTTTGATATATTTGGATGCCCCTGTGGATGAATATAGATCCTAAGTAAGCCCTAGAAAATTTAGCCCCTAAAACACTTCTGCTTTCGAGAAAAATTGAATATAAAAATTTACCGGTGCTCCTGGTAAATTTGATAAATTTCAAATAGCACCTAGACTACGGCCGTACAATGGTAGCTGTGACCATGAAAATCTCAAAATATGTAGTCGTGATATACAATTTCCAAACGGGAATAGTTAATCAGTCAATTTTAGTCAAGAAACATTGTTTTATAGCTTAATTAATATCTTGACCTTGAGAGGGAGCTATACAACATAAAGAGTTTATTATTTACAGTTTCATAACTTTAAGCTCGATTTCAACTGCGACAGCGATCATTGAATATTGTATTGCAATATGTTCATTTGAACCAAGTTCATGACCCCATACAGAAATTGTATGGAATCTATGAGATTTTGAATATACTAGAATTAGAAATCTAGAGGTCTATATGAACAAACACAAAATTGAAATGTAGATTCAATATAGATTGGCGCATTTCAGTTTGCAGTTGTCATGCAGGTTGTCAAATTTGCTGACAATTGGTGTGTACTGCAAGGTTCTGGAATCATCAAAATGATAAGAAATTTGGCCCAGTCTTTGTAAAGTTACAAGCATTGTACACAGAAAGATGTATATGGGACTACGCACCCGTGCACGACACGTGCGTTTATCTCTCACACACCAATAGATATAAACTAATTTACCAAATATATTAATTAGTAGGCGGTTTTCCGGCAAAATTGTTATCATCATGTATTAGTCAAAACATCTTCTTTCACATGATTGGTAATAAGAGCTTCCATTTCATTTTTTGAAATTGGGGCATTTCCAATACTGGTCTTTACCTTTAATGCTTTCTTTTTTAAACAATTTGTTGTTGTTACAAAAATGTGCTATATGACTGAGAGTTATTGCCAAAACATTGTTAATAGAGCACCTGCATCAAATATTTTTATAAAATATAGTGTATTACCGTAACTGTTTTATCAATTGTCAATTACAATTGGGTGAGTCCGTGTTTAAATAATTGAACAGCTAGGTATTTGCCTCGAGGCCAAGGTAAAGCAACTGGTATGTATATCAAATGATTCTATCCATAAATACAACACCAGAAGCGCACATGAATTACATTTTATATTCTTTAAAACTACCAAGGACAAAAAAAACGTGTGCGGTACAGAGGCCAAGTTCTCTGGTATAGATTAACCAATGACATTTAAAAAAAATTTATAATATATATGTAAAAAGTAATGCCAGTAGGATATATACTGTACATTGTAGGATTGAAAAAGAAAAAAGAAGTCAGTCACTCACTCACTCAATAGTGTCTAACAGTGAGGTCTAGAAAGTAAACGGGTTTCCTTGTATAATTTGAATACTATAGGGCACTAGTTGCTAATGTTCAAATTTTAATAGGACATACATGACATATATTCATTATTCCTGCAAAGTTCTACAGAATTTGACATTGGCTGCAAAAGGGATACACTACCTTTAAATGCCTATCCATGTAGGCCTACATTATGTTTTTGTTAAACTTTATTTAAGTTTGAACTTTTGAAGTACACTTAGAGGTTTCAGAAGTGTTATTTATGGTACATTGTGTTGAAATGAACTTTTGTTGTTGTGCTAAGTACATGTATGAGCAAAAGCTAAAAAGAGGTTTGTTTACAGTCTAATTTACTATTACAAATTAAAATCTCATAATATGACTCATGCAAGAAGAAAGTTTGTATGTTACACTTCCTACAGTATCATTCTTTCTCTCTCTCCATTCTGACTTCCTTTCTCTGACATCGCTGAATTTTGTTTACTCTGATTAGTTCACTACATTGTACATTTGATTCTGCAGTTTTGTTTATGGGTAGATTAGCCTGTTGAATACAATTAGATTTTGGTATTAATTCTCTGTGATTTCCCTCTTAAGATACACATTTTCTTTGGTGCTGTCACCAATGGATGAATGCCTTGATAAAAGAACAAAGAAAAATGCAGTAAATGTGATACCTTTCTACCTGCAATGTAGCCCCCCCCCCCCCCCCCCCTCTCTCTCTCTCTCCCTTCCTCTCTCTCTCTCCCTCTGCCTGCCTGTCTGTTTGCCTGTCCTGTCTGTCTGTCTGTCTATCTCTCTCTTATCTCATTTCCTATTTCACTCTCTCCTTGTCACTCTATACCTGTAGGATATATATCTGTGTATACTGGTAGGTGCACCACTGTTCTATTTTGGACGTTTAGCCAAAACAAAACTGGACGACCAACTTCTGTACAAATAGGAGGATATCACTTCCACTAAATGACGATGTTACTAGAAGTACTCGGTCATTCTATGCTTTGTGATTGATGCTGTTCAGTTTGTAAAAATGGGATGGGAATATCAAACAGAGCAAGAAGGAGAAGACATAATTTCTCCAGTTGGTTTAAGTGAGTATTGAAAATGAAGTGGGTAGGTGGTGGTGATTGTTTGGGTGGGGGGGGGGGGGGGGACCGGGGAAGTCATAAAGTAATGCTGTTTTTTAGTCAAACATTTTGTGTGAATCATATGTGATAGACACTGGAAAGGTGCATATGTACATATATATGCTATTTTTTCATAATTTGTTATGCTGATATCATATGCATTTATTTCCATGTTACCTAAATAGAAAAGATGTAAATTTGTAATTTTATTTACATAGCCATTGTTATCAAGACAAAAGTGCCATCATTAACAAAAAATGAAAATGATATATAGAAAGAAATACAAATATAGGAACATGTTTTAACCATTTTCTTTATGAAGTAAACTAAGTTTTTTTTCTTTTCTCTTCTTTTTTCCCAGGGATGGCGAGCAGGCCAGTATCTATCCTGGAGCTGGTGACTCTGAGGGAATATGCCCCTTTGGATTCCCTCTTTCGGCTGCTTCCCAAGAAGGCTCAGAGAGTACTTGCTCTCAGTCAGGCCAACATTGATGTAGAATTGACGTGTGTTGATGCAAGCAGCGAATTCATTGTGCTAGGATCTAACATCTCTATCGTGTATGTGTTTGACAGGCAGGAGCAGCAGCTAGCAAAGTTGAGATGTGAGGTAAGAAAACTAAGTGTGCTGGGTGGGGATGGAGACTTCTTACTTAAATTAAATGGGAAAGAAGCCCCCGATATTTCCCATAGCAGATAGCACCCCCAGATAATACATCAGATGGAGTCCTTTTTATTTGATGGACATTTCTAAAGGGCTATGACAGAACTTTACACATTGACCTCGAAATAGTTCCATTCTTAAAGAAGGATTTATCAGTCAATGGTTTTAAATTTGGGGAAATTGATTTTATTTTTTCTTCTCTTGTTCATTAACACACATCATACTTGAATGCATGGTAATAGCCTTAGCTGTGTTTTATGTCACAGCTACATCCAATTGATAAACCATCCATTGCTTTAGGAAAGAAGTATTTCCGGCATCATAGTTTCTAATGTTGATATTACTAGCTATGACCTCTAGTTGACATATCAGTAGACCAGTTTTTGTTATTTCTATTTTTTCTGGAAACAATTTATTGACCTTTCGTGATGGGATACAGGGGTATTTGTTGTGTAAAAAAATTGATCTAGAAATAGGAATGCTTTAATCTTTAGCTAAACAATCTTGAAACATTAATTTTGAAATTTCGCTAATTTGTTAAGACTTAAGAGAGCTGTAGTGAAGAGAGTACTTGCCCATGTTAGCTAATAGACTGCATGTAGGATAAATTGCAGAACCCCAAATTAATCAAAATACTACACAAGTAAAACAAATATTGTGCACCTTCCAGAAATGTTTATAAGGAAATAGGAAATGCATATGAATTTCAATATAAAGTAATGGTACCAACAAAAAAACTTTATTCATGCTAATTTAGATAGCCACTAGCAGTAAGCATGCAACTGTCCTTACGTGTATGTATGTACATGTATAAACATATGATACCAGGATTACTATATATGATGAAAGTTTACATTGACATGAAATGCCTAATATGTACCAGCAAGTTTGTAACTACTGTACATGTACATGTATATATAGATCTATAGACCTATTATATGTGATTTTGCCTTCATCAAATCACATTATTCTCCTGTCATTATTAAGCAAAACATGTACAAGAAATACATATATAATGTGAATGAAGGGAGATTTGACTTATACTACTAAGAAGTACAGTAGTTAGTTGATAAACAGATAGCTAGTCTGCAAACAAGCAGATCAGATAGTAAATGACCATGTAGTAAACGGAACTGAATGTAAATATAATGGCCTTCCTGTATCTCTGTTTACAAGGAGATCATGAAGGCAGCTAGTGTGACTCATATCAATCATTTCATACTAATGGAGTTTTCAAGTGTTTGATACAATGGGTAGTTAGTATTCTCTTATCAACATAATTTCTTAGAAAGGAAAATAGGTGTAAATTATATAGCACTACCCACCGAATCACATCATCGAATCACAAAAATTATTGATTTTAAGACAAATATTGCCCTGATATTAATATCATTTAGATATATTCTTCTAGTTGAGATATGTTCCAAACCGTTTAGATTATACTTTCCGATACCTCCACATGATAATTTTAAAAATTATGAAATTTAAGAAAGGTATAAGCTAAAATCATGTTTCACAAAAGCATACATGTGTCAGAATGTATATTGGTCAATGATAATGTATTTTTATTGTATTGAATTGAGATAAATGAATTTATGCAAGGAGACAGAATTGACAACAAAATCCCAGTTCTTTCTTTAATCAGCTGGATGATAACCCATGACCATCACATGACAACATACACTGTACGTCAGTAAGATGTCGAAAGGATGTGGTTTGATACTTATAGAAAAGCCAGTCATAGGGATTTTGTTTACAGTGTACTCAACCTGTAAAATAAATTTGATTAGTTTTTATTCCATTTTTTTTTAATTATAAAGGGGAATGAGACCAATTGTCTATTGGCTATTTCAACACTTTGACAATAGACAATTTTGTATTGTAATCAAATTTAATGAAAAACCTCTGTGAAGTACCATGTTATAAATTATTCCATTCACTTGTTGATATGAATTGTACTTCAATAGTCAGAATGCGAATGGCTTTTCCTATACCTAATAACACATAATGAATGCGATTCACATTCTTGACTATTGAAATACAATTATTCATAACAGGTGATTGAAATAATTTGTAATGAGCCACTTAATAAAGATTTGTGCATTTAATTTAATTACATTAAGAAAATGGTCTATTAATTAAGTGCTTTACTGATCATGCAAACAGTTCATGTGAACATCATGCAGGCTATACAAGTAATTTGTACATTTTAGACATGTTTACTAAATACCAATGCTATGCATACATGTACATCTTTAACAATACTTTCTCTTGACAAATCAATTCCTTGGGAGAGGATTGCTTGACATAATGCAAATTGATTCAATAGAGGTGCTAAGAAGATGATCATTCTAAATGCACCAAGTGGGACATGTCTATGATTAAAAGATATTTGCATGTATGGTGGACATTTGTACCATACATGTATGTGCTAAGTGGTAAGTGTATGTGAAGGGAATGTTTAGTACTTGATTCATGCAGCTAGCTGACCTGTATAACTTCAGATTATTCCCTTTAAAAAAAAAAGCTGGCGAGGTGTAATGACACCTCTTTTTGCTATTAAATTTCATAATTTCTGCTATTAAAGTTTCATTCTTACAACTATTTGTCTTTCTCTTCTTTTTTTTTCTTTTCTTTTTTTTTTTCTTTTTCTTTTTATCTTCAGGATAAGTACTGTCAGGTAACTAGTGTAAAGCTGTTGACTTGCTTGGATCATCAACTGGCTGTAGGGACTTCCAACGGACATGTTGAGATCTTTCTACTTCCATCAAGATCACATGGACATTCAGTACAGGTAAAGCTTGTTCGTACCGATCCTACGTGTACCTTAAATACTTTGTATGTTCAGATCGAGCTAGTAGAGTGTTGTTAAAGTATTGTGTTAAAGTATTTGAGGTCATGCCTTCTGGCTCCCAATAATTGAGTTATACATCATTACAGACTTTCTCTTAGCCTATATACCCTTTAGAAAATTACATGTATATCTGGTCGTTTCTATGTTTGTTATCTTCATTTTGATGTTTTGCACATTCGATGTTGTAATTCTGTTTATCTCTTGCTAAGTTTTATGTGTTTATACTCTATTCTGAATGATTTTGTTTTGATATAATATGGATCACAATAAAAATCTGTTGAACATATTTTTTAGTCTGAGTAATTAATTAATCAAATTCAACGAGCTTACATGCTGCTCAAAGTCAACATGGGCTGGCATCTAGTACAATGAAATGAAATGAAATCTGAATATTCTATAGTGATGAATGTGCCATAAACATAGTTAAAAGGGAGAATGAGCTTATTAACAAAATAGAAAACTGAACTGCAACAATATCTCGAAAGATGAGCAGACATGGTATTCATGGTTTATTATAGTTTTGTAAAGATGCTAAGATTATGTGAGACCATTAATACCTCAGTAGTGTTTACGTAGTACGTACATGTAGGTATATCGAAAGTCCAAAGTCCTTCCCATATGAAGTCATACCTATAAGAGGAAACTCCAAAGGTGAAGAAATATGCTATATAATTATACTGTAAACCATAGATATACTGTGATGGAACTTCACATACTTCCTTTTTCAGCAGAAGTTATATGTTTGTCACTGTTTAATCTCTTCAGTACTGGCATGTTTATCTGTTTATGTTATCAGAAACGTTTATCTCTATGGGTCTCTTTCACATGTATACTGTATGTAATGGCAATATTAAGGGTTTACAGATGTACAGTTGTACATTTACATGTAGATTACTGGATTTTAGCGTTTCTCTCTTCCTTTACATAAAATGACCATATATTGCTTGCTGATAGTACTCATGTGCTAGGGGAGGAATATATATATATATATATATTTGTTTATATACCTCACTTAAGTAATCCAGCAATCTGATTGGTCGAAATTGCATTCATAAACTTTAACTGTTCCCGAAAATTCCCGGTAACCATGGTTAAAAAAACAGTTCAAAATCCCAATAACCATGGTTATTGGGAAAATAGGTCAGTCTCCATGGTTACCCCATAGGTTTACATGTTAAAAAATGGTCTGAGCTATCGAGGATACCGTACGTGTGCGAAGGATTGGTAATTTCAATACAATTGAATCTCGATCGATCTTACCGACAATTTTATCTTGCATTGTTGACATTAAGACGAAAATAAACTTCCAAAAACAAAAAAACAACATCTGCCGATAGATCTTGATCTAAATTCGTGCCAATATGCATTGCAAAAGTAAAAGAAGGGCCTGTTTAATGGAGCAGCCGCGAAGCTTCCACCACGCGAAGCCGTTTTCAATCCATTTTACTGTATATATAAGAAAAAACTGCTATGTATGGGAATAGAGCGCGATAGTCGAGCGGTTTAAGGCGGTGGTTTCCGATACATCACCTTTGGTACGCAAGAGATCGAATCCCATCTTCGACAAATGTTTTTTTTTTTTTGGCATATAAAAGTATTAATGACTGCTTTAATATTCGAGAAACGCCTCGGGGCAATAGCACAATTCTAACCTTCCCTTGAGCGTATAAAAACAACTATTTCTCTCAAAGCAGTCATTAATACTATAATATATATATATATATATATATATATATATATATATATATACATTACATGTATCTGTTTAGAGCCAGAAGGGCATTATCCCATATACTTTGACACTGAGTTAATGCCATTGTGGCTCTGAGAAATGATATTCCTCACATTTCAGATTCTATAATATAATTCAATTTTTGGCCCTACACTATTGTTAAAAACTATTGTTTTGGGGTTATCCTCACTATCAGTTAAGTATTCATAAAATTTGATTATCTTTGACTATTTGGAGACAGCAGCAGTGTAGACTGAGCACTTCGCTCAGTATCAAGCTCAAACACAAATCATAAATGTCTAAATTAGATTTAAAGTTTCTGTGCTCAGTGGGGATGAAAGTCCAAACTCTACATTGTAAATTTTATCTAGCCTCTTTCTGGAAAAGAGATGGCAAACAAAGGTTTCATTTGCATATAACTAATATGATCTTTTCCTTTACATGTATGACAAGTATTCAATTTTTTATGGCTTAGATTAGAGTAAATGCTCTTATCACAAAGCAAATATTAAACCCTAATTTTCTAAAAATGAGTTTAATACAAGTAGAAAGAAACAAGTTAATGTATTTGGTGTAAGAAAACATTTAAGATGGGCTTGGATACATACAGGTACCCATACTGTAGCATTATGCACATCATGATCATATGTATTCCTTCATATATATGTCAAGCTATAAGATATAACCTATTCTTGATTTACACTAGATCATAAAGGCATGATCTACACTGTAGATATTCCTTTTTCTCTGCTCATCATAAACCTTTACAATTTACATTCAATGTGTTAATGACAAAAGGATAAGATTTAGCCACGCTTTACTATCCTTTCCTTCCCACCTTCCTTCCTCAATCATTCTTTCTGGCATGAGTGTACCACATTTAATCCACATTAAATGGTGTCTTATTTTGTATATTATGTTTTGTTGCATAGAAAAAAAATCCTGATAAATTTTTAAGGTGTAAACATGGACTTGAAAAGTCTTTCATATTCTATTCTTCTCTTTCTTTATATTCTCCTTCTTTTCATCTTGTTCTTCCCATTCTGATCACATCTTTTATACATTCTTCTTGATCAACATATTCTCAAACTATATAGTTTTCTCCAACTCTTCCTCCAGGCCAAGAAATTTGTGATAGAGAACTTGCACCAAACCAACCCTGTGACGTGTCTAGAATGGAGTAGTAACGGTATGAAACTCTTTTCTGGAGACAGCCAGGGTAGAGTGGTCCAGACAGCGGTAGACTTCTATGAGGTAAGTTACCATCTACTGGTAAATGATATTCATGCAGGTAGAACTCAACAATATATTACGGAGTTCCAGTAAAGACCCCCATATCTTTACTCAGGACCCCCCCCCCCCCCCAAAAAAAAAAGGAAAACAAATGTAATTACCCTCGGTATGGACCTTATGTAAATAAACCTACAATACTTTGCTCCAAACTAAGGAAAAAAAGCTTGTGTGAAGCCCTGATAATAGGAATAGAATTAGATTCATGTTGTTGAAAGTGCAGGAGAATGAATGTATTAGCAAATGAGAGAATGTGAATTACCTAAAAGTATAAATGGTAATTGATAGTCTTCACTCTTCATATCAGTTAGGTTTGCACAGTGAATTTAGCAATAAGTTCATCACATTTAAGCGTCTGATGAAATGGAAAAACAGCTTGTAGAGTTTCCCTGAAGGTATTGTCCTTATGAAGTAGAAAGTTCCATGCATTATTTCTGATGATTCAATGCAATCATTGTTCATTTCCTAGAATCAATGTCAAGCGTCATGTGTGGTAACAGAGGAGGAAGCTGTGGTACAGCTCAGCTATGCCCACAAGAAACTGCTTGTATCCACCACAGCACGCACTATCATCTGCACACCAGAGGATGATAACAAGATAGTACAGGTCGGACAGCAGCCCAGGAAGTCGTAAGTACACTTTGACGTGAATGACTAAACATTGTGTAATTACTAGCATTTAGGAAAGCTGATGAGTTTTAAGGAATACCCCTAATGTGTGTATAGTCATATCAAGAAAAAAATTATATTCATCTAAACAGATTGTCAGGAAGTAGTGAGAGGAAAGACACTTTTTGGGGGGGAGAAAATAATTTATCGTATATATATTTATTTGAAGATATAATCAGTTATGGTGATCAAAAATTAAATTATACAAGCAGTGGGAAATAAATAATACTTGGCTGGACTCTATGGGTCCGTTGGCAAGGAAATCTCTTCCATCTAGATATACTTTTACAATTCCTGTAGAAGATGACTTAGAATTTACTAAGTAAATTACTAAGCTATAAAGAACTTTACTTATCTCAAATTCAAATCGTATTTTAGACTCTTACATACATACAACAAAATCTAAGTAAATTACTTACCGATAATCATTGTGACATCACACGGTCGTTAAAAGTAATGCTATAAATGCGCGCTAATATAATTGTGCGCAGGATATGATACTGCGTTAGAAAACCACATGCCTGCCAATTAAGGCCTCCAAATAATTGGCTTAAGTCTGATAGGGAGCTGTCTTGAATTTAGGGTAAAATACTCATCCAAAAGTTTGAACTGAATACAAAAATTAGCCAAGTATTCTATCTAAGCCGAATACTTCGTAAAATACTCATATTTCAATCTTAAGTATTGAATTGAATACCAGCCCTGTAGCATATCTTAGTCTTCACAAATTAGTCCAACTTTTCAGTTTCAGCTAGGCGATTCTGCCCAAACTTCTGATCCTGTATTTAAAATTTTTGCCAATGCAAGAGCTTGTCTTTCTTCTTAAAATTAGAAATAAATAATTGTTTGACAATGAACATTAACGATAAAATGAATAACTTTGGTTCAACAAAAAAAGTTCAATGTTAATTGGAAAGGTTTTGGTATTATGTTTCTCATTATTTTCTCCTGTTATAATTTGTTGTCAAATTTTCATGTCTGTACATGATAATGTTGCATTGATAACATGGCTAATTATTCTGTAACCAAGTAAAATACATATAATTATATACAAAATATAAATATGTTTTGCCTATTCATGAACATGACATATTTCAGGAGAGTATGGGAAGCATTGTCAAAGACCAAATTTGATTGGATCAGGTAGGTAGAACTGTTTGGGAATCATTATTAAGTGTGGCTACTTCTATGACAAAAGAGCTTGTATTCACTACTTTTTGATACCCATTCTGATATGTCAAAAATATATGATTACGGTATATACTGTGTCATAAAAGGTATCTTGCTTTCACCTACAAAATGAACACACAATATCTTCATCCTGGCTCAATGTATAAATGCTAGACTAGTTTGGTTTCCATGGAATCTTGGAGCACTGTAGTACTTGGTCTACCATAGCTGGGGGAGGGGGGAGGGGGGTGGCATCTGAGAACATAATACAGTGTAAGATGATCCCATGTCTTATATAATTAGACAGGTGCATGGTGGTTCCTCAACTAAAGTGGGAATATTCAACTACATTATTATATGTGTATATTAATATTATTAAGCATACTTGATGGCTCCCATTAATGGCCTCTGACACTTTCATGTTCACTTTGCTTATATCTCTCAGATTCAGTATACATATTTAATTGACCCTTTTGCCTTTTATCTCTATCTTTGAGTCAAACAAAGAGCATAAATTCATAATTGTATTCATGATGTCAGTTAAATTAAAATGTAATGCCAGTATGTATTACACATTATCATGTTTTGTTAGCACTTTCCTTTTTATATATTGCTTTCATTTCCTATGTAATCATGAGAAATATGACATGAACAGGAAACAGTTTTTAAAGCTATTTTCTAGTTTCAGTGTGCAATATAATTCACATTAGAACTAAGAGGCTATATATTTAATACATGTAATGTTGTAATTCAGCCCTTTTTATGATTACAATCTTAAGTGGCATACTCTTATTGTGTGTATTATTTCTCAAAATAAATGTTTAATGATGTGTATTAAATCTTTGATATTGAAGCAAATAAGTTACATGAAAGTTTCTTTTACATAAACTAGAAATTAGAAATTCACAAATCTGCAAGAACCATTTGAAATATACAGCTGACATTTCATTGTGCCATGTTGTCATCAAATAAATACAATTAGCAGTTCCTTTTACCATTTTTTTTTGGCAATGTTAAGATTACATTAATATTAAGTAATGTAGCTGTTGACCAGGAAGAAAAAAAGGAAAAAAAAAAAAATGAAAATTTCTATGCCTTCTGCTCTAGCTCTCTCTCTCAGGATTTTGTTCTCAAGGTGATCATCGTTGAATGGTTATGATGCTCAGTTACTTGTACCCTATAAATTAAAACATCCTTTCTTTATTTCACATATACTGTTCTTAGCATCACCAAACCTGACAGTTATTGCAGTAAACTATTATCATGGAAGACAAAACACGATCTGTAAATTTTCCTTCTTATTTGTATCATTTGACAGCAATATACATGCTCATGCACTGTATCATCAAGTGTCATTCTTTCATTTACTTCTTTCTGCACATCAACATGGGTTTTATAGCTACATGTGTATGCTTATAAATATGCTAGTGGACGTCAAAATATCATAAATACATTTCATATATGTATTTTCACTAGTGAAAAACACCTGGAAAATATTGCATAACATTGCAATTTTGGAAAGAGAATAATCCTATATCCAATGAATTACATAATTGCTTCTGTGTTAGTTTGAAGAAAAAATAAGCAATTGAATTGAACAGATAAAAAGAAACATGCTTTTCATAAAGGCATAAGTTCATCTTATATCTTGGAATGATATAACACCTGTATGCTCTGGAGGTAAAACATTCTTATGTTTTCTATATTGTTCTTTTAAACTTCTTCAAAGTCAAGAGTCAATGTTATTTTTGGAATACTTTTACCTGTGTAATTTGGAGGTGAATGTCAATGTGATTGCATGGAATAACATTTTTAAAACTTCCTACATGTGTACATGTATGTGTATAGTATGCAATGCTATGACAATTTTAATGTGTCCTTGTCCTGTTGATTTCATATTACAGCAAAGGTAGCTATGGTGCCCACTTTGTGCCAGGCCTCTGCAAACCCAGCGATGCCACCACCTACATCTCCAGACCGGGCTGGAGACTATGGCACACCAACACCGAGGGGACTGTCCTGGAAACCATCATGTTCAAAGACCTCATCAGCAAGGAGCATCCGTCGATCGAACTGCTTCCAGATACCCCACCTGAAATCATCCCACCACCTACCGAACTCCAGCTTGGCCACCTGTTCCCGTTCAGCAATGGCCTGCTGGTGAGCTGGTCTCTGTCGGCCATCGTGATCCTGCAGCCCTTTGGACCGGAGGGGGCGCTAGTCGTTGGCAGTAATTTTGGAGAGCTTGGAAACTTGGTTTCAGTGGCTGTGACCAGGCATGAGATATTTGCTCTGAGGAAGGGATGTGATAGATGTCTGGTCCGCATTGCTACTGCTCCTGAAATGAATCTCACTAGAGGTAGGTATAGCTGATAGATTGACTGACTGATGTTCTCTTGATATAATGAGTGTATTTCAAGGATGTACAGAAAAATGATTTTAATATAAGAGATGGTTTGGTATACCTAGCTAGACTACTCCTCCTGCAAATCTGTTCAGATACTGTTACAAAGTATGTCTGAGTAATTTTTGCTTTTAATAATTATTTTGGTCCACATTCCTGTTGTGCTAGTATACATACACCTGAAATGATTTTGTGTATATTCATGGTACAGACAGCAAATTATGTAGTACTATGTGCTTAAGTTGAATTGTTTTGAAAATGGTGTTCTATTGATTAGAGAATAAATTGATTTGGGGATTTAAATCAATTAACTGAAATATATTTTTCATCTCTTCTTCTTTTCTAGAACCCTCTAAATCAGAGAAGGACTTTGGTAGAATCCAGACAACCAAGCTGAACGTTGTTGATAACCCTTTCCAGATGATCTTGGTTCCTAGTGCACAAGTGTCATCTGACAGAATGACTTCTACTAAACTGAAGAACAAATTCAGCTCCATGCGGGGCTTTCTCAGCAAAGCAGCAGATGACTTGGCTGATAAAGCTGCTGAAACAAAGAATAAAATGGAGAAGAATCTTAAGGGTTCCTTGAAGTTGAATCTTCCAATCCCAGAACAGTCTGAGGACAATGTGAGCATTAAGAGTGATAGATCATCCATCAATGAAGGTGACCAGCAGAGCTCCGATCCAGGGACCCCTGAAGCAATGCTTTCAGATAAATTGTTTGTGTCTGTCATAAATGCTAGCAACATGAGTGGGGAGAGATCCCCAACCTCTCCAACTGCACCGCCGTTCAGAAGCCCAGCCACTTCCTTCAGCAAGCATGCTGATCGCAGTAGATCAAACTCCAACGTGAAAGGAGTGAATGGACAAGCAAGCAGTGTCAATCAGACGAAAGCAGATGGACCTAATACGGAAGGAGTGACTGCGACAGAGGAGGAGAGTACAGCCATAGCTGGAGACAACCCTAAGGAAACCTTCAGCAGTGCCATTGAAGTGACGGCTCTGAAAGGCAGAAAGAACAGTGCTGCAGATAGGGCAGTATCCATTGTAATCACTGAGGACCCAGGTGAGGATCAGTCAGCAAAGGTCATGGAGAACCTGAGCAAAAGACTGTCGTACGCATCAAAGAGTAATCCAGACAATTTTGAGAACATTGGCAGTGGTTATTCATCTAGCATTGTTTTCCAGACAAAGCCCAAATCAAAAACGAGGAAGAAGAAGAAAACAGTCAAAGGTAAATACAGTATATTTGTTTCATTTCTATATTTACACCATTCATGTATCTATTCATTTCAATCTCATTTTTTAAATGATAATTTCATCATTGTCTAGATTTCTGATTGATAATAAGATTTATAAAATGAAATTCAATCTTACATCTCTACATGTGGAAATCATAATAATTTTTAAAGTCATTTTCACGTGTTCCATTGAAATACAAAAAACCCTTGAATGAAATTCATTGGGTTGGTATTATTTTACCATGAGTGGTTTCACATATGATCAATTCCAAGTGTTATGGAATTTCATTTCTAGAGAATTTTCTATATGAAAAAAGTATGTTATAGACATTTTAATGAAAATCTAAACAATGTAAACTAATTTGAGATGCTTTGACTGATAGTTGTATAATGTAATAATACACCTCCACTTTTCAGTAAAGTCACTTGAAAAGCTTCCATCTTCTGAGTCATCTTAGTATTTTTTTTCCTTCCTTTCTGCATAGGCAATAAAGGTGTTGCTACTATTGGTGAGGTTGGCCAACAGTCCCCTTTCAGTAAAGGTCTTGACAGAGATCAACCACCCAGTCCTAGTCCTAGTCCTGCTATGACACCCAAGTTAGGATCTATTCAAGAAGGAGAGGCTCTAGAAACAGGAGCATCCATGAGACCAGGGGTTGATCCAGAGGCAGTTGCAGAAAGGTTAAGAGCATTTCCTGGTTCCTCCATGAGGAACGGCATTGAGGAAGATTCTAACAAGATAGGTGATAGAGGATCCAACTCTGCTCATCCTGAAGAGAGATTGCTTGGTGCAATGAAAGATGGTACATTAGGGGAACCATCGCCAGCACCGACTTCTCCCAAGCTTAGCATCTATACACCTCCTCGATCGCTGAGATCCGATGCTGATGAACTCATGAAAGCAAATATTGCTGAGAACTCTATCAGTGAAACATTAGAATTAAACACACCTCAGAACCCATACAGAATCGATCCTGCAAGTAACAACCCTTCAGACTCTGGATATCCAGTGAATGGTCTTAGATTGGCAGGTACTGGATTGAGCATCAGCCTACCAAGGTCTTTGAACTCTAATGATATGCTACCAAAGAAGGAAGGTGATGAACTGTCCCCAATAGTCAGTCCCAGGTCGCCGAGGTCACCGAGGTCACCAAGACGGACGTCTGCTGAGGAAGAAGAAGGAAGACAGGCTAGAAGGTTGGGTATTATCATGGAGGACTTTAACTATAATGATGTTCCTGAGGAAGATAAACAACCAAGCCCAACCACCTCTCCACGTCCACTTTCTCCAGCAGCAGCCAAAGAAAATACAGATGATGTAGCTCCATTGCCATTCTTGCCACCAAGAAAGAAGCACATGCTCTTCAATAATGTTATCAGACAGTCTGCAGCAGGTTCAAGACCTACATCTGAGTTTGAGGATATCTACTCTGAGTACAGACAGACAGTGATCATGATGAGAGAGTCTATTTATATTGAAGATCCTCCCAAGCCTGTTCATAAAGAGGATCAAAAGGAAACCGCCAATAGCGACAACTCAGAGACAGAGAGCCAAGAATCTGATGAAGGAGAGGAAGGAGAAACATCGCTACCTGATAGCATACAGCAGAAGCTTGCTGGCAGCTGGATGCAATGCTCCACACCAAACTACATTTACCAGCTTGTAGCATCTGAACGTCACATCTGGTATGTGGACAACCGTGACAAGGCCCACCACAGTCTTACCTCGGCCATCGCCTGTAAATGGAGCAAGCTGAAAGATGCACCCTGCCGCTTGTTGGCGGTGTCCCCATCTGGCAGCATAGTATGGCGTGTGAATCCCAAGACTAGTCATGCTTGCTCCAGTACAGCCATCACCCAACGCAGTCATGTTGGCTACCGATGGATCGATGCCTCCAAGGATGTGTCCCATGTTTGTCTTGATGAGAACATGGCATGGATCATCAAGAACAATGGACAGCTGTGTGTTCATAAAGGCCTCAGTCGAGACAAACCTTACACCAAGGACACCTTCATTGACAGCAATGTTCATGCAGTGCAGATTGCAGCCAACAATGGTGCTGTGTGGGCCAGGACATCAACAGACAAGGTGGTGTACAGAGCAGGAATTACCCTTAAGAAACCTAGTGGTCAGAACTGGATGGAACTGCCAGATGATGAGTAAGTATTGACTTATTTTCCTTCTGTCCAAATGAGTACTGATGATTCATGTTTGGTTTCTTACAATGCAGTTCATTGCAGTTCACACATAGGACAAAATTGTCAAATTTTCACTAATATACCTGCTCTTACTTATAATTCATGTTCAGAATGATGATTGATGAAATCTCTATTGATCCCCTAAGTTTTGGGTATTGTAATGGGCCCGTTAATGGGTCGGTGACGACAAGTTCAGAAACAAAATGAAAACGAAAGAGGCTCGGATATACAGCCCAACCCGACTCTTCTATCGATCTAGCGCCCCCTTTAGGTCAATGTGTTGCCCAAATCAGCGTACCACTACCATATCACCATCATTTACCTGAAAATTATATTTTGAAATGCTTGTATGGAACTCGACTATAGTGTGTAGAATGTGTATTAAAGCTGTATTAATAATTATTATTTTTCATTTTCCCCTCTAAATCTTATACTTTCCTTTTATTGTGCCCTATCTTCCTTTGTCTTCTTTTGCTTCCATCTTCTTAAATGTGTGCTCTTCGTGGTGCCAATGTTCTTTGTCAATATTGTGACTCCATCACTATTGCTACCATGCTGTTTTCCCTTCACCCCTACCCTAATCAAAATCCTGTCTGCTTTCTTGTCTGCTCTTTTCTTCCCAACTTGTCTGGTGTCTTTGGTTTGTTTGTCTGTCTGTCTCTTTGTTTGTCTTCTTTCCCTCCTCTATCATATAATGGACCAGGAACTTGCGGATGGTGTGTATCGCTCTGGACTCCAGGAACACAGGCTGGGCCATCGATGATGGTGGTATGGTGTGGTTCAGGACAGGAGTCACAGCAGAGAAACCCATGGGAGATGACCAGAAATGGTGGCAGGTAATACTCATTGTCAATAATGTAGAGCAGATTAGCAATGTATGTACAACTTTAAACTGTAGAGGAGATGTCACTGTGAAATTTCTTCATTCGTTCGCCATCTATCACACACATTGCTTACCATAAAGTCTATAACTATCATCCTATTGTAGTTAGGTATTGTGTACTATTGTTGTATTGAATTTTCTACAAACTAATCATATTCTTGATTTTAAGTGGATTTGAATCGTTATCAAGAATGTTGATTTTTATATATGTTGATGTCATGGATGACAAGGCTAGTACAAGTGCTAAGAATTGCATGCCACATGTTTGATGTCCTAGGTGTGTATGAGTGAGTATCTGATGGAGGATCCCAATGTGCTGCGTATGATGGTCAACATGGCAGGGTCAGCAACCAAGGTGGACAGAGTGGTCAATTGGCTCAAGAAACAGTGCTACAAGGCTACAGCCATCGCTGCTAACTCATCAAGCGTGTGGGTGTGCAGCTCCTATCACTATAAGACTACACTGCATGTGTCCAGGGGCAACCTTCTTGGTGAGTGAGCTAGGCCAGTGAGACCCAGTGTTAAGGGAAACCTTTGATGAGTGTAGGTGCAAATATGGCTTTGGAGTGAAGAAAGGACCAAAGTTATGCCAAACACATGCATCCTACTTAAGAAGAAGAGAGGGAGAGATGGAGGAATGAAAGGGATGATGGAGGAAAGGAGAGAAGCACGGGTGAAGGGACAGAGAGAAGGATTGTTGGAGAGAGGGAGAGAAAGAGGGAGAGAAGGAGGGAGAAAAGGAAAAGAGCAAGGGAAAGATAGAAAAAGGGGAAGTGAAAATAGAAAGCAAGATGCATGGATGTTCACTTTTTTTAATTCAACAAGAGTTTTTTCTCCTAAGCGTATCATCTTAACCAAGTTTCTGGCAATGTTAGCACCGTGTTTTTAATCATATTTCAGCTGTGCGTTACTGTAAAAGACAAAGACTTTGAATGCTACTGAAATAGATTCAAACTTAAATGAAATTGAATAAAAGATGTTGCAACCCTTTGACTTGTTTGTCCTGAACAGGGTCTCGTTGGGAGCTGTCCAACCCTGTTGGTCTAGCAGCATCAGCTACCTGGAAGTGTGTCTGTGCTTCACCATCGTACGGTCCTAGTGGTAAGTCTTCATATCTTGAGATTTTTGTTCTGTTTTTAGTTACGTGTACCGGTATACATTTATAAGTAATGAGAAGAAATTACAGGCATGACTTAAAACTTTCAGATTTTTCATTTTTCGGTATATCATATCTGCTAATTCAAGCTTTTAAGGTTTCACAAGTTAGGATTTTATTGGGCCACATTGCTTTAATAGATCCGTCTTAGGATTTCTGGATGATGCAATTTGTCATGACTTTAGTATTTAGTATTTTTTGTTTGTCATGCTCTCATTATTATATTTTGTTCCAATATTAAAACATGAGAAACAATGAGATTGTTCCATCAATAATTTCCAGAGACGCTTTTATGCCAATTTTATGAGAAGTGTATCTATTGCTATAGATTGATTTTTTTGTTTTGTTGAAAACTCTTCTCTAAAAAAATGCTCCAGTTCTCAACAATTGTTGGACAAAATGCCATTGCTTCAGCATTTTCTCTTGCTCTCTCCAGGTATGATTTGGGCCCTGCAGACCAGCGGAGAGATCTTCTGCTTCTCTCCAGAGAACCGTAAACCCAACATGGTACAGTCACCTGATCATGTGGCCTTTGAGTACATTGGAGCTACGTCTGACTCCGTCTGGGCTCTCTCAAGCAACTGGGATGTCTATGTCAGGATGAACATCTCTGAACGCTGTCCGGGAGGTACACTGTGGAAGAAACTGAATCTAAATCAGTTTGGTGAGTGTACCTTGTTTTGATAACCATGACAGAAATCAGTTGTTTGTTTATAGAGGTATGGATTCAAATGTATGTCTCAGTGATATTCAGTATGTGAAAAGGGTTGGACATGAATAGAGTTAAATTATTCTATTAAATCAAAACTATCTCAATTTTAATGATTGATTGATTCATGAAGACAGAGAATGGACCCTCATTCCCTTCCATACAAAATTATTGTGGCGACTTGATTAAAAGATTACAGTAATGTAAAGCTTTGAAACCATGCAAAAGCTTGCTCTGTTTAGGCAGTACACACACATAGTAATTCCATGGTGTCCCTTTGTATGAAAAAGTTGCTTTGCCAGTCACTTTTCCCAATCAAAACTTGACCATAAAGTGACCATTTAAGTCATTGTATATGTATGTCTGTAACGTATCCCTTTGCATCCCCATTCTCTCAGGTACCCGTCGCATCGTTCACTTCACCCTGGGCAGTGAGACGGTGTGGGCGGTGGATTCTGTAGGTGACATTCACTTCCGGTATGGCGTCCATCTCCCCAAGCATGATGCCCTCCCTCTGGCCTGGGTCCCGGTGGATGGGAAACCGGTCGGCTATGGCGTCTACTTCACCAATGTCTTCTGTGGTCCTTCCAACAACATAGTATGGGCCATTGACAATAAGAAGAATGTCTACGCCAGGCAGGGGGTGTGCAAGAGTAATCCTATTGGACTCGGATGGGAGCCAGTGGAAGGTATTATTTTGAGTTGTGTTTATCTTCTAAACTAGTTCAAATTTTTTAAAGGGTCCCTTAGTCCTCAAAGACTAGAATGTTTACTGTTGCAATTTAAAGACCTTTGTGACACCCAAACCATCCTCATGTGCCTTAACAATTGATACATAAGGATTTTCGCAACAATCCCCCCCCCCCCCCCATGACAGTTCTGCTCTGGACAATGAAAAGAAAAATTATATTCTAGGTGGTACATGTGGTTGGCTAGGGCGAGAGGGAGAGGGTGTATATGTCTGCATATGGAGGAATTTTTTAAAAGAATCAGAGAAAAGATCTGAAATAAAATATCTGAGGGACATCAACACCAGAGCATCATGTTAATTGCCTTAGAGAAATATCTTTTCAATTTTTTTGCAGTATTGATTAAATATCAAGAAAGTGTGAAAAACATAAATTTCTGATAAAAAATGCAAAGGGTTTTACCTGTTGTTCATCATCTTTTATGCCCCAGACTCAAAAATTGTCAAAAGAGCCTCTTCTAATTTTTTTTCATCAATCAATCATTATATGTGACCAAATCTATGCAGAATAAAGGTTTTTGTGGCAGATTTCAAGAAAATTGGAAAAACATTAATTTCTGAAAAATTGCAATGGGCAGAGTTCATAGGCCAAAAATCGAAATTTTTTCAAAAGGGATCATTATGTTTTCTTCATCAATCCATACTAAATATGACCCCAATCTGTCCAATGATGCACTTTGTGGAAAAAAATTCAGAATGTCGTAAAATTATTAACTTTTAATAAAAGTTGCAATGGGTTAGTCACTTTTTGGCTCCGAAAATTTTCCAAATTTGTTTGTTGTACCAATTTAAAAAAAGGTTGAATTTCGTTATCAATATAATGTCCTAATTCGTAATCTTTGATTTAATTCCAGGTACCCAGGCTACTCAGCTGTGTATGAGTTCTGACACTGTGTGGGCACTTTGTCCTAATGGGGAGCTGGCTTGTCGCTTTGGCATCTCTGCTGATAATGCTACAGGGGACTATTGGAAGAAGATATCAGGCAACTTCAAATATGTGACAGGTAGGATTCATACAGCAGCTTGAGTGGGCTTGTGAGAGTATGGACGAAGAGATACGAAACTAGTAGACCATTTAGTATGTCATTCTCAGTTTGAGATATTGATTTAATATTATTTAAATCAATTGATCTTATTTACTGGGTGTAAGCCACAAATATGTTGAAATAATTGAAATTTCTCCCAGGAAGCATTACATTTATAAAATTTATGATTTAATATTGTATGAAAGGATCGGCTGATAAATTAGAATGAACAATGAATTATAAATCCCATGATCATTCAACTCTGCATCACTCTCTTGAATTAAAGGTATTACAAAGTTTTGGGAAATCTTGAAAAATGGGTGGATAGCGATTCTTTACAATTTTGATATATTTGGATGCCTCTGTGGATGTATTAAAAACACCAGAAATTTTAGCCCCTAAAACACTTCTGCTTTCGAGAAAAATTGTATATAAAGATTTACCGGTGCTCCCGGTAAATTTTGATAAATTTCAAATAACGCCTACGGCCGTTCAATGGTAGCTGCAACTATGAAAATCTCAGAGTATGTAGTTGTGGGATATAATTTCCGAACGACAATAGCTAATCGGTCGATTTTAGTCAATAAGCATTGTTTTATAGCTTATTTAATATCTTGACCTTGAGAGGGAGCTATTCAACATGAAATGCTTATTATTTACAATTTCATAACTTTAGAGTCGATTTAGACCGCGACAACGATCACTGAATATTGTAGGATCGTATATGCTTCCAATATGTTCATTCGAACCAAATTCATGACCAGTACCAAAACTTTGTATTACCTATAATTTTGTTTTGCAATTTTACATGTTGTACTGATTGAACAATAAAGGAGTAAATTTCATGCCCATTCAAGATGTGAATATATGACTGAATCACTCTCTGAATATTGATTTTCACTTTAAAATATTGTACATTTATTACAAAGAAATCAATAATTTAGTTGTATACATATCAATACGAATCATACTGGGCTTTTTCAAATTCAAACTTAAGATGGTTATTCTCAAGCTTGAAGAAAACTTAGTCAAGACCCTGTAAATATTATGGTCATGAAACACTTCTGAAGTCACAGATAACATTGCTTATGTTTATCCCATTTACTTTCTGCAGTTTCTCAGAATGATGAACTATGGACAGTCAACAGTGATGGACGTCTCTTCCATCGACTCACCAAGATGTTCATCCGCAGCTCATCCACCAAAGCTGCATCCATAGAAAGCACTCTACCAGGGGAAGATGATTGGGAGCTACTCTAGACATCTTAGACACTCTACCAGGGGAAGATGATTGGGAACTACTCTAGACATCTCAGACACTCTACCAGGGGAAGATGATTGGGAACTACTCTAGACATCTCAGACACTCTACCAGGGGAAGATGATTGGGAGCTACTCTAGACATCTCAGACACTCTACCAGGGGAAGATGATTGGGAACTACTCTAGACATCTCAGACACTCTACCAGGGGAAGATGATTGGGAGCTACTCTAGACATCTTAGACTCTCTACCAGGGGAAGATGATTGGGAACTACTCTAGACATCTCAGACAAGGATTCTGAGTTCATCATCTTTTCCAAGATATCTGAGACCTATTGCATAAACATTCTATTTAATTTGTTTTACTGTAAAATACACTATCCTGAAATATACACCCACTCGTTTACTCACTCAACACAGTAGCAGTTTTTGTACAGATGCATAGGTGACCTCTTAACACCTACCTACACAGACTTTGTATGCCTTTGTAAAGACCCCCATGCAGAAGCAGATATATTCTGACAATACAGCTGAAGTGGGCTATCTGCCATAGTTGTAAAAAACTAAACAAAATATTGCATACAAATGTGTGCTTGCAAACTGGTGGGTTGGTCATCTATCTCATGAAACTTCTGTAGACGCCTTGATGTATAATCCTTTCCTAATCTTGATGTCAGTAGAATGATGCTGAACCTAGACTCTGTAAGCATCCAAGTGATTCATCCCATCGTGTTGTCATGGTATTACATGATCAACTACTGTGGCATAAGGGGGTGGCTAGGGGTTTCAGGAGCTATGTCAGTGTATTGATCTTGGTCTTTTTAAACAACGTGGCACCAACTGAATAGATATGTATGATATGTAATGTCAATGGAATTTTAGATCAGGAAGTGAACGTCTCCATCACATCATTTTCCACACCTACAACAAAAATTATAGTTTCATGACCTTAAAGAAAGTGATTATTATTCAGGTATTAAATTTAGAATATTTATATATACACATATATATATATATATATATATATATATAGCATTTCATTTCATTGCTGCATTACATATGATCCCTACCGAAAACCTTAGTTGATTATCTCTGCTTAATGTCCATTATTAGTGTCAAAGGTTTGTCGTTTAGTGTAAATGACTATACAAAAAAAGAACCTCTTGTGGGTACAACCTTAATTAATGTAGGCAGTAGAATTGAGCGTATTATTATGATGTTACTATATATAAGTCTTATTTATATTACGCAAAATAATCTGTATTGATCTTGTATGAGAAAGCTGTGGTGTGCATTTCTCTATAGTTTCAAGGCTGGTATATGTCTTGAAATTTAGCAGTACCGGGTAATCATTTTGTGGACAATCAATCGGACAATCAATCATTTATTGCTGCAATTTGATTTATTCAATAAGATAAAAAATGAAATGCTCAAATGTGTATCAATTCACAACAAGTTTCCTTATAAGCAAAAAGATACTGGTAGTATAGATATTTTATCATGATTTAGTTTATGATACTGTGATAAGCTTAGCTTTAACTACAATTTGTAATTTGGGATACCGGTATGCACACATCATTTTTTAACCTTGGTGTAATTTTGTATGAATTCCTTTATATATTGGAGTACTGGCTTGTAACAAAAACACTTACTTCTGGTACAATTAAACCTTGTTTATAAAACAACCTCCTTTAGAACTTGTGAAATTACATATTCATACCATGAACTTGTTAAATCAAGGCTAGAAAATAGGCGAATGCAAAGAAGTTGGACTGGCAAAGTTATCTTGTTTAATGAGTTGGTTATGGCCATGTTCACTTTAATCATATTCCACTGTATTAAAGCCCCACTGCACCCACTAGCTACTTGCACCCTCTATATAACAAACAATGCCTAATTGCCAATTGGTGATCATTGGTCCCCCATGGTCCCCTTTTTTAATGTTAATTGAGAGCTAAATTGATGAGATAACTACCTGTCAGTGACCATGCAGGGAGGCCTAATCCCTCCTGGTCAAACTAGTACAGAAAGCTTTAAATGTGCATATTGCAAACTTATAGTGATGTTAATAATTTGGCTTTCATTACATTTTTTCACATAATCAGTTTGGGAGTTCAATGTAATATGATAGTAAATATGTTATTCAATATGTTTTTGTTTTCCTGCTTTTTTCGTAGAATAAAAACAAAAAGCATTATTAGGGACTGGTCTCTATTGACTGACACTAGAAGATAATACTGACACTAGAAGATAATAAAAAAAAGTAGAAATAGATTGAAACTGAACACAAACATGTACACCTTATACAGGTAATATTTCATTCTCCAAATTTCCCAAGCAATAATACTGAAATCTACTTTTTTGTAAAACTATGTTCCTTTTGTTCATTAAGTATATTAATGAAGCTTTGAAGATGATAGTTATATGTAAGCATATCTTGTTATGTATAGATATTTGTACTCCTTATTTAAACCTTTTTCACATAATGTTCATTTGCAAGTTGAGTTCTTTGTATTACAAGTAATGCAATCAATATAATATACATGTACTCCATATTAGTGCCATCCCATTTAACACTTTAGTAAAGTGTATAATCTTCAGTACTTTTTTGTGTAACCGTAATGTACTTTTGTTTGTTCTTATATGTTTGTTTACTTATCATAAGACCTAGGTACAAGGAAGAAAAGTAAATCAGTATTGGTAAAAAAAAAGACCATTTTTGGAATGTAATCAAATAATAATGCATATGTCTTGTATTTGAAGTGCCTGTTATGAATTATTACATTCAGCTTTTATGATATAGAACGCAACTTTCATACATTAGATGTTACTAGGTAGGACAAATATTAGTTTGCCCTACCTAACAAAATGTAATGCACACAATTTGCATGCTGACTATTGAATTACAATCTTTTGTAACAGGTGAATGAAATAAATGGTAAGAAGTCACAAAGACATATTCATTAAATGTTATTACATTTTGAAAATGACCTATGAACAGGGATATGAAAGTATTGTCCTTCACCTGCATGAGGTTAAAAAAAAATATTGTACTAACCGTGGATTGTTCATCTTGACTTGTTCTGTGTACCGGTACTGCATTTTGTTTCGTTTTATACTTTAGTGATAATTGTATTTGATAATCTCCCTTATGTAAATTGGTTGTATTTTTTAACAAATGAAAGATCTTTTTGGTTTAAGAATTGTGCAAATTATATAAAGGTATATATTTATGATAAAGAACCAATTAAAACATGTTCATTCAGTTTGCCAACTGTGTATGATTTATCTGTCATGTGTTTAATGTAATGTAAAATTTCATGAACAAAGAATAGAGATTAATTTATACATCAACTTTTGATATAACAATTAACAAGAATCTGATAATTGAAAGATAAATGTATTTATTACAATGCTACATATATACATATACAGAGAGAAGCAAACTTTTGTTTTAAATAGTCTTGAAAAGTAAATAATGCAAAGCAAAACAATTGTACTTTAATTTATACAAATTAAAAGCCAGATTTGAAACTAAACATAATTTAAAAAAACCTTGGGCAATTTTTGTCTCGCCTGCGTAGCAAAAAGCGAGACATAGGCGCCGCTTTTCCGGTGACGGCGGCGGCGACGGCGACGGCGACGGCGTCAACATCAAAAACTTAACCTAAGGTTAAGTTTTTGAATTTTTGATATAATTTATAAAGTATAAGTTCTTAGTCAATGAAACTTTGACTATAGGGTAATCAAGTACCCCCAATCATGTGAGTAGAATTTCAGATCACAAAGTCAAGGTCAAATGTCATTTCAGGTCAACAGACTTGGACTATGTTGTAGCATCATCATCGAAAACTTAACCTAAGGTTAAGTTTTTGAATTTTTGATATAATTTTGAAAGTATAAGTTCTTAGTCAATGAAAATTAGACTATAAGGTTATCAAGTCTCCCCAATCATGTGAGTAGAATTTCAGGTCACTACGTTAAGGTCAAAGGTCATTTAAGGTCAACAAACTTTGACTTTGTTGTGGCACCGCATAAAGATGTTCAAAATGCTTCTTTTTCGTTATTTTTCAACCGATTTTGATTCTGATTGTTTCATATGATAGGGCTAGGAGGGGGATTTAAAATTTCTACACAGAATCGTGAAATTCATTATCTATGCTAATTTATGCAAATTTATTCGAAATCATAAAAAAGGCTTCTTCTCCTTCATTTCTTGACTGATTTTGATTTGGTTTGCTTTATATCGTAGAGCAACTTTGGTACACTAAACTTCTACACAGAATTTTGAAATTGTTTTCCATTAATTAATTATGCTAATTTATGCAAATTTATTCGAAATCACAAAAAAGGCTTCTTCTCCTTCATTTCTCGACCGATTTTGATTTGGTTTGCCTTATCTGGTAGAGCTAAATTTGGAACACTAAACTTCTACACAGAATTGTGAGATTTTGCTCTATTGATTATTTATGGTACTTTATGCAAATGAAATGAAATTACAGTATGTCCCTTCCAGGGCATCAAATTTTTATTTTTTGACCAGTTCAAAAGTGTACCACATAAAATTTACGATATTTGTTGTTGCGAGATGCGGATGAGCGCTACGTCATTGACGTTCTGGTTTATCATATTGAATTGCGTTATGCAGGCGAGACCGCCGAGAGCGTTTCCCTTGTTTAATTTTATTATCCTATGTGCAATATGTAGCTAATCTTAATCCAGGAAGCCTGAACACATGGATAATATGACTATTCAAGAGTTTCTATGACGAGGAATTCATTTATGCAATTTCTTACATAGCATAGTTAGCATAATGAGCTAATTAGCATATGTACAATATATTGACTTCATTGTCATTGTTTATCTAAAAAGCCTGATAATGGTGCAATGCAACATTGTAAATCACTTTTTTAAAGACCACACATTAATTCATGAGAAGATATTCCATGTAGATGTAGTACAAGTAGCCTAATTTAACATAATTAGTACATTTGCATATTTACATGATAGGTCTATCGGTAGTTAATCCAGAAAAATTGGGAATGGCAATTTTAATTTTTTTTTTTTTAATGACGACCAATATTTATCTCAGAGGTTAATCATATTGAAACGAAAAACAATAAGCCTTACTAGCATAATTAACCTAATTAGCATATTAATCAGGCAATAGCCTAATGGCCTTGAGAATTTTTGTCCAACATTTCCCACTGTACCAGTGATAAGAGCAGAATAAACAGTCATGACAGAGACCAGTAAGTCATTAAAGATAAAAAGAAATGGTTTGGGTCGACTGAACGGTTATGGAGGCAAAGTATGTTTAGAATGTTGCTCTTTTTCTTCTTTGAGATTAGGTATTGGGGACAGAATTAAAATAATTCCTTGTTTCTCTTATCTGGACATATTGGTACTCTGCAATCTAACAGTGTTTATACTTGGATGCATAGGTAATGAATTACAAAGTTACAATCCTCGCCTATTTAATTTAACCTTGGCGGAATATTGGTTGCAAAGTGGAATTCACTCCAACTCTTCTTCGTCTTGAGAGTCTTTATTAATGTCTTCATCACCTCTGCCATCTTCTGACTTGTTTGGATTGCAACAGTTCACTCCTGACTCGCACTTGCAGTACACAGAGCCAGACACTAGGGACTTTTAGATTTGCGTGGACTGATACGTGTAATGTCCATTCAAGGCAGTGCATTAACAGGACGTCGATCGTAACAATCCACGTTGGCGTTGTGCAAATCTAAAAGTCCCTAATCTCTCATGATGACAGCTGCAGTTGTGTGTGCTGCATTAGACCACCTCATCCACCACCTTCTACATGCAGAGCGAGAGGGAGATTTCGTTTTGCAGTTGGCTGCCATCGAGTACCTCTTGCCTTACTTTGCTTCAGGTCACTTCCATTATGCCCGATACCTCACACAACACATCCTAGAAGTGAATCATCTGATGCCGGCTGAAGCCAAAGCAGAACTGACTTCTGGTGCTTTGTTTGTAGACACCGAGCTGGAGTATGGAACTTGGTTTCATCATAGATCAATTTGGAGAGCAGACTGATGTGCGCATTGGCAAGGATGGACTGAAGAGTTCAACTCTGTCACAAGAACAAGTGAAAGACTGGATTGACGCCTTTCCCATCACAGCATATTATGTCAGACAAGAGGACGAAATTGGATTGAAGCATAAAGAAGAGAGCAATCAGACAGGAGCTTGCTAAGCATTCTCATCCTCTCAACAACCACAGTGATTGCTTATACAGCATTGGAACAGGACAAATTGCCTCGCTTGAAATCAATGTTGAAGAAGTACTTAGCAATCTGCTTGAAATTAATCACACCAGTACATGTAGTCCTGTCGAAACCATGGAGATGATGAAGAAGGAAACCAAAGTGGGCTCCTCTACTGTGTACGACACGGAGACAATCTTTCTGAGATTGATCACACTACAGGCCAAACAAGACACATAGAACTCACTCCAATATATGAATTTGAACCGTGCCCTGTCCCCTGTCCTTAAAAATGAGTTTGGATGCCTCCGAAAGGGAACCAAATCAACACTTGTCCACAAGCTAAGCATATCACAGAGTGAATAATCTCCTACTGAAGTGGTGGTCATTGATGCACAGCAGCTGCTTTATCATGTCGTGTGGCCAGCTCAGCAGGCTATATCCCAAAATATTGTATATTTTATCATTTTGTCAGAGTGACATCTGGATGTGATGGTTGCTATGGGTGATATTATGTGGTAAACGATGTTAGGATGAACTGTGTCTGTTCTTGCTGCATCCATGAAGAAGAGACTTGACAAGTTTAGAGACTCAAAAAAGTGCTTGTGTTTGACAAATATGAAGAGCTTTCCCTTGCCGAGAAGTAATCATGAAGAGTAAGAACAATAAGAGGCAACTTTCTGCACTCTTCTCAACATTTGACTATTATATGGAGAGCAAACAATCGTTGACAGTCAGAATGATGGCCCGTATGGACATCAGGATGCAGATGTCACAGTAGTAGTATATGTACTTCAAGCCGCAAGCGATGCATGACCACTAAGACATAAGGGTTCTTAGCGATGACACTGACATATTTGTATCACTGGTGTATTGGGTGTACAAGGCAGGCATTACCTCGGCAGTTCAGATGGAGGTCTGTCATGGGGATGTTATGTCAATCAATGCTACATGTGAGAAGCAAGGGCAAGCCTTCAGCCCTATTAAATGGGGATTTTGAGGGACTCGACACTGCCTTGGGCGAACTTGGAGCTAGTCACTCTGATCTGATAGCGGCCGGCCGGGAAAGCTTTCGTCTGCGTATGGTATGGCCTTCCTGTAGGTCCATCCATGGCAGAGGCACGGTATCAGTTGTACACACTGAAACATGGAAAGCCTCCTCAAAGTCATGGCTTTTCCACCAACACATGCAAACCTGAGGGCCCATCATGCAGTCATAATCAAAGCGGCAAACAAAAAGGAAGCACCTAGACTAGATCTCAAAAGTTTCGGTTGGGAGATCAAAAACAGGATCCCCGTTCCAGCCATTTCAAAACAACCTGCAGGATCAAAGGAACTTCAACTAATTAATGCCATTTCCTGCAATTGCAAGGCCGCAAGAAAAGCATGCAGCACACACAACTGCAGCTGTCATCGCGAGAGATTGTCTTGCTCTGTGTACTGCAAGTGTGAGTCAGGAGTGAACTGTTCAAACGTGTCTGACATAATATGCTGTGATGGGAAAGGAGTCGATCGACTCTTTCACTTGTTCTTGTGAGAGAGTTACACCTTTCAGTCCACCCTTGCCAATGCGCACAGCAGTCTGCTCTCCAAATTGATCTCAGGAAACTGAGTTCCATACTCCAGCTCGGTGTCTCCAAACAAATGCACCAGAAGTCAGTTCTGCTTTGGCTTCAGCCGGCATCAGATGATTCACTTCTAGGATGTGTTGTGTGAGGTATTGGGCATAATGAAAGTGGCTTGAAGCAAAGTACGACAACAGGTACTCGATGGCAGCCAACTGCAAAACAAAATCTCCCTCTCGCTCTGCACGTAGAAGGTGGTGGACGAGAAGTGTCGGTCTGATGCAGCACACACAACTGCAGCTGCCATCATGAGAGATTGTCTTGCTTGGTGTACTGCACGTAGGAGTCGGGAGTGAACTGATGCAATCCAAACAAGTAAGAAGATGGCGGAGATGATGAAGACATTAACAAATATTCACATGACAAAGAAGAATTGGAGTGAATTCCACTTTGCAACCAATGTTTTACTGAGGTTAGATTAAATAGGCAAGGATTGTAACTTTGTAATTCATTTACCTATGCATCCGAATATATACACAATATATATATGCAAAGTACCAATATGTCCAGATAACAGAAACAAGAAATTCTCGTAATTCTGTCCCCAATACCTAATCTCAAAGAAGAAAAAGAAGAAAAAGAGCAACATTCTAAACATACTTTGCCACCATAACCATTGTTCAGTTGACCCACACCATTTCTTTTTATCTTTAATAACTTACTGGCCTCTGTCATGACTGTTTATTCTGCTCTTATCACTGGTACAGTGGGAAATTAAAATGAATACCTATGTATTCTGTTTTGTCAGACAGAAATTCACAAGGCCATTAGGCAATTGCTTGATTAATATGCTAATTAGGTTAATTATGCTAGTAAGGCTATTTTTTCTCTCGTTTCAACATGATTGACCTCTGAGATAAATATTGGTTGTCATAAAAAACATTGAAATTGTCATTCAAGATTTTTCTGGATAAACTAGACCTATATAGATATATGTAAATACCGGTATGAAAATTTACTAATTATGTTAATTAGGCTACTTATACTACATATACATGCAATATGTTCTCAAGAATTGATGTGTTGTCTTTAAACGTGATTTACAATGTGGCATTACACCATTTTCAGGCATTCTAGATAAACAATGATAAAGAAGTCAATATACTGTACATATGCTAATTAGCTTATTATGCTATTTAAGAGCATTGCATTACTGTAAAATAAAAACTGGTGTCATAAATAAATTCCTCGTAGGAAAAAATCCTTGAAAAAACATTAACCATGTTTTCAGGCTTCCTGGATTAAGATTAGCAACAAATTACAAATTGCACATATGCTAATTAGGCTAATAAAAAAATTGCCCAAGGTTGCCAAGGTGGCAACCAAGCTAAATTTACTTCAATATCGATCTAGAACACGAATAAAAAAAACAACCTTGTACTTAACAACTTTCCAATTCTGAAAAACTTCCACCATCTAATACATCACCTGGGTAGAGTGTGGCAAACGTAGATTAATGTCTTGCCAAAATATGGAAGTGCAGCGGCGGGACTAGATCCACAATTGGGAGACGTATCTACTCGACCACGTCACCTTTACATATAGAATCATTTCCAGATGGAAGTTACGAATGGAGGGAGCAATTGAATTGCAATGCAATTTAAAAAAACAAATCTTATCATAATACATGAATTCATAATTTGGGAGTAATTTTCACTGGCTTCATTGTTGAAGGCCTGGTCAGACCTCACAGATAATGAAAAAAATGGTCATACCTCATTGATTTTCATATTTCTGTTATTAATCAAACACTAGAGACACTGCCTCCACTTCTACTCTTTTTGAAATTTCAAAAAATCATTTTGGCCCAAATCATAAATTTTCAAAGGGCACTATAGCTTTCTTCAAAGTTTTCTTTAATCCATGATAACTGTTAACAACATCTATGTAGAAAAACGGCAATATGGCAAATTTCAAGAAAGTTGGGGGAAAAAAAAATATTTTGCAGAAATGCAATGTAGTTCATCATTTCTCATTCTTTTGGCCCAAAATATTCTTTTTCTTCAAAAGGGCCTATTTTCATGACTTAAAAAAAAAAAATCCACAATAAGTGTGACACCAGTCTTTGCAGAAAAGGAGAATAGGGCAAATTTCAAGAAGATTGGGATAACAAGTTATCTGGCAAAAAAAAATTGACACTTTTCATCGTTCAAAACTCAAAAGTTAGGACCCCTATCAGTCCAAGGTTTGGATATTGTAAAGTTTAAGGATATTGTAAAGTTTAAGGATGTCAAATATATTTTAAGTAAATCTCATTAATTTGTATTGATAAAATAATGCTCAGAGTATAATGTAATTAAAATTTTACCATTTGCAAAATCACAGCAAAAATACTATTGTGCATTGCACCTGTCATCCTTTTGCTATCCAGTGTAAATAATGCTTCATGACTCCCCATTAAAAAGAGATTTTGGCTGTGATGCATTACTGTAAGAATTGTAATCAAATAAATAATATAAAACTTACTTTTAAATAAACAACATTATTTGTTGGCCCACAGAATTCTGGATGAATTTGTACAATGTAGCTGTACACTATTTTCTTTTTGGGGTGATTGGTACACTTTAATAGTTATCAACAATATTGTCCATATTTTTAAAGCATCAGATTTAAAGGACAGTAAATGCTAAAAATTCTAATGAGGCATTTTTCTATGGCCAGCCATATTCTCACCACATAATCTATACTCTTATAGGAACTGCTACTACATGTATAAGAACAGCAGCATCAGATTCAAGGAATTTAAAATGACAAGAAAAAAATACTAAATAAATTTTACGGCATCTCTCTATGGAGTAGTTGTGTTCTCACTGCCATTCAGTGTTTGTCCATCAACATTACTGATAACTATGAACATGTAACTGCTATTACTTGGATCACAAAATGAAAATCAGGTTTAGAGGAATTACCGGTACACCATTAGAAATCAAATGAGGTTGAAGGCATCTCTCTATGGGCTAGCTGTGTTCTCACCGCCCATCGGAGCGCTTGTCTTTTCTTGTCTGAAGGAACCACGTAGCTGTTGGGGACATAGACTCTTGGTGTAGACTTGGGCTGAACGACCTCATCTTTGTACATCATGAGTTCCTACATAGGAGAAACAAAGAGATAGAAGCTAATTCTTTATTCTTCATCCATTTGATCTGTTTATTTGGCTTGAAACATGACAGAAAGTTTACTCTGGAACAGAGAGCATACTTGGAGCCAGGCTTTTTGTTAGGAAGGAGCTTGAAACAATCATGTTTGAAGCCTGAATTACTTCCTTTCAAGAAAATTCGAATTCTGGACTCTTCAAATTTGAGGTTCATATTTTACACGGTCAAAAAACAATTAATGTGTAACTGCTACATATACTCAGTGAATGAATAGTGACATTGACATCACATTCATATTTCTTATAAAGCATTAATATAATGTTATATTTCACTTCAATTGGACCATAAAAGAGGTAGTACAGGTATGAGCTGACAGATTAGATATCTCTGATTTGATCTGCCATTATACTAGTTACCTATAAAGGTACAGTTTTAGTTTGGAACATTGCATTTTAGAGCACACTGGCAAATTAAAATCTGAGCCTCATCTCCACCCATTTTCTCTCTTCACTTATGGGGATAGGCAGTGTTAAATGATCAATATGATAATTTTTTAGGAAAATTTCAATTTTCAAGTGCCTTTAAAGCGAAAAAATATATTTAAGAAGAGATTTGATATTACTTCACATGTCACTGTTTTGAATGTGGAGGTTAATAAACAAGATAAATAATGCCAAACTGACCACTTTGACTCCTAATTTATGAAATACATTCCTGAGCCTTGTTCCTTACCCTTACACTCCATCTGAGCCCTTTGTGATTCTTCTCTCCCGGTGCCTTCTGAGAATTCCACTGATCACGATACATCTGATGCCTGCAGGAAAGAGATCATAACATACGTACGGTGAGGTCTATGGTTCTCAGTGTAAAGCAATTTAACCAAGGTTCAGAAAACTATGTTCTTTTCCAGGTGATTTTTGTACTGCCAGTACATTAAAAGTGAATGCAATTGAAAATAAGCTAGTCCGTAAAAAAAAGAAGAAGATACAATTATCAAAGGGGCGAACAACTTTTAGTAGTACAAAGCCTGGAAGAATTTCACAGTAAGCATGAATTTCACAGCAAGCATGAAAACTTGTATTTCAATTGTTAGAAAGCCAATTGCGAGGACAAACAATATGAATTGCCCAACCTAACAACACATTATCCATTGTATATGCATTTTGCATTCAGTCTATGGAAATGCAATTATTTGTAACAGGTGAATGAAATCATTTGTACAGAGGCACTTCACAAAGACGTACACATTAAATTTGGCTACATTATCGACATTCACAAAGGGCATGTTGGGTTCTTATTCATATTTCCCAAATCTCTTTTCATCATCTCGACAAGCCTTTTATGGAAACTCATAAACCGACTCTTATGAATCGCTTATCCAGTATACTGACTAAAGTGCTTACAGCATAGTTATAACCTTGATCACTGGATTCTTTTACGATTCTGCACTTTAAAGTGCATTCTCCACTCCACGAGGTAGCATTCCAGGTAGTTACCTTTCTAAGGGCACACACATGCTAATCCAATCACATTGTCATTTCAGGAGTGGCTCTGCCCACAACAGATAGAGTTGAACATACCTTGTTACAGGGTCTGTCTTTTTGTTGTGTTTCCATGTTGGTTTGGCACTTGAGGGTCTGATAACTGTACAGAAAAAGATCAGACAGAATACATGAATAATCATTCATATAATACTGGATAGCTTTGAGGAGAGATTCAGAATATATGCTCGCAATCATCACCGCCCACTGTTATGGAGAGCAGGCAAAATATGCACATTTAATTACAAATGTCAGAGGCCTGGTATTAGTACAAGTTTCATTTTGTCTTCCATCCTCCTCCTCTTTTCTATCTATGAAATTTTTTACAAGAAAATTCATTTCAAGATTAACTAGAGAAACAGAATAGAACAATGGCTAAGCAAAAAATATCAAGTACTACTTGATTTATACAGCTTATTGACAAAAAAATGCAATGTGAATACATATAATATCATGACATAATCATAAATCCTATTCTTCCTAATTGGGCTCAAAATTATGGCTGTAGTATTGATTTATTGTTGCCAAATGCATCCTAATATGTCTCAGTCATCAAACTGGTTCAAAGCATGGGCAAAATACAATGGACATTAGTTGAAACCAATCACCAATGGATCTTTTAATTTAATCCATTTTGATAATGTTATTTCTAATATTGGATAACTAAATATCGAGTAAACATTTCCTCTGACATCATGGTTTGAATGAATGAATGAAGTACTTACATGACCTAGGTTGATTAGGTTTATATACACTCTCCTCATTGCCAGCTGGTCTGTGAGAGTACTGCACATGGGAATGAAAACACAACAACAATGTCAAATGAGCTCACATTGTTGCAAATTTAATTCATTTTAAGAACAGATCAGACTTTTAAGTTCAATCCCATGTAACATGCTCCATAAAATGGTGTTCCTGTGTATTGCCTGAACATATATGCAAATGTAGTAGGCCAAAGTCAAAATGTGCCAAAAAGGTACAAACTGTTTAATACTTAAGGAGAAGAAAAATAACTTTAAAAAAAACAATGCCATTATGATATATTTTCATGGAAATATCAGTACTACCCTTTTTTCATTATAATTTGGAAATAAGGCAAAGTATAAACAGCTCAGTAAAATGACCTCTAAAATAAAATAAAATAAAATCTTTGAATGATGAAATAGACATATGTATAATATTGTTCATTCATAAACAATATATACATCATCTTCAAGTTGATTTGAGTTTGGACCCAGTCGCACATTACCAACGCCACAAATGAATAACATCTTCGAATACAAGAAGAGTAAACCTACCAATCCTTGTGAAGAATGAGGTCTGCCCACATGTCTCCTGTAGCTATCAAACCCCGAGCTAGAAGTCTCAGACTCTGTCTCATCATCATTTAGAGGAAGATCTTGAAGTCTCTCATTCAGGTATGACATATCTACGACAAAAATATGGGCAAGATCAATCAATTTTTAGGCAACAATTAAGTAAGAAATTGTAAAAATATTTCTGTAAAAAAATACCATACAGAATAATACCATGAACCCTTCCTACACATCAAGGTTCATGGAGGCATTTGTTTTCCTTTGGTTTGAATTGAGTGAACTTGCCTTGTAACATCTGAAGGAGAATAGCTTGAGAGGACCAAAGCTTTAGTACAGTTGAAGTTATGTTCTGGCATGTTTAATACCCTTGTTGGTAGCTTGTCAGGTAAGAAATTACCCTTGTTATTTTATGTCTTAATAAATCCCCCATGCTTGGTATGGGTACCAATCGTGTTATAAAATGCAATGTTGAAAAACCAGCTGAGTACATAAGGTGACAGAGATCCATTCATTTCAGTTAAGTTAATGCTCATTATTCTCAGTATTACACATTCTCTGCTTCTATTGGCACACGTATATGAATCCCATTTCTTAACTAAGTATCATAATGTAACTTTTTTATCACCTGGTCATCATCATTCTGATGGAACTTTATCAATCAATAATGTATGCTTACATGATCTTTACCTACTTTTACAAAGATAGTTTGACACTTCTAATCTGTCATTCAAATAATAGAATAGGTCTACAAATTTAGATACACATACACCTGTCATGTATACTTGGACACTGCTCAATACAAAAGCTATTATTCCTTGGGATACATAGCAAAGTACAAGGGGTCCATCTAAAACTTTACATCTTGTAAATCTCCTTTCATATGATACTCACCTGATTCACTTTCTGTCACTGATTCATCAAAAACTTGAGACTGGCCTGCTCGTTTCCTATGGACAACAGACAGTAATGAGGTACAATATAACTAGCAGAAAACTTTGCAAAGACAAATTAAAAGAAGTGATTAAAAAAATATATCAATGAGATCGATAAAGGAGATAAATGGTTTTCAGTCTATATTGTACCTTTCACACAAAGAACTAGAATAAAAAACTGTCTGAGAAAGACATATATTGTGTAGCAAATAAGGATACCACATTCAACTGCATACTATAAGCATAACTTAAAGACACATCTTTCATGTAAACCTTGCAAACACAAATGCCTAGATGATACTTATAATTCGAAATCGTATTTACTTTAGTATTTAGAATATTTCTATTTCGCTGCAAGAATAATTTAAATATCCTTTTAATTCATTGTCAACCCCTAATTTGCTTGACAAGTTAGGCAAAATAATTGAACACTTTGATCCAAATGCTTGTTTGACTGACATACTATAATCTGTTTGCATGGGTCAAGGACCAATTCTGTTCTATGCTCAGTTCACAATTCTTACCTGACAACTTTCCTCTTCATAGGCACCTTCTTGGCAGCAGCACCCGTTGATCTGGCTTCTCTTCTCTCATAGGGGTCATAAACCTTGGAGTCAATGACCCCTGGTGACCTGACTTGACCTGACCGTTGATTTCCTGATGAAGTTGTAGGGACTGGTTGATTCTCCTGATCTTGTCTGGACTGTTTCAATACAGGCTATGGAAAAGAGACAATATTCTATGACAAATGGTGGGATGACACAGAATAGTTATATCAAGATCTCAACGTTGGATAAATGCACTTCAAATGACTACATTTTCTTCAGGCAAATACAGTATACAAATGATGCACAGGTTTGAGTGGGTCGGTAGGGATTGTGCACACAACGTAACTTTGAATGGTTTTAGACCAAATTCAAAGGTACCGCGTGCATACAATTCCATCGACCCACGAATTAAACCTGTGCATCATCTGTTTTATAAGATGGGGCCCCCAAAATTGTCAAAAATACAACATTTTGTTATTTTATAGATTTACCAGATGCATGGCAAAATCATGCGTCCGGTAATTACCGGAAGCATGATTTCTAACTTATCATGAAATTTAAAAAAAAAAAAAAAAAAAATTGTCAGTGCACATTAAAGGTACTATGTCCCATTTGCAGGCCAAAAAAATGAAAAGGTTAAATTCCAACGGCATTTGAAAGATAATACTAATTTAGAACTTCCCTAAAAAGTTTGGGGCTTGAAAATGTCTTCAAGTGGGAAAATAACGACTATTAGTTGTCAAATCGACTTAGGAGCTATAGAGCCAATAAGTAATAGTCTTGATTTTCAGACCATTGTACCACATGGTCGTACGTTTTATGCTGCGCAAAGATTCAATCAGTTTAATTTTGGCCATCACACAAAGTGGGTTATTGATGTAGACAAATGCTCATGTACCCTTTACAGCTCATTTATGTATGTTATTACCAAAGAAAAAAAAAGGCCAGTCAGTCACTCAATAGTGTCTGACAGTGAAATCTAGCAAGTAAACGGGTTTCCTTGCATAATTTGAATATTAGGACACTGCTAATGTTTAAATTTCACAGATAGGACATACATGACATATAAATAATTCCTGCAAAGTTCTACAGAATTTGAGGTTGGCTGCAAAAGGGACATAGTACCTTTAAACTGTAAACTTTAAAAAAAAAATATTAAAAAAAATTTAAACAGATTATAATTATCAAAAAACACGAAAAACAAATAATTATCACCAAAAAAAAAAATAATCAAAAAAATCATTAAAAAAAAAAAAAATTATAAAAAAAAAAAAAATTAGTAAAAAAAAGAGAAGAGAATTATAAAAAAAAAAAGGATATCGGTAGTATCGATCGCCGATATCGCGTGCATCCAGTAAAAATAATTACATGGTAATTGACAAGTCAGATTGCAGGGATTCTTCTACCCGTCTTATAATAAATTTTGTTATGCAATAATGGAAGTCGCTCTCTCTCTCTCTCTTTTTCCCCTCTCTCTCTCTCTCTCTGCTTCTATATACTTCCCATTTACACATTTTGCATTTAATTACAAGAACAAATTTCATGCAGTGCAGGGAACAAGGCATATGAAATGGGCATCAAAGAGTGAAAATACATTGCAACTTACGCTTTCAGTGAATTGAACTTGTCTGTTGTTTGACCGTCTTGGTACATCATTGAATGGTGATCGAACAGCTGATCTATCATGTGACACATCAGTTGATGTATCAGGTGATCTGATCCTTGATGAACTTTGATGATCACTCATATCTGTGTAGATACATCACACATCAGTGACAAAGAGGGCAGGTATATTTGAAATATAAAAAAAAAAAAAAGGTTTTCTTGCTGTGGTACATGATGCAAGCAGAAATTTCTTCATTGTTTAATTTAAGTATCCTTATTGAATTTGTCATTGATGTCCAACGTAAGACAAAACTAAGTACTTTTATTTTGACAAAACTAAACTTGGAAGTAACTACTAACTTACGTTCAGCTACTTGAATATAGGATAATTAATTAATCCAAAAATAATACATAAAAAACAGACAATTGCTAGCCAATGAAACTGACATACAATTGTGGTGCTTATTCAACTTTTAAAGAACCTACTCAAACAAGTGATACTTTCTAATCTTGGAATACAAATGGCAACATAGATGAACATCTTCATTTAAATTTTGTATTATGACAATACCAGAGTTAATACCGGTAGTTAAAATCAAGACTCTGATTAGACATCAAAATGTCCCTAATCAAAGTCTCTTTTTTTGCAAATGATGTCACATTTGTCAGGGGATCCATGAAATCCTAGAGCACCATGCAAAGAACTGAATGTAGACTCACTTGAGTAAAGGGAATCATCTGATTGCATCGGTAGCCTGTCTTCATCAATCAACCTCTCAAGATCTGTCATGAAGTAAAACATGTTACAACATTTCAGCTCATCGTTAATAAAGTCAAAAGTTATAAATTGGACTTATATATTGAATTATATCAATCAAATAAGTTTTTGTCATCTTTAGGATATTAGCAACGTCGATCAGCCCGAAAGTTAAACTTTTTAGAAAATTAATAAAAACTAAAAAGCTAGCTAGGAAAACAGGCAAAATTAAAAAAAACTGAGTCTCATTCATCTTTAAACTTCGTGTTTTGAAAACTGTAACAAACAATTTAAATTGAACTTTTAATTAGTATGTCTTGACTGTATTATGTTTACACTGGTATCAATGACTTCCTTCACAATTCTGTTCTACATCACCTATAATAACCTTTCAAACATGACATTTTTTCTTAATTTTATTCATCTCTTTCAGAGAGATACAATAAAAGAAAGATTTGTGAGATACCTCAGGCATTCTTTCTAGTTTTAAGGAGTATCAATAAACATCCATTCATATATAAATAAATAACTGTATTGTCTTGCATGGAACATGTTAATAATAAATTACATTATGGGCCTCTTATTTTCAAATTAGTGTAAAAATTACACAGCTCATACTCTTTTTTAAACATTGATCATGAATCATATCAACAAGTTCACCCACCTCTTGCAAACTGAGCAAGTCGATGCCTGGGTACATCACGATAGCCAAGTAACTCTAGTTGTCTCTTGATATCCTCTTCACTAAAATTCAAGTCAGCCATGGCAATGCTTTCAAAGGCTGGTAGCTGTAGGGTGCCTGAAGATTTAAGATACAAAACAAAGTATGTCAAGAGACTATATTCATAAAACCGTGCTAAGCATAGTTAAATAATCATAAAAATGGTGCTTTTAAAGCGCTAACCACCAAAGTATATAACAAACAAAATACAATGATAAACAATTACATGTCAAACAAAACAAAACATTACAAATAAACCTACAAATTACAATTACATATGAAATATACATCAATGTGAACAGTTAATTATCAAAAGCAATTTTTAATAATTGTGTCTTATGACAGTTTTGAATTGGTTGACAGTCATTGGTTAGTTGGCAACTTAAAAAAAAAAAAAAAAAATTCTCTCTGGCTGTCAACTTAAAGATTTAAGCAAAAACAGAGTATGTCATGAGACCAGGGGCCGTATTCTGAACCCTGTGTTATCTCTAATATTGTTGTATCTTTGGAGATTATCAGATAAGATAAAGTTGGTATTCTGAACATTGTTGTAACTTTTGTTGTATCTTTTGTTGTATCTTTTCTCTCATCTGTTTGGTCGTGCCTGCGTTCAATCTTTGGTGCGCTTGTAATTGTGCTTATTAGTAATAAAATGGCGCTTAATCCTCATTTGCATATGTGCAAAAGAGATAATATGACAAGATAATTGGTATTCTGAAAATTGTTGTATCTTTTATGATTTATCTTATCTTATCTTGCATGGTATTTACAACAATATTTACAACAGGTAAGAGGGTTGTTGTATCTTTCATGGTGATATAATGGCGGCAATGTTTCTTGCCCAGAACCAACTACGTGCCAATAGACGAGTTAGAAGAAGATTGTGTGTTGACCGGAAACATCACAGATGAGAACTTTTTAAGAAATTACATGCTAGGATATGACGATTTTAATGCTCTCATCTTAACCAATATAATGAAAGCGTGATTTGTGTTCATGATCCACATGCCACAGCGCATAATGATGATGCACGTAATAAGTGCTCAAATAACTAATTATGCCCTAGATTAGTATGCGCTAAGCGCATCTTCAGATATGGCATAGAGTATTCCCATTGGTTGACGTACTTATCATGCTAATATAAAACAGATTTTGATTGGTAGGGTCCATACAAATGGGCGTGTCAACGGTGGTCAAAGATAAGATAGAGGCGGTCCTTCAAGGGATACAATAATGTTCAGAATACCAACTTACAACAATATTAGCGCTGTGTTATCTTTGGAAGATACAACAAAAACTTACAACAATGTTCAGAGTACCACCCCAGGGGGCAGGGCCCATATCCATAAAACCTTTCTCAGCCCAGTTGGCAGCTAAAATGCAAGAGGTTGAGAAGGAGATCTTCTTGCATATTCAGCAATTTTGAGCGAACAGGACTCTAGAGTCTATATCATGAATAGACCTAGATCTATTCATATTTGCTCTGCTGCTATCGTGCATGCGTACTTTCTCTTCGCCATGTTGAATCGATGAATCAACGACTCAAAATGGATGAATTGTCGGGTTAGGACGAAGAAATCACCATTTTCCCCATCAAATCTACTTTAAATAATTTCTTTAAATTAAAATTTTAAGTGGTGGGAGAGATGCTCAAAGGAGTCGAAAAACATTGCAAGTCAAAATTGAAATTACTAGTAGTTCTAAATCTATACTATTATTACCCCTTTAGAGTCTTTACATTACGAAAGAAATGTGACCCAACCCGCTGTTTGAATCGTTTTCAAAATCTGGCTCTGGAGTTCCAACATAGCCAAGTTGAAAAAATTATATTTTACTGCTAGATTCTATTTACGTGTCATCAATTGTCACTAGACTCTAGAGTAAAGTAGCCTGTTTTCGGCCACTTAAGACAAAATCCTATTTTTAGGACCCTTTACTTTCTATTTATTATCATTTTTTGTTCAAATTATGAAGCAAATATTATTATTATTTAAACAAAACAAGAATCCCAGAAAAAAATCACGAATTGCCATGACAATATTCATTTCAATTTTCACTGTTTCGGAGTCAGTTTTCGGCATAGCGTACCAGTTTTCGGCCGCATGTACAAAGTCAATAGGAAGCGCGCACACGCGCCGTGCGTTTCCGCAATGATCTATAGCACTAACGAGCAGAGCAGATATCCCACGCCGGAGCTCCACGGAGCTCGCCAGGCCGAAAACTAGTACTGTGGTGATCGGATATTGGAATCTGAATTAGACAGAGATATCGTGTGTGGGTTGCGGTGTGCGGCTGCATTGATTTAATACATGCGATGAGATACTTTTGAGCTTGCGACTAGCACAAAATCGGGCTCTAAATCTGAAAAATACTTGAAATAAAGCTCATTTTATGGTACCCATATTTCTTACAGACACGCGTAAGATACTCGATTTTTCAGATTCGGGTAGCGGGACCGCCGATTACATCGCTAAAATGTGATATTTTAGGATATATTTTTCATTGCAAATGTGGTTCTTCAGTGACACTGGCACGGTATACGAGGTGAAACCCTTGCGTGGATCAAGTCCTTCTTAACCGGCCGTGTCCAAAGGGTCATAGTGATTGGGAGAACATCGCCATGGATGCCCGTCCTCAGTGGAGTTCCGCAAGGGACCGTCCTCGGCCCACATCTGTTCATCCTCTACATTAACGACATAATACAGTGTGTCACATCAACCCCCAGGCTGTTTGCAGACGACTGTATTATCTACAGGCCTATCATTAACCCAGAAGATGAAGTCTCCTTCCAGACCGACCTTAACAATTTGCTAGAATGGTCAAGCAAGTGGGGTATGAGATTCAACTCATCAAAGTGCAAAGTAATGAGGGTTTCCAGAAAACGTAATCCCGGGAAGACTAACTACCAGATGAAAGATAGCCCCCTTGAAGAAGTCAAAGAGAACAAGTACCTGGGAGTTATCATCCAAAATAACTTAAAATGGGACAGGCAGTCCAGCAATGCTGCAACTAAAGCAACACAGATGCTCAACTTCCTCAAAAGGAATTTTTCTTCCTGCTCAAGAACTGTGAAAGAAAACCTCTTCAAGACAATAGTCCAACCCCACTTAGAATACGCCAGCTCGGCATGGAACCCCGGAACCAAGAAAAACAGGGATCTGCTGCAAAAAGTGCAGGGAAGGGCAGCAAGGTTCGTGTTGGGCGACTTCACTCCCCGGTCCAGTGTGACCAAAATGCTGACAACACTGAAATGGGACAACGCGCGTAGAGAGGAGACGCCTAATCCAAAGGGTAACTACACTCCACAAGATGATTAATGCAGAACTAGATATTCCACTAGGAGATTATCTCCAGAGGAAAGGATCAAGAAGTAGGCGGACACATGACAAACAGTTGACTACCTTTCAGTGCTCATCAACACCATTTGCAGAATCCTTCTTCCCTGAAGCTGTAAAATTATGGAATGACCTACCTCAACTAAACGTGGACATCAATTCCAGCACGTCTTCAAATCTGCAATCCCAAAACTAAATCAAATAGCATAACCCCAGAAATACACAAATCTATACTCTTGTCACGTCAAGTTATACTTCCAGTTATAGTTCCTAGCGGACCTTTCGGAAGAGACGAACACAAGGTATAAGGTATGGTATGTGTGGGATATGTGTTATGCTATTATGCGATGTATTTTAGAGTGATTTTACCTTGCATCCAACCAATCGGCCGAAAACTGGAGCCGGCCGATTACCGGCTCCTTTACTCTAGTCTAACTTAGATCTAAAGCATAAAGTACAGATTTTTAGTGAAATTAGTTGAGTTTTGTACAGTGGTGTTTAAAATGTCGAGAATCAAAAGCACAGCTTTTAATACACAGCCAGGATAGTAATGTACCTAAATATATGTGTGTGTGACTCAATACTATTTTACAAGTCAAAGGGAGGCGAGTTGCAGTTGGCTCAGTCGGTAAAGCGTCCGTCTGTCGAACCAAAGATATCCCGGGTTCGACTCCCACCCAAGCGGATGACTGAAACCTGAGTTGTGTGTTAACGTGCCCCTTCCCTTGTTCATAGACGCAGGTTATGTCAAGTGGAAAACACTCCGTCCCTCGGATAGGACGTTAAATGGAGGCCCCGTGTAGAGAAGAGTCATTACCTTTGGCTTTGGCCTTTGCACGTTAACCCACTGGCACTGCACTAGATCTATTCGTATAAGAGTAGGGGGAAACCCCGGTGTAGTGGTCCACCTGCACACCCCCAGTATAGTACGATAATACTCTGTAAAGAGGTCTGTAGAGTCTACTCAAAAGGAAGAAGAGAAGAAGTCTATTCTAATTTCTAGGCTAGGCCTATAAGGCAACCGTTGACTCGTTTACCCTACCGCAAGGTTAATAAAGTGGGACTGAACTAGAGTCTAGATCTAACTTTTAGTAGGCCTACAAATGAAACGAGTAAATAATTATTACAGTTACTCGTCATGAGAAGATTTAGTGTACAAGAATGAAATGGATTTTCATTTATCAATGGCTTTTTTTTAATACAATATTATTTAAAGAAGTTTCCACTCACAAGTCACAAGTCCGGATTTCCTTCGTTGCGTTTAAATCTTGTAGCTGAAGCGGAGTCGCAAGATGGCAGCAAACACAGTTCAGGGCTAGGTTTTGTTAATTTAGTTGCATATAAAACTTTTCCATGGCAACATCACTCTACAGCAGGGGCGGCGATCCCGGGGGGACAGGGGGGAGGGGGAGGGGGGGGGGGGACACGTCCTCCCCCTTGAAAATTTGAAAAAGTGAAAAAAGGTGTACAGCAATACTGACTATTTAAGAGTGCAACAAACTTTAGGCTTATGCCTTATGGAGGGCCCAAGAGAGCGGCGTTTTGAAAAATTAAATGCAAAAATCAACTCGCTCCCTCGCATAATATCCTTCAAAGTGTACAAGTAAATATTGTAGAAAGGTGAAGTGTTCAAAAAAATACATTGCTTGTTTTTATACTTTAGTTTTGCTAAGGCATGTAATTTTTTAATACCACAAAACTTCAAAAACCTGTAAGGGGGTAGTCAGTTCCGTCACCGTTCACCCCTCTCGTTCATATATGCTCCCTCGCACTGGCGTATTAATGAGGGGGGGGGGCAGAGGCAGCCCTCCCGGGGGGCAGGGGAGCACAGTGTCCCCACTTTTTCAGATACCCCCAAAGTGCCCCTTTTACTTTGACAAGTGCCCCTATAATACTTAGTAAACGTGCCCCTTTCCCCTTTTCACCTCTGACGAGTGCCCTTTTTATTTTTGACACATGCCCCTTTTCCTTCGACATGTTCCCATTTTCCTTTTCAATAAGTATCCATTTTCCATTCTCATAAATCTTGAAATTATCTTGAATAAGTGCCATTTTTAATCTCTAGTAAGTGCCTCTTTTCAGGTACGAGAAGTGCCCCTTTTCAATTTTGATAAGTGCCCCCTTCACCTCTGCTAATTGCCCTATTCAAAGCTGAGAGGTGCTCCTTTTACTTTGACAACTGCCCCTTTTTTCCTTTGTAAGAAATGCCCCTTCTCCTTTTAATAACTACCCCTTTTTTAAACTCGGATGAGCACACCTTTCATTTTAACATGTGCCCCTTTTATTTTCTAATAAGTGCCCCTTTTCCTTATAAGTGCCCCCATTAAAAAGAAAGAGCGCCCTCCCCTTCTCATAACTGCCCTTTTTAAAAATCCGAACGGTGCCCCTTCTCATTTTTTCATCTACTTTTTTTTTCCAGGAACCTATAATATACAAGCACTGCTTTTAAATAGCTTCTTCGTGCCCCCCCCCCCCTTGGCTACGTGCCTGTACATTCTACTTAATCTATTAATGAATTGAGAATCATTGAGATGTGCTCATTTATTGTATAATTTGTTATGTTATATGTATGTCTATATTTTTGGTAAAAAATGGAACAATAAAATTGAAACATGAAACATTTCCTCGCATGTACTTCCTCATTCATAAAGTCGGTGGCAGACAAAGCAAAGTTCACCGTGGTGTGGATGGATACATATACAGCCACGGTGAATCATAGAGAATTATGATATTGTCCCTATCATATTCGGATTGCACATGCATGTGGACGGACATTATCTCAGCTAGAGTAAGAATTGTTGCTGTTTTAATACATTCAGACTCACGTTGATATATAGAATTCAATTTAATCTCGATAATCATATCTTATACTTCTAGTAGATTTCGCAAACTGGAAGACTGTAAAGACTTATGATACATTTTTCTCGGAATTATACCATGCGGCATATAACGAGCGACCCATTTAAAACTGCATAGATAAAAATGAAGATCGAATGGTTGCGTTTCTGATGACAGATTAGGTTTGTAAGGGGTGATACGGATGCTCTTTTCCATTGCATAAAAGTGATCGGCGTTACCTCAAAATGTAAATTTGTATAATCTTGAGTTTCTTAAATGCCAATGTAGGCCCAGAATCTATGCCTTTTAAAAAAAAACTTTGTTATTCCAATTTAGAGGACAAAGAACGACAACAACATCAGCAGCAATGGCAGATGGTATCAGAGATGGAAAAGGTGAGACACATTAATAAACAGTGAACTAATGCAATGATGGTTAATGTGGAAAGCAAGGATGACTGAATACAAAATACCAATCAAAATGATGCTATTAAACACAAAAGATGATACTGTTCTTTCTAGTCATTGCTTGGGTACAAATTTTAATTACTACTTATTCAAAGAGCTTCCAAACTTAGACCACAACAAATGGTAAGCATGCATCAAATAGCCTCTTCGTCTTCGGCCTTTATCCCCGTGCTGCTTTTTGTTCATGTTCGTTAATGTTTCCTTTCTTTTATATCATGTAACAGGCAAAATTCTTAGAAACACTGATCCACTGTTTACCAATATTGCTGAAAACTACCCACCTGGCAAATACACATCATTCTGCAATGAGTTTGGAGTTGGATACAACTCAGCTGAGCAAATAAGAATTGGAAAAATGGGAAATCAAACGGCAGCCTTGAAACAAGTATTGAATAATTGGTTAGACGAGCGACAAGGTGTGACCAGAGCAAAGCTTGAATCGGCTCTAACAAAGGCAAAAACTGGAGGACTCCTACACTATGTCGAGAATAATTTTGAAAAATGTGAGTATGCCTATTATGTATCTCCAGGCGCGTACGCAGGGGGGGGGGAGGGGGGGGTGTTTGGGGGGTTAAACCCCCCTTTTGGTATTTTCATGTGTGTAAACCCCCCCTCAAAAATCCCTAAAACCCCCCCCCCCCCCCCCCCGCTTATTCAGCGGTCGGTTGAGTCGTTGCGATTTTTTTGGGACCAAAAAAAAAAAAAAAGTGTCCGCTTACCCCCCCCCCCCCCCCCCCACTGAGCGACTTTTCGGCTGGCTGAGTCGTTGCGATTTTTTTTGGACTCCCCCCCCCCAAAAAAAAAAAAAGTGTCCGCTTACCCCTAGCTCTTCATTAGTCGCTTATTTATAAATTAGTTTATGTTGTTCGTTGGTGTCATTATTATGAAGCAATACACATTTTGCCTTTTATTATCGGTTTCTTTCTTCTTCTTTTTTGCTTCTCAATGATTTTGCAAACATACATAGATGCAGTAAAGGAACAATCAGCTGAAGGTAATTCAAATTCAGATTTTAAAAAAATATATATATATTACTTGGAATTTCATGATCCTTTTTGTGAAAAACATATGATCATACTCCACATGGAATAAAATAAATACAGGTCCAGGCTTTTGTGAAAAGGACATCACAAGGATGGGAAGGAAGATTTTGATTAATTTTCCATACAGCCTTGATAGTTATAGGGAAATGGTAATGTTTTGTAAAAGAGAAATGTAAAGACAATAATAAATCATGTCATAATGGAAAAAGTAATGTATACGTAATAATGGTTAAATAAGTACAAGGATACAAACAATAATGGCTATAAAATGAGTGTATGCTAGAAATTGGTGGCAATATGGAATACAGGCTATGTTTTATTGTTCCCATTTCATTTGAAATTCGTTTCTAAGCCATACCTACCTTGCGTTCTTTCAGGAGATAAAAGTGATGTCCAGGCTAACAACCAAGCCACAGCATCCAGGGCTGCAGGTCAAAGCATCGCTATGACAGGCAACACTTTCAGTGTGACTAATAATTTTGGCACGTAAGTGAGAGTACCATTGTGATAAAAAGAACTTATATAGATGTTGTATTGTTTATTCTTTTTTATTTTTCTTCTAACCAGGATTGATTACAAAATAAGAATGAACTCCTAAGCATTAGTTTCAGACATGAATATAAGCATATTAGTTTCAGACATAGCTTTAAAGAAACGACACGTTTATATTGACGGGAAACGATATTCACAATAAATAAGGTGTCCAAAGAATTATTATACTATATTATGATGCGTTATACACCTTTAAAAAAGGTGTGTAAAGAGTGAGTTTTGATTATATTCTACTAATTAACCATTACAATATAACTGATTGATTAACCAACACACTTGCGCGCGCACACGTGTATGCCTACAACTTTGCCTTATGCATTTTAATTTGTTGAATATCTATATGATGTCTGATTATGATATCATAATGTATAATATCAAGATTCAAAGCCTCTTTCATTTACCTTAATCACAATAACTGTAATTTATTGCACTGAAAAGAAACCTAAGATTTGCAAACCGCTATATACAGGCACCGCTTTTCAGCAGTCCCCTCCATGGCCAACCTGTTTTATATGTCTGTTGCACACTTTTGACCAATTATAATTATATTGTTAAGTACAATGAAATCCCATGTATTTTATTTATTTATGTTGGAAATGGAAATAAACAAAATGAAATGAAATGAAATAAATTTGATGTACATTTTTTAAATCGTTTATTTTTCTCTTGATAAAGTGGAAATGGTGAAGATAGGAAGCGAAGAACCGATGAACATGATGCCGGACCTTCTCACAAGAAGAAAGCAAATGAAAAGTAAGAAAAATTATAATTATTTTTCCTATTGATTTTGAACTTCTTCTTTTTCATGCGATACAATGAAAGTGACCACCTTGAACTAAAAGAGATCCATGGGCTAGCCATCGATAATGATTTTATAGTTGTATTCTGGCCATATCTATTATTTATTTCTAAAAGAGAATGGAAAGTTAACATTAGAAATAATCTGAACAAAAAAGAAGTAAAATGCCGATTCAATTCCCTCACATCATGCTTAGGCTAAATAAATGTCCAAACTAGCGTATATTTAGTGGTAAAATGCGAGCTTGAATGTTTCTTTATATACGCAAACTTATATAAATTTCTTTCCATCGGCTCAACTTAATATTTACATTAAATACTGGCAAGTTAATGATAAATCTTTGACACAGCATCTTTACTGCATTGCATGTTATAACCGACGCGCCTATAATATTTACACATCATTCTGTTGAAAAAAGCATTCTCTTTCAATCATAACTGATCTATATTGTTAGTAGCGAATTGTATTAAATCATATCTGCATGCCTCGGTGGTCACATAAAATGAACTATTTCGAAATGGGTTTTTCCACAGAACTAACGTATTTTACAGTTCTGGGGGAGTGTGGGTTTTCCCCACAATTAATAAACAATTGTATTTTCCCGCGCTGTCCAGTGGTGAACTTTGATCCGTCATAAAAAAAAAAAAATCGTCCTATATTGATCTTGTGAAATTGTGTACGTATACCCGTTTACTAAAAAAGAATGCTTCATCATAATGTAATGTGTGTATGAATATATACAGTTCTGTTTAATAATAAGAATGCTTCATCATGATTTAATGGGTGTACAGTTAACTGTATATCATCAAATATTTCGGAGCCTATAGATTTTTTTTCTTCAATATTACAAATGTTAATATTACAATCGTATATTTTATATAGGGATATCGCAAACTTTCTTAAATGTGATGTGTACAAAATCTAATCGTATATTACTCCCATTTTCTTTTACGAACTCTAATCTTTTTCTACGATTTTGATATCTAATGAAAAGACTTACCGTTGCAATTACCTTTCTTCACAAGTTTTCACATTGTGATATACAGATATACAAGTTTTAATTGATGAACATATTGTATTCTCTGAAGGTTTGCGAACGATTAATTTCAATTGAATCGAATCGAACTGAAAGTGAATTGGGATGTACATATACATAAATTGCTCAATGTTTCAATCAAGTCAATAGTCATGATAATCTTCGATCCAATTTGTTTTAGTTTAATTTTGTACATCTGGTACATTTTGCCTTCTTTTTGTGATACATGACCTAGTAACTGTGAATCGAGGGTTAAAATGGTATATAAGTGTGAAAATGTGCATAACCTGTATTTCTTGTGCGTGGGCATGTGTATGCATGGATGTGTGAGTAAGTGGGTTGGGGTCTTCCGTTTCCTTTATTCATCCACTGAAACAATGGCAGCCATATGTTTTTTCTCTTGGAAGATGATGTGTGCTCTAAAGGAATCTCAAGGAAAATATTTTGATATTTTAAAATAAAACGTAAGTTTTATATTTCAAACCTCAACATGCAAAATGGCATTCATATTGATCAGCCAATGAAGTGCATGATTTGCACATCCTTTTCTTTTGTATTGACGAAAACGTTCTCCAGGACCATGTCTATGACCACACGACATCGCACGATTCTCGAGAAGAGTGCTCCTGACATCCTGAATGATCTGAAAGCTGACGATGTACTACCACTCCTGTTAAGGGATCGAGTAATCACAACGGATGATGCCGATGAAGTAAAAACTAAACCAACCAGGAGGGAGAAAGTCGCTGCCCTCTTAGATATCTTACCAAGACGAGGAGATAAAGCCTATGCATCCTTCCTGGACAGCCTGAACGATACCCAAGGTTCGGCTCATCTCCATGAGTCTGTGAAGGAATGTGAAGAGGTGTATGATCAAGAGCAAGATGTGCCTACTAGTCAAGGTATAAGTACCTTCTTTTATGTTGGTTTGTATTGAGTGGCAGCATTGGAGAGTGGTAAGAAAGACTGCTAAGACTGCTAAGAAAGCATAAAAGCTTGTAACTAAGCAACCAGACGGCCAACGGTTTAGGTCCTCTCCGAGTCCGAGGGACCTGGTAATGAGGATTAATGCCTTACCAAAGGGCACTAGCGCATCGACTTGGTTTCGAACCCGGGTCACCGGATTACGAGACCACTGCTCTACCGACTGAGCTATCACGCCTCCTCAGTATGTGTATTTTAGAAAATTATGTCCAATTTACCGGTTCTGTGTTGGCAAAAATATTGTTGTATCCCTCAAAATGTAATTAAATTGCCTTTATAGTTTGCACCAAGCCCGCTTGACTCCTGGTTCCTCCACAGCGAACGCTGCACATAATATTATCATGATAATAACAAGAAACCAAATAACTTGCATACTACTGAACAGTCTCCTTAATGTACAGATGCAAGTGCCAAATTCGTCACCTCCCTAATCGTTCGATTCTTTCTTCCTTTTCTGTCAGGTGCAGAGCGTTTGACGAGTTCTAATCAGCCTTCACGTTAGTTACTTCCTTGTATTTTTTCATATTTTTCTAAAAGAAAACCATTGTGCCAACATGCATGTATCCTCTCAATGTACAATCTTCATAAATTATCATGATTTAAAAATAATATCGAGCTCCCTTACTTCTGATAAATTTTTATACAGATTTTGTTGTCTATGAATATATCCGCGGACCAAAGAAAAAGTTTATTTTGTGTAAATATGGTAAGGGTGCACTTTGTAGCTTGGATGAACCGAACTAATTAGGGTTGAAAGGTGATACTGGGGTAGATTTTTGTTATAATTATGTAAACATTACAGTACAAATTATCAGTTTTTAGTTCGTAAAAATGGAGGCGGTCTCAGGGCTAAGGCACCAATTGACTTGAACAGAAATTGGTTTACATAAATTATAAATAAATGACAAAATAACATATATGAAGTAAGACACTAATCTACTTCATAACATTTACAAGAGTTTCCTCCAAGAACTTGACCGAGCCTTTCCAATTCCGTTGTATGCGTCAAAAATACCAGCATCGATTGATTTCCACAAAAGCTTATATTTATACCGTCTCTAATAAGAGCATGAATTGTAAATATAGATCTGTCACCTATGATAACGTATTGTGAGTTGTGTTTAATACAAGAATGGTTCCTTGTATACCATTTCAATTGTCATGCAAATCATACAAACGAAGGTAATTTGCTTTTGGCGTAGCTGTTCAAAAAATACATGAGTAAGATATTAGATTTAGGCCTAAATTGTTTATTTAGCATTAATTATATTCAAATAAATTCAAAAGGATGGACAATAATTGATGCTTGACCGTCCTTGTATTTTTCTTATTTTCTCTATGTTACAGGTGGTGGAAACACTCAATCGGGTTCCATAACGATCAGGGCATCTGAAAGTGCGACCGTCCAGAATAATACGGTTACTGGGCAGGTTAACAACTATAGATAGGAAAATGGTGGCAACCGGCTTTATACAAAATATGTACTGTCTTGAGAGGTTCTGGTTGAAACTATGGGCAAGAGGTGACTCCAATATAGTATTATTTGCTGAGGGGCGCAGCCCCGAAGCAAACGGTACTATTGGAGTCACCGATCGAGGCCCATATTTGTAACCAGTAACTCGAAAAGAAGGCAGGGTATCTTTGTTTTATACCCTCCATATTTCTGGTCACTTGAAGAGCTCTCAACCAATCAAAAACCATGTATAGCAATGACTTGAATACTTTTTTTCTCGTTTTGTATAATTTTTACTCAGCTCTCGCGCCTCCATTTATTTTCAGTACCTAAGGTTAGAGTTGCGATAGAGTGCAAGTGCATAATAATTATACTGATTGGAGCACTAAATGATTTTATTTAGAATTAGAGTACAATGTTAGAGCAGGCTCGAGATCGTGTTTGATATAAAGAAAATTAATAGGGATTCGTGTCTGCCTGAATTATAACCAAGTTGATTTGGGGAAATAAAATCATTCACATTTCATGAATCTGACAGGAAACTTGTCAGAAATGGTCAGTTTCATTGTATTATGCGTAAATTATTAGTCCGGTAGTTTTACCGACTATGGACTTTACTCGAAAAATAATCAAACAAAACACTCTCTTAGCAATTGTCTAATTTCCTTCTATCATGACCATGTTTTGATATTACAGAACAAATTAAGGCATCTAAATGATGATTCATTATCAGGGGGCAACTGTCAGGGGGGTCTTGTAATGTTCACATCCAATATTGCATGTTATCTTATTTTATTGTAGAATTTTGTTAAAAACATTTTCATATTAAGAGTGTCTCTATTTGGAAATAAATATGCTTAATCTTTATAGAAGATAGTGGGCTGTACTAGGTCAATTTCTTTTTGCTATTATTCCTGGTTGCATCTTAGTTTGTTCCCAATAAAATCTTGTGAAAGAGATGTACAATGTAGTGTTATTTGGTTGCTTTGAAATTTGTTTTGACGAGAATTTAAATAACGATGTAACTAATCGGCGGAGTATATTTTGTTATTTTCTATATAAGCGTTAGAGAGTGGTTGCCCTAGGGGTAGTTGTTCTAGGAGGTAGTTGACTGGGGTTGGTTATCCGAGGTGGGATGTCCAGGGGGTAGGTGTCCTAGAACCGCTCAGACAGCTCACACAGTATCAGACCTGTGTGCTTTCATATCCGGACACCTACCCCCTGGACATCCACCCCCCTCCCCTCCCATTTGTAACCACCCGAGTCAACTACCCCCTAGGACAACTACCCCCTAGGGGTCCTAGAGGGTGGCTGCCCTAAGGGGTAGTTGTCCAAGGGGGTAGTTGACTGGGGATGGTTATCCGGGGTGGATTTCCAGGGGGTGGATGTCCATGGGTAGGTGTCCTAGAACCGTGTGCTTTATCTTAGCACACGCTCACATTTCCCTCTGCTTTCTATCTCATGAACTATATTAAACCAAAGTTCTCAACATTTGATATGCAGGCTGAACATGATACGGTAATCATATTGTGTAATAACAGCATCATTACATGACGGCATCTTGATTATGCAAAGTAGTGTTCATATTTCTGTTATATTTTTTTTCATGAGCTTTTTTTTTTCTTTATTGAGATTCTGAAATTATGATGACATTAACATTTACATTCCACATTTTTTTGTTAATGACTCTTCATTTTTTTCGAAAAAAAGGATGAAGGTGCATTCTTTATTTATGGAGGATACGATCTATTTTTAGTCTTAATTTTCCGTAGACTCAACACATACACATAAGCACACTTAGACGCGCACAAACACACGCTTAGAACTCACAAAATAAATACTACAAAATGAATTTTAATCCTTTGAATATGTCTTCTCTAATTTATTTTCTCATTGACTTTCTATACTTAAAAATAAAAGAATCAATTCATCACACATTGACTAACATTATCATATCGCATTATGTAATGCGTAATAAGAATATTTTATTTTGACGGAAAGAACTCTCAATCCAGAAGAAAGACATTATTTCTTGAAAAGATATTAAGAGCAAATTTGAATATTGCATTCAAAATTAAATAATGAGAGAGTAATATGAAAATAGATTGAACAAAAAAGAAGAACTAAATGAGAGAAAGAGAGTGAGAGAAAAAGACGTGGAAGTGATGGTGATAAGTATTGTAAAAAAATGAGTTCATTATAGACAACATAAGGAAACATGTATCTATCATTACAAAACTTAGAGATGCTTTTATTCCATCCCTCTTTATTAAAGCCAGCTTGTTCAATGAATGGATAGATGCATGCATGCATGAATGAATGGATGGATGGATGGATAGATGAAGACTCAACAATACTACGCAAGTTCCCACCTTTTGGTTTGAGGATTACAAAGTTACCAAAATCATTTATATACAAAAAAGTAATTAACAACATTATAAAGGACCATACCTGAATACCAAAATATATATTGGGAGATCGATTATGAGTTTGCCGTACAATGATGGCACAAGAGGCAAGTTCAAACTATAGTCACATATTATAAAGGCTGGGAAATACAACTTTTTAAAAAGGATAGTTCTAGGATGATATAAAATTAATTTTTACCATTTTACATGGAGTCTGATAAAATCATTTATCAGCGTTGTCTTTCAAAAGTTGGTCAAGTCTATGATAACGATCTCATTATTTCAGTCACAAGTTTAATAGAATTTTACCAAGCATTACAGAAAGGAAAACATACATGTATGCCCCTGAATCATAAAAAATAGACTAATATTCCGAATGAGGCTTAGACTGTAGCAAACACATATTCTTATTTGATGAAACTACATGAACTATTAGAACATTGATTCTGCTACTCAAATATCATAAACATATCTCAGAATTCATAAACATGCATGTTTCTGGCTATGAAATGACAAGGCGATTTTGCCTGTCCCCCTTCTTTGTATATAGGCCTACCATTGTTTTTTTAACCCTGATATGATTTTGGAAATTCACATAGCCATGCATGGATGCACAATTTGTTTTAGCATGAAAGAACTTAGATATTTGTTTAGAAATATGATGTCCACTCGAGCGTATATACGGCTCAAGAAAACGCACCACTCTGTTTGGGATTTCTCTGACCATGCATAACTCTATGCTCGGTCAGTTTCACTGTTAGACAAAGCAAATGAAAATTAGGAATTCTCCTCTACAAATTAGTAACAAACAATTAAATAAATTAATTACTGAAAATGAAACACACATCGTACACAACTATATGAGTGAAAAGTTATTCTACAAGTATAACATTCGTTAGTTATGACTCAGGAGTCCAAAGAGAGAGAGAGAGAGAAACAAATCCACCCCTTTTTAATATTTTATTACCCCCTTTAAAATTTCTCAGTAATCCAAAGAGAGAGAGAGAGAGAGAGATTTTTTAAACGGGCCTTTAAATAAAATCAGTGGTGAAAATCAAATACACCCCCTTTTTTACAATTCTCGGGCCGGACTTTGACGCGCGGAAAGTATCCCTTTACCGGAGATTTTGGGAAAACGAATGCGGTCTCTTCTTAGTAACTATATAAATGTAGACAAACATGATGAACTATCAAAACTCATTTAAATGTGTAAGACTTCCGTCTGTACTTCGAGAAAGTGACATAAACATAAGCCGAAAATTATTTCCATGCATGTTGACTCCAGTATAATTATGATCAACCAAATATCGTTGCATGTATCTAACCCCCCCCCCCCGCCCCCTCCCCGAGCAGGGGCGGGGGCGGGTATAAAATATGTATTGATATCCGCTAATGTATATAAACTATATAATACTTTGTACTATGCCAACTAAATTGCTCGGGTGACTACGCATTTTAACCGGTTGACTCTGAGTATTGGTGCTCATGCATTGTTTTGTATACAAATTTCCTTTTTCCATTGTGTTTAAATTCTCCCCACTAAATTACTGCTACCAAGTGTCACGCATCATGCGTGACATCACGCATTTCGCTATACGTAAGTTATACCCTTTGCCATACCCTCACCCGCGCGCTCGCGCGCCGAGTCATGAACATGTCACGCATAGCTGATCTTTGAACTTGGAGTCTGTACGGGTTTTTTCATCTACGATACTTTTTTTCCAGGAACCTATAATATACAAGCACTGCTTTTTAACAGCTTCTTCGTGCCCCCCAGTGGCTACGTGCCTGCACATTCTACTTAATCTATTAATGAATTGAGAATAATTTTTTTAATGTTATACGTATGTCTATATTTTTTGTAAAATGTGGAACAATAAAATTGAAACTTGAAACATTCCCTCGCATTTACTTCCTCATTCATAAAGTCGGTGGTAGACAAAGCAAAGTTCACCGTGGTGCATGTGGATGGATACATATACAGCCACGGTGAATCATAGAGAATTATAATATTGTCCCTATCATATTCGGATTGCACATACATATTGTGGACGGACATTATCTCAGCTAGAGTAAGAATTGTTGCTTTTTTAATACATTCAGACTCACGTTGATATATAGAATTCAATTTAAATAGATAATCATATCTTATACTTCTAGTAGATTTTGCAAACTGGAAGACTGTAACGAATTATGATACATTTTCACGGAATTATGTACCATGCGGCATATAACGAGCGCCCATTTAAAACTGCATAGATAAAAATGAAGATCGAATGGTTGCGTTTCTGATGACAGATTAGGTTTGTAAGGGGTGGTACGGATGCTCTTTTCCATTGCATAAAAGTGGTCGGCGTTTCCTCAAAATGTAAATTTGTATAATCTTGAGTTTCTTAAATGCCAATGTAGGCCCATAATATATGCCTTTTTAAAAACTTTGTTATTCCAATTTAGAGGACAAAGAACGACAACAACATCAGCAGCAATGGCAGATGGTATCAGAGACTTCAGTGGTAAGCGCTTTATAAGTAACGTTATTATTATTATTATTATTATTTATTATCATTATTATTATTATTATTATTATTATTATTATTATTATTATTATTATTATTATTATTATTACTATTATTATTATTATTATCATTATTATTATTATTATTATTTATTATCATCATTATCAGAGATGGAATAGGTGAGACACATTAATAAACAGTGAACTATGGTAATGTTGGTTAATTTGGAAAGCAAGGATGACTGAATACAAAAAAAACAATCTAAATGATGCTATATATTAAACACATAAGGTAATAATGTTCTGTCTAGTCATTGCTTGGGTACAAATTTTAATTACTACTTATACAACGAACTTACAAATTTAGCTAGTCCACTAGCATGCATCCAATAGCCCCTTCGTCTTTTATCCCCGTGCAGCTTTTTGTTCATGTTCGTTAATGTTTCCTTTCTTTTATATTATGTAACAGGCAAAATTCTAAGAAACACTGATCCACTGTTTACCAATATTGCTGAAAACTACCCATCCGGCAATTACACGTCATTCTGCAATGAGTTTGGAGTTGGATTCAACTTAGCTAAGCAAATATTAAGAGTTGAAAACATGGGAAATCAAACGGCAGCCTTGAAACAAGTACTTAATAAATGGTTAAGCGAGGGAAAAGACGTGACCAGAGAAAAGCTTGAATCGGCACTCACAAATGCACAAACAGGAGGACTCATAAGCATTGTCGAGAAGAATTTTGCAACATGTGAGTATGCCTATATGTTTCTCTAGCCCTATGGTTGGGACTATATTCAATTTCTGACTAATTTTCCTCCGTGATTAAGTAGCCAAATCTTGATTATAAGAATTTCGTTGTGACTTCCACCATGCAACCATTTCACTCTTAACTGATTTCAAGGAAGAACAAAATTGGAATAAAAATAGAACATCTTCAAACAAGTTAGGATTCAGAGTTGTTAGATAGCCGAAGGGTGATTGATTCACTAGATTCACTTATGTAAAATTATGTTCCTCTATTTTCATTTACTCACGTTCTGTTTTTAAAGTTTGCTTAAATTTTAAATACATACTACGATAATAACATTTATTTCAGTGAACACTTAAATTTGCTAATAATATGTCTAATACTCATAATTTTTTGCGAAGCTCTTCGTTAATTGTTCATTTATTAAATTTTTAGTTTATTAGTTATTCATTGATGTGAAGCAATACATATTTTGCATTTTATTTTTAGGTTCTTTTTTTTTTTCTATCTTCAATTTCATTTGTTTTGGCAAACAAAAATAGATGCAGAACAGGAAGAATCAGCTTGAGGTAATTGAAACAAAGTTTTTTTTTAAAGCCCGTTACTTGGAATTTCATGATCCTTTTTGTAAAATTAATATGATACTATGTGCAGCATCCGCTGTGGAGGCACCAGGAGTCAAGCGGGTGGGTTCAAACTATAAAGGCAATTAAATTACATTTTGAGGGACACAACAATATTTTTGCCGATACAGAGCCGGTAAATTGGACATAATTTTCTAAGATTTTTTTAGGGCTTCATTATTACACCATTATCACAGACACTGGTAACATGTAGGACCGTGTATATCAGATTTAACTTTGTTAAACAATCCCTTTAACAGGAGTGGTAGTACATCATCAGTATTTAGATCATTAAGGAAGTCAGGAGCACTCTTCTCGAGAATCTTTCGATGTCGTGTGGTCATAGACATATAGTACTGGAGAAGGATGTCGTCAATACTAAAGAAAAGGATGTGCATATCCCTTCATTGGCTAATCAAATATGAATGCCATTTCGCATGTTGATGTTTGAAATATAAAACTTACTTTTATTTTAAAATATCGAAATACTTTCTTTGAGATTCCTTTAGAGCTCACATCATCTTGCAGGAGAAAAAACATATGGCTGCCATTGTTACCACACGATTCATTCATGCATCACAAAAAGAAGGCAAATGTACAAGATGTACAAACTTAAACTAAAACAACTTGGATCGAAGGAAGATTATCATGATTATTGACTTGATTGAAACATTGAGCAATTTATGTATATATGTATATCCCAATTCACTTTCAGACTTCAGTTCAATTCACTTCAATTGATATTAATCATTCACAAACCTTTAGAGAATACAATATGTTCATCAATTAAAACGTGTATCAATATATCACACAGTGAAAACTTGTGAATAAAGGTGTGTACAACGGTCTTATCATTAGATAACAAATCGCATAACAATATTATAGTTCGTAAAATAAAATGGGAGTAATATACGATTATATTTTGTACACATCACATTGTATATAAGAAAGTATGCGATATCTCTATATAAACTACGATTGTAATAACATTTGTAATATTGAAGAAAAAAAATCTATAGGCTCCGAAATATTTGATTATATACAGTTGTTCACACATTAAATCATGATGAACATTCTAAATATCAAACAGAACTGTATAAAGCATTCTTTTTTTAGTAAACAGTTATACGTAGGCCTACACTATTTTCTGCGTGTGATCATTATAGGACTGTAAAATACGTATTTATAGTTCTGTTGGAAACCAATTTCGAAATAATTCATTTCATGTGACCACCGAGGCATGCAGATATGATTTAATGAAATTCGCTACTAACAATATATCAGTTATGATTCAAAGAGAACGCTTCTTTCAACAATATGCTGTGTAAATTTATTATAGGCGCGTCGGTTGAAACATGTAATCCAGTAGAGATGCTGCTTCAAAAGAATGAACATTTACTTGCTACTATTTAATGTAAATATTTAGTTGAGTCGATGGAAAGGAATTGATATAAGTTTACGTTTATATTAATAAAGAAACATTCCAGTTCGCATTTTAGCACTAACTACGCTACTTTGGAATTTCTTTTAGCCCAAGCATGATGTGAGGGAATTGACTCGGCATTTTACTTCTTTTCTTTTTCAGATTATTTACAATGCCGCTTAACTTTCCGTTCTCCTTTTGAAATACATAATACATGTGACCAGAATATAACCACAAAATCATTATCGATGACTAGCTCATGGATCTCCTTTAGTTCAAGGTGGTCACTGTCATTGTATCGCATGAAAAAGAAGAAGTTCAAAATCAATAGAAAGATAAATATAATTTTGTCTTACTTTTCATTTGCTTTATTCTTTTGAGAGGGCCCATCAGGTATATTGGTTCTTCGCTTCCTATCTTCATTGTGACTTAATCAAGAGAAGAATAAACGATACAAAAATGTACATCAAATTTATTCGATGCCTGTATATAGCGCTTTGCAAGTCATTTCAGCTATCGTGGGTATTAGGTAAATTATATATCATGATATCATCTAACAATAATCAGAAATCATGTTATTTATGACCCGGTGTTATAATATACTAATTAATCATTACAATATTGATTATTAACCAACATACACGGGCGCGCGCGCACACATACACACAAACACACATACACGCGCACACAGCTTTGCCCTAGCTTAAGCAATTATTCGATTGTCTAATTTTACTGAATATATATGATCTCTGATTATTGTTCGATGATGTTTTTTTGACGCTTAGCAGTATCATTACTACATTGCATGTTAAAACCGACGCGCCTATAATTTACACAGCATATTGTTGAAAACAGCATTCTCTTTCAATCATAACTGATATATTATTAGTAGCGAATTTCATTAAATCATATCTGCATGTCTCGGGGGTCACATAAAATGAACTATTTCGAAATGGGTTTTACCACAGAACTGTAAAATACGTATTTTACAGTTCTGTGGGTTTTCCCCATAACTAGTAAACAGGTGTATTTTCCCGCGCTGTCTCTTGGTGAACTTTGATCCGTCATATAAGAACAAAAAAACGTCCTATAATGATCGCACGCATAAAATAGTGCTTTAGATCACTGTTCTATACCGACTGAGCTATCGCGCCTCCTCAGTATGTGTATTTTAGAAAATTATGTCCAATTTACCGGTTCTGTATTGGCAAAAATATTAGTGTGTCCCTCAAAATGTAACTTAATTGCCTTTAAAAAGTTTATTTTGTGTAGATATGGTAAGGGTGCACTTTGTTGCTTGGATGAACCGAGCTAATTAGGGTTAAAAGGTGATACTGGGTTAGATTTTTGTTACATTACATGTGTGCAAATTATCATTTCAATTTCGTGAAAATGGAGGCGGTCTCAGGGCTAAGGTACCAATTGACTTAAACAGAATTTGGTTTACGTAAATTATAAATAAATGACAAAATAAAATATATGAAATAAGACACTAATCTACTTCATAACATTTACAAGAGTTTCATCCAAGAACTTGACTGAGCCTTTCCAATTCCGTTGTATGCGTCAAAAATACCAGCATCGATTGTTTTTCCACAAAAGCTTATATTTATACCGTCTCTAATAAGAGCATGAATTGTAAATATAGATGAGCAAGATGTTGGATTTAGGCCTAAATTGTTTATTTAACATTAATTATCTATTATAATCAAATACATTCAAAAGGATGGACAATTGATGTTTGACCGTCCTTGCATTTTTTTTTTCTTATTTTCTCCATGTTACAGGTGGTGGAAACACTCAATCGGGTGGCATTACGATCAGTGCATCTGGAAGTGCGACCATCCAGAATAATACGGTTACTGGGCAGACTAACAACATTACTCATAATTAGGAAAATGGTAGCAGCCGACTAAAATAAATGTAAATTTAAAAGAAGAACTAAAGTAGCCGATACCAAATATTTAAAGCCCAACATGTTTTACACTTGCTATATCACACGGGGAACACTATTCTTTTCCTCAAAATTGTAACTTTTGGACTTAAAATAGATAAATAGAAGATTTGATTTCAACCGATTTTCTTCCGTTAGACGTACACGTATGTCTATTATGTATAAAGACAAGATTATATAGAACAATTTTGATGTAGATAGCAAATTACAATGATCCAGAATATTGTTTTCCTCTCGATTTGTATAATTTCTTTCTCAGCTCTCGCGCCTCCATACTAGAGTTGTGATAGAGTGCCATGCGGCGCATAATACTCATACTCACTAATAATTTATTTAGAATTAGAGTAATGTTTAGAGCAGGCTCGAGATCGTGTCTCATATAAAGGAAATTAATTGTGATTTATGTCTACCTGTATTATTACGGAGATGATGGGAAAACAAAATCATTCACATTTCATGAACCTGGCGGGAAACTTGTCAGAAATGGTCAGTTTTATTTTATCATGCATAAATCATTATCCCGGTAGTTTTACTGACTATGGACTTCACTCGAAAAAAAATTCAAACAAAACACTTTTCTCTTGGCAGTTGTCTAGTTTCCTTCCATCATGACCATGTTTCGATATTACAGAACAAATTAAGGCATCTCAATGATTATTCATTATCAGGTTTTTATTTTAATGTTCACATCCAACATTGCATGTTATCTGATTATATATTTAGAATTTTGTTAAATATATTTTAATATTAAGAGTGCCTCTATTCAATTGGAAAATAATATGCTTAATCTTTATAGAAGATAGAGGGGTTGTACTAGGTCATATATTTATACTTATTGCTATTATTCCTGGTTGTATCTTAGTTTGTTCCCAATAAAATCTTGTTGCAGAGATGTACAATGTAGTGTTATTTGGTTTGCTTTGAAATTTGTTTTGACGAGAATTTAAATAACGATGTAACTAATCGGCGGAGTATATTTTGTTATCTTTTATATAAGCTTTAGAGAGTGTTTGCCCTAGGGGGTAGTTGTCCTAGGGGTAGTTGATTGGGGGTGGTTATCCGGGGCGGGATGTCCAGGGGGAAGGTGTCCTTGAACCGCTCAGACAGCTCACACATTATCAGACCTGTGTGCTTTCATATCCGGACACCTACCCACTGGAAATCCACCCCCCCCCCCATTTGTAACCACCCGGAGTCAACTACCCCCTAGGACAACTACCCCCTAGGGGTCCTAGAGGGTGGCTGCCCTAGGGGGTAGTTGTCCAAGGGGGTAGTTGACTGGGGGTGGTTATCCGGGGTGGATGTCCAGGGGGTGGATGTCCATGAGGTAGGTGTCCTAGAACCGTGTGCTTTATATTAGCACATGCTCACATTTCCCTCTGCTTTCTATCTCATGAACTATATTAAACCAAAGTTCTCCAAAGTTGATATGCAGGCTGAACATGCTAAGGTAATCATATTTTGTAATAACAGCATCATTAAATGACGGCATCTTGATTATACAAATTAGCGTCAAGTGTTCATATTTCTGTTACATTTTTTTATGAGCTTTTTTTTTCTTTATTGAGATTCCAAAATTATGATAACATTAACATTTACCCTCCACATACTTTTTTTAATGACACTTCATTTCATTCCTAAAAAACGATGAACGTGCATGCTTAATTTATGGAGGATACGATTTATTTTTAGTCTAAATTTTCCGTAGACTCAACAATACACATAAACACACTTAGACGCGCATAAACACACGCTTAGAACTCTCAAAATAAATGCTACAAAATGAATTTTAATCCTTTGAATATGTCTTCTCTAATTTATTTTCTCATTGACTTTCTATACTTTAAAATAAAAAAATCAATTCGTCACACATCGACTAACAATATATCTCATTATATATTTCAGATTATCAAGACGTAGCATGTAAAACTATAATAAGAATATTCTGACAGAAAGAACTCTCAATCCAGAAGAAAGTCATTATTTCTTGAAAAGATATGAAGAGCAAATTTGAATATTGCATTCAAAATTGAATAATGAGAGAGTAATATGAACACAGACTAAATGAAAAAGAAGAACTAAATGAGAGAAAGAGAGTGAGAGAAAAAGACAGAATAAAAAGACGTGTAAGTGATGGTGATGGTATTGTAAAAAACTGAGCTCATTATAAACAACACAAGAAAACATGTATCTATTATTACAAAACTTAGAGATTCAAAAGACTATGTATGCTTTTATTCCATCCCTCATTATTAAAGCCAGCTTGTTCAATGAATGGATAGATGCATGAATGGAATGAATGGATGGATGGATGGATGGATGAACACTTAACAATACTACACAAGTTTCCACCTTTGGATTTGAGAATTACAAAGTTACCCAAATCATTTGGATTAAAAAAAAGTAATTAACATAATTATAAAGAATACGGGACCATATACCAGAATACCCGGATATATATTGAAAGATTGTTTATGAGTTTGCTCTACAATGATGGCACAAGAGGCAAGTTCAAACTATAGTCACATATTATAAAGGCTGGGAAATGCAACTTTTTAAAAAGGTGGTTAAAGAGAGTTCTAAGATCATATAAAATGGATTTCCATTTATCATCGAGTCTTATAAAATTATTTATCAGTGTTGTATTTTAAAAGTTGGTCAAGTCTTATGATAACGATCTCATTATTTCAGGCACAAGTTTAATAAAACTTTACCAAGCATTACAAAAAGGAAAACATACATGTATGCCCCTGAATCATACAAAATAGACTAATATTCCAAATGAGGCTTAGACTGTAGCAAACACATATTCGTATTTGATGACACTACAGGAACTATTAGGACTTTGATTCAGCTCCTCAAAATATCATAAACATATCTCAGAATTCATAAACATGTGTTTCTGGCTATGAAATGACTCCTACAAAATTTGATCCAAAACAGTCTTAAAGAGTCCTCACTAATTTTTACCATGTGCAATACCCTACCAAGTATCCATAGTGCAGTAGAGTAGAACCTTCATTTTAAAGAATACTGGTGTAATGACAAACTCCAGTTATAACAAGGCAATTTTGCATGTCCTCCTTTTTGTATATACCATTGTTTTTTTTTAACCCTGATATGATTTTGGAAATTCACATAGCCATGCATGGATGCACAATTTGTTTTAGCATGAAAGAACTTAGATATTTATTTAGAAATATGATGTCCACTCGAGCGTATATACGGCTCAAGAAAACACACCACTCTGTATGGGATTTCTCTGACCACAACTCTTTTTATACTCGGTCAGTTTCACTGTTAGACAACGCAAATGAAAATTAGGAATTCTCCTCTTTAAATAAGTAACAAACAATTAAGTAAATTAATTACTGAAAATGAAACACACATCGTACACAACTAATATAGTGAAAAATTTATAATCAAAGTATAAAATTCGTTAGTTATGACTATATGAAAATTCACCGTCTCTGAAGTGTAAAAGAGGCACTATAAGCAAAATCTTACCATAACAAAATCCATGCATGTTGACTCCAGTATATTGCAATGATCAATGCATGTATCAAACATGTTTTGAACTACGCTTTTACTTTTCGCACATGCACTTGCTTCCTTATTCATGATTTCCATGTCAGTGGTTAAACCATGGACCATGTATGGTAAAACGAAGCAGAGTTCAACGTGCAGTGGCATGAAAACATAATCACAATACCAGTAGTCCTACACGATGAATCATGAATCAGAGTGATTGTCACAATCATATTCGGAGAGTCTCTAGCATGTACGTAGACGGACAGATCTGAGTGTAAGCATTGTTGTTGTTTTAATACATTCAAACCTACGTTGATATTGGATTCAGTTTGTTCTTGATAATTATATCATATAGGCTACTTCTGGTATATGTCGCAAACTGGAAAACCGTAAAGAATAATTGTCACAATCATATTCGGAGAGTCTCTAGCATGCACGTGGACAAACAGATCTGAGTGTAAGCATTGTTGTTGTTTTTAATACTTTCAAACCTACGTTGATATTGGATTCAATTTATTCTCGATGATTTATTATACTCCTGGTATATTTCGCGAATTGGGAGAGCGTAAAGAAGTATGATACATTTACACGGAATTATACCATGCGGCACATGTTACAGAGTGACTCGTTTATAACTGCATAGCTAAAAACGAAAATCGATTGCTGCGTTTCTGAGTACAAATTTGGTTAAAATGTGTAAAGGGGGCGGGGGAAGGGTATACAAGTGCAATCATTTATCCTTTTCCAAAAGTGTATATCAGCGTTTCTTCAAAATGCGAATTCGTATAATCTTAAACTTCTAAAATGCCGCTCAGATCAGGTATGCATTTTTATATTTCTTATTCCAATTTAGAGAACAAACAACAACAACGACAACAACAACATCAGCAATGGCAGGTGGAATCAGAGATGGAAAAGGTGAGACATTAACTTTATTATACAGTGAATTAATTAAGGTAATGATGGTTTAACTCGATGACAAAGAGAAATGGAAAGGAATGATGACTGAATGCAAAATACCAATTAAAATAATGCTATTAAATACATATTTAGGATGATAACGTTCTTTCTAGGTACAAATTTTAATTACTACTTAATATACTCGAACTTACAAACTTAGTCCACATCAAACGGTAAGCATGCATCCAATAGCCTCTTCGTCTTCTGCCTGCCCTTTATCACATGCTGCTGTATTTCATGTTCGTTAATGTTTCCTTTCTTTTATATCATGTCACAGGCAGAATTCTTAAAAACACTGATCCACTGTTTACCGAACTTGCTGAAAACTATCCACACAACAATTACACATCATTCTGCAATGAGTTTGGTGTCAGCTTCAACTCAGCTCAGCAAATAAGAAATGAAAACATGGGAAATCAAACGGCAGCCTTGAAACAAGTACTCAATAAATGGTTAAGCAAGGGAGAAGATGTGACCAGAGAAAAGCTTGAAACGGCTCTCACAAACGCACAAACAGGTGGACTCGCAAGCATCGTCAAGAAGAACTTTGCAAAATGTGAGTATGCCTATATATATATATATATATATCTAGCCCTATGATTGAGACTATTTCTGACTAACTGTCCTCCGTGATTATGGAGTAGCCATATCTTGATTACAAGAATTTCATCGTGACTTTCTTCAACCATTTCACTCTTAACTAGGTTAAAGGAAGATTTTAAAAAATTGAATACAAATTGTAAGGTTTATAGGACAGCTTCAAACAAGTTAGGATTCAGAGTTGTGAGATAGCCGAAGGGTGATTGATTAACTAGATTCACTTATGTAAAATAATGTTCCTCTATTTTCATTTACTCACGTTTTCTTTTTAAAGTTTGCTTAAATGTTAAATACATACTACGATAATAAAATATATTTCAGTGAACACTCAAATATGCTTTTATGTCAAATATTCATAATTTTTGTGTGAAGCTCTTCATTAGTCGTTCATTTATTGAATTTTTAGTTTATTAGTTATTCATTGATGTGAAGCAATACATATTTTGCCTTTTATCATTAGGTTCTTTCTTCTTTTCTATTTTCAATTTCATTTTTTGTTTGCAAACAAAAATAGATGCTGTAGAGGAAGAATCAGCTGAAGGTAATTGTAACAAAGTTTTTTTTAAAGCCCGTTACTTGGAATTTTATGATCCTTTTTGTGAAATTAATATATATGATCATACTCTACATAGAAAAAATAAACATGAACATGTTAACGATTTTGTCACCTGACTGTACTGAGTTCCATATGGTTTTGTAAATCTAAGGGAATTAAATAAAGGTCCTGGTTTTTTGTGAACAGAAGATTACAAGGATGGGAAGGAAGATTTTGATTAATTTTCCAAACAGCCTTGATAGTTATAGGAAAAAAGGTATTTGTTTGTAAAAGGCTATAATAAATGATGTCATAATGGGAGAAAAAAAGGGAATGTACGTAATAAAGTACAAAGATACGAACAATAATATATTTATATGCCTGCCTTTTTTACTGTATGAAATCCAACTTATGGTTGCAATAAATGAATGATGATTTAAAAACTATAAAATGAGTGTATGCTAGAAATTGGTCGCAATATGGAATATAGGTTATGTTTTGTTTTTCCCATTTTTTCAAAATTACTTTCTAAGCCATACCTTTTACTTTCAGGAGATGAAAGTGATGTCCAGGCTAACAACCAAGCCACAGCATCCAGTGCTGGACAAAACATGACTCTGACAGGCAAAACTATCAATGTGACTAATAACTTTGGCACGTAAGTGAGAGTACTATGTGATAAAAAGAACTTATATAGATGTTATATCGTTTGTTCTTTTTTATTTTTCAAACCAGGATTGATTCAAAAATAAGAAGGAACTCCTGAGCATGAGTTTCAGATATAAATATAAGAATATTAGTTTCAGACATATCTTTTAAGAAACGACACGTTAATATTGACGGGGAACGATATTCCGCTATACATAAGGTGTCCAAAGAATTATTATGCTATTATGATGCGTACAACTTATAAAACGGTGTGTTAAGAGTGACTTCTGATTATATTCTACTAACTCATTACAATATAATAAATGATTGATTAACCAACACACTTGCGCGCGCACACGTGTATACACACAACGGTGCCTTAAGCTTTATTATTCGATTGTTTAATCTTTAAAATGATTAGACAAAAAATTGTCTAATCATTGTTGGATGATATTATAATGTATTTAAAGAAGATTCAAAGCCTCTTTCATTTATCTTACTCACAATAACTGTAATTTATTGCACTGAAAAAACCTAAGATCTGCAAAGTACAATGCAATCCCATCTATTTTATTTTATTTTGTTGGAAATGGAAATAAACAAAATGAAATTAAATGAAATAAATTTGATGTACATTTTTTATATCGTTTATTCTTCTCTTGATGAAGTGGAAATAGTGAAGATAGGATGCGAAGAACCGATGAACCTGAAGCCGGACCTTCTCAGAAGAAGAAGGCAAATGAAAAGTAAGACAAATTATAATTATTTTTTCTATTGATTTTGAAATTCTTCTTTTCCATGCGATACAATGACAGTGACCATCGTGAACTAAAGGAGATCCATCCATGGGCTAGCCATCGATAATGATTTTATGGTTATATTCTGGTCATATCTATTATTTATTTCTAAAGGAGAATGGAAAGTTAACATTGTAAATAATCTGAAAAGAAAAGAAGTAAAATGCCGAGTCAATTCCCTCACACCATGCTTGGGCTAAATAAATGTCCAAACTAGCGTATAGTTAGTGGTAAAATGCGAGCTTGAATGTTTCTTTATATACGCAAACTTATATAAATTTCTTTCCATCGGCTCAACTTAATATTTATATTAAATACTGGCAAGTTAATGATCCATCTTTGACGCAGCATCTTTACTGCATTGCATGTTTTAACCGACGCGCCTATAATTTACACAGCATATTGCTAAAAAAAGCATTCTCTTTCAATCATAACTGATCTATTGTTAGTAGCGAATTTCGTAAAATCCCTTCTTCATGCCTCGGTGGTCACATAAAATGAATTATCTCGAAATGGGTTATCCCCAAACTTGGAGCTAGTAAACAAGTGTAATTTCCTGCGCTGTCTATGGGTGACCTTTGATCCGTCATAAGAAAACAAAAATCGCCCTATATTGATAGCGTGCAGGAAATATTAAATACGTATAACCTGTTTGGTGTGTACTAATATAAATGCTCATCATGATTTAATTGGAAAGCAAGCCTTGTGGCTTGAATGGGACCAACCTGTTTTATAAAGAAGACATGAATAAATAAATATCATCAAATATTTCGGAACCTATAGATTTGTTTTCTGAAATATTAAAAATGTGATTACAATCGTAGTTTATATTTGGGATATCGTAAAATTTCTTAAATACGATATATGAGGTGTAAATAATCTAATCGTATATCACTCCCATATCATTTTACGAAATCTAATTTTGTATTACGATTTTGTTATGTAATGATAAGACTTTACTGTTGTAATCACCTTTATCCACAAGCTTTTCACATTGTGGTATTATATTGATCTAAGATGTTTAATTGTTGAACTTATTGTATTCTCTAAAAGTTCGTGAATGATTAATATCAACTGAATCGAATTGATCTGAAAATGAATGGAATAAACATGTAAATTGCTCCATGTTTCAATCAAATCAACAATCATGATAATCAGCAATCCAATTTTGTTCAGTTTAATTTTTACATATTTCATTACCTGCTTTTTCTCGACTCTTTTCTAAACCTCAACGTGCAAAATGGCATTCATATTTAATCAGCCAAGGAATTGATAAAATCTTTTTATTTTGTATTGAGGACAACCTCTTCCAGCGCCATGCCTATGACCAAACAACATCGACAAATTTTCGAGAAGAGTGCTCCTTACCTCCTGGACGATCTAGATACTGACGATGTACTACCACTCCTGTTAAGGGATGAAGTAATCACAGCGGCTGATGCCGAAAAAGTAAACAAAAAATCAACCAGGAAGGAGAAAGTCGATGCCCTCTTAGATATCTTACCAAGACGAGGAGATACAGCCTATGCATCCTTCCTGGACAGCCTGAAGGAGACCCCAGGTTCGGTCCATCTCTATGAGTCGATGAAGAAATGTGAAGAGGCGTTTCAAGAGCAAGACGTGCCTACTAGTCAAGGTAAAAGTTCCTTCTTTGATGTTGGTTTGTATTGAGTGGTAGCATCGGAGAGTGTATTTTAGAGGGCTAATTAATATTATCAATTTTCCAGTTCTGTATACACAGCGCACGATGGCGCATAATTATCATGATGATAACAAGAAAACAAATAGCCTGTACACTACTATAAAATGCAGTCTCCTTATGTACAGATGCAAGTACCAAATTCGTCAACTCCCTAATCGTTCAATACTTTTTTCCCTTTCTTTCATGTGCAGAGCCTTCGACGAGCTCCAATCAGCCTTCAAGTTAGTTACTTCCTTGTATTTTTCATATATATTTTCGGAAAAAACCATTGTACCAACGTATACGCTCAATGTGCAATCTACGTAAATTATCATCTTTTTGTAATAATATCTAGCTCCCTTGTCTTGGCTAAATTCTTATACAGATTTTGTGGTCTACGATTGATTTGATTTGATTTGATTTATTTATTTCTGTTTGATTTTCTTTTTCTTTTGCATTTTTACAAATATATAACAAACAAATATTGCAAATATACACATGACAAAAGAATATATGTAGAATAAAGTAAGGTTGTGTGTAACTAAGCGAGAACATCAAACAGGAGGGTTGACGATGACTATATCCTTGACCCCCCCCCCCCCCAACAAGTTTATTTTGTGTAAATATAGTAAATGTGCACTTTGTAGCTTGCACGAACTAATTAGGGTTGAAAGATGATCCCGGGGTAGATTTTTTTTTATTATCAAACATTACATTGCAAATTATCCCTTTAAGTTTGTAAAAATGGAGCTGGTCTCAGGACTAACTTACCAATTGACTTAAAAAAATATTGGTTAAAATAGGGGGGAATAAATAGCAAAATAACATGTATGAAATAAGACATTAATTTACAATATAACATTGACAAGAGTTTTATCAAAGAACATGACAGATGAGCCTTTTCCATTCCATTGTATGTGTCAAAGGTACCAGCGTCGATTGTTTTTCTACACAAGCTTAAATTGTTGGTAGTCTAGCATGAATAGAAAATATAATTGAATCTGTCACCTATGATAGCGTATTGTAAGTTGTGCTACGAGAAACGTTCCTTGTAACATTTGAATTGTCATACAAACAAAGGTATAATTTGCCTTTAGCGTAGCTGTTCATGAAAAACACGAGCAAGATGTTGGATTTAGGCCTGAATTGTTTATTTAATATTAAATTCACATTATATTCAAATAAATTCAAAAGGATAGACAATTGATGCTTGACCGTCCTCGTACATTTTTTCTTATTTTCTCCATGTTACAGGTGGTGGAAACACTCATTCGGGTGGCATTACGATCGGTGCATCTGGAAATACGAACATCCAGGGTAGTACGTTTACCGGGCAGAATAACACCTATAATCTAAGATAGGAAAATAGTGGCAACCGACTTTAAATACAAAATATATACTGTCTTGAGAGGTTCTGGTTGAAACTATCGGCAAGAGGTGACTCCAATAGTATAACTTGCTGAGGGGTGCAGCCCCGAAGCAAGTAATACTATTGGAGTCACTGAGGTTCATATTTGTCAGTATTTGCCAGTACTTCGCAAATGAAGGCAGGGTATATTTTGTTTTAGACCTTGCATCAAAATTTTTTTATTTTTTTTTAAAGAAGATTGTTTTCCTTTTTTAAATATTTTGTAATGAATTTTTTTTTTATAGCAATTTAAACATTTAGAATTTTAAGAAAAATTATTGTAATGAAAGAAAATTATGAAAACAAATCTGAACAAAAACTTTTCTACTCCCGAATAGTACTCCCACATAGTACTTTTTCAGAGCAACATTAAAATGGTGGAAATATTTCTGGACACTTGAAGAGCTCTTAACCAATCAAAAACCATGATTTATAGCAATGACATGAATACTTTTTTTCTAATTTTGTATAATTTTTACTCTGCTCTCGCTTTTATTAATATTCAATACCAAAGGTTAGAGTTGTGATAGAGTGCAAGTGCATAAATCATAATTATTGGATCACTAATGGTGTTATTTAGAATTAGAGTAATGTTTAGAGCAGGCTCGAGATCATATCAAAATCACTGTTTTTGATATAAAGGTAACGAATTGTGAATTATATATGTCTGTATTATTAGCGAGATGATATGGGGAAACTGAATTCATTACATTTCATGAATCTGTCAGACAACTTACCTGTCAGTTACTCGAGAAAAGAAAATCAAACAAATACTTTTCTCCTGGCGATTGTCTAATTTCCTTATATCATGACCGTGTTTTGATATTGCAGATCACAGGTATCAAAATGACAAATCATTTTCAGGGGTTTTTGTAATGTCACATTCAACATTGTAATCTGATTTTATAAATATTATTTTTTGTAAATATTATTTGATATTAAGAGTGCCTCTATTCAATTTGGAAATAGATATGCTTAATCTTTTTAGAGTGTGTTCGGTTGTACGAGGTCATATATTTATACTTTTTGCTATGATTCCTGGTTGTATATTAGTTTGTTCCCAATAAGGGCCCCGTCGCATAAAACTTACTATTGATGGTTACTTTGCCATCAATGGCAACTACCGATCAAAATCAAAGTTTCCATGGTAGTTACCGTTGATGGCAAAGTAACCATCAATGGGGTCTACAATGTCGTATTAATTTGGTTTGCTTTGAATTAAAATTTGTTTGGACGAGAATTATAATAACGATGTAACTAATCGGTAGAGTGTATTTGTTATTTTCTATAAGCGTTATATCAGACTGCTCACACTAAATTAGACCTGTGCGCTTACATGCTCACATTTCCCTCTGTTTTCTATATCGTGAATCATTAAACCAAAATTCTCCACGTTTGATATGCAGGTTGAACATGATAAAATAATCATACGTAATAACAACAACATTATACACGACGGCATCTTGACTCTGTATTTTAAGGTCAAATGTTCATATTTCTGTTATATTTGTTATCATGAACTTTTTTTCTTTCTTGTATGAGATTCCAAAATTATAATAAAATTTAAAACTACACTCCACATATTTTTTTTTAATGACACTTTTCTTTTTATTTAAAAACTAAGACGTGCGTGCTATATCTTAGGAGGATACGATCTTACAATCTTTTAAAGTCCAAAATGTCCATAAACTCAACACTTACACTCACACCCACACACACACACGCTTGAAATCACAACGTGAATGCTACACAAATGAAGCTTATCCAGCCTTACTACAGTGTCAGTCAAAAAAAAGGTTACACCTAGAAAATTGCTAATTTAAAAAGAAGTCATAATAACTTACTTTTCATAGATGATTTTAAAAATAATTAGCAATTTTCTAGGTGTAAACTTTTTTTTGGACTCAGATATATTTCGTTTTATGTACAACTAACTTCATTTTGCTTGTAACCTAAAAATTAGTGACATAATGCTAATAATTTGTTAATAACTTGGCTTAGTGTCATCTCGCAACGTTGTGCCTTTCTGTCATGGAACCAAATGGTCATGATGCCCAAATCGATGTTAGCGTTTTTTCGTTTTTGATGCTGTTGAATCGTAAAAGCAAAATTTTCTGTCCTACTTACAAATAGGGCGTGGGTCATTGTATTATTGTATATCCATGTTTATTGTTTGTAATGCTATCATTATTTGATGATAAACATTGCACTAGAAAATTTTGTAGTAATACTTGTTTGCCCTCTTTCTATTGGAATCTGACCTTTTGATCGGGAATAAAGAAATTACTCAACACGAAAAAACTAAACAAGTGATGGAAGGAGAGATAAACAGGTAGTTAGATAGAGATAGATAAAGAAAGAGAATGGGAGAGAGAGAAATAGAGCGAGAGAGAGCGATTAAAGGAAGAGAGAGAGAGAGAGAGAGAGAGAGAGGTATGAAGGAAAAGAGATAGAGTAATTTTGTGTAGACACCTTACAGAGAAAAAACAAATTTTGATGACGTTGATAATGATAACAATTAAGATGATGATCAAATAATGAGTTCTTCCTAAATCCGCTCGGCAGGACTCTCACAGTTGCAAATAATGATATAGATCATATATACATGTAGTTTAAAAAAATGAAAACATTTTATTTTTCATAATAATACAAAATATATATATTCACCACTTTCCGATTACCTGTAAAGCTACCGATTTGTTCTTCCTCTTCTCTTTAGGTATTTATTATATTTGTGTCCTCGTTCTCTCACTCATTCTCTCTCATTTTTGTCTCGCTGTATTTCACAATCTGCAGTTATATTTATATCTGGGAAAAAACAGCTTTCAACTTGGGTGGTTAAAGAGAGTTCTACGATCATACAAAATGGATTTCTACCATCATACATCGAGTCTGATAAACCCACTTATCAGTGTTGTCTTTGTAAAGTTGGTCAAGTCCATGACAAGGATCTCATTATTTCAGGAACAAGATTAATATATAGTTACCAAACATTACGAAAGGAGAACATATCTGAATGTATGCCCCTGAATCATAATAAAAAGACTAATTCTAAATGAGGGGGGGGGGGGGGGGGGGGGGGGGGGGGGGGGGGTAAGCGGACACTTTTTTTTTTTTTTTTTTGAGGTCAAAAAAATTCGCAATGACTCAGCCAGCCGAAAAGTCGCTCAGTGGGGGGGGGGGGGGGGGGGGGGGGGGGGGGGGGGGGGGGGTAAGCGGACACATTTTTTTTTTTTTTTGGTCTCAAAATTTCATAATTTGACATTTTTTGTCGTTGGGGGGGGGGTAAGGTCACCTTATTTAGGTTAGCCGTGGGTATAATTTTTTTATTTTTTTTTATTTTTTTTTAAAAATAATATTTAAAAAAAAAAAAAAAAAAAAAAAAAAAAAAAAACCAAAGGGGGGGGGGGGGGGGGGGGGGGTTTTTTAGGTTTTTTTAGGGGGGGTTACATACATAAAAATACCAAAGGGGGGTTTGAACCCCCAAAACCCCCCCCCCCCCCCCCTGCGTACGCCCCTGGGTGGTCACATAAAATGAACTATTTCGAAATGGGTTTCCCCACTATACAAAGCGGAACTAATGAACATTATTTTCACTGCGCTGTCTATATGGATGGACTTTGATCCGTCATTAGAGAAAATCACCATACATTGTCGCGTGCAGAAAAAATAATATCTTCGAAATAGTGTACGTATATACTTGTTTACTATTATAGATAAGAATGCTTCATAAAGATTTAATCTATGTATCTATGCACCTGTTTGCTTTATGATGATTTAATGTGTATTTAATGTGTATATAAGGTAAATCAAACATGTTTAATTTACCTTATAATATTGATTATCATTACCTTCCATGTCTGTACCTTTCCTATTGCATGTTTGTATATATTTATCATGTATTTCATCGTTTGCACAAGCTGTGCCTTGAGCATTTGATTGTCAAGTGGATTTGACGTCATACAAATATTATGTATTGTTATTAGTAGTATTATACAACTGTATATCATCAAATATTTCAGAGCCCAGATATTTTTTTCTTCAATCTTGAAAATGCGCATAACGTGTATTTACAGTGGGCGTATGTGTGTGTGCGTGTACGTTTGTATGTGGGTAATTGGGGGTTTTCATTCCTTTTATTCATCCACTGAGTCACGCAATGGCAGCCATAATCTTTTTTCCAGGTAGAAGGTGTGTGCTCTACATGAGTCGCAAGGAAAGTATTCTGATATTCTGCAATAAAATTAAGTTTTACTTTCCAAACCTCAACATGCAAAATGGCTTTCATATTTAATTAGCCAGTGATATACACATCCTTTTATTTTGTATTGACGACAACCTTCTCCAGGACCATGTCTATGACCACACGACATCGCAAGATTCTCGAGAAGAGTGCTCCTGACCTCCTGAATGATCTGAATACTGACGATGTACTACCACTCCTGATAAGGGATGAAGTAATCACAACGGATGATGCCGAAAAAGTAAAAACCAAATCAACCAGGAAGGAGAAAGTCGCTGCCCTCTTAGATATCTTACCAAGACGAGGAGATAGAGCCTATGCATCCTTCCTGGACAGCCTGAGCAAGATCCAAGGTTCGGTTCATCTTTATGAGTCTTTGAAGGAATGTGAAAAGGCGTATCAAGAGCAAGACGTGCCTACTAGTCAAGGTACAAGTTACTTCTTTTATGTCGGTTTGTAATGAGTTGCAGCATTGGAGAGTGTATTTTAGAGGGCTAATGAAAATTATGTCCAATTCAACGGTTCTATATTGGCGAAAATATTGTTGTGTCCCTCAAAATGTAACTTGATCATTGCCTTTATAGTTTGCACCCACTCGCTTGACCCCGGTGCCTCCATAGTGAACGCTGCACATAATATCATCATGATAATAACAAGAAACCAAATAAAATGTATACTACTGTAACAGTCTCCTTATGCGCAGATGCAAGTGCCAAATTCGTCACCTCCCTAATTTGTATTGCCCTTTAGGTGCCAGAACATGCATGACATGAGTCGGTCGGTCAGAATTTGTTTTCCCTTTTTTTTCTTCTCCCTCTTTGGGCTGATATTTTTCAGTTTTAAATGCGTTTATACATATTTTTTATTAAGGTTCTTTTTTTTTTTAGAGCCGACCGTAGATATCAAGATTTTTGGGTCGGTCGCAAAGGACAATACAATTTTTTTGTTTGTTATGCCTCATTGTTCGATTCTTTCTTCCTTTTCTTTCAGGTGCAGAGCATTTGCCAAGTTCTGATCAGCCTTCACGTAAGTTACTTCCCTGTATTTTGTCATACTTTTCTAAAATAAAACCATTGTGCCAACATGCATGTATCCTCTCAATGTACAATCTACATAAATTATCATGATTTTATAAGCTCCCTTACCTCTGCTAAATTCTTATACAGATTTTGTGGTCTATGACTATATCCTCGGACCAAAGAAAAAGTTTATTTTGTGTAAATATGGTAAGGGTGCACTTTGTAGCTTGGATGAACCCATGTGTGCAAAATATAATTTCAAGTTCGTAAAAATGGAGGCGTTCTCAGGGCTAACGTACCAATTGACTTGAACAGAATTTTGTTATAATAAATTATAAATAAATGACAAAATAACATGAAATAAGACACTAATCTACTTCATAAAATTTACAAGAGTTTCATCCAAGAACTTGACTGAGCCTTTCCCATTCCATTTTATGCGTCAAAAGTACCAGCATCGATTGTTTTTCCACACAAGCTTATATTTTTGATCGTCTCTAAGAGCATGAATTGTAAATATAATTGAATCTGTCACCTACAATAACGTATTGTGAGTTGTGTTACAATAATCGTTCCTTGTATACCATTTCAAATACACAAATCATACAAACAAAGGTAATTTGCCGGGCGTCGCTGTTCATGAAAAATATGAGCAAAATGTTGGATTTAGGCCCGGATATAGGCCTAAATTGTTTTTTTATTAACATTAATTATCTAATTATGATCAATACATTCAAAAGGAGAGACAATATTGATGCTTGACCGTCCTCGTACATTTTTTCTTATTTTCTTACAGGTGGTGGAAACACTCAATCGGGTTCCATAACGTTCAATGCATCTGGAAGTGCGACCATCCAGAATAATACGGTTACTGGGCAGATTAACAACATTACTCATAATTAGGAAAATGGTATAGCAGCCGACTAAAATAAACATACATTTCAAAAAAATACTATTGTAACTGATACCAAATGTTTAAAGCCAACCATGTTTCACACCTGCTATATATTACACGGGGAACATTATTGTTTTCTTCAAAATTGTAACTTTCGTACTTAAAAGGGCTGTAGCATGACGAGACTACGTGTCTTTCCCGTGGCCTGACTCATACTCATTAATTGGAGCACTGAATGATTTTATTTAGAATTAGAGTAATGTTACTGTTAGAGCATGCAGGCTTGAGATCGTGTTTGAAATAAAGAAAATGTGAATAGTGATTGATGTCTGCCTGTATATTATAACGGACATGATTTGGGGAAACAAAATCATTCACATTTCATGAATCTGACAGACAACTTGTATCATGCATAAATCATTATTTCTGTTATTTTTTAAAAACGAGATTCCAAGATTATGATAACATTAAAAATTACCCTCCACTTTTTTTTTTTTAATGACACTTTTCATTTTATTCAAAGAATAATAAACGTGCATGCTATCTGTGCAGGATACTATCTGTTTTAGTCCATAATTTCTGTAGACTCAACACTTACACACACACACACACACACACACACACCACAATGCGCACACAAACACACGCTTGGAACTCACAAAATAAATGCTACAAAATAAATTGTAATCATTAATTTTGAATGTCTTCTCTAATTTATTTTCTCATTGACTTTCTATACTTAAAAAAAAAAAAAATCATTACACATCGACTAACAGTATCATATCTCATTATAATATATATTTCAGATTATCAATACGTAGCATTTGACATTGTATAATAAGAATATTTCACTTCAATAGAGAAAACTTTCAATCCAGAAGAAAGACATTATTTCTTGAACAGATATAAAGAGCAAATTTTGATTAGAGAGTAATAAGAACATAGATTAAATGAAATGAAGAAAAAGAAAGAATATAGACGTGGAAGTGATGGTGTTTGTATTGAAAAAATTGAGCTCAGTACCGTGAGACAACACAAGAAAACATGTATCTATCATTACAAAACTTAGAGATTTGAAAGACAATGTATGCTTCTAATACATTCCTCATTATTCAAGTCAAAGAATGAACACTCAACAATAATTCACAAGTTTCCACCTTTGGATTTGAGGATTACAAAGTTACAAAAATCATTTGGATAAAAAATAAAGTAATTAACATAATTATAAGGGATAGGGGATCATACCTGAATAACCAAAAATATATCTAGAGATTGAGTATGAGTGTGCTGTACAATGATGGCACAAGAGGCAAGTTTTAACTTAAGTCACATATTGATTGTTTCAAAGCATAATAAAGGATGGGAAAATGCAACTTTTCAATAACTTGGGTGGTTAAAGAAAGTTCCAGGATCATATAAAATTGATTTCTACCATTTTACATCGAGTCTGATAAAATCATGTATCAGTGTTGTCTTTTTAAATTTGGTCAAGTCTATGACAACGATCTCATTATTTCAGGCACAAGTTTGATATATAGCTACCAAACATTACAAAAGGAAAACATACATGTATGCCACTGAACATTAAAAACAGACTGATTCCAAATGAGGCTCAGACTGTAGCAAACACATAATCATATTTGATGAAACTACAGGAATGATTAGGGCATTGATTCAGCTACTCGAATATCATAAACATATCTCACAATTCATAAACATGTGTTTCTAGCTATGAAATGATTCCTAAATAATATGACAAAAAGTATCCTGATTTTGTCTTTGAAAAAAAGATCCTGGACTACTTTGTTTTACTGAAATATTCTGCAGAGTATCCATACTACAGTAGAAGCTAGTTATAAAAACACAAATGCGTTTCTGTCTATGAAATCACTCCTTAACGTATATGACAAAAAAATTCTAAATTTGGTCTTTAAAAGTCCTGACTACTTTGTACAATGCACAATACCCTACCAAGTACCTATAATGCACTAGAGTAGAATACTCATTTTAAAGAACACTGGTAAAATAACAAACCCCAGTTACAACAAGGCAATTTTGCCTGTCCCACTTCTTTGAATACTATTGTTTTTAACCCTGATATAACATATTTCAATATAACAAAAGAATTTCCTAATGGTCCCAAGGAATTTACTATGACAATAATACTTTGTTCTAATGTAGTATATATACATTCTTAATAATGTTGGTCAAGGTTATGACTACATTCACACTATTTCAGGTAGAGAGCTTTGATCGTTACCACATACCGGCTCAGCGGCTTCGTAGGTTGTAGCGAGAGTGAGGAGTGATGCGGAGGGTGATTCCATTGGGAGGGGTGAGGAAACTAAGATTACCAAGCTTGGGAGGAATCTATAACAATGGAGAAAACCAAGAACAAAGAACAAAAATAAGGGGGAGAAAGGACAGTTGTTGTCATTACCGAAATTCAAGTTGAAGAAGATGAAAATATGCAAAGTGCTACCATGAAATTTAGCAAATTATGGTGAAGTATATAATACATGAACAGCTTATAACCATGTTTTCTGTACTTGACAATGACATGTTTTTGCCATTAAGTATGATTGAAAAACAAAAAACAACAACAATTGAACAAATATGAAACAAAGAAAGATAAGAAGGAGTAAAGCAAAATACATAATAGAATGAAGATACATCAACTGTGAAGATCATTTTTGTAAAGGTATACAACTGAACAATAATAATAAAATATGTTATATAAGTCAATTTTTCGGACTAGACATATTTTAGAACATTGTCTGAAGCTAGAAGGTCAGTAACTCATCGGAACAGACAAAATCATCCTAGCTATGGCCAAACCTCACCTCTGTCTCAGGGCAAGTATCGAAACGGAACTTCTGTAGGATGCAGACCATAGCCACTTTGATCTCCAACATGGCGAATCTGACACCAATACAGGTATGTGGGCCAATACCGAATGGCAGCCATCCACACGGGTGGTTGTTCCCTCGACGATCCTTGCTGAACCTAGAATGACATCAGAATGTTAGTCTCTGTGAATATTCAGACACTTGCTTTGAACAAAAGAGAGTTTAGAACACAACATGCAAGTTGTTGAATGCAGGTGACATACCACTTGACAATAGTTTGAGAATCAAGTACTAAAACATAGAAGTGTAATATTTACCACTCTTAAATCGAAACAAGCAAAAGGATTTTATTTGGTGTTTTCATTAATTGTTCAAACTCAGTATCTAGGTAACAAAATAGTGATAATTTTATTTTCATAAAGCATATGCCAATAAACACTTGCACTTTTGGCAAGAAAAGTATAGAAACAACATAACAAAATGTTACTAATAGTTAATTTCCAGCCTTTATCAGACATTTGCAAAGGATCCTTGTAAGGCTAATTTTCTTGAGGAACATTCACACATTAGAAGAAATAGGAGACAAGAAGAAAGTAGAAATGTAAATGCTAATATATACAAAAATATCAGCAATGCATTTTACAACACAACCTTCATCTTGGTTCTGCATTTGCACAGTGATAGACTTAACTCATGCTATATCGCTATGTTTTATGAAAATTCACTCCTCATTTGCAAAATACATATTGGTTAACTTCTTGTTGACAAAAGTACTTTTTATCACATTACCTTTCAGGGTCAAAGGTCTCTGGGTCAGGCCAAAGGTCAGAATCATGTTGAAGGTTCCATATTGGAATAAAGATATATTGTCCTTTCTTGATGGTGATATTATTGTAGGTGATTTCTTTGTTGCAAACACGCTCTAGACTGGAAGAGAAATGCAAACATTTGTCCTCAGTGTATTACCATAAATTATTAAAATAATACTTGAGGGAAATCCAACCTTGATAGCAAAATACTCTAGAGGAAAAAAAAATCTTCAGAACAGTAGACTAGTGAAAGTTTGAATTTGTACAATTGTAATCACTAGGTATGCATGGGCTCTCAAAATTGACCAAAACTACAAACAGGGCATACTGATGATTATTATACATGGCAATCTGACCTTTCATCTGATACTAGAAGAGTAATTTTTGATAATGCTTTGGAAACAACCAAAATATCAGACTATATGAATAAATAAAATCTGTGGATAGCAAAGACACAAATTAAGTGATGTGCTGCACAATGATTAGCTAAAGGTTTCAACAAATCGTAATTAGGCCCTTTCATTAATTATTCTGATAAACTCAAGGAAAAAAGGTTGGGTTAAAAAATCTATGCCTATGATCATACAAAGTTGGAAAATTAAGAAAATTTAAATGGAGGACAACACTGGAATACAAAGAAAACATATCAAACAAAGCATAAATAATAGCAATAGAGCTAGAAATCTGCAAAAAACAACAACCAACTTACACTTCTCCAGGAGGATAAATCCTCATGGCTTCCATGATAACCATATTCAGATACTCCATCTTCGTTACCGTCTCAAAAGTGACATCGCTCTGAGAGGGCGCCATTTCCTTGACCTCTGCCACCAGAAGATCCTGGACATGTTGGTTGGTTGCTAAGAGATAAGAGACAAACCCTAAAGCTGTGCTGGAGGTCTCATAGCCAGCCAACAAGAAGGTTATTGACTGAAATCAGGAGAATGAGAAGGGAAAAAAGTAGAATAAAATATCATATCTAATCAACATTATGAACTAAATTGAGTAAGAGTAACTTGAAAGAAAGTTGCGATTGATTGCAAGTTGCAAAATTTGCAACTGATATTTGCAATCGATTGAACTGCACTTTCTTGCAAAGCCCCACTAGTATTATAGTCTCCTAAATTTTTTAGGATTTTGTTGGAATTAAAGTTTTAACAATAAATTTGAGTTGACTAGATCTAGCTTTAATTCTCCCCCTTCTCTCTTACTAATGGAGCGTCGCAAAAAAGTTGAGTTGCAATCAATTGCAATTTGTAATTGATTGCAAGAATTACGCTTGATTTTGGGGATTTGCAATAGATTGCATCTTTCTTGCAACGCCCTATTAGAGTGATAGGTTGTACATCAAGATGTTTCTATATCACCTTATAAACTTATGAATCATAAATCATATAATCACATGACATACCTTTATGATGAAGAGATATATAATGAGCCTGTATAGGTTTAATTCATACATTGTATATGCCTACTAATGGGTTTATGGAATATGCTAAGCGGCATACAACTGAATATCTTACTTATCCTTACATTGCCAATAATCTCCTGCCTATTGAGAGCAGTCTTCTGTTTTGGTTTCCAGCTGGTCTCCTGAGCCAAGTCTGCAATATCATCCTCAGCATCATTCATTATATTCACATCGTCATCTTCCTTATGAGCAGACATCATCAGCTCAAGGAAATCGGATTTCTGCATGGGTAGCATCAACGCAAATATGTATATTTTTTTTAATAATTTCATTCACGGTGAGAACATTTGATTAGTTGGACAAGACAACATTTGCACCTTGCAAAAGGGTTTATTCTAATCAATGAATAAATAACTAAATTAAAAAACTTATACTAATATATAGAAGTGCTATTTCTCTAACATCAGCACCAATCATAATGAATTGGGGTAGGGCTGAGGTTTGTCGGCTATTTGGTCATATATTGCCAGCTATTTTGGAGTTCTGAACACAATTTACATCAAATACGTAATTTCATTTCATATTTTGTCCGATTTAAGCTCTGGTAGGCCTTTATGGCGCTCTAGAATTTAAAGGAATTAATTCCTGCCAGGTATCCAATTATTTCACATGGCTTGAGTGTGGCAAATGTAGATAAAATGTCTTTCTAAAGGACATTAGTGCTGCGTCGGGACTCACACTGCGAACTAAATCATCCACATTGCAGTAAGGCGACATATCCACTAGACCAACACACCTGTAAAACAGACTGAACAAACAATAACATTGGCCCAAATGAGCAAGAATTTGTCAGATCGAAAGTCAGTGTGGATTCAGTTTGTGGTATAACAAACTAAACAAAAGTATTCTAAATGGCTTGTTTTTCCATGATTTTTTTTTGTTTTTGGTCGGGGGGGGGGGGGGGGGCAACATTTTCAGTTAGTTTTGACTTTGAACTCACCCCGGTATCCCCATTGGCTTGTCTGTCAGCTATTGCCTTCTCAAACACTCCCAGGAAGAACTGCTCTATATCCTTGGGCACCGACCCCAACTTGAAAAAGTTAAAAATGGGTGCAGTCCAGGGAAATAACACTACAAGGAAATAACAGGAAAGTCAAAACAAGTATAAGGTACAAAAACTTTCATTGAAATATGTCTATCACACCACATTCAAATTTGATTTGTCATTCACTTAGCAAATATAATCTCATTAGAAAATGGATGATTTTGTGCAATATGTCCCATACAATATGTTCTTTTCCACATATTTCAACCAAAAATTAAGAATTTCTTCATACCACCCTTGAATAATGGTGCTTACTCATATTACAACCATCATAGTCATAGTTATATGAAGAGATTTTCCACTCATGAAAGAGACATGGATAAATATCATATATTGAACAGGACACATTTTATGAAATCGCCCAAATATTTTTCTGAGATCCTTACGTATAATGATAAATGTTTTTTATGGTAGCAAAAACTGAAAGAAGCAAGCAAAAAATTGTGCTAGTATTATTGATATTTGAGGTAATATTTGAGGAAAGTTGTTTAAATATTTTCATAATACATATTCAACTGGTTATCTTTTCAACAACTTGCTCATAACAAGATATTCCAATAAAAACATTGGCCCGACTACACTTTTATGATTGCATTAATGATTTAATAATCAGAGGAATTTTACTCACTGGAAATGAGAAAGGCTGGGTTAGTCACATTAAAGTTGAAAATTCGCTTGGCATATTTAATGAAAGGCTCATCTTGATTGGTTTGAGAGTTGACACGTAGACCGAAGGCACACGACCCTATCACATCCATGGCATAAGGACCATACAGTCTACAAAAAATTAATATTCAAGAATGAATTAAGCAAGCTCTGCATCTGGTAATGCCGGGCACAGAATTTCTCTTCTGTTCATTGCACTTCAAAAGAAAGCGGTATGACCAAATGCATTCCAATTTAGGTAAAACTACATTTTCAATAAAATTCTTTGAAATCATACTCCTACTGAAACATGTATTCTGTAATATCAGTCATATGGAATTGCATATTATTTACCTGAAGCCTATTGACTTTATTTCTATGGTTGTACTCATTTGTATTGCTCATTCAACCAAACAAGGTCCCTTTTTGTTGCATGACACTGATCCAATATTTTGCTCCACCAATAATCTGCTGCAGGCTATAATTTGTCAAATATATATAGGGTCAGGCTTCAACTGGGTTTTAGGTTAAGTTTAGTGTTAGGGTCATAAGTTTGGAATTCAACTAGAAATAGCGTGTGAATGTTGAGCATTTGTCGCGGGAGTAAAAACAATCTTTATAACTCATGTTGCATAACCACTACTTCAAACTCAAGATAGATTCATATTAAGTACACAAATAATTTACCATATAATTGCCTTTCCTCCAATTCCTATAAAAACTCAAGGACATTTGGTCGGAGAAAGTTTGAAATTGAAAGAAAAATGTCTCTCATGCAGAGTACAAAAAAACTGCAAGTTAGTCATGGAGGTATACATACTCTTTGCATTCGATAGTTTTTCCCTCTTCTTCACGCTTGGTAAAGATATCAACAAGAACTTCAGCACATTCTCTCATCAATGGAACCATCTAAGTACAAAACAAAGAAACAAAGTGACTTCATATGAGACAGCATGAAACATTTCTTGTCATATATTTACAACAATAATCCTAATAATATAATAAAACCTTCAATGCCACTGGCAGTTTAAACCCCTAATTCAACATTGTATACTGGATTTCTACTAAAAGAAAAGTTTGTTTTTCTTCTTAGGTTTTTAAAATGGCTTGTAAGTTGCAAAAAAATAATAAAAAAGAGCAATGCCTACACCTATATTAACATGAAAAATTAAAGAAAGTATATCTAAATACAAATTCTTGTCACAAAAATATACATTTGTGATAGAAGTGGTCAAGTAGTCAAACCACCCCACTGCACAAGTTTGGCCAGGAGGGATTAGCCCGCCCTGCATGGTCACTGACAGGTGTTTTATCTCATCAAAATCAGCTTTCAGTGAACATAAGAAAAAGGGGATCATGGGGGACCAAGGTCACTGATTAGGCATTGTTTGATATATAAAGGGCGCAGTGGGGCTTTAAGAGAAAATTAATTATAGAGAAGAGAGCTCAGACTAGCTTCTTGCACTGATATATTGTATTATAATAAATGAAACCAAACAATTCACAAACAATTAAAAGAGCAAAAGTAGAACATATGACCAATTACAAATGCTGCTTACCACTATCTCATTTATAGTACATATACCTTCATCCAACCAAACTACCTCTTGCTAAAAATAATTTGTCCATACTATAGACCACTATAGTTGAAAGGTTTATCTTCAATTTGTACAGATGGAGGTAAACCCCAATTCAAGTTTTAAAGCATATATGGACAAAAGACATCAAATTAAGTGACAATACTTACACTTTTAAGCTTGACACTGGTGAAGGATGGAGAAAGGAGACTTCGAAGCTTTCTCCATCTCTCATCCTTAGCAGCCAACATACCACCCGCTAAGAGGTCCGTCTTTATAGCAGCTTCCTAAAAGTAAAGTCACAATCGAATCATCAAAATGTTGTCCTTTATGCTTCTATTTCCATTCTCCTCATTTTTTAATTAATTTTTTCTTCAGAAATTATATAATGAGAATGGCCAGAAATAGATCTGGACAGTTCAAATTAAAATGTCTGTTCAAAATTTGAATTGTGCTTTACTGAAACAGATCATGTTTATTACTTATTGACATTGGAAAAGTGAACTTCCAACATAATTAGAGTCATATGGGCTTTGCTTCTTTTTGAGGACGACCAATCTTCATCATGAAATAATAGTGTTCTGATAGCATTGAACAATTAATGGTTTTCTTTTGTGGTCATGAAATTCCCCCCTGCCTAAACAGTCTGCAAAGTTATGAATGTTTGAAATGTGAGATCACTTAATCTATGCAAATTTGGACGTGGATTAATTGTGACTTAGTCATGGACAACTCTACCATCGATCATGAAACAAAATATCATTAATGTTTCTTCTTCTCCTAAGTGCCTTCTCCCTTGTGGCACTTCTCAAAGTATATCATGAAGAGCATATTAGGTCTTCTAAGAAGAAAAGGCTTAATCGAGTCATACATGTTGTAAAAATGAAATTTTAGTCATTATTTGTTGATACAAATGGTAAAGTTGTGCGGCACTGCATCACAGTGAAATTACCAATTCAGCCAAGTAAAACTCAAAAATTTAAAAGTTCCTGTTTTTGGTATGATTTCATTTAAACTCTTACCAGTCTGCTACTCTGATTTTTCTGTTTTATTTCAGAGTAGTATTCTCTATGTTTTGATTTTCCTTCATCCTAATATCTAAATGAAAGGGGATACTACTGAACAATTTCAAGACAGAATAATACAAAACTTCACACCTGTCTATTCACAAAATGATCAAAGTCTTTCACCAGGATTTTTCTCACTACATCTGGATCTGAGACCAGCAGCGTGGGTTTCCGGAAATTGTAGACTCTGTTATAATATCAAGAAAATTGAATATTATGCACCCATTTTTCCATTGATGTAGTCAAAATAACATTTCCTATGAGGTACATGCATACAATGTCATTTGTGAGATTTTTTGTTCATGGTTGCAAAATGACATCTGAAATCATACATTTACAAATATATTGTGTAAAAAAATAATCAACTGTTACTTTTTATTTCTATTTTGTTAAACTTTTTTTTGTCATATCACTTGATTTTTGATGAAGTTTGAACAATTTCTTGTGTATTCATTCTTCAGAAAAAAAATATCCTTGACTTGCGCTTGGAAATTAACTTACCCAACGATCTTGCCATATTTCTGGAAATATTCAGCAAATCTATCGTGAAACACCTGTGGAAATTAATATTCAAATTGTTATATCCATTTGAAGTCATTTTAAGGTTGGCCTAAACAAAGATGTAAGTAAGAAAACTAATAGTAATTTGTCAAATTTGCAGATTAATCAATAGTCTATCATCTTGCTAAAGTGATCAGAAGATGCACTCTGATCAGAAAACTATGATTTTTTATGTTGTAATCAGATAAAATGTGGTCATGCATATCCATGAATAGCTACAGCTAAGTAAGTATATGTCAGGAAAGCATCTATGATAAAAGGAGTTAGTGATTTTTTTTCTTCAATTATGCTGCTTAAGTAAGTCATCTCATTCAAATTTAATGTATACCGTAACAAGATATTACCACACAGATGATTAAAAAAGACAAAAGTAAGCATCCTGTCTGTGATTATATTTTATTCATTTTTAATGTTAATCTTATGAATAAAAGCATTCATAGGACACCTATAATTTGTTTTTTAAATGAACATAATTAGAGACTGGATGGTGTTTCTAACCCATTTACTACTATACAACATGACTTGTGAAACACAACTTCATAATAATAATATTGACATTTATATAGCGCTCTTACAGACATACATGTGTATCACAGCGCTTTACAACATATTATTATTACCCCGGTCATCGGATTCAGGCTTACCCGCACACAAGGTATGCACATTCTCCACTCCCTGGGGAGCATTCCAGCCAGTCGCCATTTTACAAGCGCCACTTGCTAATCAAACCACATTAGCTTTCGCATCCTACCGGGTACCCATTTTAACACCTGGGTGGAGAGTGGCAAATGTAGATCAATGTCTTGCCAAAGGACATTAGTGCCGCGGCGGGACTTGAACCGCGGACCTTGTGATCCACAGTCCGGTGACTTATCCACTCGACCACGACACCTCTACCTCTACATAGTACTCAAAGTATATACCGGTAAAGTGTATACTAAAAAAATGCCTATAGATTTCAAAAACCCAATGATTTGAGCCCTAAATGAAACCAGGCTGCAATGCTACCCAGTGCCAATGCAGGACAATGGGAGGAGCCTTATACTCTTTATATAAAAGCTATATATACTGAAGTCTATATAAGATGTGAGAAGCTAGGGGTCCTGTCTCAACCTCTAGATGAGGTAATATACTTACAACAAACCACTCAGTAAAGTTTCCTAAGACAGGGATTGAAGGAGGACCAGGGATGCCCAACCTCTGGAAGTATGTCCTGCACCATTTGTCATATCTACATGGGAAGATATAATTGTACCAGATATTATACAAATAATGAATGGTTATGAGTTCAATAGTGCGAATATTTTCATGAGTTGAAAGATTAACATTCTATTCAACGAGGCGTCAGCCGAGTTGAATAGAATCAACGTTAATCTTTCAACGAATGAAAATATTCGCACCATTGAATGAATGAAAAACATTCATTATTTGTTTTATACAACATCGAAGAAGATCTAATAGAACGTTATCAACAAATTATGCTTTACTCCTTATATCAAAGATAAATCAAAGTTGGAGTCAAGCCTTCTCGATTACATTCAGATTGCCTGCGCGTCAGATACACGCAGGGATACGCGCGCGCACGGCTGAGAGGAACGCAGGCTGCATATAACCAAAATTGCACGGCGCATATAACCAAAAATGCACGACCGTGCAATATAACATCTATTGAATATCATGTGACCAACAATCCTCCAATCAAATGACAAGGATCCACGTAGGTGTTGTATAAAGCTTCGTAACTCATGATTATCATACTTGGTTATCACTTCTAACACAATTGATACTTGATAGCCAATTGTTTTTCTCTGGATTAAACAGTATGGTAGTTTGGAATATTGATAAACTTAAATCTACCCAATTTAAAATAGTAAAGATGCACCTGCGCATCACTTTCAAAAACATATCAAGGGCTGAAAGCCAAATATTAAGGGTATTTAACTCTTAATCTTAGCAGTACCTTTTTGGTGAGGGGTCAAAAGCTAAGTTTCATATAAGCTGGAAAGTGATAACCGGCCTACAAGCTTTGATAAATGGTGTCATTGGCCTCTCGCCAAGAAATTAAAAACGCGTGGCGCGACCCGAGGGAAATTTTGACCCCCCCCCCCCCCCCCCAAAAAAAAAAAAAAAAGTTAATTTTTTTTTTTTTTTTTTTTTTTTTTTTTTTTTAATTTAAATTTATTTTTTACAAGTATTACAAGTAATTTGATGAATTTTTAATACCATACCTGCCAACCCTTACAAATAATTCAGAATATTCTGTTTTTTGGGGATTTCTAGGACCAGAAAATCCGGAATTTTCTGATTTAAAAAAAAAAAAAAAAAAAAAAAATTGATTTTTTTTTTTTTAAGAACGCGTGGCGCTAGGTCGGGCCCATCAGGAACGCGTGGCGCGCGCGCCACGCGTTATCTGTGTACGCGAGGGCCATGAATGGTGAGTTGGGTAAACTAAAGATAGACCCCAGACAATCATGTGCTATAGGGGTACGTGCATCATTTACATCTATAGTGATTTCTTTACTGATTTCTCACACGTGCATGCAGCTGCAGTCCATCATAACACAACCAGTATGACACAACATGTAACCACGTACCAGGGATATGTGAGTTTAAAACCACCAACCGTTTAACCGTGTGCCTTATATTTTCACAAGTTATAAAAATGCGACTATGTAGTCGGGAAGTTAGTAATCGATATATATACTCACACAAAATACAAAATGATGCAGCAAAATATCAATATAAGTGTGGTAAACATTTTGCTACTAATCGTCCGTAGGCTACTCGCCAGAGTTTAGTTGAGAATTTAGTTGTATGTTGATTGAAACCAGACTGCAGCTGCAAACAGTGCAAGTGAGGTGTTCGAAGGGGTCCGTTCGAAGGATATACATCGCGCCGATCATAATTTTTGGATGAAGGATTGGCCACGCCCACAACATATGGTTCACACCAGCAGTGATATGAATGTTTGCGCACCTATCGTTGTGAAATACAAATAGAGAATAGCAATTCCTTTTATGGTCAAAATATTTCCCTGTACAACTGAACTTTGACTTTGATGCCTTCGCCATTCCGTGAATTATATAATAATTATGATTTATCAAACAATGCACAAATCTGAAAAGTTTCCCCGGCCTGTTCAGTGTTCACGATATGCCGATCAGCAAATGGGTATCTCGATCAGTCGTATCAGTAATTGTTTCTTTTTTTGAATAACGCGGGCTCTTAACATTATCGCTTAAATATCATGATCATAAATCATACTCAACAGAAGAAAATAAAAAATATATGTATAGCCAATGTTTCGCCAATGCGTTGGATCTTTCCTCTCTTCTGAATTCATTACAAAAAAATGTCGGTTAATAATTGGATCATTTGTTCACTTGTTCAGTTTGAAACGGCCGGGGAGCTGGATGGAGAGATATATATATATCTCCCTCAGCCCTTACTAAAAAGTAATGTTTCCACCGAAACTGAAGTTTACCTCTTAGTCGAGCAATTTCAACACTATATCTCAAAATGGTGCTAAAATGATTTGTGTAACAAAAATAATCGTCTTCTCCTGCATGGAAACATATTGAGAGGGAAGCTAGGAGCTCCCTCTCTTCGCCCTTTTCTTTCCTTCTCCCTCCCGCCCCCCCCCCCCCCCTCTTCTTTAAATGTATCTTTCTTTTTTCCCCTTTCCCTCTGTACTCATTCTTTCTCTATCCAGCTCTCTCTCTCACACATGTACGCACACACACACACATTCTCTGTATCTCTCTCCCTCTTCCACCCACACACACTTTCTCCTTTTCCGTCGCTCTCTCTCTCCCTCTTTCATCCACACACACGCACATACACTATGAACATGACTGACAAAGAAAGCGGACAAAATATACAGTTCCTCAGGTAGACAAAGGAACATCCCTTCACTGCTATTATGTAAAAATGTGTAGAACAGGTGTCACTTGCATATTCACCTTTTTACATAATACCAGTGAAGGGATGTTCCTTTGTCTACCTGAGGAACTGTATATTTTGTCCGCTTTCTTTGTCCATCATATTCATAGTGATACTTCTCCTCCTTTTCTCTCTCATCCACACCTGGCCACACTTACACCTACTAAATTTCTCCTCTCTCTCTCGAACCCACATACACAAATACCCCCTCTCTTTCTCAATCACAAAATGAGGGCATGTAATACAATCAGTTAAATAAAAAGTCAAGTTCTGACTTATGATTTCCTTAATCAACATCTCCATACCATTCACTTTCTCAAATACTAAATATTACTTATAGAAAACATTCAAAGAAAGCATACCGTACAAATAATCAATGCAGAAACAGGAATTGTTTCAAATAGCACCTAAATGGATGTGTTTCATTTTATTGACAATGTATTTCTCAAATTGTTCACATACACTACTAAAAGATAAAAATGCAGTATGTGTTAATACTTGTTGGCATTATGTGTATTGGTCGCAAATAGAAGTAAGAACAAAAGTGAGAACATCAATAGAAATTTGAGAATTACAAATTCATTACTGATTCTGACTTCACGATATATTACTATTAACGTTGGGGTGAACTATTGTTTCTTGGTGCTTAACATACAAGTATGGCTTTACACAGGGCCACATAACATTGTTCATGTAAAAATACTTTATTTCACAGCCAGCACTTACTGTTTATATTACATTAAAATGTGAGAGTCAACTTGAAATAAAAGTTTGAATAGTGGCCAAATCAGTATAATGTATAAAACTAGAAGAGATTGAAATACAAAGCTGAATAAAAAAAAATAACACTAAAAATTTTAACTGCAAATACAGGGTGAATACCATCAAAGTAAATAACTGAATGAATATACTTTTATGTATGGTTCACATTTTGATACATGATAAATTGGATTACATAAAGTTGTTAAACCAACCCCACTTTAAAATCAATAAACATGCTGTATATGTGTGGCTATAAATAGAGAGCTTATTAAAAATGTGAAAGACTTACAATTACACTCTACAGTCAGAAGAAAGACAGGGATTTGAAAGATATTTCAATGCTATTACATACTAAGGGCCTGGTTTCTATCTCTGTAGGCAAGAATTTCACTTGCTAGACATGATGAATAAGTAAAATTTGCCACTCGATTTCTCTGATATCTTGATTTTATTACAGCTCTAAAAAAATATCAATTGAAGCTATTGGTCATATAATTATCAAAAGCTTGATTGTAAACCAATACAAAAAGTAAAATACAGACCATTATTAGCATTCATTGTGAATCTCTAAACAAACTGTTCTTAACATGTTATGTTCTTGTCATGCTTATATATATATATATATATATATATATCTGATACTATTATGACGCTGAAGGCAGTCTGTATGTAGCATTACTGTTCTTTTACACTTTGATGTTAATTGCATAAAAATTCCCAATCTAAATGTTAGTATTGTAAAAACGAGAGGCTGCATCAGTTTCTGTAGCACAGACAAGCATAACTTACCTACTAGATAAGATTGCTGTTCATATTGTCTAAAATACTTCATAAGAATCAACATCAGCTCAATGTACGATAGGTTAAAAAAAAGTTGCATAGTAATTGTTAAGTACTGTATGAAAGCATGTCTGTCTATTGAGGTAAGCTTCTGATCTTTGAAGGCACTTACTGTGACTAAGGCTGTGACTTATTCAATACGTTTGTTTTTTTGTCACAGCAATTTAACACAAGAAGAAGAAGAGCTTTAACAATGTTTCACTAGCAGCATTTCAATTGCAAGTAGGATATTTTTGACAAAGATTAAAAAGGCACCAGTGATATAAAACTGAAGGCTAAAATATACACAATGGACATACCTGAAGATTAAATGCATGAAGAAAAGAGCCAATATACATTCAAGTTACACAACACAAACTAACATTCTACATAGCTATTATACAAGATTGACAGAACAGAATTTTCTCTTGGTAAAAGAGAAAATCAGATTTCTAGGCACCATTAGTCGACAAAGCATCTCCATGGAGACGAGAGTCTGATGACCTCCACAGCAAAGGAACAACAAGCGGCACCAAGCGAACTTGATCACGTGTTGCAACAATCTAGATGGAGATCTGGTATGGTGATACAAATACAGTAAAAAAAAATATTAAAAAAGGAAAAATATGTTACTACTGGAATGAGTAAATTTTACTTTGCTCATCAGACTGGAAATTACATTTTGAATAAAATCTTAAACCCAGGGTCAGTTATAATCATTGAGTAAAATTGAAGCCTATGTGTGTATGATATTTTCACCAGATGGATTTGTTTTCAACAAAATTCTGAAATTTCCATCATGTATAATCTCACATCAGTCAAAACTGAAATATTGTTAATAATTTGGGTCTACACAATCATGAATTGAGGGTGTGTGTGAAATATATTTTTGAATAATTCAAAGTTTCTCTTAATTTTCAGCATGAAGGACTTTGATCTCCCTAACAATGGAAAGAGCAGACATGCAAATAGAGAGAGTGAACACTTGAGAACCAAACAAACATGGACTTTAGACCAAAGTTGAAGTCATACTGAGTTAACAATGAAAAATTACTCAGTATGTCAACAAAGGACCTTGCCATATAAGGTCATCGCTCAACTCGTAGGAGAGTGAAGTGCCACTCAGAGGTCATTGTGTATGATAAAGACCAATAGAGATGACAAACATACTGCAGATTGACAGGACTAAAACTGATCTCCTTTTATTTGTTTGGATCTTTCTTTCAATCACACTTGTAGAAATCTCCAAATAAAAATAAGCACTATTTCATAGAATTGTTGAATAATTCATCAACTTGTCACATCTTTTGAGCAAACTGTTATAGCTAGTTTGAGAATTAAACAGCTTTCATAGAGCTTTTAACCTTTCTGGTTGTAGACAAATGCTGTTTTTGTGATATTTAATTTGACATTAACTACCCTTGACTCTAAATATGTGACAATGGGTTTGCATACAATATGGATGCCCTTCTCGTCATACTTATTTCACTGTTCTGATAAACTTTAGGTAAAAATATGATTTCAAAGTTTTATAGTTTGGATAAACTATAATAATAATAATAAAAACATTACTTATAAAGTGCTTACCACCAAAGTCTCTAAGCGCTATAACAAACAAAATAGACTGATAAACAATTACATATTAAACAAAACAAAAAAGTGCAAATAAACCTACAAATGAGGGTAGAACACATACCATAACAGTTTTGCATTGGAATGCCAGAGTTTTCAAGAAATCACATATTTCATGCTGATATAAGAAAACACTGATGCTCTTTTTATCTTGTGTTATGGTTATTGATCATTTTCCTTTTTCACGAATATCACATGGACGCAATTGTTTACTACATTACAATATCAAATTCTGTGCACGTTGATAAATCCTAATTTAACCAAATACATATAATTCCAAAACTAGACCAGTGTACCTGACAAAATATATTATTCTTTCAACTACCCAAGATAATTTGCATTACATTAAATCTACCCACTGTACACACATTCAATTAAATCAACCAGATTTGTTTAGTATCATAAAATTATTACCCCGACTGTAGCTGAGCCGCCATTATAGGGCGGTACTAATTAAGCATCCAAGGAATTTCTTCCAGATACTCATTTACTTTATGTGAGTGGACAGTAACAGATGTAGATTAATGTCTTGCCACAAGACATTAGTGTCTTGAATAAGGTTTGAAGAAAAAGTGATTGTGCAAGGACAACACAGTGACCCCAGATACATTACTTACATTTAGTTGCAGGGGATATCATTGGGTGCGAGGGCGTTAGGGCAGACACACGTAGCTCTAACCCCTGGGGCTGGTAGGCACAGGTTCCTGCATCCGCCATTCTCATATGCACAACGATTGTTACCTACAAATAAATGGTGAAAAGGATTACTACTTATCTTGGATTCAAACAGGAACTTTGAAACTATTCATCTGTTACATTTAGGTACAAAGCAATCGTTACCTGAAAATAACAGGTGGAAAAGGTGTAGGTTTGAAGTCATATTATCGTGGGTTTGTACAAGGACAGTGACACTATTCATCCAATAGTAAGTCTTTATCAATCTTCTTGACCAAACAGGTCTCGCACTTAGGTAGCACATTGATCATTCAACATATCTGATCATATATTACTTTAATACACCCTCCTTATGGCGTTGGAAAGAAAATTAAGCAACTCTCAGCACAATGTCACAATAATCAAGTAAAAATATATCCACCGAATCAAAGAGTTCAAAAGGGCTTCATAAAATATTGCTCCTTATTTGCAAAGATTTGTGCAACAAGGCCTTGACTTGATGAATTTCGTGTGTACAATTATATAATTTAAGAGTTTGCCACTATTCTCTCGAGGCCGCTATCGATTTGAAGCCTACCGCCCATGATGGCGGTCTCCTGCATTTTCTGTAATTTATCTTTTTTCATTGAAAAATATTTGTGTTTGTATGCATTTTATTTACGGTAATGTACTAAAAATTTATAATTATGTAAAATGAAGATATAATTGTTATTTTATGTATATGTTATATTCTATTTTGAAAACACAGAAATAAAAACAAACAAACAAACAAATGCAACAATATATATTTGTGGTTTTATTGATGTGAAAGGTTAGATGCGTACCATCAGTGCATTGTGTAACAGCAGCGATACCGTAAGTCCTTCCATTGCCTCCCCGTGGTAGAGCAAGGGACTGGACCTCACCTCCATTCTTGTTGATGAATTGGATGTTGGACCTGTCATCACAAAGGAATATAATGAAATTAATAATGATGATGATGATGACGATGAACTACTACTATTACTACTAATAAAGATAACAATATTTCCAACAACAATAGTAATAATGTTAATATGAAGAAAGAGGCGGAGGAGGAGGAGGAGGAGGAGGAGGAGGAGGAGGAGGAGGAGGAGGAGGAGGAGGAGGAGGAGACAAATAGACAAATAGGGAGACAACCGTTATACTACAAATGTAGGGGTATATCTGTAAGGCTACTTACGTTTGCCAGTCTGTCCAATACAGGTTATTACCCAATGAAGCCAGACCAAATGGATACTGAGCAGGACGGTACACTGGGTAACGTGAAAGTGGATCACCATCAAGATTCATGCACTCAACCTTCTGTGTGCCTGAAAATATTAATCCATGAATCATTGTGATGATAAATTTTCCATTTTCGGGGGAGGGGTAAAAAAAAAAACAGTGAGAGTGATTTAAAATGACTTCCTTCCATTGTTCAGTTGAAAAATTACAAAAATCATGCATTAATCTGTACTGATATTAGTGTATTTATCTGATAAGTGCAGTAATAAATTTCAGGGTAAAATTAATAAATTTTGGGGTGAAATTAAATGATTTACCCCACTTAGTCATATCAGTGTATTGGTCTGTTAAACAAATGACAAAGAGTTATGCTTTAATCTATAATATTTTTTCTTGCATATAACACTTTTTGTACTACCAGGTATTGTAAACCTCAAATGTCACAGCAATTACCACTGACAAACTGTTAAAGATCAAGCAATCAACATTAACTGTGTATTAATTTTACTTTACAGCTGTTTAGATAGATTCCAAGTGAAAGTATAAACACTCAAAAGTCTTACCAGCATCTGCCCAGCAAAGAAGCTGTGAGACCAGATCGATAGTGAGACCATTGGGCATGATAAGATCTTCATCCAAAAAGACAGCACGCCCGCTACCGTCCATACCAGACACCTCGATCCTTGGGTAGCTACGGTCCCAATCAACCCAATACAAGTACCTGTAGGATGAAACATCAAATGTGGTCATTATTTCAATATTCATGAATAGAGGATGAAGGACTTGTTTTAGACTAGATGAAATAGACTGAAATCATCAGCAAATGGTCTGAAATAAAAGAGGTCTGTGAATAGTGGTACATGTATAAGTCATTCTCTTCTAGATTTAAGAAATTAATTAGAAAGTTCATAATATCCCAAATGATAATGCCAATATGAAAATTGGATGTGAGAGTATACAGATGGATTTATTCTAACTGTCATCTAATAGTATTTAAGACAAAGCAGCAACATTGATTTTCATATACCAGTATCTAATTTATACATAACTAAAGAGATACATTTATATAAACGTATATATTCTATACACATGTATAACATATATTCATGTCTAAAAATACAATATCATAATAAGATAAATGATAACATCACATATATCACTGTAATGCAAATCAATCAATAGATCATACAAGCATAACTGTGACTTGCAATAGCATAACCGTTGTCAAATGAGATCAATTGCATTCTCTGAAGCATAATACCATTCCCTCGAGGTCAAAGAATAGAAATATAAGTCCTACCCTCCAACTGGATCTATGACGATGGCTCTAGGATTGACAAGATCCGTATCAAATAGCACATGTCTGTTGGTTCCGTCAAGATTAGCAACCTCAATGCGATCAAAACCAGAGTCTGTCCAGTACAGATTACGGCTGAGATGATCGACAGCTACACCTTCTGGGCTGCTCAAACCTGCATAGAGAGAGAGAGAGAGAGGATGGGAATGGTTATGACAACGTAGCAAGGCCATCCCCATTAACATGAAACATACAGGTAATCAAATTATATACCATTCTTTAAGTTTGTGTTGACACTACTAAAGACACTTTGATATAGTTCACTTGTTATGAGGCATAAGGAAATTCCAAAATATGGATGCACAGACATTTTAGAAGTAAAATGAATCAATTCTAGAAAACTTAATTTTTGAGATTGTCAATCATACACATCATAATAAGGAAGATTATATCGACATGACTCTCCTGTATATATGGTTGCCTAAACTTTTGATTAAAAGAAACATACCCCAACTGATCATTATAACAAAAAGCTTTGGATAACTATATCTGAAAACATCAACATGAAATACTAATCATTTTTGAGACAACTAGAAAGGGCATTCTAAATTTCTGTACTTTCTTGTTAACATTTTTATAATGTTAACAAATGTTTACTCATCTCAACAGGTGCTTAGATACAGAATAATTTTACAACATAAATGAAAGCATTTACATAAATACACACCCGCTACAAATCCAACACTAGCACTTTCCTTAGCTTGACGAATATAATCTACAATCTGAGCTTTTTAATAGGTTCCTCACATTTCACCCTGTATAACCTACTATTCAATACAATTAATTTTGACGTCTTTACAAAGAATTGATTATATAATGTGATACTTTTAGTATATTTCATATTATTTTCTAGGTTTGTCAATTATGTGAATTCTATTTTGTGAAACAAGAAACAATATAAAAACTTGAAAAAACTTGAAAAAAAACTTTAGGTTACTTGTGTTGACGACCACACTGACATCCCTGCCATCCAGCGATGCCTTCATGATAGCCCTGCCAGAGATATCAGTCCAATAGACGTACTCATGACGGCAATCATAGCCCAGTCCCACCACTGTCTGACGGCTCTTCATGTAGACCTTGTTTCCTGCGCTACCATCACGGGGCAGGTTCATCACAGACATACCCTGCCCGAACACCAGGGAACCATCAGCCTCAGGAAGCGCTAGCAACATAAAAAGAAGAAAAAAAGGTTATAATATTCATTTTTTGCAAAAGGTAGGCATGAAATGGTAAAGTCTATGCAAACTTGCACTTTCCTGCCTCCATTGTCCATTTTACTTTTAGGAATTTCATGATTTTAGTGAATAATCTATGAAATCATGTAATCAGTTAGATGTTATTTAAATTTGAATTACATTTATATGACTAAAATTTGTTAGTACTTGGCATTGAATTTAAATATGAAGCAGTTCTTTTCACAACTACTTATATATAAATAATTGATAGCACTATGTTTATTACGTTGTATTTTGTTCTTCAGGATGTCTTTTTTGTATGCCCTGCATCTACCAGTAATTTGGTATTATCCTGGCCTAACACACGTTATTTTCTGTTGTTAATAAGCAAACAAATCATTGATGGAGGTGTACATCATTTCCACCATGTTGTGTTACCTGCACCGTTAATGCACTCTAGCTATGCAAAGTATGCATTCATTATGCGTATAATATAATCTAGCACCTGTATAAAGAACAAGAGATATCTAATGCCTGTGGTTCTTAGTCCTTGCATCACCATTTCTTTTTTTCCCCATAATATTCTTTGAAATACAAATATTAACAAATCAATAGTAATGAATCATAAAATATAAATAAATTCAATATAAGATGCATATGAAATATATTGAATAGTATGTCTGAGGTGGTTGAAAGAAGAGTGATAGTCGGGCACATCAGAAATAATTAAACATTTTTGTGCAAAAAATGGCTGAGATATCAATGTTGTTTACCTTCACATGTGAACCCATCTCCTCTATATCCAGCGTTACAGCGACAGGTATAGGAACCTCGGTTGTTCTGGCATCGAGCATTAGCATCACAGGCAATGTCAGCTCCTTCCAAGCATTCATCAACATCTGTAGAAAAAAAACAATGTTTTACTTTGGTATGTATGCTCCTTCAGGGCACCATCACATCATGGAAGCATCATATAATACATTGATGAATGTACATGCATTCGGTAATACATGCTGTTATATCTATATCTTGGTTCAAATCTTGAAATGTAAGCCCTATGCTATATGTTATACCATTGCACAGACTATAGTTTATATTCAAAGATCAAAGATCAATAGTTAAAATGCATAGAAGTCTGTGTTGTCTTCTTACTTTCACCCCCCCCCCCCCCCCATTTGTGACATAGACCTATATCACTATCCACACGCTTTGGGTGGAGTCTTCAGTTAAAAAGTAAACAGCTTATCATTTAGAATTTTCTTTCCAAATGAAGGTCATTTGTAATACAGACCTGTGTAATTCATTTTAGGTTGAATTATTTTGAATTCAATCTTTAGTTCTCTAAATGACAGAATAAGCTGATACTTGCAGAGAATGTTCCAGTCTACAAATTAATACTGGTGAATGATATCTGCCAAACTAATATAGGTCCAACAGCTGAGTGACGAGCAAGAAAGCTAAAGAAATTAAGAAACATGTAATAATCTAAACCACATGCCTAAAAAAGTTTTTTTTTTGTGAAATGTTATTTCCAGCAAGTTTGTTTTCATCGTTTTCAGTGCCAGCATGCCATCTACCAGGCCTGCGTCCAGGATTTTAAGAAAAAAGGGTCATCACCTTAAACGCGCGGGGGGGGGGGGGGGTTTGGGACTAACTAGTTTTTCAAGACATGCACTACCATTCACTACATCTCATGTTAAGCTCTACATTTGTGCTCACCTTCGCATGTAAGGCCATCGCCATTGAATCCAGCTCGGCAGATACACCTGTAGCCCCGCCCCTCTGGTAGGCAGTCAGCATCCCTGCCACAATCAGAGCACAAATTCACTAGCTGGTCTGTAATGAGACAAAGAACAACCATACTAGTCAAATATATCTGCATAAAACAGCTCAGAATGTTTTGAAAACTATCTTTACAAATGACAAATATATTGTATGTGGCTTTGGAAGTTAACTCTGAAGCATTTTTCAATCTAAAGATCTTTGACAAACAAAATAGGGAAGGTTATGGAAGGTTAGAAATTTGGCTGGGGGAAGGGGGCACATATACTTCTTTTTTTATTTTTTATCCTGTTGTATATAGTTAAGGTATGCCAAACTGACATCCTCCATCCTTAAGCACTGTATCGATCCAGAATATAATTTTCCAAAGAAATACAATTCAAAAGGATGACAAATCACAGAATAAAGAATACAAAGGACAGAAAGTTCTCTATGTTTCACTAACAGAATACCATGCCCCAGATCCAATGGATCAATATTTACTCAGGATTCAAGCAAACGGACTTACCTGCTTCTTCACACAAGTACCCATCTCCCTGGTAACCAGATCGACAAGAGCAAGTGTATCCTCCGGGCACGGGGGAGCAGTCAGCGTAGGGATGACATCTATTGTTCAGGCAAGGGTCCTGGCTCTCTTCTATTGGTAATAAATCATCAAAAGACATAATTCGTGAATTTCACTGGTATGTTTAGAAAAATGCTCAATATTTTGATCCCTACAAGTTTTAAAATGATTTGATACCAGAAACATAAATATGAAAGACTTTCAAGAAATCACCCTAGGATAATTTCAATAGCATTGTGCATCGCCTTTTCAAATATACAAACATTTCTATGACATAATGACAAGATACATATACCTCTATTAAATACACCGGGATATGGAAATTCCATGAGTTGCTGTCTTGAAGGTCTCTGGGACCAAGTTACAATAAACATTTTCATATGATACGATGGGGGAACAAAGAAAAAGACGTGGATAGACCACTGGAACCCTGCATTAGTGCCTATAGCTCTTCCATCAGTGTCCTATAGGAGTTTCCACTAATTTGTAAGAATGAACTCCACATAATCAACTTAAAATAAAAAAATCAGCTAATGGTGTCCCAACACTTGCTCCTGCCACATTGCTTTATTTCGTCAGAGGTACAGGATTAAGTTTATTAATGTAAATTAGAGTTAGGGTTGCGACTGGGCTTACAGTAAGGTATAGTGTTGCAGGAACAAGTCTTGAACAACTCAACTGCTTATGCGTACCTTCACAGTTGTATCCATCTCCTACATAACCTGGAGCACATTCACAGGTGAAATCAGTGTCTCCGCGAGGCCGGCAATAGGCATAAGGGCTGCAGTTGTTGTTGTCACATGCATTACCTCTTTGTTCTGTACATTAGGAATATAACATGAAGGGAGTTAATTCCCGGGATTGTGGTATTCTAGGAGAACTGTGAAATATTAGTGAAGGCTCTTGCCTTGTCATACAAGAGATCTTTGGTTATATCCTTGCTTGCTGCATACATCCTTGGACCAGGTGTTTAGCCTACATTTATCCCTCCAAACATGTATAATAAATGGGTATCTGAGGTAAAAATAATTGCAGGGCCAGCAGGAAGAGCAGTATTAATACTGATGTGGCTACCCTGACCAAGACCAAATCATTAATGATTATTATAGAGGTATATTTTATAATAGGCTAATTAATTGCTTGGATCCCATACACATACCAGTCTCAAAGCTGCTATTTTGAATGTAATACAAACTTTAAAATGTTCAATATTAAATCTCGCTCAATGTGTCAATTTCAGAGCATAGCGCAATGTTGTATATCTGTTGCCTAAACAAAAACTGATGAATAGCCTCCATTTTCCTCGCTTGTTTGTACTTTTGATCGAAGATAATCTCTAAAATGAAACATTAATATCATTTACGCACCTCTAAAGGAAAATAGATCTATCATTAATTCATTTTGATTATGCAAAAGGTTTATTCTTTGACTATGATACCTGTATGTACTTCATTATGTTTTTCAGTATGTACATTTGTATATTCAATTATTCTGTTTTTATGTTATGTTGAGTTCAGTTCAAGTTCAGATTATTAAAATGATATTTCATAAATTCAATAAGAAGGGCACAGAAAGGAGTACCTCGTTCACAGTTCCGCCCATCTCCTGTGAAGCCTGTAGCACACTGACAGTAGAAGCTCTGGCCATCATTTGTAGGGTAGCAGTAGGCATACAGAGAACAATCATTAGTGTCACATGGGTCAGATGCTTGATCTATCAAATAAAACAAAAAACATTGGTTGTTAATCCATTCTTGTATGAAGAGTACCAGAATATTTAATCATTTCATTTCAGCAGTAAGTATACAGACGGCAATCATTAAAGTCATACAGGTCAGATAGTTTAATTATTTCAATTTCAATCAAAATTCTGAGTGCTCTAATTGTCCCCAGTGAATACATGTATGCTTCGACCAGGTATTTATTTCCACCAGTTTCTCTTTACACATGTGTAGTTACTGAGTACCTGCATGGTAGCACTTATTCATCATAACAATGTAATATTAGATATATTAGCTGAGCTAAAGCCAAAGTAAAACATCACAAACATGTTTTTATGAATACAAATTAAAGAATACCCCCCAATAATAACATTCTTAGTACTTGGTAGGATTCCTCCAAAAGACGCCTTAAAGGTGTTTAAACTGGAGGTGTGTCGTCGTGTGCGGCCACCAACTTAAGGTGCTGGTTTTAAGTTGGTTTTAAACGCAGATTTCAAAGTATTTAAGGAAGGTTGGGCTACAATTGAGGGAGAAAGACTGTTCCATTCCTTAACCGTCCTTGGGAAGAATGAGTATGCGTATGCATCCGTCCTGACTTTCAGTCTGTGTTTGTGTCTAAAATATACTTCTATCTATACCAGCACATCTTTCAAAACAAGGAAGGCTTTGTATCAATCAAATGAATGTAGATGAGGTGATGAACATGACGACTAACCTGCAACGCAGACACGCCCATCACCATTGAAGCCTGTGTTACACTGGCATGTATAGCTGTTTCCAGCAGGGTAGCAGTTAGCATTGCGATCACAGTCATTATTGTCACACGGGTCACTGGGTGACTCTAGGAAAGGTCAAACGTAAAAAAGAGTTGAATGAGATATGATACATGCATGCCAGAAGGAAGTAATGAGGACCACTGTCAAGCACAGAATGCTTCACACTTAGTATTATCCAAGTTATCTGACTTAATACATGGACACAACATATGTACCGTAGTGCCTATTTTTGCAAAAATAGGATACTTTTGACAAGCCAAAAATGGGGTTATAAAATATGGATATGTGGAAGGAATTGAATGTTCCTAATGTATTCAAAACTGGAGGTCACTATTCTTGAGTCTGCTAATGATCAAGCATTACACCTCCGACAATGAAGTGACACCACTTGAATTTTAATCTAAACACTAACTCAGATTTTGACCTTCAGAATTTTCCTGTGCAGCTGCATGAAACCATCTCCAGGCTTTACTCTAGAATATCAATGAAAATATTCATGAGGGCATGAAGTACTGTGTCAACTACTTTTAAATTCCCTCTTTTTAAAGATATTTTAAAAACTGTTAAATGGATGGTTTAACAATGTTAAATCTGAGATGCACGGCCCTACGTGTTATCAGTGTCTGTGATATGGTCTAATATTGAAGCCCTAAAAAAATTGTGCTTCAAAATAATCAAGAAGTGGCTCGAAAAGTAAAAACCTTTAGGTGACCAGTTTTACCATACTCGTTTTCCCCAATAGACTGTAGTGTTATGAAAACCGTTTGGCAAACGGTTTTCAAAATTTGTAATTCCATTCCAATCATAAATATCTTGATAATCAGACAGGCGATGGGCCTGTAAAAGTCATGGGGTTCCTGACTGACCTATAGGTTTATAATTATCATTGCAGCATGAGCTAAATCCAGGATTTTGTTTCAGAATCTGAGACGAAGTTACCGGATCCCTTTAAACCTTGACTTACCTGTGCATGTATAACCATTTCCAGTGTATCCTGCCCTACACCGACAGGTAAAGGTGTTAGCCTGAGGGAAACATTCTGCATTTGTACCACAGTTGTTATCCTGGCAGGCATCAGTGGGAACACCTTAAAGAAATTAAGATCAAGAACATGGTTAAATGAACGGGAAAATAGTTTAAAAGATTTAGGTAATACAGTGGTAAAATGTGTGAGGAATAAGAATCTAATTGACATTCTAAGACAAACTAGCTTAAAGGTAAAGACCAGTATTGGAAACACCCCAATTTCAAAAAATGAAATGGCAGCTCTCATTACCAATCATGTGAAAGAATATGTTTTGACTAATACATGATGATAAAAAATTTGCCGGGAAACCGCCTACTAATTCATATATTTGGTAAATTTGTTTCTCTCATGGTCTGTGAGAGATATAGGGTAGTCCCATATACATCTTTCTGTGTATAGTGCTTGTAACTTTACGAAGAATGGGCCAAATTTCCTATCATTTTGATGATTCCAGAACCTTGCAGATGCTAGATGCTAGATGATCAACCTTTTATGATCGATTCCACAACACTTCTTTCACAATGCAATCGCATGACCATAACTGGTCTTTACCTTTAAATGTAATACAAAATGGTTATAAAGCACTTTGCTTAAAACAATTACCTTAACTACTATTGATTTTATCAAAACAGAAGGAAGACTGAAAAAAACTCATGTTATTTGATTGTTCCATCTAGAAATCTAATATGCTCTTCATTGGGTAATTGCACAAGTAATTAATCAAAATGGATAGATTAAAAGAAATTGATCCAATTAAGTTACAGCTTAAAACTAAAACTGGGGGTCCAATCAATAAAATTGATCCGGCAAATGACATCTACACAAAGGCCCTGATATAAGTGATCAAAGTTCCTAGATCGAGTATAAGAAGACATGTTAACTGATGCAGGGAATGAATCCTTGCTACGCAGATGCAGTCACAGTGAAATAGTTACCGATATCAGGTCCTACGTTGGTGATCATGGCGTATCGAAGGATATCTCCCTGAGGCTCAAAGATGGAGTAGGCATAGGTGGTGTTCATCCTCATGGCTGTCAGGGATGCATCAGTGTTGATATCATCAGCCTCACACTCCTGGTAGGTAATGGTCTGCTCGATGGAGAACCTGATGGTCTGACCGTCAGCATCCAGGCTGCGCTGCTCAGAGGAATACACATATCCTGTGTTCAACAAACAGGAAAATGAAGAATTTACAATGTTATTGAAATTTTTTACATTACGGAGTTAATAAGAAACTAGGTATGTATATATATTCATTAACTAAGTAAAAGGGTCAGCACTAAAATAACGACTACCGGTATGGAGGTGGTAATTTGTGAATACACCCTTGATGATGGATAATATTCTTGATCAGAATGACTCATGCAAAAAAGTGAACAGTTAACAAACTGTTACATTTTTCTTCAAATAAGTTTGCTCTTCATTTTCCTCTCAATATCAATATATCTCTTATTTATCAAATGTCAACAAGAATTTTCAGATGTGACCCCTGACCAATATCTTAACATCAATTATCATCATCATGAACTTAACATGCAGAAAGCTATATCAGATGATAAATTTTGATCATACTCCATTGCTCATTGCAGAGATTCTATACATGCTAGATTCAATACCTCAATATCCTTTTAATCCTCCATCCACCAATAAACTTAACCCCACAACTACTGAATTATCTTATTCTCATAGGCTCAACTCTTCATATGCCACACATAAATAATCTCCCTGTGAGATATCATGGGATAAATGTACTTTAAGGATGAAAGTTAATTTAACTGTTTCCAGTGTAAGATTAATCTATACCTGTTGAAAGGATCATTCTGGAGCTAATCAACAATGGAAATGGGTAAATTTGCAAAGCCATTGTGTTACAAAAAGCAATTCTTCCATCAGCTGGTGTGTATTGTCTATAAATACAATATGCACATGAGGCAATGACCAGCAGAGGCAAAGAAAGCAACCAAAGTGCTAATAAAAGAACTACCCCAGTTCCCACAGACAACTGGTTATAATTTGCGACTAGCTGTTGTACCTGGTCTGTATTTGGTGTAGACCTCAGAGTGCCTATCTACGGAGACGGATGTACCCGGTGAAAGGTTTGGTACGTTTCCATCGATGGTGACGTAGCCTCCGATAACACCACCACCTTCCTCACTCTCATCCACACCGGTATACCTCTGGATGATGCTCACCTCGTCTCCATTTTCAAATCTGATGTTGGCAGAGTAAAGTAGGTCTCCACCTGTATGATTTTGACAAGACATTATGAGGTGATTAAATCGTTGACTGTAGTTTTCTCATTCATGTAGGCTTATTTATTTATGAATATTAATACAAGAAAAATTAGTCAGTTTCTGGAGGCAATTGGTTAATAATCGAGTGTATAGAAACAGCCATAAATGAGGAATACATAGATGGAAAAGAAGTCAAGAAGATAATGAATGACAAGAATAACAAGTGGGTTTACATAGAAGTCCATATTTCTAGAGAGCTTAATTAAGTTAGTTGAAACATCTTCCTGTGGTTCAGAAATAAGAGGGTACACCACCTTAAAGTACTGTTGTATCAAAATATAATAAGATAAACATAGTGCACTTCACGTTTCTTCATCTTGCAACATACAGATCTGGGAGTACACCTAGGAGGCACTGTTGCGCACAGAATTATTTTTTTACTCTCAAAACATTGCTTCTTATCATTCATTTACATGCTTAGTTTTGCTGCAGTGATTTGTTTTGTTTTGTTTTGCTTTGTATTATGTCTGAACAGGTCTAATTTACTGGTACCAAATTCTTCACCCTATACAGGGCTCTATGCTAAAAGGTGCCAGAGACACATGGGTGACCAAAATCTATGTCTGTACCATTACCATTTTGAAACATGACGCTAATGCATAGTCTCTTAAAAGTTAAATTTTGAACCCCTTCCCCTAAACTTGGTGTGAAGCCTTGACCTAAATAACCTTTCAACTGTTGATCCAACAAATCTATTTTTTGTCATCAAAGAATGCTTACTTAGCCATATTTGGATGGAAACCTTCAAGTAATTCTCACCTGTTTGCATGAAGCCATTGATGCCCTTAGCAGCTGGTTCTGCAAACATCCAGCCCATGAGCTCACCGATGGGCAGAAGGATCTGCATGGAGTAAGCTATGGATGAGGGTACGGGACTGATGGCTGTGAAGGTGCGTCCACCTCCTCCCATGATGAAGGTATGGAGATAGACCTCGTCGGGAATGGTCACTCCATTGATTGTCCCGTTCACACGACCATTCATACGTCCATTGTCGTCTGAAAAGCACACACACATCATAGGTTAATACGGATAGGGTTTAAACATGCATGGTCTAGTGTCATTGATTGCAGTTGTTCTGAATTCTGAGCATAAAAAACATGACAAAGATCACTGAAAATTAGAGATCAGATTCTGTATTTGAATACATTGTTATTAATACTTAATGAGATAAAGCTATTCCACTGATTCAAGATAGTTACTGTTGAAATTTTCTCCCCAGATGTGATCTCCCTAATGACACTTTTCCACTTTTTGCTTGAAGCTCATGCCTCTTTCTTCATGAATCATCAATATATTAGGAGGCTTTACTGATTAAAACCACAATTTGAATCTCTCTTACAATATCAGGGACAAATGTTATGGTGAAATTTATGATACATCACACATGAGCCACAAATATATCAGCTTTTGCCAATATTCATGTAGGTCTTAATATTGATTCATTAAAATATTGGTCAGTATTAGTTTGTGCTACAAAGCAATGAAAAATGGTTTTAATCCTAGTTGTTCATGTACAATAAACCAAGTAATAGCAACAATGAAATCTCTTGATGTTGAAATCACAAACTAAATATAATGTAAACTAGGCAATTGGACAATGGATTAAAAATGAATAATAAAGTTGTAGCGTATTCGTAAAATCCATGATGACTGAATGTCTGTACTTACTGATGGACAAACAGTGGATACCGTTGCCCATGAAGCCCTCATTGCATGCACAGCAATGACCAGTAGGGTAAGGTACACAACGTCCATCCACACTGCATGTCTCTCTAGTACACTGGTTCTCAAAGTCTAGAACAACATCAAATGCTGCACAATAAACAAAGATTAGAAATCAAACATTTAATTTCTTCACATAATAAATGCCTAAGTTTGTTTGGTAATAACAAAAAATAAAATAATCAATTGCTTTAATAATGGTAGCATAGATATAAAAAGTGGAAACATTTTCTCTCAATATTCACAAACTTTTTTTCCTCTGTTTTTTTTGTTATTGTTTGTCTTTTATTGTATTATCATTTATTTTACTGATGGGTAGAGTGGTGGGGCATTATGCTGATATTCCAAACAATTTGGATATATAATTCATACAAATTTTAATAAGAGGACTCTCTGCATTCATCTCAAAGCAAAATATTATTCTGGGGATGAAACATTGTATAAAAGATCAACATGTAATCAAATTCTAGGACATAATTTTCTTTTTCCTATTCAACAATAAAGATAACATAACAATATGAGAAAATATTAGAAGGGGCTTTTTGTTTTACAGAGCATATGTTTGTCAGCTGTACAGATGTCTATGAATCAGCAATTTTGCTTCATTAAATTTATGACACTGCATTGCTGCACCAAAATGTTTTCATGTTTCATTTCTTCAAATAAAACAAGGGGTGAAAAGATGCTTGTAGGGTGCCTCACTTGGCAAGAGTTCACAAACAAAATGTGAAATTACATTTTAATATAGACAAGAAAAGGAAACCAATTACTAACTTATAGGATGTAATATCATTTTGAGAAGCTGTCTCCGTGAGGTAATTAAATTACAGACCACTTCCTATACTATCTTTTAGAGATTGTTATGATCGAGTAAACCTATTCCATACATACAGAGTGAATATACTGGGGAAAAAATAACACACCTCTTCGGAAAGTACAGGTTTCATATCAATCTATGATAACTGTGTGTGATCTAATAATTCGATGGCCATGCAGTACACTGAAGAAAAAATAGAAACACAGGTCACTCCATCATACATTATTTAGGGACATCAAGTATGAAGAAAATATGCATATTTGACTACAATCACAACTATATCTATGGAAGCTAATTTATGGTTGGAAACAGAAATATGAACTAACTATTATCTAGTTGGATGTTGACTGCATCCTGTGGGGGTTCGTCATTCTGGGGAAGGCTTTCGACAGGTACGTAGGCCACTGCAGGGATGATGTTACCGTCCATACGCCCATCAATCTTGTATGCCCACATCCCATTCATACCAACGTTGGAGTCCCTGTAAGGAGGATAGGCAATGCAAAAAAAAATTCTGTATATCAAGGGAAAGTTTGGTAGAAACCATTAATATATAACTATCATGGTGAAACTTGGTCTATTCATTTAAAGGTACATCCCATTCAAACCAATGTTGAGGCTCTGTAATACAAAGTAACTAACCTCTAGGCCTTTGGCCTACATCGATAATTCAATATGAATAGTTTTTATAAATTATAGTATTTGATGGAGGTATAATAGGTTCCAATGGAAGAACAGTCCAAATGGCCGAATCTGGAAAGAGCATTACATGTGCATGATACATATATGACCAGAGTAAGGAGGTACAAGGTACTATCAAGCAGATGGCATTATCATTATATTTATCTTACTCTTCAATAGATACTGGTCATGTCCTCCTGTCATATACACTGGTATGCAATAGGTCCGAAATATATTAAAGGGTACGTCACTCAAAAACCAGTGCAAGGATTTACAAGCAGAATAATAATAATAATAATAAAAAAAAAAAAAAAAATAGAAGTATATATATATATATATATATATGTACATATTGTTTCTATTTTCACAAAGTGACGGTAGTGAGGAAAATCTCCACGCAAATTGTATGCGATTTTCATTCACTACCGTCACTTCATGAAAATAGAGACGATATACAATGTATGTACATTGATTTGATATGTTCTCAATAGAAAGTTAAAGGTAAAGACCAGTTATGGTTATTGTTATTGCATTGTGAAAGAAACGTTGTGGAATCGATCAGAAAAGGTTGATCATCTAGCATCTAGCATCTGCAAGGTTCTGGAATCATCAAAATGATAAGAAATTTGGCCCATTTTTCGTAAAGTTACAAGCACTATACACAGAAAGATGTATATGGGACTACCCTATATCTCTCACAGACCATGAGAGAAACAAATTTACCAAATATATGAATTAGTAGGCGGTTTCCCGGCAAATTTTTTTATCATCATGTATTAGTCAAAACATATTCTTTCACATGATTGGTAATGAGAGCTTCCATTTCATTTTTTGAAATTGGGGCGTTTCCAAAACTGGTCTTTACCTTTAATGCCCTGTATCTAAGTGCATTGACAAATGGAACTAGAAAACAAAATCAATGAAAGGAGTAAACAAAAAAATCACCCATTGTTTATAGCATGTTAAACAAATTTAAAACGATATTTTAAATAACAGTTTTATTTTCCAAGGTCTTAGGCTGTCATTATTATAATGAAACTTTCATGTTGTTTCCCACGCTTCAGAAGGATACATAATCCATGTAAACAGCAAATACCGTCAGTCAGACCTATAAATATAGTATGTTCCAGTAAATAATAAAATTACAGGATACAGAAACCTCAAATTTAGGTGGGAGTAGCATGAGAAACTTTGTTTTGGGAAACAGACGAGACAATGCTGAGGTTTCCTGCTCAAACAATTCAACTGAATGCACAACAGGAAATCAAACTGTGAACTTTGATAAATATCATCCTAGATGTCTGTCTTGTCCAATTTTACAAGTTCGTGTGAAAATGATGAACAACGTTGTATACCAGGTACTCATCTTCTTAACCCATTGTCTGCTTGAATCTAGTGACTCATGTATTAAAGCCTATGGGAATGAGAGAATCCAGGGGTCAATAGGATTATAAATGATATTGAATTATTCTCTTTTTGAAAATATACACACTCACTAATGTGAGTCATACTTTTTATTTGCATTTGACAGTTTGACTTTTAGGGATGCAAAATAAATGAATGACAGGAAACCAACAGAGTAAATACTGCAATAGAAATCAAAATTGTATTGATAAAATGTCTATTTGCATTTCCTTTATGTAACGGGTCATGTACTTTGTAGAAAACAAAAGAAATACAACACATGAGGGAAACTGAAATTTTAGTGAAGTAATTTAAAGGTTCTTCCGGTAAGTTCTTTCTTTCCAAGCATTTATGTAATAATACAACCACTTATATATCCATCAGAGGCTTTACTGGCCTGCAACTAAATATGACCATTGGATAAAATGCAAAGGAAATCTGATGATAATTTCCAAGGGGCACCAAACAGGGAGGTAGGAGTGGCTGCTCCTACATACATAGTTGATTTTGCTATAAATAACAGACTCCAAATCCCATTTCAAATCTGGTATCAATATAGCAGGGATTTGTCATTAGGTTGAGCATTATAAATCAAATCTATAATAAGAGGAACATAATTCTAGTCTCATAATGAGAAAATTCCAGAATTATCTCAATTAAATGAAGAAAGTCAAATGTATTTTTATTTGTTTAATGAAAAGTATTTGAGAGACAGTTTCCTTTAACTTTTTAATAACCTCCGAACTGTTGACCCCCCAAAACATATTTTATTTAAGATAATTTGACGCTATAATGTTATCATCAAGTCATCACATTTCTTTACTTTATACCAAGGACATATATATGGCATGTCTCTGTTCATACAAACTTTCTCCCTACTTAGCACCGTGGACTATACATGTAGCTATGAGAGAGGCTATTGTAGGTCCAAGCTAGGCACACCCACAAAAGCTAAAAATAACTCCTACTATATGAAGTACCTCTTCATAAGATTAACCTGCCCTTATCCCTTCAACACCGCACCAAAATGACCCTTGTTCACCTCCATCAATCATCGGTCATATCCATATCCCTGAGCAAATTTTTTGAAACAGTTTCAAAATATCTTGCTGACGTGATGCACAACAACTCAATTTGGGTTTTGAATAACGGTGAAAAGGAGGAATACGATTTTCTAAATAAGCAGTCAGGCAGCAAGTACTGACTATTAAAGAGTAACACAATTTGTTAAAGTATAAGAAAACTTGAGAGGAACAACGGTACTATATACTATGTGTACACTGCTTCCACTTTGACCTGAAACTCATGGAATGTAAACAGTGCTCATTATTCCTAAAATCTTTTGCTTTGACTTTGCACAAACATGAAACTGTTTCAAATCACTTCCACCTGGAAAATTTGTAAAAATTTCAAGCATTCAAAAATGTCTGGTTTTTACAGCATCCACAATTCCACCTACATATCTGCTAAACAACATAGGTTGCGTTTATCTAGCAAATTTTCGGCTAGAATCAGGTTTCTCAAACGTCTTTCAGGCAAATTTAGAAGTAGATAAACTCAAAGCCTTTTTCAAACGTCTTTAGATATGGGCATATCTAAAGACGCAAAAAGGTGCGTTTTGAATGTGACATACAGCCAGAATCACGTTTCTGAAAGATCGATAAACGCAAAGCTGTTTTGAACCTCACATACAAATATGACCACCCAGGTGTTGTGTACAAGCATACGTGTGAAGTTGACCTCCGAGAAACTGTCTGCTTCCCGGGTCAAAACAGCTGGGCAGACACAAAGCCTTTATTTTGAATCGTGAAGGGTCGATAAACGCGACATCCCGCAAATCACGATCGTATAGTGGGGTACGATAGTGGGGTTCGATAGTGGGGTACGATATGTACATATCTAGTGGCAAGCCTAGATAAACGCGCTCATAGTTGATGCAATCCAAAAGAAATTCAGCAAATAGATTAGAAGACATCTCTAATCTGCATATGGAAATGAGAGTTTACATGAGGACCTCCAAGTTGACACAAGGTCTCTCCCGGTTCAGCTGCATTCTTTTCATGTCTGTTGGAGTCATTCTAAAAACTCTATACAAGCTGCAGCGATTAACTGGTAAACGAGCAAACATTATGGGCACCACTGCTCTGTCAATTTGATTAGTACAACTAGAAGAGCTAGGCATGCATGATAGTACTGGCCTTTGAAACTTTTACTACTCTGCAAACAATCTATGTTTTCTTTTAGGCTTTCGACCTTTTAATTGTAAAACTAGGATAAAAAGAAGGAATCATGGTCAAGACCTAACCAACTTTTAATCAAATTAAACCAAAGACAATTTGTGGCTGTCTAGCTTGGTAATGAAGATGTAGTAAGGAATACAAAAAACACAAAAACACATAACCACAAATTCATTCATACATGTATGTGCTAAACTGTCAGCACTGTGATACAAGAAATAGAATCTAACACTAGGACAATAATTACATTAATTGTTAATCAATAGATGTTAAAAAAAGACTCTGTGAATTAAATATACATGGTTCTTTATTAAAGACAAGAGAGATACATACTATAAGGGATATGAGACACCTCCCTGATACTACACAGAAATAACTAACCTCTAGGTCTTTGCCCTACATCAATGATTCAATGTGAATATTCTTTATAATTATGATTAGTAATTGATGGAGGCCGGTATAACAAGTTCTATTACCGGTAATATGTAATGAAGAACATGCCAAATGGTCAATCTGGAAAGAGCATTACATGTGCATGATATGACCAGAGTAAGGAGGTACAAGATACTATATCAAGCAGATGGCATTATCATTATATTTATCTAACTCTCAATAGATACTGGTCATGTCCTCCTGTCATTATACACTGGTATGCAATAGGTCCGACATATATTAAAGGGTACGTCACTCAAAAACCAGTGCAAGGATTTACAATCAGAATCTGAAATCCTTTTAGATTTGCACATCAAAATAAGATAATAAAGAAAAAAGAAAAACCCATAGCAATTTTTTAGCATTAATATTTACATAATAAAGTTACATGTAGATCTCCATTTTATATCATTTTTAATATGTTCTTCTTCTGCCCCAAAATAGCAATACAAAGTTGTAAAAAGAGCACAAAAAGTACTGATCGGTGTATAGGTAATAAAGTTTATGGAAAATGATAATGAATGACTGGTTTATATAATATATAATATACCTCATGGCTTCAAAGAGAGTAGCAGCCTTGTTGTCTTCCGTGGTATAGACCATCTCAAACTCCCACTGATTATGAGCCTTTCCTGAGGTAAACCCAGCATCAATGTTGCTACCAATACGATCAGGACGAGGGTAGTCATTGTTTTCATCATAGAGGAAGAAGGCAAAGGAATGCATCGCATCAGCTACCAAGATGAGCTGGAAAGTTACAGTCTGTATGTACAAGGAGAGAGTACAACAAGCATAGATAATTATTTATTTTGTCAAAAAGTTCATATGAACTTGTCTGCTGAGAGCCAAAAAAGGTTTATGTCAAATGATACAATACCTTTCTGACTCTCAGTTGATATAAAGCCATAATCAATTTTTGAAAAGAATGCAAGTTCTATTTATGAAAAGTATATATTATATTTTTTCAGTTATGTTCTAGTTATACTATGATTCATACTTTCAAAGTTGATTATGCCTTTATTTGTTAAGATATTGTATAAACTTCAGTAATTACTATAATTTTTAAAAGTTCCCACACTGATCTAGCATGATAAACATATAAAAGTGCAACACACTTTCTTTTGTCTTTGTTTGTTTTTATGCAAAAACAACAATCAATGACCAAAAAAAAAAAAAAAACAAGACAGCAAAATGATTTGGAAGAATAATACAGATAATATTAAATAAATCAAGAGTAAAAAGGCTCAAAATTCAAAAGGACATTAGATAATAAGACTTAATTGGCTGACCTTTACGAGATCTGGATAGAAAAGATTAAGAAGAAGAAACATATTTGGCTTCAATTCTCACTCTTACAATGAGCACCCTGCAGTTAACATTATCTCATCCTCATCTCTGGCAATATGACAATATTTTTATTTGAAAAGAAATGCTGTCAGGTATCCTTATTTACAGTAATGCAATTTCCAGCACTACTTGGAAAGCTTAATATTCCTACCCAAAACAAGTTAATCAGGATTGTCGGCCTTCAACAGTTGGTACAAACCCACAAAAACAAATATTCCCCTGATGCATATCAGTACTACATACTGATGTAATTTGTATTAAAAATTAAAAAAAGTGGGCATACATTTTGGTATAATTATCTAATATGCTGCAAGCAAGTTGTTTGTATCTCTTGGGTATGTTGGACAGGATTATGTATCATTTCATACAGTAAAGACACACTGCTACTATTAATACAGCTGCTACATTAGCATTTAAAGGTCTACCATACATCTTAGGTCTATGGGTCTAATATTTCTGTACAATTTCTACGCCCACACGTGGGTGCTTTCCCTGATTTGTTGTTAATTAGGCTGACAGCCTATATCCTTTCACAATATGACCTTATGACTTATGTTCACAACTTCACACTATAAATACATGTTACATTCATATCAATATGAACCCACCACATCATGGTACCCTGTTTGCACTATGGTGGAGCAGCCATGGGAGCACAAAAGCATGGCACAATTTTGATGTAGTAATTACTAACTTTGTAACAATATTACTGAGTTATATAGACCAAATTTAATAGGGTGCTATGTTCTGGTAGATATTCTGCTTGATCTTAAACTTAAGTCATCATTATTTCGTGCACAGTTTTGTTTTCATGCTGCTCCAACTTATAGTCACAAGCTCGTATTAATTTTTCTCCAATTAAGTACAAAATTTCTATGCATTATAACCAATAAATTTCAACAAAATGAGCCCCTATTGTATAACAAATTCACTATATGACTATACTGGTAACTATCACTTCTAGCATTAGCAAGAGGTTTTTCATTGAAAGATATCTGTATTGGGCTAAATTTCACCAAATACAAACAAGAAAACCAAAATCCATGCACAACTACCGGTAGTGACTGAAAATTGTGGAGACCAGATTAAGAGTTGAGTGGAAACACACCCCTAGATTTGATTTCCATCTGGCTTTTGACACTCCGACATCTGGTTACCATTCCATCTAATGATACTGCATACCAAAGGGGAGCCCTCAACAACAAAAATCTAAACTTGAACAAATTGAATCAGACCAGAAATGGATTTATACCAATTTACCTGTCAAGCCAATTTCAAAGGAGCTTTTGATACAGTTTTCAGATATCTTGTGTTGTTGTTGAAGAAATCAATTTCTATGTTGCTTATTAATATGAATTGCATTGTAATCTTTCTATTTCATGCAAGATTTGAGATGTCTCTCAAAAGCACAAAGAGCCTTTTGTTGACAAAGTAACAGAAAAAAACTCAAAGAAAGAACTTGTAACAAATTCAAGAAAAGAGTTGAAATTACAATTTGAGTATTATCACATCATTCACATGATTGAGTTACTGTAGTGTCTTCTCCACAAAATTGTATGCTTCAGTTTACTAACAACTTACAAATTCAATATTTGCTGAAAACAAGAGTCAAACCATTTTGTAACATTTGACAGCAATGCCCCACTCATGGATTAGTTAAAAATGTCATGCTGAGTAACAAAAGGAAAAAATACCCCATTATAAAACTAATGCCTGGATTACATTTGGCCTGAGATTAGTCTACGGAGGCCGTATCCTGCCCGTATCCCCTTTTCCGTGCGACCTCTGTGCAGAAGCAGGAGGCGACCGTGAGATTTTTGTACGGATTCACGGGCTCCGCAGCCTGTACAATTTTGTTTCGCGAGAAGTTAAACAAATTTGAAAAAATCGTAAGCCCGTAGCCCATATACATGTCGTAGGTAGCATCGCCCGGAGGCCTCGCACTGATTGTGCAGCAAACGTACGATTTTTCGGTGAACATGGGGGCAAAAAAAATCATGCAGAGATTGTAGACTCGTTGGGCATTCGCACGGCCATTGCACAGCTATAGCAAGGTTGCTGCTCGCTGCCCGTGCAGTATCCGTGATATTGAGCAGTCATCTTTGCACGGAAGCTGCACGGGCTCCGTACGATTTCCGTGCGGAGGCTGCGGAGACTGCACGGCTACTGCATTCAAATTGCACGATTTCCGTACAATCTCCGAGCAGCCTCTGTACGGATTTGCCCTGGCCTGCCCCCGAGGGCCAACACAATATATGGCACGATGCTCGTAGTTAATGTAAACACAAACATCGTACCCCGTAGCCTCCTACGATGTCTACGAAAAACCGTAGACTAATTTATCATACGGCGCCCGGGGCAAACGTAATCCAGGCATTACTTCTACCTAAATATAGAAGGAGTGACTTTGAATAGATCGAGCAGTACCATCTGACTTCTGAAAATATATGTATTGTAAAATTCAGTTGAAAAAGTGATGGTAAGCAAGAAGATTTTGTTTGTTGTTGTTGCAAACACAGGTATCAAATTCTTTTTTTAAACTTTGCAAGTTGTCATTATTATGATATCTGTACTTTCAGGACCATTTGTAATACAGAATGGATAGAATTCTTATTGAATACTGAAATTAATTTTCCCATATCGTGCAATGTGTCTTTTATCAACCTTTTAAAATCAAAATCTGAAGACCATAGAATAATGGAGCTTTCTGGTATCACTTAGTTGTAGTCAATTCAAAAGAGATTTCATTCATGGATGAGATCTAGATAAAAGTCTTGTGTCATTTGGGACATGCACATATTGCACAGAAGCACCTAAGATGTTTGTTTAATGAAAACTCTTAGGGGAGGATTTTCTTATTATGGTCTACCGTACCAGTAAGCCAAAAATTTACACTATCTTTATGACCATGTCATTGTACCTTTAATAATAATATTTATGATCATGCCTACTTGAACAGATGAGAAGTAACAGAAATCGTACATCTGAAATCCATTACTTGAGGTATTTCTCCCTTGTAAAGGAAGTTATAAATAGAACATTTGTCATCAAACAGGAACTTCATCCATGTGGTACCCACAAGTTACTGTAATTTATGGAGTCTGGGGCATGAAGTCACCATAAAGTACAAGCAACAGAGGAAGGAGACTAGAACTGTGTTATGACTGGGGTTAGAAGCTCAAAGGGAGTGGGAAACTTGGGGTATCGTTAAACTGAAACTGGGAGTATCGTTAAACTGAAACTTGTCATCATTCAATCACACTGCAGTTGTTAAAGAAGTGTCTATAAACATGGATATCAAGATTATATTAAAATTGACACGAAGGTTATCTTTATCGTCTGCTGAGAGCTAGAAGTTGGTTAACTCCGTGTAAAGGATTTGAGTTAATGCCCTTCTGGCTCTCTGAGATCTGTGGTGCTATATGTCTCATATAAATAAAGAAATAGAGCTTTTATTCTAGGCATAGTGGATTTTGCCTGCTCTAGTTGACAACATGTTTGACAAAGTCTGATGAAGATATAAACCAACCACACTATCATGCTTTGGTGCTTATCAACAAGTGGAGATTTCCAAACAGTGCGAACCCAGACACACTGATTCATAGCAAAGAAGAAAAAAAAACACTCTGCTTGAACAACAAGCTCTACTTGTCACAAACACTGCTCTTAACCTCTGCCATTGCCCCCCCCCCCCCCCCCCAGAGAATAGTGATCTTACTCTTTTGGTTTCATTCCTGACCACACATCCATCTAGATCCCAACCCCTATCAATCCATGCTCGCTGTAAGGACTGATGTCCCATACAAAAATAACATGGAGGACAGACGAAATATGTGCAGGGAAAATACATTTGAGTGGGAAGATGCAAGCTAAAAAACAAAAAAACTTTGTCTTTGTACCATCACCTCATTACCCCTTGGGAACATCTCTTTTGGTTTCATTCCTAAACACATACCCATCTACGTCAAAGTACCCAAATCACTTCATGATTGCTGTTTATAGGGACTGCCATATTCTCCAATGTGACAACATGAGAGGACAGACTGAAGATGTGCAACAAGCTACAAGTACACTTGTCTCGTTACTTGTTCCATTACCCCTAGAGAATGGAGATCCATCTAGTAAGGTTTCACTCCTAACACCACACATCCATCTAGATCTTACCACAATCACTTCACAATTGCTCTTGCAGACTGTCATATTTTTCCCATGTGACAATAACAAATGATTATTCTTTTTTGTAAATTGATCTGTAAACTTACAGTGAATACCAGTGTAAAACTAATTTCTGAATGGATAATAAATGCGTAATTTCAATTTCAATGAGGACATACTGAAGGCAGGGAGCAGTCCCTGCTGAAGGTGTGCACAGTAAGGAAAATAAGCTTGTCTGAAAGAACTGCTCTTTAACATTGCCTCATCCCCCAAGAGAATATCTCTCTTGGTTTCGATCCCAACCACGCATCTACTTAAATCTTACCCCAATCACTTCATGATCGCTGTTACGGACTGCCATGTTCTCCCATGTGACGATAACAAATGAGGAAGGACTGAAGGTGGTGAAATCAGTGGACCCTCGGCTTCTGAAGTTCCTCTGGATAAGATTAATGATCTCATCTTCTTCGTTGGAAGATACAGTCGTCCGATACCAGACAGAGCTTTGACCTCTGCAAATGAAAGGTAGAAGCAATAAAAAAAATTCATCAAGCATATCATAAAAAGTAAATTGAATATTCATTTGCATTTTGCAAGGAGCTGAAATGCCATTTACCAACTGAAATTTGAATTTTTTACAACAACAAACTCCTAAAGCTCGATTATTCTGCTAGAACTTGGCATTACTTCAGCTTTTGTGTAACGCTTCAAGCAGTGGCTAATGCAAGTCTAACCTCAGTAGTAACAGTATTGGGTTGTGAGGAGAGAAGAAAAAGAAGATTAATTCATTATTCATAATTACCTTATTAACTTGAGCTTGGTATGGAAAGGTGCAATCTTACTGCCACGAGCTCCTGATGAAAAGCTTACATATCCATCACGAACAATCTGTAAAGATTGAGAAAAAATAAAAAACAGACACTTATATACTATGATTTATGTCTAAATAAGAACAAAACAAAATAACAACAAAAATAAAACAAATAATGAAAACAGCTATGATAAGGGCCTAATAAAATAGTTGACTAACTTTTATTTATGTAATGATTAAAAGACATGATTGTGAATCGGTTGTCAGTTTGTGACAAAATCATGATATGATTTACATGTTCAGAATTGAAACCCATTACAGATCAGAAAATACCGACTACCGGTATTAGAAGATAGAAATAAGCAAATTAAAATGGTGAAAGTTTTGAAAGGACTTGTAACTTGTACTTGCTACACACATCTGTATATTGTAATGAGAGAATGCCTTTACAAGATGGTATTTGCAGGAATTTCATTAAAAATAAAATAATTTATATTCCTCATCACAATATAATATATTAACTTAGCAGATAGCAGAGAAGACACTTAATGGATAAGGCTGCCATGAACTCATGATACATTAAAATGTGAAAATCAGGTGAAACTTATTATTTGTTAAAAATGAGCAAGTCTACAGTGGAAGTTTGTTAAAGACCATATAAAAGTAAATTTCCTTTTGATTTTCTTGTAATTTCACATTAAAATGGGTCAAAGTATTAAAGATATGTTGCACAGTTGCATGAACCTATCAGTTTAGTCTGGTTCATCAAAACGGTCAAAATTCTAGCCTTGACCATTCATCATATACAATACGATCAATGAAGCTTGATTTACGATCATCAAAACTTTACAAAACGTTTTTTCTTTAGTTCACTACCTCCAACCCAAAACCATGTCTTCATCTACTGCATCTAGTATGTCAGCGTACTTACACAAATAAGCAATCTAGCAGTTTTCAAGCCATTTTAAACCCAACTTAACTCCTAATTTGAGGAAATATTCTCTTGATCCACACCAGTGTGAACTATTGATGATACCACCCACCCTCATTACACTCTCATCAAAGGGGTGTACATGTAGCTACACCACACTACAGCAACCACTTCAATATATATGCCGCTGCTCCCGACAATTCTGTGAAGGTTTCTGCCTCTTTGAAAGGAACGGTCCCTACAATCCAATACTACAAAAACAGTGAATGGATCAACAATACCCACTCCTTCTCTATTGTAGTCCAACTACACTGAGAACCACCTAAGCTCCACAGTGTCTGTGTTTTGCAACACACACTGACTGGCATTTGTATTCTACCATTCAATCGGAAACTCACAGCACCCCTTAGTATCAGTATGGGAAAAGAAGTTCTAACAATGGTTTTAAAAGTTCTACAATGCAGTTGAATCGGCGAACAAATCTTTTCACAGATTCAGACAAATCGTTCTGCAATTATATCTATGTAATTTCATATCCAATTACACACATTTACATCTCATGTGAGAAGAGGGTGCAACCACGCATTAAACCTCCTTCCTCCTGAACACCGAACCTGTTTTCATTTCAGCTTCACTAGTCTAATGGAATTCCTGCCGGAGCAAGTTCAACTACAAGTTTAGCCCAGAACTTCCACTCCGAGACAAAGTGGGGCTGACATACAATACTTGAATGATATATTGCACAGCCTCAATTTTCTTGTTAACTCCCTGCTGTGTAATTGCTCCCCAAGGTGTATCATATTCTAGAGGAGGTACAAGACCCCATTAAATTCAATATGAATTCAAGAGATATTGCATGGATTTGAGGTTGATAAGGAGGGCACAGAGCATGTCCTGCCAGCATACTGATTCAGATAAATGTTTGTAAGTGGGTTTGTTTCTGAGCCAAGTTACGGTAATGTTTTTATATCCAGGTTTTGCCCTTAATCTAATAATACTAGTACATGAAGTCTCTGGGGTACTTAAGAGTTTCTGTAAACATAAGAATAATTGCTATTATGAAGGTAGCCAAACGGTTCATCTAACTGTATTTATCTTTCTCTGCATTAAAAATAATGCAAAATAATAGTTTTAATAATTATACCGTAAATGCAGGGGAACTCTAGATATCAAGTTAAAATGGACATGTCTACAGGTCTACAATCTTAACAAAATAGAGGGCGTTAAAGTTAGGGTGACTATATGCCTACATGTAGCTAAGCTCCAGGGTCAAAAAGCAAGCCAGTGTCAAACTACATTTACCTTTTTAAAGGAGTAATGTAGTTCAAGATAACAAGTTGTGGCAGCACTGATGGGGATTATAAAGAGGTGAAGCCATGGACTATTGATTGGACATGTCAATACAGTCAGAGCAGAGCTCTCATGCCTGAAACCTGACCCAAGAATGACAGAGGATGTCCTTTCTTCTCTCTTCCCTTGATACCAATAGCGGTACAAAAGTGACTATCACAAACACTGTACATGATGTACATCCTTATTGTGCACCCCTGAATCAATCAGAGATTGAGCTGGAAGGGGGGTAATCTAGTGACTAACACCAGACAATACACTTCCTGTGGGTAAGGAGATTTGGCCCTAAGTCGCCTCTATCCTAAAAGAGACAGCTCTATAGAAGAGCAGGGAAAAGATATCTTCATCTTAATCTGCAGGGATATGTTCTGAATGGAGCATATTCCTCTACCATGCCACATGTTTATCCAATAAAAAAAAATCACTTGATTATGATAACAATTAACAATTACATTCAAAAGAATGAAAGAAGTTAAGGACCCCAAGGAAATCAGGTCAATTCAAGTATGTAACATGCCCATGTAGAAAGAATAGATTCCAACATGTGTATTGTTTCAAATGGTGAATAATTTATATGTTTCCTAACATCAACACATAAATACAGGTCTAATTGTAAATGAAAATATTCATTAATTCCTTTAGCATTTAAAGAACTTACACATTCTAAATAAGTCAATGAGTGAAGCCTACAGGATATTAAACAAGGATTACCCGGTAAAAGGAAAAAAGAAGAAGCTCATACCGGTACATGTGTGTGTAGGTCTTTCTAAATTCAGTTTTCAAAGTCTTCCTTTCAATCAGGATGCAGCGATCCAAGACAATGGATTAGATTAGAGGCCATCTAAGTTCCATTGAAACGCTTACCAGTAATGAGATCTTTGGCACAGGATTAACCTTTGGGATAAGGGGTTCTTCAACAAAAAACTGACTTTCATGTTTGAATATCTCTCTGATTTCCTGCAATTTCATGAAATAATCTTGTTAGGAGAAAGCTAAAACTTTGCCAAGTCAGAGCCAAATATTATTCCTAATCTAACACTGTGTGCCTAGATGTTTAATGTAATAATTATGTAGTTATAGGTGGCAAAAACAAAACCATGCACAAAATGCACACATCATTATTTTCTCTGGTTGCCAATAAATCTAATGGCCCAAAATCTAGAAATGAGTTGTGGCATACTTGTAGGCATCCCTGGCAAAGCTTGATTCATCAACATATATTTTACATAATTAAATATCAAATGTTTAATACTTCTTTTGGCAAATGTTGGAGACACATGTACTTCTTTACCTATATGATAGAATGAGAGACAACACAACCTAACAAACCTCTGATGTGATCAACAATATAGCATCTGTTTGGAGCCAGAGTTAAAGGCATCGTTTAATAATGTAAAATCTGAGATGCATGGCCTTACGTGATATCAGTGTCTGTGATATGGTGTAATATTGAAGCCCTAAAAAAAGTGCGCTTCAAAATGATCAAGAAGTGGCTCAAAAAAGTAAAAAATCTTTGAGTGAACAGTTTTACCATACTCCTTTTCCCCAATAGACTGTTGTGTTATGAAAACTGTTTGGCAAACGGTTTTCAAAATTTGTTATTCCAATCATAAATATCTTGATAATCAGACAGGCAATCGGCTTGTAAAAGTCATGGAGTTCCTGACTGACCTAAAGGTTTATAATTATCATTGCAGCTTGAGCTAAATCCAGGATTTTGTTTCAGAATCTGAGACAAAATTACCGGATCCCTGCGCTTCTGGCTCTGATCACACAGTATGATCAAACAGGTGTACATGTCTAAGAGTCAGAGATGATTAATGACGCTGACCTTCCTTTAAACCTGATCTTGAGACTTGAACATACCTGTCCCCTGTCAATAACCACTTCTAAGATTCATACTTGACTTAAAGTAGGCTTAACAAAGGTCATGACCATGATGACAGTGTCATGAATCAATTATCAAAGAACTTTCCTGGAATATCTGCTAGTACAAAGGTGTAAATGGTCAATGGGTTATTCAAGACTATGAATTAAATATATTCATTAAAAGCCTTCCCGTAAAAAATAATAAAAGAAGAACTATTTTACTTAGGTACATTTTGTGCTTTTTCATCGCACTTTCACAGTAACTTGATTAATCATATTTCTGAATATAGTATAAATCACAAATAATAGGACTTGACACTCGTGGTGGAGTAAAAAACAATCACCAATAAATCCAAACATTTCTAAGCTTAAAATCAGGCTATCATATTTCATTGAAATTACACCATTATGTCAAATAGGCCATGTCATGTGAATGCATAACACCACGTACCCCACAAACATTCACCAGTGCTTGTTCCAGTCATGGAGTTAGGAACTCCATGTTCCAGTCAATAAACCCCTGTAAAATAAGTGATACACAATGAGTGCATTGTTGCATATTATTGTACCAAGTCGGTAAACTTACTAGACCGAATTTTCCGTCTCTTTCGTTCGTTAGCCTCTTATTGGGGTAGGGTCGGCTCTCTCTTTAGAGACGGAAGCCGTTTATACACATGTCCTTGCTAACGCCACGGCCAGTTCTGGTCGTAGCGTTTTGCCCCCAAAATCCCCCAAAATGTCATTTTACCTCGAGCATGTTATATTGTAAATTAGGCCTAGGCTATAATAAATCAGTTCCACTTACCAACTTGACTGAAATAATCAGTTTAATAGTCCCTTTTTAGGAAATTATGGGTCAAAATCGGAATCCATGTTGAAAAAGATTTTCAAAATGGATTTCGATTTTGACCCATAATTTCCTAAAAAGGGACTATTAAACTGATTATTTCAGTCAAGTTGGTAAGTGGAACTGATTTATTATAGCCTAGGCCTAATTTACAATATAACATGCTCGAGGTAAAATGACATTTTGGGGGATTTTGGGGGCAAAACGCTACGACCAGAACTGGCCGTGGCGTTAGCAAGGACATGTGTATAAACGGCTTCCGTCTCTAAAGAGAGAGCCGACCCTACCCCAATAAGAGGCTAACGAACGAAAGAGACGGAAAATTCGGTCTATAAACTTACATAAAGTAGGGATTGCTCCTCTCCCAAAAATGTAAAAGGCTCTCTGAACGATAGGGTTAGAGGCTTCTTGCTTCTCCTGTTCAGCTTCTTGTCCGTTGTACCTTCTCCAAAAGGGAAGAATTGATCCCGAGGCAAACAATTCACTACAGCAATTAGAACTGCGAATATTCCAAGGAGAAGCTTCATGATGTCTGCCTGTCAAGTCGAGGCTTTCTCAGTTAGTGCAATCGTCGTCTGCTACACTAGCTAGCGCGAGGCGTTTCTCGCTCGCCTTGAGAGCTCTTCGTACGAACGTGCACGCAGCGGACGGAAAAGAGCTGGAGCACTCAGTGAGCTGGAGAGACATGTAATGCGAGGGGTGCAAGAGAGGGGTGCAAGAGCTAGAGAGGGGTGCGAGAGATATTGGTGGTGGTAAAGTGATGGTGGAGGGGGGAGGGGGAGGGATTTCAATTTAATTCAAGAACATTCTTGCAGCCGAGGCGAACAAAATGGGGAAAATGGCTATCGAATGGTTTTACAATTTGAACATTTCGTAAATAAAAATTAACAATTCTTTGAGTTGGTAGTAATAAAAAACAAAATTCATGCTTTTCTAAGTCAATGGCGAATTTAAAACAAAGTTTAAACCTATAAACGTTCTTCCAATGTTAAATAATTGCACAATTCTGAAGCATGATTATATGATTAAAAAAATTATGTCCCAAAATAATTATATATGCCCGTTTTTGTATTTATTCAATATTATATGTTTGTTAACATGTTAGGTTGGAATGAAAAAGTGGTGCACAATATTTTAATATTGGCCTAATATGTATCCAGTATAAACAATAACAAGATCATTAATAGTTAAATTAAAACGTTTCAAGGTACGTAACATATATAACTGTCTATTGCACTTCTTTCTCATTTCCTATACTTGAGTATCCCATTTTAAATCACATTGAATATAAACTCCAAGAACTTTAATAACATTTTCTTTATTTAAAAGTGGCCCATCAATATACAACAGTAATTTTTTTGTTGAGTTTGATTTTTCATAAAAGAGACCGTCTTAACAATAATTTTCTAATAACAATAATTCCGATTGCAATTTTGACATTTGTGTACAAGTCCGGCTTTCTATAATACTTATCAAATGGGAGTAAACCTGACTAATCTCTAAGATTTTACATGAAATTAAAATATAAATTGATCATACTACTTATCATAAAGGTAAAATTGCACCATTTCCGTTGGACTAACTTGAACAAATTTGTGCAATCCTGTTTAAAAAATACGATTAGTCTATGTGTATAATTTTAATGATATTTTCGAAAAGTTTTATAGGGACGGGCCTCCCCCCCCCCCCCCCGGTAAAAAAAAGATTATAATATATTTTTTTTAATTCTCACGAATTAGGCACACAACAAAATAGTGCTCTTACCCCCCCCCCCCCTTAATCAGCGGCTGGATCTGCCACTGAGTATCTACCGGTTCGACATTAGGACGAGAGAGAAAAAAATGAGGGTAAAATAAAACTTGAATGTTGCAATCGAATATGCATGTCAGAGATTTTAAAAAATACTGTGATGGACGGAGCCTCGGAGGTCATTTGCCCCCTCCGGACGTATCCAGTTGACCTCCCACTCCCCCCCCCCCCCTCCCTCCACATTTCATCTATTATCTGTGTTTTTTCTCCAATCATATTGAATTGCTCCGCTGTAACCTCCTCAACGTATACATGACACATCATGGATGTTGTGTTTAGTAGTATTTTTGTCCAACGGGGGCTATATTTGTACCCAAAGGAAAGTGCCTCATTTACACCATTACTGATGTGAACAAAAAACAGACAACACCTCATTACTGCCCCCCCCCCTCTCTCTCTCTCTCTCTCTCTCTCTCTCTCTCTCTTTCTCTGTCCTTCCTATCACTCCTCCCCATGCCCCTCCCTCTGGAACAATGAAAATAACAAGACAAATTGGCAACTCACTCATGAGTCTGTGACGTCATTGTTTCATTATCCACTAATTTTTTTTCTTTACACCAGCATCCAAGTTAGATTGATAGTAATTATGTTTTTGTGTATATAGATACACTAATATTAAGTTTTTTTTCAGTTAAATCATGAAAATTTTTGATAAACTATTTATACAAAAATCAATAATTAAGAATATACAATTTTCAGAAAATAGTATCAATTCTTCAAAATTCATTAAAGATTTTGTGAAATGTCATGCCCGCAATATGATACAAATCATTTAGCCTTGTCAAAGGGATGGGTAAATCAAGTTTTGGGCCTAAAAAGGGAAATTAATGGAATTAAAAATATATAAAGAAATTGATAAATAGTGAGGACATGACGTCACAAACTGATAACCAAATTGTCAATTTGTGTAGTGATTTCCATTGTTCCATACTGTTTCAAAAATTCATACCTTCCTTATTAGTTATCCGATGTTACTCAATTGTTTGGCTCTGTTTCTCTTGTTTTTTATGCATCCGTTAAAATAAAATTATTCTTGGAGTGGACTGAGCCTTTGCAAGACATTAATACTCCTCGGACAGTTTAACAAAATAGGGTTTGGGTAGATTCAAGATTAGAAGAGGCTAGCAGAAGATAGTACCCCTTATCAAAATATTGCTATGATTTTGAAAAGAAGGGTAGGGTTGGAGTTTTTTTTAAAGCCTGGTGGAATTTTAAAAAGGAATTTGGTTCCTAGGGATTTTCGCGGTAAAAAAAAATGCGTCAACAACATTACCTCCCCAAAATGGGAGCGGAGATGAGAAATGTCTAGCAATATATAACCTAGATACTTCTCGTTTTTTCTCAAGGGGGCAGCCCGCAGCCGGGCAGGGCTTTCGATCCCAGATCCAACCTACGTATGGCATCTTCCCCTGAAAAAAAAATACTGTTATGTTTCTTATAAACATCTTATAAAATTATGAAGATGAAGAAAAAAGAGAATATTTACAGGAAAAATTGGCATACAAAACAATGCCCGATTTTTGATTGTTCGTAAAGTATATAGGGAATCAAAATCGTCATTGATATGAATTGATATATAATTATTAGAGCATTAATAATTATACAAGTCAGTTTGGAATAGAAAAATAAAAAATAACCTTGCCTCTTTCTCTGCCCACTTGTTTATCACGAGAAATTATTTTTGTGGAATTAGGGTTTGCAAAGATAATTAACTATTTAAAGTAGGTTTATATAATTAAGGCGGGTGCCACATGCAAAAGTATGATTTTAAAGCCACGCAGTCAACATGACCAATGTAAGAATAATCAAGTACTATAGACTGAAGTGGAGTAACAAAAGAGGGCGCTATTTCACACAAGAAAATACTGGAGTTGTCAAATAACACAGCTGTTGTCATTTTTGGTTTTGTCAGAATTTATGAATTTAATCTTTGTTGCCAACCTATGCATGATTAATGCAGGCACGATTAATAATTGTACTATACATGATTGATTTATGAATGTAATGCATATTGATCAATGATTAATGTATAATTGTAACTATACATGATTAATATATAATTGTTATTGTGCATGATTGATACATTTGTAATACATTATTATTTGTATATGTTTTATATGTAGTGCAACCTGCCATGGTTTTGGAAAGGGAACATGGACCTGGTCTTGAATGTACACATGTATTCCTTTTATATGAAATAAAGGCATGTTTTTAAAAAAAATGTTAGTATTACCACAAGAAAGAAGAAAGAAAGAAAATAATAAGATTTTGTGAATGGCTAACAGGAGAATTGGCTGTGTCTAGTGTCTACGTCACAAACACAATATCCTGACATATTTGCCTTTTTTAATTTCGCATAGATTCAGTGATATCATAATTATTTGAGACATTCATAACTGTTATTCGTTCAATCTTTGTTATATCTTTTTCAAACTTTTTGTTGTTTTATTCCTCTTATTTTCCTACTTTCATACAAAATTAAGTTATTCTAAAGGTTGGATTCAACAGTACGATTCTAAGTTTTGGGAGCTATGCTTTATAAATATGTCCGTCTCCCTCAACGGACCATTATCACCACTTTCCCCCTTTCTTTATCTTTCACTCATGTCTCAGACCATATGTATCTCACTAGTTATCTCCATTTTCTATCTTCCACACCAATCTTTTCACACAACACTCTCGTTAAATCAATCTTGTTTCTCTCCCGAGATCCTCTCATCTTTCTTCCTTTTTCTTATTCAAATATACTTTTCATCTTAGAATTCAGTCGATGAAAACGAAACAATCTTTTAAACTTTCCCCTATTTCTCTCTCTTCCTCTTTTTTTTCCCCATATTGTTTCCATCTTTGAATCTCTCTCTTACTCTTTTTGTTAATGACTGTAAAAAAAGACTAAAGAAGGGAATTTTCAAATACAATCGAGTATTAAATTGTATTTTGCAAAGTTATTATCAATGCACAATAATAAGACCAATTACATGGTCACATTTCAAATACAGTCATATACATGTATCAATCAATATAGCGTCAAATTTTGAATGCATACATTGCAACCAAAATATGTCAGTAATACTATGAAAAGCTTCCAATTGCAAGTTTTAAAAAAGCGTCCAATAAAATTAACCTTTTTTTGTAAATACAACAGCATAATAAAAAAGAATTAAAAAAATATCACCAGCAAACATTGCATGGTCCATTTTAAATGACTTCATCATTGAATTTTTGAAAAAAGCGTCCAATAAAATTAACCTTTTTTTGTAAATACAACAGCATAATAAAAAAAGAATTAAAAAAATATCACCAGCAAACATTGCATGGTCCATTTTAAATGACTTCATCATTGAATTTTTAAAATAGCTTCAAGCAAAAAGAATTCAATTCATTAAAATTGTCCACAAAATATATAGAAATTTGTTTTAAAGCTTTAAAATTCAGCTTCATAATTATTTTTCAAGATAATGGTATAATTTTACCATGAATATTGCAATTGCAAGCTTTGAAATTACTCAGAGTGAATTAAAAAGAGTTTCATTAATGCAAACAAAATCTAGCTATTCAAATTTAAAATAAAGTTAAGAAGATAAACTATGAAAATTTGAAAAATTATGATAAATGCAAAATAATACATTCGGTTTGTAATTAAATAATTAACCATACATGTTATCAATTGGAAACAATAAGGTCTTTGGTCAGAGTCTCTTTCTCCAGGGTGAATATTATAAAAAGTTCAATACAATGTTCATTGTTCAATGTCCAGTAGAATCAATGTCATCACGAAACCTGCTGCTGCTCCTGTTGGTCAGCTTGTTCACTCCATGAACTGTGTTCATCCTGCATCTCCTCCTCCTCCTCATCATCCCAATTCTGACCCCACCCATCGTCGTCATCGTCGTCGCTATCGCTCTCGTGAACATCTTCAGATGGAATCTGATCCCAAACGTGGTACTTGTATCTGTGGTAGGCACCGTCGGGTTCCTCTGACAGCCTCTCTGGAAGTGAACCTCTCATCCACGATTCGCTGTCATCTGAGAGATACCAGACATACTCAGGAGGAGGCTTGGTATGGATGACGCCGACTAGAGGACCAAAACCTTCTCTAATGTGTTCCATGGCACTGCCATCACGACCTGGCACAGGTAGGAAGCGGAGATCAGAAGCACCGTAGTGGACACGTTGCTCGCGTTCCTCACGTCGGTCACGTTCCTGGCGTGTGCGTTCGACAGACTCGTTGATCTCCCTCCAGAACTGGGCTTCGCTCTCCCGATCAGTGTCTGATATCCACTCCTCATCTGAATCAAACTCATACTCTGAAGAAGAACCGTCCTCATCCTCCTCTTCCTCCTTCTTACTTTCTACCTCAGGTTCCTCATCGTCGACGTCATCTATCATGAAGTCTTCGTCACTCCAGAGGGGGTATCTGCCATGACCCTTGCAGGCGTGGTAGCAGGTATGGCCTTCTTTACTGCTACACATGAAGAGTGATTCCCCAGCTCTGGTGAGAGCGGAGTACGGAGGGTCTGCTGTGGTACTCTCAGCAGGGACAGTCTGCCTGGAGGATGAGTTGCGCAACACTGGTGCCATTGTAGATAGTGGAACCTGAAAAAAGGCAAGATAAAAACAAGAGAATTACATTAGTATGCATGTTCACACTTAATTATGCTAAAACAACTGTTTCAAATTATTTGAAATATGTTGATTTAATAACACACATTATTTCTGTAACTGTTTCAAGTTTCATTAACAATATATGGCTTCATGGCATTCATGCAGGCGTGTGATATTATGATGGTATATAGTCATAATCACCATGCATCGTTTTACTACACTGACACCATTTCTCTGTTCTTGTTTTTTTTTACAATATCAATGAGTTTGAATTAACAAAATAGAAACAAATCCAGTCATTAGAAAAGCATGAAAATCGTCTTTACTTTAATACATCAGAGTATAATATCGTGAGCAAATACCACACAATACTTGCATGCATAATGTACATTATATGCTTGCAGCCCGAAGGCCGAACGTGAATATGGATATGTAAACGTATGTACACCACACAGTTGACAGTGCAGTACCACTACCAACTAACCTCACGATCGCCATATTTTTTTAAAATTTAAGTTCCCGGTATTCAATATCACATCAAACTTGATTTGATTTGATATAAATATATCGTCCATAAAGTTAAATACTAATTTCGTTACTCACCTTATCGTGATGATTTCTTGTGAAGCTGGAAATTCAGCCGGCAATGTAGTTCAACCGCGTTATAATATATGGCTGGTTGGCGACGGTATTCAATATGCAGATACTACTGTTGATTCGTTGAACTATATACAGTAAACTGTAGAAGAGAGTATATGCCGCAGATATCCTCGAGGTTTGACAGGCTTTGAAGTCAATGAGAAAAGTTAGTTTGAGTTTCCACTTATATAAGCCGAGAAAGAGACACTCATTAGAAACACTCGGCCAATCAGGGTTAGGTGGTAGGGTGAGACAATAAGGAGGGGGTAATTATCACCCCCTAAATGGGGAATCAAGTAGTAGCGTATGTCCGCGTCTTTCATACCACGATGACGAACACACAAACCGTTGGAATGCTCTATGGTTATAATGTGTACGAAACGAAGGACATAATTTTCGTGTGTGCATTATTGTGTGCATTTCGCGCGCTTTGTTTGTACGTGCGTGGGCGAGGGGCACTATGATGTATACCCTATGACCCTTTTGTCTCGCTACCCCACCCCACACGGTGGTTTTATTGGAGGATGGGGGCAAACAATCAAGGCTTATTAATTACATGTACCCGTGCATAATGGATTTTAATCCATCACATCTGTAAGTTGTTAAAACAACCATACTCACAATGAAAATAACATGTAACATATTGATCGGTATCGAGCTTCCTTGCAACTTAAAGGGATCCGGTAACTTTGTCTCAGATTCTGAAAACATATTCTGGATTTAGCTCATGATGCAATGATAATTATAAACCTTTAGGTCAGTCAGGAACCCCGTGACTTTTACAAGCCGATCGCCTGTCTGATTATCAAGATATTTATGATTGGAATTACAAATTTTGAAAATCGTTCGCCTGACGGTTTTCATAACACTACAGTCTATTGGGGAAAACGAGTATGGTAAAACCGGTCACTCAAAGATTTTTACTTTTTGAGGCACTTCTTGATCATTTTGAAGCGCAATTTTTTTAGGGCTTCAATATTACATCATATCACAGACACTGATAACACGTAGGGCCGTGTATCTCAGATTTAACATTGTTAAACGATCCCTTTAAGGAGCGCAGGGTGTAAACTTCAGCTCTGCTTTTATGTCCGAGGTTTCGCCAAAACACTAAAATCAAGGAAAGCAGAAAAATTACTTCATGTTTACATACCATGAGGAAATGTTAAAGTTTTTGAAGAAACAAATTTGTATTAGGCCATGTGAATTTAATTGAAGTAGAAAGGTGAATGTCTATAGCTGCAAAATGAAATCATCATTACCATATAGAAATAACAACTTTTGCTTTTCAGATATTTTCGTATTCCCTCAGTGCTAGGAATTTCTGGTTCGGCCTGTGTGAAGATAAGTTTTGTATCATAGTTGTGATGATACAAACAGATAGGATTCGTTTATCTATCGTTTTAACCATACAAAACATGCTTAAGTAAAATATGATGACTTGCGAATTACCTCGTCTTTAAGCAGATAATCATTAGTAAAAAGGGCTATAGGCCTACCACTTAATAAGGAAAATGAAATTACAATAATGATCGAAAAATCATAAGGATACTTGTAGAAGTGTTATCCGACGAAAAGATGATTTAAACAAAACAGAAAACATAGTATGCATTTAGCATTCTTTTTTTTAATTTTTGATGCTAATCATGTAATCACAATGATGAATTATTTCAATTTTTCGTAGACTATAGTAGTCATATGAAATGGATGTAAATAGTACCAAACAAGAATAAATAAAACATTAAATTTTGCATATGCATTATTCTCTGACTGTTTTCCTTACTACGATATATCTAAAACTGCAATGGCTGGGAAATTTGAATTTTCGTTGATATTGTCCAAACATTCAAAGTTCAGTCTATAACCTTGTTGGGAAACGATTAATACAATAACATACAATTCATCATGTCCCTTTTCAATGTGACATTGTTAGGCATCCTTTTTTTTTTTAAGTTTTAGTTTTAAAGAATGTGAATTATTATTTACCAGCCATTGCAGTTTTAGATGTGATATATCGTAGAAACGTAAACATTCAGAGAATAATGCATATGCAAAATTAATATAATTTCAAATTAAACTATTTTTAATCTGACGAGTATTATCAATATTGGTCACTGGTGTGTGACGATTTAATTTTCTCTGGGATATTACCATACGGCCTTGATTGTTGGTCAGACATAATACGCTGTTTTCACGAAGTGACGGTAGTGAAAACAAATTGCATTCACTTTGCGTTACGATTTTCCTCACTACCGTCACTCCGTGAAAACAAGGATGAATATGGTCTGACTTATAATAATTTACCATATGGTAAACTGAGGCATTTATTCCTATGGGTAACCATGACGATGAGTTATCAATCAAAGCTTCGCTATTGCGAGGACAAAAAAATACATCAGTACATACCAGCATTTTTATATTCCTTAAGAGAATACTGCCGTTTGTATATGTGGATATAATATAGTCAACTGAATATACAGGCTGACATTCAGAGACCCATCTACTATCTGAAGTACTCTTCCAAAAGTATTGTGGAATGGAATGACATATTGCGATTCGTTTTGGTCAGAGGAAAAGGCCCATACTGATATTTGGAGATAAATAACAACTTTCAAGAATAGACGGATTTACGAAACATCTTTACATCCTACTATTCCTTGTGTGTTGCCAATAATATCACAATCTGCAGTCATTTGGTGAGATACAATAGTGAAAATTCTATCCTCATTTGTACATATGGTACAATTATTATATTATCATATGTTGTTGTTATTGTTGTTGTTTCTTCTATATTAATCATCAATAATTGCTTTAAAGATGCGTAAAGTTTCATTAAACGTTTTATATCATTTTAGAATAACACATTTTCAGGCTTTAACAAAATATTTTCTTTAACATTGCTGTTTTTACTCAGTTATTGCATTTTAATGTGATTGATCGAGTGGAAAGATGATTTCTTAAAGCAGTATCATTAAAAAAATTCCCTATTCAGATCTTTTCTCATAATAATGGATAGATATTTTCCTTTAAAGTATAACAAAATACATTTCCTGTTGTGTAAAGTTTCTTCATCGTGAATCGTAATTTCTTTGGGTTTTTCTTCTTCAGTAGCAGGTGAAGATAAGAAGTAAATGTATAGCTAAATGAAAATGATCATAAAAGCGTTAATATTCAAGGTGGAAGTAACTAATTCATACTAGCTGAGTTTTCATTCGTACATCTATACGAGAAAAAGAACGTTCATCAAATAAAAATGGCGCTCATTTTATCATTGCCAGATGGATAAATTGATAACTTAAGTCGGCTTCACATGTTAGCATTACTATGCTTCCTCCAAGCAACAAGCTTTTAGATAAACTATACAAATTATTTTCACGATTATAGTTGAAAATTTAAGCATTCTGATAACAAATTACACAACAACATGACAGTATTCCCATGTTATTGAAGTACATTTCATTTAGTCAACAATGTTATAAGTGACATAAAGGCTGGAATAAAATTGTCAATATTTTACTGCGACTTCAAACAGGTCAATTTTAAGACTACCGTCATGGAGGGCGTCATCGCTCTACTGTGGATATCCATGGTCATCCCCGTGGTCATAGCCGATACCGCACCACTTCATATCGCCGAAGAGAAGGAGGATGATAACCATTATCTGGTCGGCTTAGAGGTTTGTCCTATTTAAGTGCTACGTATGCCCCATTTTACCTATCTCTTCGAAATGTTATGTAATTGAATTAAAATCATACAATTAAAATATATGTTGTTTTTATTTTAAGATAATTAAATAATTATCAAAAGCAGGTATGAATCATTGTACGTGATCATCGTTTATGGATATTTTTTTTCTTCATGGGGTGGGGGGGGGGGGCTAAAGGTATGTGAAAACAAAATACATTTGTTTAAACAGAAACAAGAGTTTACTTTGATTAAACATGGCCCTGGAATTTAAAAAAAAATATGACTTGAAAATGTAACCTCCAACGCTGGTGAGAATCATCGGGACATGATAATCGTGTGTATACTGGTGAAGCAACCTCATAAATTTCTTTACAGTATTGTTCGTATTTCTAGACGCTCTAATGAGAATGACAAAACTATTGTTTCCAGCAATAGTCACTCACGATCATTCTTAAGAGATTTAATACTACATTTCTATAAACTCGCTCCGGATGCGCAGTCTTTTGTATAGACAGGATACATGCAAATGACTCTCTTTTGTATATAGACATGATATCATGCAAATAGTTCTTTTATTCCAAGATTACGCGTCTTAATTCTTCCTTTGGATTTGAAAAGCTGTGTAAGCATAGTCAAAAGGACAATGAATGATAATTGAACACGTTTATTGTGAGCTTTTCGTAATCGAAGATTTAGTAATCGAAGAATAGACAAAGTCCGAACACTATGCAACTAATTAAGTAACTCGTCTCAATACGTAACTAGTGTGAAATTTCACTATCATAGCTTTGCGCAAGAAAGCTATAAATTACTGATAAAAAGTGAATCGTTATTGCACGTTTAATGTAGGTTCGCGCTGAATAAGATATAAGGAAGAAAATAAAAACATATCTGTATATAATAGTAACTAGTAAGGAATGTGCGATATGACTCCTTTTAATGTCAACCTTATATGGTTTAGAAATTTCCGATTTAAATATACATGTTTTATGAAACAATGGGATAATATTTAACAGCAATAGTGAGAGCATTAGGCCACTGCATTATCGTAATTTGAGCGTCTCATTCTTTAAAGATTATTATGACGAAGAGAAGTTGATGAAATACAAAGCAAATTGACATTGATTAGGCTTCAATATCACTGCATTTCATTCAGAGAAATAATTAAATAGATTTTAAAGTAAATGCCGACTTATGATTATGTGTGCTATAATTATGAGGCAACTATTTTTAATGTGATCAGATTACAATATTGTGTAATATAAACTCGTTTTCCATTGAACTTTCCAACAGTATAAAGCTTACCTATATGATTTATTTATCATTTATGTTGGCATTATTATCAAAGTAGTTGAAAGTACACAATACCAGCTCGCAGTCGGCACATCAATTCTAGCTGAATATCATTATTGATCATTTCCAAAGCAGTTGTATTCCATTACAACGATTAACACACTTTCTATTTGCCTATTGATCGTTTTTACCCTGTGTATTCCGAAATTCTTTGGCACTATAATTTAAACCCTTTCTCCTCCTTATACTTCTCATTTTCCTTCTTCTTTTAATTCTTCTTCTTCTTCTTCTCTCTCTTCTTTTTTCTTTCTTCCTATTCTTTTTATTCCTTCTTCTTTTAATTTTTCTCCTTCCTTCTCTCTATCTTCTTCCTCCTACTCATCATCATTATATTCATGAATGATACTATTTCTCTTTGTTTTTAAAAATATGTGCAACATGTATCAATAATAAAACAAGAAGTTATAATGTTGTGATCCAGTTCATAATTAATGTGCTGCTATCTGCAGCATCTTTTGTGGATTTCTCCTTCTTCCTCCTCAGTATTATCACCGTTATCACATTATAATCGTTATCATTATCTCACCCTCTTCATCATCTTCATTCTCCTGATCGTGATAGTCCGATGATTGTCACTTACCAGATGGTTATTATCTTGTCTAACCATAATAATCTATACCTCTATTCGTTCATTCTTCGTCATACACCATGACAGTCCTCTTGTCCGTCATAAACATTATCATCATCACAACTATACTTCTTCCATTTCTTCTCTATTCATTTTTTTAATTTCTACACTGTCCATATATTCTTTCAATACTCCTCTTTTCATTTAGTCTTTTAAATAGTATATTTTCATTTTTTGAAATAGATTATCGTGACTATTTCTTTATTTATTTCGTTATTTTTGTTTTATTTTCATCTCTAGGATGATCATGATGTGGGTGAGTGGGTCGAGGCCTTTCATGCTCACGCTCGCGAATCAACATTTGATGGGAAGATAACGGATAGAAACAATAACATTCTTACCGCTGAACTCGACCCAGAAGCTTTATCACATGTAAGTAAAAAGTTGCTTAATTATATACATCTGTGTTTTGAATATTAGATATTTGATTAATTTTCAAGCGATGCCTCGCTCAATCAGCCACTGTTCTTGAATCACGATTGCAATATTACATCTGTGTTTTGAATAATAGATATTTGATTGATTTTCAAGCGATGCCTCGCTCAATCAGCCACTGTTCTTGAATCACGATTGCAAGGAATTTAAAAAATAGTCGACCTATGGGCAATTTCAATACCATATTATTACCATTTGAAATCACGTTTGAATTATGTATTATGAAACTGCACTGTTCGCGCATTTAAAGGGAAAATCCATGCTGATATCAACTTGAAGTTGTTATAATAGAAGCAGAAATGAGAGGAACAGGCAGATCAGTGAAAGTTTGAGGAAATTCCAATTAAAATAAGAAAGCTATGAATTTTTAATTTTGCGATCAATCAAACACAAATAGACAACTCGGTGACGTATCTTGCGAGCTTACGACATTGGGATTATATGGGCCCTCATTTTATTTTATTTTCTTGAGGGAATTTTCCATCATACATGCACCCTAAAAATCTATTTCGTCATCAATATCGGAGAAAATGATTCCGCAAGATACATCACGGTGGTTCCTATTAGTATTATAGTGTTTGATTGATCGCAACTTAATAAAAAAAAAATCATAACTTTTTAAAGTTCAATCGGAATTTGCTCAAACTTTCACTGTCCAGTTCCTCTTAATTTTCTGCTTTCATTAAACACTAACATAGTATCATGATTTATTTCCTGTTTAAGAAGATGACGTATACATGGTAACTGACATTTCCTTTCTCGGGTGATTTTTCGAGAATTTTTTTTTTGATCGTGTTATGAGCACTTTTCCTCCACTTGTATCGGATAAGGTCCGCGAGATGGAAGGTGTATCGTACGTGGAGGAGGATGGTGTAGTGTCTCTCGCTGATGTGTTGATCTACAAGGAAGAGATCTTCGAGGATGATATTGAAAACTGGGGACTAGACCGAATAGACCAGGAGAATCTACCACTAGATGATCGATTTGAGATATCAGGTGAGAGAAGGAGAGGTAGAGAGATGGGGAGATAGGGAGAGAGAGAGAGAGAGAGAGAGAGAGATATTGGGATGCTATTGGAAACTGGGGACTGGCGCGGAAAAACCAGGAAAATCTACCACTATAGACGACCACTTTGGATATCAGGTGGAAGAGAGAGAAAACACGACAGATGAGACACAGAGAGAAGAGAAAGAGACAGAGAAAGAAGGCAAACATTATTTAATACCGTATTCAGAAATGTATAAACAGGACATTAGCCCTAAGAAACAGGGGTATACTGCCAGCACCCCCATCAATGCACCAGGTTAACCCTAATAAGGCCGGGGGGGGGGCATTATGCCCCGTCTCCCTCCGCGATTTTTCTGATTGTTCGGGAACGCATATTCGGATGGCGCCCCGCCTCCCCGCTCGCTGACTTTTTTCTTTCGAGTTTTGCGCATATATTTGATTTGTGTACAAAACATATATGGGGGGGGGGGGGGGGGGGGGGGGGTAAGAGGCCACTTTTTTTTGGGGGGGGGGGTCCCAAAAAAATCGCAACGACCCACCCAGCCGCTGAATAAGCGGGGGGGGGGGGGGGGGGGTAGAGGACACTTTTCTTTTTTTTGGTCACGAGATTTTTAAATTTGACATTTTGCTCCGTTGGGGGGGGGGGGGGGGGTAAGGTCACCTTTTTAGGTCAGCTATTGGCATTATTTATTTTTTTTAAATAAAATTATTAAAAAATTAAAACAAAAATTTGGTCGGGGGGGGGGGGGCACGTCCGTTTTCTTCAGTACATTTTGGGCCAATTTAGGGCTGATTTTAACATATTTTTTTTGGCCGGGGGGCACGTGCCCCTTGTGCCCCCCCGGATCCGTTTATCCGATACAGTTTAAAATGGTCTAACGAATACATGTAGTGAAAAGAATGCTTATATATAAAGATTATATGATTTATGGGTGAAAAGGTGTATTTTATTACCTTATTTGCATAAATTACCATAAATATGCAAATGAGTAAATTTTCAAGAAATTTAATTTACCATAGTATTCTATACTTCACTTGACATGCGTGCAAATGTTCGCGGCGACCGGCCTTTTCAAGGCCGAGATCTTAGGGGGAGGGGACATAACGCCGAGGTTGCTATTGAATTAGGGCACTTATCATTGATAACATATTTTATATAGTGGTTCATTCACTTGACTCTTAATCCAAGGATTAAGGGTTCAAATCCTAGCCCGCCAGTAACGTTTTTTTGGCAAGACATTAATCCACCCTGTTCACTCCCCAATCAGTGACTCAGGTGTAAATGTACGTGTCAATTGCTGGGGTAATAATAGTTGCAGGGTCCCTCAGGAAGAATAGCGTTGATGCTGATGTGGTTTCCCTGGTTAAAGCTAAAGACCATTTATGGTCATGCGCAGTGATTGCATTGTACAGAAACGTTGTGAAATCGATCAGAAAAGGTTGATCATCTAGCATAGATGTACTGCAAGGTTCTGGAATCATCAAAATGATAAGAAATTTGGCCAAGTCTTCTTAAAGTTTGAAGCACTGTACACAGAAAGATGTATATGGGACTACAAACACATGCGCGACACATGCATTTCATATCTCTCAACAGGCAAGAGATACACTAATTTACCAAATATATCAATTAGTAGGCGGTTTCCCGTCAAAATTATGTAATATTATGTAATATTCAAAACATATCTTTCACATGATTGGTAATAAGAGCTTCCATTTCATTTTTTGAAATTGGGGCGTTTCCAATACTGGCCTTTACCTTTAAACATAACTATTATTATCATTATTATTATTAGGACTCATTTCATGATCTTAAAATACCGACTTACACGTCATTTGATTAATAATTTTGATTCAAATGCACATGAAAAACTTTGAATGAAAAGCTTCCACAATCTCTGGGGAAACTTATGCACTTTTCATGTCCCTTTCACCCTTAGGTACTGGAACAGGGGTGCATGTTTATATCTTAGATTCTGGCATCCGAGCGACGCATCATGATATCAGGGGAAGAGCTGATGCTGCTTTCGATGCATACGGTGGAAATGTAAAAATATATTTATACAAAAAGTTATATATAGATTGTCGAAACAATAAGCATAAGGAAGAGGAAGGATGAGGAGGGGGTGGGTGGGAGAGAGCAAGAGGGAGGGGATGGAGGGAGGGAGATGGGAGGCTTTTGATGCTCATATTTTATAAAGTTATTATCTTTTTGAATCAACGATTAATTTTGCTTCTCCAAATTAACACAGTTATCAGAAATAACCAGAGTGCTATACATAACTTACCGGCTTATGAAGACCTGTGACTACACATTACATTGTTTCACATATGGTTATTCTTAATAATTATATTTATACATAAATAATATAGGCCTACATAATTTTGTCAATTGGAATCCGATGTCCTGTATTTGACCATTACAAAAACAAGCAAACAAACAAACAAATTATAAGGCGTTCGTTTGTTAGTAGTACTTTCGGGACTTTGCATTCAAATGGTATGCATTCTATCGTTAAATTCCAAGACACACTTTGTAGTATCCATCTCTTTCCCTGTGACCACAGCTATACAACATTTGGGGGGGGGGGGGTATTATTACAGGAGAATTGTTGTTGTTGTTGTATCGTTAATTTGTCATTTTATGTTTAGAAAAAAAATATATTTTGAGGCTAATTAAGAATAAGATTATAAAGCACAAACTAGTTGTAAATGTGTTGCACATCTAGTCCTGACAAGGTTGATAGGGAATATTACTACAATGTTATTGAAACGTTTTAGGGGATAACTTTTAATTTGATATGGTTCTTTCTAACCGACAGGGGAGTGATATTGATGGACATGGCACTCACTGTGCTGGTATCATAGCAGGCACCAAGTACGGAGTGGCAAAAGAAGCTTATGTTCATGGTGTTAGGGTTATCAAAGAGAATCGTAAGGGATCAGTCTCCGCAGTTGTCCGAGGTAAGCATTAAAAAGGTATACATAATATGCTCAAATGAATTGATATTCCTGTAAGACAAACCACTTGATAATTTGATGTGTATCTTAGTGATTCCAATTATAGACGTACATGTATATCGTCCTGGTCGTCTCTAGAAGGACCCACTCAAAATCGTTATCTAATTAGTTAATTAGGCTGGATTGCTTTATGTTATATATGTTTTTGTTTTAGAAATTCGGTTTCGAAAAAAAAAATCGTGATTCTCCAATTTGTCAGATGTTGCAAACTTTTTAATATTTATTACTTACTACAGACTGTCAATACATCGGAAAACGTTTTTTTTTTTTATATTTCTTATCTTCTTACCCGTATTTTTTTTATAGCTATGCATTGGGTGGCGAAGAACGGATCCCGTCCTTGTGTAGCATCCATGTCTTTCAGCGGCAAAGGTTCGAAATCCCTGGACACCATGGCTCAAGCCCTCTACGACAGCGGATGTGTATTGGCCGTGGCAGCAAGCAACGAGCATGCAGACTCCTGCGGGAGGTCGCCCGCTAGAGTCCATGATGTAAGTATAACAAATATCATATGCTTTAATGTGGTATATTCATATCACGTCTGTCTGTATAATGTCTCGTTATCACTCTCGTAGAGAAACGAATATCGAAAAAATACAACCAAACACAGAAGGAGAATTAGATGCGAGAAGAAGAAAAAAACATCCCTCGAGCCCCCCCCCCTAATTTTAGCGACAAGGATAAATTAGAGTCCTCACTAATATCCACTACAATTAAAGGAATTCAATGCTCTGCATTTCGAGTGATTTAATGACGAAACATGTGTTCTTGTGACAGTCGTGATATATAGTGAGAGAATTTAACAAACATGCGTCGTCATCACAAACCATTTAAAAAACAACAACACATAAGTAGTAAAATGATCTTTTATACACATTCTGTGAATTTCCTCGTTGAAACGACATTGTCCTGAATTTGGTATATTTTATTTTCTATTCGATAACTCCTCTTGAATCTATAAAGAAAGATAACAATCTGACCGATATTCGAAGTGGCGTTACTCAGGCGCGTACGCGGGGGGGGGGGGGGGGGGGGTGTTTGGGGGTTAAACCCCCCTTTGGTATTTTTATGTGTATAAACCCCTAAAAAAATAAAAAAAAACCCTCCCCCCCCCCTTTGGGTTTTTTATGTGTATAAACCCCCCTAAAAAAATTTAAAAAAACCCTCCCCCCCCCTTTGGTTTTTTTTTTTTTTTTTTTTTTAATAATAATAAAACAAAACAAATAATAATAATAATATTTCCCATGGCTGACCTAAAAAAGGCGACCCTACCCCCCCAAACGGAGCAAAATGTCAAATTTTCAAATTCGAGACCAAAAAAAAAAAAAAAAAAAAAGTGTCCTCTTATCCCCCCCCCCGGCTTATTCAGCGGCTGGCTGAGTCGATGCGAAATTTTCGGCCCGATTTAAAAATGTTAACCCCCCCCCCCCCCCCCCCCCTTGAAAAAATCCTGCGTACGCGCCTGGCGTTACTATAGACATTGGCGTCATGGGCTAGGGGGTGGGTTAGGGACATCCGTGTCAAGGCTATTTCAGCAAGTCACCTTATTAGTGTGGACGGGGGTGGGGGAGGTACGGCGATGCTCGTTTCCCCCTCAAATCTCTTCTTAATATTTCGATTTAATGATTTTGATTTCCCTCATTCTCAAGATAAGTAATGGCGGATTTCAATGAAGCAAGCAAATCATTTTCAGATTAAGACAGGTGCATTGTTTAGTTTTAAAAACTTTTTGGGGGTTTATTTTCTATTTTGCTTTAGTCACAATTGTCAGGAATTGGACCCCCCCCCCCATAATTTTTTTTAAAATGCCTTGATCTGCTGCCCTATTGATTATGATCCGCAGGTCCAAACTAATATTCAATCCTTTTCCTCCCTAGGTGATCACTGTCGGTGCGACCGACGAACAAGACTATCGCAGCTTCTTCTCCGATTTCGGCAAGTGTGTTGATATATTCGCACCCGGCGAGCATATACGTAGCCTCGATTACCACTCCGATGACGCCCACATTAGCATGAGCGGTACGTCGATGGCCACGCCCTTTGTCTCAGGTAATACGTTTAATTGATTCAACTAATCGACTAAATCACATGGGTCAGTATTGCTGGCAAAATAATTGATGATGACTTTAATAGTGTTTAATTTTTTCATTTCCTTTTCTCCTTTTTTGTTGTTTTTGTAATTGCTTTTGCAAATGCATTCTATTAAGATATATCGAAGTGCATTTAGATATCCTTTATCCAGAGTAAATTCAGATTTACAGAGTATATAGACCTTAAAGGCGTCTATTGACCGGAGGATACACATCACATTCCAAGGTCATGGGTTTATGAGGAAGAAATTATGAGCAAATTTTATTTACACATGATTTCTTTTGTAATTGAAGGGTTTCAAAAGCTATCTATTCTTTTTCCCCATTTGATCTTGTTTTAGGTGCAGCCGCCGTGCTCAGCGGAAGAGGCTACAGACATGATGAAGTCAAAGCACAAATGATGAACTTATCATCAAAAGGTGTCGTAAAGTCCAAAGGCAAAGATTCCCCAAACAGGCTGCTCCATCTGGATACCTTTCGCTACGTTGATCTGTAGATGATGAAAATAGATATGTTAAAAACTCTTGGAAATTAGCGGGAGAATTTGTGCCTTATGAATTACACTGCAAAAGCAAAAGACATGTTGAAAATATTTACTAAATTTTAGCCGTCACTGGTCTACATAATGATGGATCTATTTTATTGCCTATAAATAGAATAGAGAGGGGTTTGTCCACGTTACAATAGATAGTTTATAGCACATACACAAATTATATTTCTTTAAAAACTCTTGAAATATGCATTTTATGTAAAACGTAGATACTTGTGCGTTCATTGTAGTTTTTAATTTATGAGACGTTATTCATTATTCGTCTATCACAGTTCTAATTCAATAGTAGATGTTTTAATCAATGTGAGAATGACAAAATTGCAAAGAAGAATGACTTATTTCCATGCGACAAAAGGTATATACCCAAAGTTTGGTAAGAAACCTAATCAGTCTTTAATTTTATTTCAAAAACAAAATCGGAAAGGGAGCTTCCAATCCACTTATTTGATTGGGAGGGTGTGTCAAGATGTGTGTTACAACATCCAGTGGCGTAATGAGCAATTATTTTCGATGGGGGGGGGGGGGGGGGGGGGTATTGACGAAAACGGTAAAGATGTGGGCCTACAAACTAAACCTTTTAGCTATAGCGTACTGTTTTTGTTGTTGTTGTTATGTTGATTATTAATGAAGCTAGAATACTTTGCATTTACCTACTAATACCATAACAAACAACTTGATTGCTCTCATTGGTGTTCTTCACACTTTGAGCAATAAGATGATAAGTTAATATCCCACCCATTATCCAGGGGCGGTGGAGTGTCTTACAAAGTGAAAATATGCAATTTTTAGACGTTGGTAAATATCTTTGGGGTTCGATTTGATTTGATTTGATTTAATATATCTTTCTGTTTGATTTTCTTTTTCTCATTTGCAATTTAACAAAATATAACAAACAAATCATTGCAATTTTTTTACATGGCAAAAGAGTATGTAGAATAAAGTAAGGTTGGCTGTAACTAATAGAAAACATCAAACAGGAGGGTTGACAAAGTAAGCAAAGCTTGATGGCATGACTACCTCGCTAGTCATAAGGGCACCTATTCGTTAGGACCGCTATTCAAAACGCGGAACTTCCTATGCGTAAAGTCTGCTATTCATAAAACGAAAAGGAGTCACTATTCTTAAAGGCATAAGGACCGTTATTCATAATGTGAGATGAGGGTCGCTATTCGTAAACATGAAGAAGGGGCCGCATAATTTATATTGGGGGTCTCTACTCATGAGGACTGCTATTTATATTCAAATTATGAATAGCGGTCCTTACGAACAGCGGTCCTTATGAATAGTACTCCGTTATGAATAGCGGTCCTTACGAATAATAGCGAGGGGACCCCATACCCCTGCATTGTGATTTCAAAAGTTAAGATTTTGAGGTCGAAGAGCGAACAACTACATCTTATAAAGAAGGGGGAAAACACCATTCTGATGGGGTTTTAAGCACACTCTTATCATGAAAGACTAAAAAGATAATTAATAAGAAACATAATTATATCAATTTTCAAACCAAGCGAGCGTATCTAGCGAGCTTCGAGCGAAATTGATGACAAATTGCTCTTAGATCGAATTAGAAATAAACGCATAAGACGCGTGTGACAACATCCATCGTGTTTGTGGTCTAACTGCATAGTGCAATCTACTTATACTTTCAATTACAATAATGTTACAGTGCAATAACTCGAGCATTCATTGCTTGGTGAAAAGTTGTTATCATTCATTATTTTCATTCCCTCGCAACCTACAAGAAGTATAGTATACGTTTTCTTTGTCTAAAATCGTCTATAGGTTTTTCTGCTTTTCAGCTACTTTTCTTTTTCCAAGAAAACTAATTTAGTAAGCCTCGTGTCTACTTCGGTGTCAATTCTTTCTTATGGTTATCGCCCTTTTGCAAAGCTTCTGCTGAACTTTGGAACAAACTATATACCTTTGCATGTAAAAGAACTGTCAGACTGTCAACCAATTCAAAACATTTATTCAAAATTGCTTTCGATGATTAACTTACTCTGTACACTTTGATGTATATTTCATATGTATTTCAATTTGTAGGTTTATTTGTAATTTTTTGTTGAATAGTTTTTCATTGTATTTGTTGGTATAGTGCTAATTTATATGGAGACTTCGGTGAAAAGCGCTTTATAACAACGTTTCATTATTATAAATCATATTATACTAGTCTAATAGAGTAATATTACTAGTTTCATAATTGAAAACTATAAAATAAAACTATGATTAGGCTATAAAACATGGACCCTGGTTAGAACAACATCGTTTTTCAACTACATAATTATAACACGGTCGATATCCCTATAAATTAGATATTGGTAAATTATATTTTTGAAAAATAGAACTATGATAAATGATTTGACATTATAGATATCGATTGATAAAATATCAGGTCTTATGGTTATGATGGGCTTATGGTCGGGTGTTATGGTTATGATGGGCTTTGCAGCGGATTTATATGCTTGGTTACAAGAAATAATTAAAAAAAAATACTTTGACAAATTACAAAGGTCTACAGTATTAGAAGTAGTATCTTCAATCGAAATTGAATTCTAGTAAAATGAGAATAATCTTTTAATTCTTTTTGAATGAAATTCACTCTATAGTTTCTTACTTTGTTTACAAGTCACTTGAGTAATTAAACCATTTACTAAAGTTAATACTTTACTTCTTTACGAACGAATGTTATGGTCGCGCTCATAAGAGGAGTATAGTCTAAAATGTGTTTTGCATTAATATCTTTACTTAAAGTTTCCTTTATTTTAAGGTAGATATTGATATCAAGAAGATAATTTGTATTTACGAGAATTATACGGTTGACTGATATATAAGAAGACAATTTCATGTATTGAATATTAGGGATTTCTTCTTTTTATCTTTTATGTTCTCGAACTCATTCGTTAAAATATATTCAATGTAAATTAACATTTTTTCATTACCAATCATTATCTCTTTATTTTCTCTTCCGCGACTTGAGTATATATATATGATCATGATTACATGGAGTTCATGTTCATTGGTGCAAACTGTTATCTTCTGTTTTAGTTCATTAAAACAAGCTTAAAAAACAAACACAATGTCTTGAACAATGGTAAATGAGTTTTTCAGCTGCCATTTCTTACAATGTAGGAAATGGCAGAACATTCAACACGAATTTAATGTTAGCAGAACAATAATGGTCAGTGCCAATGCCCTATAGCTCTACGTACCAATCAGAGTTATCAAAATGCTAAGGTTTAAAACAAAAAGCATAAGAACACCCATGGTATCTGAAATTGCAGTAGAAATACTGGAAGGTAATATGGTTTTCTAAACTCTCAACCGTCATTTTTCTTTGCAAACATTCGGCAAACATTCAGGACAGCAGCAATATAGCCCGCCTTGAGCCAACGGACCCTCATTTGAATATCGACGTGTTTTCTAAACTCTCAACCGTCATTTTCTTTGCAAACATTCGGCAAACATTCAGGACAGCCCGGCTTGACCAGCCAACGGACCCTCATTTGAATATCGATCCGTATTCTTCATTTGTATAGTACTCTTCGATCGACATCTGATCCGGATAACCTGGCGGCTTTGGGATTGTTATAAATACCGGCCAGAGCTCAGTGGCTCTTCAGTTGATCTCATCGACATACCAAACAATCAATATGCCTGCCAAGACAAGCGGAAAGGGAGCCAAGAAGGCCGGCCAGGCTAAGACCAGCCGTGCAGCTGGAGATAAGAAGAGGAAGAGGAAGCGAAAGGAGAGCTACGGAATCTACATCTACAAGGTTCTGAAGCAGGTCCACCCCGACACTGGTATCTCCAGCAAGGCCATGTCCATCATGAACAGCTTCGTCAACGATGTCTTTGAGCGCATCGCCAATGAATCTTCCCGTCTTGCCAAATACAACAAGAAGTCCACCATCAGCAGCCGAGAGATCCAGACCGCTGTCCGTCTCCTCCTCCCCGGAGAGTTGGCCAAGCATGCCGTCTCTGAGGGCACCAAGGCTGTCACCAAGTACACCACCTCCAAGTAAATTGGTTCCCACCACATTTACTAAACGGCTCTTTTTAGAGCCACCACATTTCCAAGAAAGAAACCAATGATATAATTCAAGCAGTTACCAGCTAATCATGGTAAAATCGCTTCTATATACCACATCAATTAATATATATATATATATATATATATATATATATATATATAAAATAGAATTAAACTCATGGCATGCGATATGGACAAAATGGCGTAGTCGAAACCAAATCCCTGTTGGAACAGTTATGATTGAAAAAGAATCAAAGTATAACTACGTGCTGAGTTACAGAAAAGAGGTATGCATACAAACGGAGTAAAGGCGATCCTTCTTGAAAGACTAGAAAATGCAGTAGGCCTAGACGAAATAAGGAACACTAATGCCGCTGGTGATGTAGATGAAGATAAACATGAAAAGCCAGATGATGTCTTCAATGATGACGCAGACTGCCGACAACTACTGCATAATGTACTGAGTGAAATAAAAGGCTTGAATAGTAGGCTAGATACTATCGAGAAGAAGTTCAACAATCTATTCGAACAGCATACTTCTACTTCTACTTCTACGACGATACTCAGCAGGATCCATAAGTCAGGATGTAGTGCAAGGGAGAAGGAGAAGGAGAAGGAGAAGGAGACGGAGAAGGAGAAGGAGAAGGAGCAAGGGAATCTGAGGGCACAACAACAAGTATCTAGGCCTACCACCAAATATTTCCCGACAATTGCTACGCATAACCGGTTTGAAATACTATCCGAGATCACGGAATCAGACAACAGTGCCAAGAGTGTATCAATGCCAATTGAAGATCAACTTCGTGACTACAAGGCCAAGCACCTGAAGTTGTTCTCCAAAACCAACATCACCCATTCTGAAGTTATCTCTGATGACGCAACTGATGACAGCGACGCAACTGTTGACAACGACGCAACTGATGACAGCTCAGACCGATCTTTGTCAACACCTACTAGTATTACTTCTACTTCACCACCATACCATGAGCAGATAGAGGGATACCGCCACCGACATAGTGTGATCCGCAACAAACGAGATGTAGTTGTGGTCGGTGATTCCATGATAAAACACATCGACGGAAGACATCTCTCCCGCAGCAAGAATGTGAGGTGCGTCTCGTTTCCCGGTGCAAAAGTGAGAGACATATTCACCTCTTCACCTTGCGAGTTTCTCAAGCCAGGGGGAGAACTGATCATCCACGCTGGCACCAATAACATCTCTGAGGGTGCTGGTGAAGTTTGCCACCAAATCACAGACCTCGGCAAGTCTGTTGCTGCCGAGGGGTTTAACGTCTCAGTCTCTACGATCATCCATCGTAGAGGGGAGAGTGAAGCGGACAAGAAGCGGGTTGATGAGATCAACTATCTGATGGAGTTGGCAGCCAGCGAGAACAGATGGGGCCTCATCATCAACAATGATATCAGCGAGCAGCATCTCGGGCGTGATGGCGTTCACCTCAACAGAGCCGGTCAACGAATCTTGGCAGGCAACCTGAAACGCCTCATCAACAATGCTGACCAACCGACAACACGAGGCCATGGCTGGACTCAACGGTCGTCCGATCAAGTTACAGGCAGTGAACCTGGAGCAAGGCGGCATCAAGCCATCTACCGAGAAAACCAGAGTCTTCATTCTGATGAGGAGAAAAGCAGCCCCGTAAAGTCCTACGCCGAATCTGTTTCTGGGAGATCTTTGGATTTCAGTGCAGTCAAACAGAGGTCACGACTGAAACCAGCCTTCAGACCATCCAAGGTGGACATGAAAGACTGGGCGAAATATCTTCAATTTGTAAGAAGGGTATTGAATTAAGTGAAAGTTTGACAAAATCTAGTGATGATCCGAAAATTATAGTTGACGGTCGAAAATATAAGTTCCCTTGTGGGAACTGTGATAAGCCAGTCAAATGTAATCAACACGGCCTTCTGTGTTCTTATTGTAAAAAATGGTTTCACACTAATTGTCAAGCTATCAGTTTTTCAGAGTACCGCAGGTTATATTATGAATGCCCTGATGAGAAGTGGAATTGTTTAACATGTTGTCTGCCATCTTTTTGTGACTCATTATTTAACGACGATTGTTTAGAGAAAGAAAGCCAAAACGAGGATAGACTAAAAGAAAACTATTTTAAGATAACGCGCGTTACACCTGAAAAGCAAGCGATAGCAAGAATAATTCAGCCAAACCTCAGAGATGAAAACACTTCTCTTTATCAAGAATTTGAAGAAAAGTTTAAAGTTAAAGGTCTTCATTTTTTACACCTTAATGTGAGGTCTATTCTAAACAAGATATCGGAACTTAGAATTCTTTTTAAAAGAAAAAGGCTGTCTATTATTGCTTTCACTGAAACATGGTTAAACAATTCCATAAATGATGAAGAAATTGAAATAGACGGATATAAAATCATACGCCATGATCGATCCTCTGGCTCTGGAGGTGGTGTATGTTTCTATATCAGAAATGATATTGCATTTAATATTATGGATGCTATAAGTACTGGAGATACGGAATCCCTGTGGATAAATTTGCTTATACCAAGATCAAAACCAATTGTTGTTGGTGTTCTGTATCGACCTCCGAAAAACAATTTGTTTATCGAGAAATTGTCCAATATTCTTGATACATTAAAGAAGGATGACGAAATAATTCTTTTAGGAGACATGAATATTTGTCTTCTTCGCAAATCGCCACTGGCTAAAAAATATATTGACTTGTTGAGTCTTCATGGGTTTAGTCAACTCATTAAAGAGGCAACACGCGTTACACCTACATGTTCTTCTCTATTGGATCATGTTGGTTGTACCAAAGAAAATAAAATAAGTCAAAGTGGTGTCATTGATCTAGGTATTAGCGACCATTATTTTACTTTCTGTACACGGAAAAATGTTAGACTGGCTATAGGTCATCACAGGACTAATGATATCAGATCCATGAAAAAATATACAGAAGAGTCTTTCAATCTTCAACTATCTGTTGTTGATTGGTCACGAATAACTGACTGTACAGATGTAAATGAGGCATGGTCAATATTTCAACATGTTTTTATCTCAAATTTGAATATGATAGCGCCACTGAAACGGATAAGAATAAAACAAAGATCAGAAACTTGGGTGACTAAAGATATTCTTTCCCTAATTCAAGAGAGAAATATAGTATACAAAAAATGGAGGAAAAGAGCAAAAGATGAGAAGCTCTATAAAAGATACAGAGTATTAAGAAATATGGTCCAAAGAGAGGTGAAAAAGGCTAAACTCGATTACTTACAAAACAAGATAGAAGAAAATAAACAAGATTCGAAAAAACTTTGGCAGAATCTAAAAAGCTTAGGATTGAAAAATAAGAAGCGAAAAGAACAAGAATCTGTCATTAAAATTGATGGGGAATTATGTCATGATAAGATGGCCATCGCTGATGAATTCAATTCTCATTTCACAAATGTGGCTGCCAAATTAGTAGACAAACTCCCCCCTTCCAAAGACTTTTTCAGCGCAGACAATGATTGTATTCGTGACTTTTACGAAAGAAAAGGTGTACGTGAAAACAGCTTCGAGTTATTACCAATCAGTGAACAATTTGTTTTCAAAGAGTTACGTAAGTTGAATGTATCAAAAAGTACTGGGTTAGACTTGATTCCAGCTAAATTTCTAAAAGATGGTGCGAAGGTTTTATTTAAGCCTCTAAGTTACTTAATGAACCTATCTATCTTGACGAGTACTTTTCCAGAAGATATGAAAATAGCAAAAGTGACTCCACTTTATAAAAAGAAAGATAAAACTGATGTTAGCAACTATAGACCTATTAGTGTTTTAAGCGTAGCATCAAAGATTCTAGAAAAATCGGTCTGTGTTCAAATTGAAAGATACTTCAAAGAAAATGATATAATTTATGAATTTCAATCTGGTTTTCGACATGATTATTCGACTGAAACATGTCTAATTCATTTGACTGATTATTTGAGGAGAGAAACTTCCCAAGGACGCTTTGTTGGTATGGTGCTCCTTGATCTGCAAAAAGCTTTTGATACAGTTAATCATTGCGTCTTATTGAAGAAGTTACAACTAATGGGTTTTGATAAGGCAAGTTTAGATTGGTTTAGATCCTACTTATCTAATCGGCACCAAGTAGTGGCCATTCATGATATTCGTTCCAAACTAATGCCTATAACATGCGGTGTTCCTCAGGGAAGTATTTTAGGCCCAATTCTATTTTCAAGTTATATAAATGATATGTGTATTTGTATAAAAGACTTCAAACTATTATTGTACGCAGATGACAGCGTACTACTCTATTCAAATCCTGATCCTAAATATATTGAGGAAAAGCTCAGTGAACAGCTGTCTACGTGTGTCGATTGGATGACTGATAATAAGCTTTCTTTACACTTGGGAAAAACAGAAAGCATTTTATTTTGTTCTAAAAGTAGTTCTAAAAAGTCATTTGAATTCAAAGTGACACACAATAATCAAGCAATCAAGAGAAAAGAGTCTGTGAAGTATTTAGGCATTGAGTTGGCTAGCGCAATTTCATTTTCATCTTTAGTAGAATCAGTTGTAAAAAAAGCAAATTCTCGTCTGAAATTTTTGTACAGATATCAAAGTTGTATGGATTTAAAAGCAAGACGTACACTCTGTTTTGCTCTTATTCAATGTTTATTTGACTATGCTAACCCTGCATGGTACAGTAACATAAACAAGTCAGATCAAAAGAAGTTGAAGATTATACAGAACAAAATGGTGAGATTTATCAACTGTTCTGGTCCAAGAACTCATGTTGGCTATAGCGAACTTTCTAAAGCTGGTTTTCTTGAAGTCGACCAAAGATCAAAACAACTCGCATTGCATCACGTGCATAAAATATATCATACTAGGGCGAATCATTATATTCGATCCAACTTCGATCTTGTTACTGACGTACATGATTATAATACAAGAAATAGACGATTCAACTTTAACTTACCAGACAGAGTAGGTAGTATTGGAAATTCGTTTTATTACAATGCCATAAAACATTGGAATTCCCTTCCCAATGGTGTAAAAGAAATAGGAAACTATGATCATTTTAAGAGGAAATTAAAGGAATACCTAATACTTGACAGTCAGAGAAGAGAAGTGAATGACATGTTATATGATTGAAATTGTTATTCTTCTGTCGGTTCATACTTTTTCATGTTGTATATACTTATGTTTTCGTACGTTATAGAAATTCTACAAATTCATCATTATTTTCCTCTTCTTCCTTCTCCTCTTTTTCTTCTTCTCCTTCTTCTTTTTCTTCTTGTACTTAATATCATTTCTATCATCAGTTTAATGTTGTTATTATTATCTTTAATAAGTAGTTCTTTTAATTTTCTTATCTGTCTGTAAATATTACTATTTTAATTTATTAATTGTATACATGTCTGTAAGGGACCCCACTGGAAATAAGCTCTCGAGCTTTCGTGGGTTATCCTGTTCAAGCTGACTTATTTTTGATCTGTTATTATTGTATATTGTTGTATATTGGAAGCTTGTCGAATAAAAATCAATCAATCATCTGGAAAAAAAAAAAAAAGAGTTAAGACGTTAAAGCGCCTAATGCCATTTCATTGTAGCTGCGACCATAAATATCAGAATATGCAGTTATTTAATAATGGTAAAATCGCTTCTATATACCACATTAAATTAAATATATATATATATATATATATAAAATAGAATTAAACTCATTGCATACGATATGGACAAAATGGCGTAGTCGAAACAAAATCCCTGTTGGAACAGTTATGATTGAAAAAGAATCAAAGTATATCTGGAGAAAAAAAAAGAGTTAAGACTTTAAAGGTATAAGGCAATGTTTGGGAAATTTTAAAAATTGGATGGATAATAATTCTTTAAAATGTTTTTTTATTTGGAAGCCCCTCGATGGATGTGTGTTATAAGCACTTGAAAATTTAGACCCTAATTTTCTGCTTTCGACAAATTGAATAATCAAAAATTTACCAGTGTGCTCCCGGTAAATTTCAAATATTTCAAATAGCGCCTAAGGCCATTCCATTGTAGCTGCGACCATACACATCTCAGAATATGCAGTTATTTAATCATGGTAAAATCGCTTCTATTATATACCACATTAAATAAAAAATATATATATAAAATAGAATTAAACTCATGGCATACGATATGGACAAAATGGCGTAGTCGAAACAAAATCCCTGTTGGAACAGTTGATTGAAAAAGAATCAAAGTATATTTGGAGGAAAAAAAAAGAGTTAAGACTTTAAAGGTAAGGCACTGTTTGGGAAATTTTAAAAATTGGATGGATAATAATTCTTTAAAATGTTTTTTTTATTTGGAAGCCCCTCGATGGATGTGTGTTATAAGCACATGTAAATTTAGACCCTAATTTTCTGCTTTCGAGAAATATTGAATAATAAAAAATTTACCAGTGTGCTCCCGGTAAATTTCAACTATTTCAAATAGCGCCTAAGGCCATTCCATTGTAGCTGCGACCATATAAATCTCAGAATATGCAGTTATATATAATTTCAAAACGGGAATACGGTCAGTCGATCGTAGTCTATAGAATCATCGTTTTAAAGCGAAAGTAATATCAGTCTTAAGAGGGAGCTATACAACATATTTTATGCACGATCTCATCACTTTATAGACTCGATTTCAACCGCCACAACGATAGTAAAATCGCATAAAAATTATGCTTCCAATATGTTTAATAATATATTGAACCAAATTCATAACCCCCAAATTTTGTATTACCTTTATATGGAAATTATAGGCCTACAAATTAGTTACAAAAAGAGACCTTCTTTTCTTGATATTTTGGCGTTTGCTAAATCTATAAAAAGTTGTGGGTAGAAATATTTTATTATGGTTTCTTATTTTTCTTTCAGTGAACTTTTTCCTTGTAATAGCAATTCGAAACGCATTATCACAGATCAATGCGAAATTTGCGCTGCAAAATTAATGCTTAGCCCATATAGGCTAATATCCTCCCAAATAGGCCTATACAACAAAAAGATGGTGACTTGCACCTGGGTCGGTTGGTCGATTTATGGTTTGCTTTTTTGGTTTTTTCCCCCTCTTTGGGCTGACATTTTCCAGGTTTGAATGCTGCTTTAATTCAATTTTTTTTCTTCTAATATACATATTTTTGTATTCATCAGACAATTTTTTTCTCTAAAAAAACTTTCAAAAAGCCGACTGTGGATTTCAAGATTTGGGGGTCGGTCGTAAAAGGCAATACAACAACTTTTTGTTATAAGAAAAGATAAACAAAAAGAAGAAGCCACATGACTTGTGACATAATTAAGCTTATTAATAAATTATATCAGCCTCTGTGTGTTATTCCGTCTATGTTGCCACTCATGTTTTAATGTATACCTGACATCTCTTCAAATAGAACAAATCTTTGTTCATTAGGCTATGTGCCCGAGTGAGAATATTATTTAGCTGAACTTTGATAACGTGTAAAAGGCCTCCTAATTTTCTGTACGATGAACACCGTACAACATGCCTGAAGCCCGACGATATTGCTTGTACAATGGCAGATAGATACTGACTTTTAATACCTCCATTTTTTGCAAAGAAATTATATTACAACTAACAAGGGAAGGAGAAAAATCTACTACCAAGGATACTATAGTAACTCAGTGCTACTACCAATCCGAGTATATCACTAGTACTGATAATAATTATCATTCATAAACTCGAACCCTTTTTACTAGGGGAGAATAGTAACGGTCCAGTATTTGCTAACTGTTATTAGAAGTTGAAAATATGACTTGTAATATTTGTATACTTATACAGATATAGAAATGAATCTCAGAAGTTAGATTCAACTTGAATATGCCACCTTTTACACCGAAGCAAATAAAATGCGTGAGAGAACATGACAGGGGACTGGACGGAAGAAGTCGGAAATCGGAGAGAGAGAGAGAGAGAGAGAGAGAGAGAGAAGGAGTGTTCGGGCATTTGTAGTAGGGTCCATGGTTCGAGGGGGGGGGGGGGGAGAGAGAGAGAGAGAGAGAGAGAGGGAGAGAAGGAGTGTTCGAGGGAGAGAGCGAGAGAGGGAGAGAGAGAGAGAGAGAGAGAGAGGGAAGAGAGAAGTAGTAGAAGAAGAAATAACCCACAAAATTATATGTAGGACAAGTTGTTTTTGATTGGCAAGTCCCCTCCGAAAAAAGGTTACTTTCAATAGAAGCAGAAAAATCAGACAAACCAATTGAAAAAAGTTTGAGCAAAATAATATTGGATAACTGGAAAAAGGCATGGGAAAATTATTAAATGAGATAAAAATATACAAAGCAATAAACAGTGAGGCAATGACGTCACAAAATGATATCCAAATTGGCAATTTGTGTAGTGATTTATCATTTTTTGACTTCCATAGTTTTTCATACAAAAAAAAAAATATTACTTCCTTATTATTAGTTATCCGATTTTACTCAATTTTGGGGGGCTCTTTTTCTCTTGTTCTGCATCTATACTACAACAGTATATAGTACAAGCGAATTATTTTTGGAGTTGCATATTTAGTCATAACTGACTATACATGCCTCTCACTTGGATTTTGAAAATATATATGAATATATATTTTGAAATTTTTTAATTAATCTACGTTTAGTGGTATACGATACATGACCTGACTGGACAACGGTCGTTACAAACCACCAGTGTGGTCAGCGCTAGAGGCCGAGGATATGAAATATTGGCGCTATATGCAAATGAGGTGTCCGAACCAGAAGGAAAAGCGCGCGCCGCGGCACAGTAACCTAACCACGTACAGTACATACAGTCGATAGTCGTCTAGTCACACTTGAGGAGTTGGTGTCGAATACTGCTCGTCTATTGGTGTATCCTGGCAGTATTAATTTGCGTACGGGTACTAGCGGATCCGTCAAGGTGGTATAAATAGCTGGCCGCGAACTTTGAAAAAATCAGTTTCATTTAGCAACGACCGAATCTAACTAAATCATCATGACTGGACGTGGTAAAGGAGGAAAGGCAAAGAGCAAGGCCAAGAGCCGCTCATCCCGTGCAGGGCTTCAGTTCCCCGTTGGCCGTGTGCACCGTTTCTTGAAGAAGGGCAACTACGCTGGCCGCGTCGGAGCTGGTGCCCCCGTGTACCTCTCTGCTGTGCTTGAGTACCTGACCGCTGAGATCCTCGAGCTCGCTGGCAACGCCGCCCGCGACAACAAGAAGGCCAGGATCATCCCCCGTCACCTTCAGCTCGCCGTCCGCAACGACGAGGAGCTCAACAAGCTTCTTGGAGGAGTTACCATCGCCCAAGGTGGTGTCCTCCCCAACATCCAGGCTGTCCTTCTCCCCAAGAAGACCGGCAAGTCTTCCGCTTAAGAAGGGAATTCTGACATCAAACAAACGGCTCTTTTTAGAGCCACCAATAATCCAAGAAAGAATCAATAGCCTCTAGATATCTGTCGTACTCGTACTCGTATTTCGTGCAATATTTCGTTTGTTATCGTGTATTTATTTAGTGGTAGATGGAACTATTTCATACATCTTGTAACAGATCAGTCATGACTAATGTATCCTGGTTCTATCCATATGCTGCTTATAAAGTTAAATATTTTCCTCCCAGATGTAGATCTACTAGTAGTAGAAATCTATTAGTCTAGGCCTATAAATTTCAAATATATCCTCCATATTTCTCCATATTTCTTTCAATGGAAATTAAGATCTACATGAAAGAGAAGTGGGGAGTTAAAGATAAACTTTAGTACTGGTAATGCGATTGCATTGTGAAAGAAAAGGTGTGGAAAGGATCAGAAACAGTTGATCATGTAGCATGTAAGTATTGGTGTGCACTGCAAGGTTCTGGAGTCATCAAAATCATGATAAATTTGACCGAGTCTTGGTAAAGTAACAAGCACATACACAGAAAGCTATGTATGGGACAACACGCATGGTGTCGGGGTTGGTACTACCTTGATTCCTTGTCTTTCTATGCTCATTACTCAGCCAGTATACATTTTCTTCCAAAATTGTTTGGCACATGTCATTTATTTGTAATCTTGAACATTCAGTGTAAGTTTCGTTTGATTCTGTGAGAAATAATTTTCTTTTTTTTTACCAGTACTCAACCTTCTCTTTAATTTCACTTGGGCAATAGTAAAATTCTACTTATATAACAATATAGGCCTAGTCTATATATATTATATAACAAGTATAACAATCAACATTCTTCAACATTTTTCAATGATTACATACAACTTTTTTTGCCATTATTTTCACACAAGCTCACACAATTATTAGTACACCTAACAAGCAAATACAACAGGTTAAATTAATTTTGTTCAGTAATGAAGAGAATAAAGAGATCCACAAGAGTATTCATATTCTAAGATATGGAATGGTATCCCGTTTATTGCACAGGGTTTTCATATCCTTCCTCCACATACACAGCACTGCAATTTCAATATTTGACCATATTATATTATACACCAGTCGTTCCTAATTTTGTTAAACCAAGAAGCTTCATTGGTGAAACCATGGGGCTAAAACATACTACAAGAAGAATAACATTAGTATCCTTAAAATGTACTTCAACATTTTTTCTTCAAAATTGAATTCCCTATGTGTATGCATATCATCAGTACATGAGTGGAGTCTATATATTTAACATAACAAAACAAATGTAATACACAGATAGATAAAATAAATCCTGAATATGGCAAATAAAAAAAAAAATGTATTGTATATGTCCATGTAAAAATATGTTTATTAATTATCAACCTATATCATAAGCATTGACCATGGTTTGAGAGTGATGTTAAAATCAGTTTGACTTTTACATTGCACATTTAACCCCCTTCTATGCATTTCTACATAGCTATGAATAAACTGAATACATTTAGCAGGGGTGATCTCAATGTAGGCTTTTGACACAGAGCTGAAACATGTTCGGCATAACAACACTATTACACTATCATTCAGCACTGTAGTCATAACTGTCCCCAGACATATTAAGAACAAACCTCGGTCCTTTTCTTCAGTTATCACTTTATTTGAATCACATGTCACAAGGAAGAACCAAAGAAGGGACATCTTATTAGCTGTGTTACAGTTACAATAAAAATGAGAGATTTGAACTATATTGCAATATTGAATCAAATCACAACATTTTGTAGATGTACCAGTATTTGTTAACATTAAAAACAACAATGAAACAAAAAATATACATGAACATAAAACAAAAACTGGTTTAGAAATATGTGGTACAAACTTAAGGAGATAACAATACTCTTTGTATATCAATTGAAGGCTCTATTAATTATGAGACACATGTATTATAAAATCATTTAAATATTGAGTTAATCATAATGATTTCTTGAGCTCTCCTGTCACAAAGCTTTTTAATAAATTCATGAGGAACAAAAAAACACCTCACAATATAGAATTAAAAAATTGGTCTTGCATATAATTATACCTATAAAAATACTGATGGTAATTTTTCTTTAAATGAGGCACAATGATAAATGATGCTATACGATCTAGCATGTTTCCAAGTATTACAAAATTAAAAGTATAATGGATCGTAACAAATCAATCTCATCTCACATTACGTAGGAACATACTTTGGTTTGAGAGAGCTGAATTATGATTGATCATGTTTGAGTTATACGTAAATCAACTGCTTCAAAGTGTCCTTTAATACACAATTTTACCTATATCTGACCTGCATATACCTACCATACGATACATGCAGACACACATTAAGCTGGTTATATTCGAATAGTTGACGTTCAAATCTTCTCTGTTTACAAGCATATCAATACAAGTATTACCTTCAAGTCTTTCATAAGCTCCATTTATCAAACCCTTGGTATAATTAATTAATTAATTATCTTGTATTTTCTTTCTCTCTCTCTCTCCCTCTCGCATTCTCATTCACTCCCTCACTTAAACACACACGCCATCTCTCTTAATTACTCTGCCTCTCGCTCTGTATACTCTCTCTGCAAATTATATACGGTACTCACTTCACAAAACCTATTTCATTCTTCATTACTCTTTGATATGCAAGGTAAAAAAACAACACATCCCTGAATTGCATACGGTATTTATAAAGAACCCACCTCTTCTCAAGTACTTTCCTCGTTACTGCCTTAGCTGCAGGCGAGCTTAATGTACACAACATTACACTTACAAGCACTGAATTAAAAACAAGCACTGAATTAAAAAACAAAAAACACTCAATGACCATTGGTACTGTCTACTGTACAGTTCTTTCAAACCAACCGGTACTTATCAAATCTTCCACACTATTCTTGTTATTATCATGCGACACCCCAGGCACATATATTACAATAGAGAGTGTACATGTATATCATGGCAATTCCCATATTTGTATTCAGGGCTTGACACCGACATGGCTCCAGTGCACAAGGGGCCTTCAGATTTCAAATTCACAACACAAATAGATCAACATTTAAACAGGCTTCATTTATGACCCTCTATAATAATAACAATAATAGCTCACATTTATAATGCGCCTAATACTTTGTTTCTAGGCACGGAACATATTATTATTATGAGGGAAAAAACTAAACAAAAACAAAAACGAGGTGAGAGAGGGGACTTGATACATTCTGGATTCTTCCCTCCCATGTTCTTGTTATTATTTTCATACACATGTTGAAAACATGTTCAAAGTTGTGAAATTCCTCACAAAACATTTATGGACTATTGAGTTTGCTGACACATTAGACCATCTCTGAGAGCTCTGGTGAGCAGCAGCTTTACGTGAAACATATCAATAACATTTTGATAATTGTTTCAACTCTAAAAGCAATTTTTTTATTTTATAAAGCAAGCTGCTATGATGATGCAAACAAGAATTACCCCTCATAGCAAATGAAGAGTTCAGCTGTAAATAAAATAAAATACACACAAAATAATAAAGTTAGCTCTTTACAAGTATAGCACCATTCATGTCTTTTCTTCTTAAAAAACGTACACATGTCTGTTCACATTAGCATAATCTCATTCCACACTTTCACAAACTATTTTTCATTTCTTCACCTGGAAATCAATTCAGTTTTAGAATTAGATAAACAGTTAAGTTTAACCATTCCACATAGTAATAAAATTAGATATAGAGCACATGAAAGAAAGATTTATTAGTTTACAAGTCATTGATGACAATACTCGCATTTCTAGTTGGCCCAATACATCGAAGTGAGAAATTGATATAAATGTCTTTGGAGTTCTCCATGAACCACACAATTGTACTGATATAATTTATCATTACCATTAAAATGTGATACACATTCAAGAAAACTTGCTATTGTTTATGTTTTTTGACCAAATTGCACAAAATATCTTAAAAAGTGCAGCATGTGAACTTCTTATTCTCTTGATAGCTTGTATAGGTCAACCTATTGCCAGAGTTAAAGAATTGTAAGAAAGAATAATGAAGCTTCTAGTGGGTTTTGATAAACAGAGTACAGACACGTCTAAAACATACCTTCAGCACTATTTATATTGAAGAGAATATAGTCTAAGCAGGACTAAAGGAGTTGCAATGAATTTATCGTCGTCATGAACTAAAAAAGAAAATGAAACCATAAATATCTGCTGTGATGGTCAAAAGAGTCCATCATAATATTAATGCGAGCCTAAAATCTTTCACATATATGATTTGCCAGCATGTTTTAATCACAAACATTGCGATAGTTTTATGTCCTTTTTTTATGGCAGGAATTCAAGGCACCGCAAATGACTCTTTAATCAAAGAGAGATGGCTGGGTTTTTGTTAAACTTCAGAAAAGATACCCCCTTATGTACATATGAGTGAATGTAAAATTGGCAGTGTTGTCGTATATGGTATAGTGGTTCATTCACTTGATTCTCAATGGAGCAGTTGAGGGTTCCAATCCCTGCCTGGCACTAACATTCCTTGGCAATACATTGATAGTAATATTGGAGTAAGGAATTTATGTGTCTTAAACATAATTGCAGAACTTTCCATTGTTTAACAAACTACAATATTTAGATGTTATACCTGATTTACAATAAGGCATTTGTCCTTATAAGATAAAGCTGGACCTTTATAGACTGATTTACATTGATATATTCCTGTCAATGAAGGAACTAAAATGAATCCAAAATCTTGATGATCACAAAAGGCAGCTCAGATGCTTTGCTTGGTGCACATGCTCCCCTTTCTAATTAGAGTCAAGATTCCCCGAGACTAAAAGCAAAACAACTTGATTTTGTTGCTTTGCAGGGCATCGTTTCACCAAAACCCCCAGAAGTACAAGTTCACCAACATCCCATTAGAACGCATGTTAATTACAACACATCCGTTTCATGAAACCAATGTATAGATCTTATATATGTGCCAGTGGCTTCTCCTCCCCAAACTTATATCAGCAAATGCTGAATCCAGTAATTTCTACAAAATTGAAAGGACAGATGTCAAGTCATCAGATATGAAAACCGTGCAAAAGAATATAAATCACATTCTGATTCACACAGTTCTTCCAGCCATTTCTCGTAACTAAAGAACCATTTGCAGCTAATATGGAATCACTTAATAAATGCTACATCTACAATAACCTGCATTACAAAGGAGAGGTAAAGGGGAGTACGCCTCCTCCCCTTGTTACCTTCATCATCTTTTCTCTAGTTGGCTAGTGGCAGTTCTCCACAGTGATGCAACTGATGCTACTGCTGATGATACCAGACCCCCAGGGGCTTGTGGCAAGTTGGAAGCACTCATCATAGAAGGGCTGGGTTCTGGTGGAGAGGGGCTGTTGCCTTCCTCACTCACTCCCACCGGCCCCTGAGGGAGGAGCGACAGAGAGGTCGGGACTGTTTCCCATTCCTCCTGGTCTGCAGATCCAGTGCTGGCACCGTCATCGTCGGGAGAATCCTGTTGGCTCTCACTGCCTGACCCACTTAGCATACTGGTCATGTTGGGTGTAGTTAATGTAGCGAGGAGAAGGTCACTGTGAACCTCAAAGTCACTTGTCCTATCAAATACAAAAATAGGATAACACATTCAAAATTCTATATCCTGTACTTTAGAATGAATGAGAGTAAATGTCATAAATTATTATTTTACTACACCTAAAATTGACATCAAATTTAAACTTCAGATCACTGTTCAAGATTTGTTTGTGAAGGTATGTGTAAAACTAATAAATACACAATCTCTACTCAAAATCATAAATACACAATAATAACTATTATTATCTGAAATTTACTTGCAAACATATATTTTTGTTATATATAGGGTTGAATACAATTCTGTCATAGTATAATAATAATAATAATAATAGTGGGTTCTTGAACCGCTCATATCTGTCAAACTTGGCACTCCTGGTGCTCCACAATTATTACCCCGCCTATAGCATGGCTGCCATTATGGCGCTCTAGCCTTTCAAGGAATTAATTCCTACCAGGTACCCATTTACCTCGTCCAGGTCGAGTGAGGCAAATGTAGATAAATATCTTGCTTAGGGACGTTAGTGCTGTAGCTGGACTCGAACCACGAACCATGGGATTCAGAGTCCGGTGACCTATCCACTAGACCATGACATCTCTACCATAACTATTGAACATGAAAGTCATGTATAATGAAAGAATCAATGAAGCAACTAGGACGTACCTTCCATAATCTTGGTGTTTGCTGTCAACCATGGTGATAAGGTTTCTCATTGTGTAATGAGGGTGGAGCTTATCAGGTGGAATAGCCTGCAATAAACACAACAACACCATTATTCAATTTATAAAGCTCTTTGGAAGCACATATGGATGACTTATAACATGATACTCGAGCTACACAAGAATGGATTATTTTCTTCAAATTTATTTACAAACACTAAAAACATTCTATCCAATCAATAAACTATATCATTCTACACTCACAAATTCATGGTACTATAGATATAAGATAGCAATCTTAATCTATGAAATTAACGGACTGCTGGACCAACTGCTAATAATGCTATGTCTCATTATCATCAAGGTCTAAACTTGTTTTCTTTAACTCCTTTGTCCTACAACCTGGACAGTAATTATACCATCAATTAAGCAAACATCTCGTGTTCATTTTACTGTAATTTGAAATACAGCTGGCAAGTAATCACTCATAAGTATTGCCTGAAGGACTGATGCTACTTAATTTGGCTTCTTCAACAATAAAATGTAGCGCTAAAGGTCAACATTGTCTGAGATTACTTAATTTTAAATACTTACAGCAAGTTTACTATTACTAAAATAATTCTTAGTACAGATTTTGACAGGCTTCAAAATCTGCATATAGAGAAAGAAAACAATTCTTACCTGACTAAAGCATAGGAAGAGCACACTACTGTTCAGCTTCTCAACTGCTGAAGAAAACTGCCGTAGGTTGAGTTCAGACTTGCAGAATCGACTGGGAAAATGAAAAGATAGTTAATGAAAAAATAAGGCTGATTATGGCAAACTGACTTTTAAACAATCTATAATATCCTCTTAGAAATACTAAAAATTATAAATATATATAAATACAAATAAAAAATACATGAAAAAGTAAAAGTGCATGCCTTGATGACTCTCTTCTTAAATGCCAGATCAACAGAGTACCGAAACTGTGACATCATACAAATCTATTTTTGGAATTTCTGCTATTCGAAGCACTATAAAATCATATATCCTAAATAAACTTCAATTAAAAAAAAATATTCAAATAACATTATTCTTTTACAGAAAAATAAGGAGAATGAGAAAAGAAGTGAGAGATCGACAAATGAAGGAAAGAGAGAAAATTATAATATTGACAATGTGGGAAATAGCAAAAAAGACATAGGGTAAAAATGCATACAAACACCAACAATTAAATATGCATGAAAAGAAATGCACACTGCTATTAATCATTCAATCAGCCCTTGGGGAAATGCTGCTGTATTCTTTGGTGATGTCTTCAGTAAATATTGACAAAACGGTACTTACCTGAAATGGACCTTCCTGACTAGAGGAACATCTAATGTATTGGCAATGTGAGCTACTAGTTGAGCTGTGTAGCACAGCATTGCTGATACCTGGTGTCCAGGATTGTGAAGATCTAACTCTCCATCAGGGTCAGGGACATCAGGCTCACTGGTCAGTGCTGGACAAGACGGGAGAACAAGGGAGTGAAGGTCATATATATCGGGCAAGTCCAACATATTCGGTCTTTCTGTGTCCCATTTGTTACCAAGTGTCCTGGCCCCATTTCACAAAACTTGTCATCAGTGACAAATTACAGTTTTTGTTATAAGCTAGTGAAATCCTTGCGTCTGATTGGTTATCAGCAGATTTGTCACTGAATTTGTCATTTGTCATTGAGAAAAGGCTTTGTGAAACAGGTCCATGGACTTAAGAATATAATAAACATTGAATCTCTCATTCTCCTTGATAGATTCCATCTTTAACAGGGCTACAAATCAAATACCATCACCAGGTATGCTAAAATCCTTCATGTGGGCAGTAACATGTGGGACAAACTTAATGGGAATTTCCTACATAGAGAAATAATCATACGCCAAGCTAAACAAAACAATTAAATCTGATAGATGGCCATTTACGATACTTACTGCATGCTACATATGCAGAATAATCTCCATTGGCTGGCACTCTGACATTTGGATGGACAATACTGTAATGAGCTTCTCCATTGTTAATGGTTTCTACCCAGCGACCTCTGACATAGGACGTCCTCCTGGCCTCAGCCAAGGCAGCTACCAGCTCGTCTTCTTCTGACTTATCATCAGCTTCAGACTCAGACATCTGTCTCGCTTCCTCCTGCCAAGCCTCTTCTGCTGGTGCACTGTGGATGGATAAATGACATGTAGTAGTTATACTTTACATAATATAACTGAGGCCTGTTTCACAAAGACTAAGATCAATTTTAAGTTGGACTTAATATGGCAGGCCATTCATGCCAATAATTCCTATAACCATTCCTGGCATTGGTTTCTCAAGGGACGTATAAATCGTGGTCACAAATCTACATAATGAATATTTTTTGATAGTTCTTTATTGGAGGAAAAAATATTATCTAAAGATCATAGTTATGAGACCAATAGTGAGAGCAACCAGTGGCATGAACTGCCTGCCATAGTTAAGTCCAACTTAAAGTCGATCTTAGTCTTTATGAAACACCCCCAGGGATGATGTCATTCTACCATTTTATTTACAATACTAATCATGAGATAGTGAAAATATTCTGATGATGCATACAAAAACATTTAAACCTGCAATATAAAAATACGATGCAACATCTATGTGCTCTAGAAGTGCTTTCAAAATTATTTTGAGAACTTAGCTCCATTTAGCTCTTACCAGCATGCAGTGTATTTCAAGGAATAAAACATTCCACAGACAAATTTAAGATCTGGGACTTGCAGATAAAATGCCTCTCTTAAAGTTAAAACCATATCAATTGAGCTACCACTTTAGATATTCAAAATGATAACAAAAAACATGTACATCCTATATTTCTATCAGTAAACATCATAACTTTGTAACGTCACATAAAATAAGTATTGTGTCAAAATAAAGATTTTGACACAGTTTCTCACACTTACGTATGCTGTATTTCAGTGATGGGGAATACATAATGTAACAGCTGCTGTACTTTCTCCTGCCTCTTTGTTCTCAGTTGATCATTTTTCTCCCCCAGGGATTCTTCACGACTGTCTATGTTGGTTCGAATGTGTTCTGTAAGATTTTAAAATACCTACAGATAATATATGAATGGCTAAATGGCACCAACTCATGTCTGGACTATCCCCAAGACAACTATCCCTGACATCCCCAACCCCCTCCTGGTAAATTCACAAAGTGAGGAGGGGGGGGGGGGGGAGGGGGGTATCTACCCTCTTGGACAATCCCACCACCTAGGGTCATTACCAGAAACTATCTGTGTGATTGCAAGTAATTGGTAACTATACAGGATGACAATTGCTCAAGACTCATTTAGCATTTAGATATCATGAAAACTCTTGTATTTACTTCTAAGTGTTTACTTCTAAAAGTAAATAAGATGTGAATTGTTCATTAATTTATAACATAAGAAGAAAATCATGTCTGTGTAGCAAAAGGTCAGTGCTAAAGTAGTGAATGCATACCTAGATATTTCTGGATTTTGAGCACTTTCTTGTTATGTTCATCTCTCTTGGCCTTAGCAGCCCTCACTTCATCAAGACGCTTCTTTAATGATTGCTTATCTAAGGAGAAAATGGAACAATAATCTTTGAATACAATACACTGCAGCAATGAATTAATAACAAACACGTTCTGAAGCTTCCTACTGGAAAAGAAAAGAGATGTGATAAATTGTATAAATATGTATAAAATCACTGCATTACTGGATATAATTTTAGCTATTACCATTTATGTACACAAATTAATCACCCTTCATGAATTACTGTCCAAAGCAATACAACTTTTAAAAAAATACACAAGTACATAAAATAAAAAAGAAGCTGCTTAATATTTACCCTTTTCCACCATGCCTCTTCCATCCTGTATTGCCTTTCGAGTCCATTCTAACCTCCCCTTCATGAGTGACACCTCCCATTGCTGTATAAGAAACAAAAACAATAATAGTAACAACAAAACGATAATAATAACTAGATTTAAAATAGAGTATTGCAGCTTGATAGAAAGATTGTACTAATGCCATTGATGAAGTAATAATCTAACCCTGCAAGTTGGGGCTGTGATCGGAGCGACACCCTCGCACCTTTGATCGGTATCGGATCGGAAGATTTTTTTAATGACGAAAATTGTCAAGTTTTTGGCTATCAAATGCTCAAAAAAAATTCATGGCTGGGATTATTTTGTCATTAGGAGTTGTTGTAGACCATGTTTGTTGATATTTAGTGCCTTTTCATGACTTTGAAATTAATAATATTGGTCTAAGAGCAGAGGCAAAACATGCGGGCTGCCATTTTTTATTATAAATATAATGTAGGTATTTAAAAAAAAAAAAAAAAAAAAAAATTTACTGACGAAAATGTTCAAGTTTTTGGCTATTAAATGCTCAAAAAAAATTCATGGCTGGGATTATTTTGTCATTTGGAGTTGTTGTAGACCATGTTTGTTGACATTTTGTTTTGCCTCTTCTCTTAGACCAATATTATTAATTTCTAAGTCATGAAAATGCACTAAATAGCAACATACATGGTCTACAACAACTCCACATGACAAAATAATCCCAGCTATGATTTTTTTTAAAAGCATTTGATAGCCAAAAACTTGAAAATTTTCGGCATTAAAAAAAAAAAAAAAAAAAATCATTTTAATTGATCGGCGATCAGAAATTATTTTCCGATCACCCCTGATCGGATCGGTATCAGCGTCCGATCCGATGATCGTTTACAGGGTTACATTAATCCTCAATTTTCAGTCACACATGCAGTTCTATTCACTTTCTAGCCAAAGATGAACTAATATTTAACATCTGTAGTACACAAATACTGCTGTGAAATCACATGTTTGGTCATTAGATAAGGTGAACATTAATTTGTGAAATATATCAATAAAAGAAGAATACATTTGAAATAATATATCTCAATGTTTTGCATATATAATATACAGAAAATTGCATATTGTTTTACCATTCTCGAAAGTCGAAACCCAACTTTCAAAATGCACTACTGGCATATGTTTTAAAAAAAAGATTCTTCCCATCGTCATTAACCATACCTTTTCTGCAACTGAATTCCTTTCCTCGAGTCTATTGGTAAGTCTAGATATAAATGAATAATTACAGAAATTAAACGAAAGAGCATTCAGTTATTGTAACAAATTATATAGCATAAGACAGCCGGCAATCATAATTTATTAGATCTATGATATTAAATAAAGATTTCAATATTATGTTGATAACAAACAAAAGCTTAAGGTCATGATTTCTTGAAATAAATTACAGTACATACTCTGCAATAAATATATAAGAAAATACAACACAAGGGAAGGTCTAAATCTCTGCTCACCAATAAAACACTTTAATACAATTACAATATAAAAACATGACATAAATTTATTAATCTACCATTCAGTATTAAAAAACTTTGTATCAAACAGATAATATGTATGGAAAATGGTTTAAAACATTGAATTTCCAGGCCATACAGAATTTTGTGGTTAATATATTTCATATCCCAACAGCTTGAGATTCCCATTGTTAAGATACTTTACAAGTTAGACAAAAACTCATAGCTTCCATATATTTTGCCTTAAGTTTAAATCTGTCTAGAAATCTTTGGTGAGATTATTTTGAAGCTACGTGTTTCCTGGTTGCTTCTGCAGTCATCTTTGCAATATAGAACCATCTTTAATCCATCTGATTGAAAAGACTTACTTTGATAATAATCTGTCTCTCTCACTTCTAAACCTCTGTAGTCTGTCAAGTTTTTCAAAATACCTGCCACAAAAATATGAAAATTCATTAAGAAATATAAGACATGCCAAATGATCATCAATCATCATGCTCAAAACTATACTCAATCAAAATTTATCAGATAAAATAGGGAGTAGAAAGGAGAAAGATAAAGAGAAAATGATTGAAAATGATACAAGGATATAAAGAAAAACATAACAAAAGGACAGATAAAAAGAGGAGACGAAATGGGAAAATAAATAACATGAGATATAGAAAGAGAAGACGATAGGATAGAATATTAAAATCTAACATAAGAAAAGATGGTGAAGATAATAGGAAGAACCCCAAACAAACTGTTAGAAAGAGAATATGAAAGGAGAAAATAAAGGAAATCAAGGAAAGAAAGACAAAAAGAAGATGACTGAATGATGAAAACAAAATGAAGAAAACCATAGGAAAGATACAAAGAAATAAAGCTAGGACAACAAAAACCAAAGAATAACACTAGGAAAGATACAAAGGGAAGATGACAGAGAAATACCTAAGGAATGATAGAAAGGACATATGAAACGGGAGAAATAGATGAAACATTTGAAAGGTAATCATGCATTCTACATTTTTTGCTAAAATTTTGACCAATTTCAAGTACTGTACTTTGAATGAGAAATTAAGAAGATTAAAGCAAAGTCAACACACGTAGTTTGCATGGTTTTTCATGTGTGGGAATGGGTGATTACAAACACATTTGAGGCAAGGCAAATATGGTTGCCAATCAAGGTTTGGATATAGCATAATAATATTATCAATGATCCCTAAAAGGAGGCTTCAGCCTTCAGAGCATATGAATGCACCCTACAAGTACAAGTAGAGTAGACCCTCTTTAAGTTTAAGTCAGATGAAATCATATCATTATTTATATTAATAATATTAATAAAATAATAACCTGATCTGAATTACAATCACAACGTTTGTTGAATTATTTAGGCTATCAGACGTCGACCTAGACATACTTGTTTAGTCTTTAGAAGTTTAGATAGCTGGGGGGTCTTAACAATTACAACCATGACAAAGTAAAACATGCTCTCCAGCCCAGGCTAAGCTGATTTAGCTCATCTAGCAACACTAGCAGAAAACTGCAATCTGTGTGCCCGTGCCTAGCCTAGCCCACTCCAGCAAAGCATAGAGAGTCAATGCTAATGCGTATTGACCTCTAACACTGCATACATGCTGTGAGGCAGGGACCTAGAAGTCTATACACTATTAAATATACACACCACACAATATCGCATAGACTGTACACAATCAAGTCGATGCAGCTGTATGCAAAGTTTGACACTAGACTTACAATTTGAATTTTTAAATTATTCTTTTAAACATACGTAAGTTGAAAAAAATGTATTCGACTGCTATTTAGGTGTCATCAATTGTCACTAAAGTACCGATTTTGAGTGAAATCAGTTGAGTTTTGTACAGTGGTGTTTGAAATGTTGAGAGTCAAAAGCACAGCTTTTACTACACAGCCAGGATAGTGATGCTCCTATGTGTGACCTAGCCCTAGGCACAGCTGCACTGCGCTGAGCTGCGTATACCTATACGGTACGTCGTTCAGCTCAGCTGTGCATTTTGTCATTTGTTTTTGTTTACCTCTCCGATTCTGTCTCCGACTCCGAAGAACTTTTGCTAGATGAATGGCTGAAATCCCCATTCTCCAGACATCTTTCACATGTAAACGGCCTTCTCGCAGTAAAACACAATGGACATTTTTCGAATGCAATACACATTCCCCCAACCCCAAAAGGAGGAACAAAACGTCCAATTTCGTCGTCTGCAAAATTTTCTTCGCCGTCCATGTAAGCCGCCATCTTTAAACCACAACTATGTAGTACTAGTTGATCAAATTTGATGTAATAACTAATTTTTAGGCGATGTAAAATAGCCGTTTCCTTTCATGAAGACTTTAATAATTTTACAGAAAGTTTTATAATATTTGGAAAAACGTTAAATAATGGTTTACATCAATGTGTATATTACTGTTTAATGAAAATCGCTCAATTTGGCAACATTCGCGGGGACGGGCGTAATGATTATCAAAATGTCAAGTATGGCATATGATGTCATGAATGATTCGTCATTCAATTTATCCATCAAAAACACAACACCTAAATTTTTTTTTGGATAGATTAGACCATTTTACAAAAGCAGAAATGCAAGTGTTGACTGAATTCAAGTCTGTTGGTGGAGTAAGTACGTGGCAGTTAAAACTTAAATTATCAGAAAGACAAAACATTTTTTTAATTTTTTTTTATTGTGGTCATTTGATAATGCATTTCTATAAGCCTACATCAACAAAAAAAAATGTTAAAGAAGAAAAAGAATGAGGAGAAGAAGGAAAAGAATGAGAAGAAGAAGGAAAAGGAGAAGATGTAGACAAAGACGACGAAAAAGGAGAAGAAGAAGGAGAAGAAGAAGAAGAACGAATGAAAAGGAGGAGAAGAAGAAGCACAATGTGAAGTGAAACATAACTTCTCATTTTATTATTGATACATGGCACATTTAAAAAACAAAGGGAAGTAGTACCATTCATCAACATTTTCATGCTTTTATTTGGAATTTATACATTTTTTACATCATTATTTGACAAAAGAAGGAAACTAACACACAACTATAAAAGTATTTTGCTAACTTTGACAATGACCAATTCTTTTCGGTAGTACACATACTTCAAACATACATATATCCATGGGGTAAATAAAGAGTGAGGACAAAATGTTCGCCAAAATTCGCCAAAATTCGCCAAAATTGCATTAAATCGCACATTACTGCACCTTATCTCATTATCATTCTCCTATTCTACAACTTTAAATCTACATTTATTACAAAACCTTGAACATCATCTGTTCACATAGGTCCTCAACTGCAATCAGATGATAAAACAGGAATTATAATTTGATGTTATACCTGGAGAAAAAAAGACTGAACCTCTTTTGTCGAAAACGAACACAATTTTTTTCCAAAATATACTTGACCTGCACATGGCAAAACAAAATACATTTAGACAAATCTTATTTGAAAGTAGCAAGGACTCTTATACACTAATACTTGCATAAACTTCTCAAACTTATGTATAATTGCTTTCAAGAAAAGCGTCTCGATCTTCATAAAAAGAAATGGCAGATATTTTGTTAAGTAATTTTTGTTGATGAGTTAACTAGTACATTATATTTTAATATATATTCTTTGTCTATACGAACATGTTATTATTATTATGTATGAGAATTGTTTCAATAAATACTTATTTTTTCAATCTAAACAAAATTCTCAAACATTTTAGAGACAAACAAATCAGAAGAAAATGTGGGAATACTGCACTCAACAAACAAAATAAATAAACGATCCTTGCAAATTAACAGCACGAGAGGCACATCCATCAGGCAAGTACATTTTATCCAGAATTCCAGATTTTGACTGATGGTATGTGACTTATATAACATTCTTTGGACCTCCAAAGGGGTTATATTTTCACAAAGCGGTAGCACTGAGGAAATAATATGATCACGAGGGTCCATATAACTCCTATATGCTAAAAAAATGTGTTATATTACACGTACTACCAGTCAATATCTGTTATATTAGATAGCCTTGACTGCACTTTGTTATATAAAATCAAGGATAATTGAGATCTCATGCCCTAATATTTTTCTTGAGCCATAAAGCCTTCTGTATCAAATGCATGTGGCTAAGACAATGCAAACAATGGGTATGTGCTAGCACAAGCAGGGTTGCTTGGATACAGTATGACACAAAAATATACTAATTTGACCAGGTGGTCAACATACATGTACCCATAACAAAATGACCAGGAGTGTAATATAACGATCTTTGTTATCAATATCACATGACAAGCTGTGGAACAATTCACAACTTTGTATCTGTAAGAACTATCTAATTTTACTACAATATCTGGTATTGAATTTATCAAATACAACAGGAGAGTACTTTGCATATATTATAGGCTCAACGCTTTTCCAACTTTTATAGCATATCTCATCACTACCACAAGTAGATCTACAAAATCGTAAGTATAAAACTAATATCCTTTAAATTTCAAGGTGTATTTGATAGATTAACCGAGGGCAACCTTGAGATCTGGTTATGACTGAAAATTAAATTAAATTCCATAGATTCAACCCAAACTTACATCGAATGATAAAAAAACTACAAATAACTTGTGAAATACTTCCATAAACAATGTAGAATAGCTGAGCAATGAGCCAATGAAGATTGGAAAATCACACTCGTTTTCCCAATCACATATTGAGGAAGAGACCTTGTGGTTTAAGTGAATGAGATTTTAGGCAAATTTCAAGGAGTTTTATTTACATTTTGCCCATTCGATAAAACGATGATAGACAATTTTGAATCATTTTAGTCACCGTCTCTTTCAATGCATTTCTGTTACCTTAGCAGTAGTTGTATGTGTGTACAAAAAAGGGAGCACTGGCCTTGGATTATTTTCCCTTATTTTTAAAGAATGTTTTATCTCAGGCGTTATCAAGGTATACAAACTAAAAATGTTGTGCTACCATAAATTGAAACATTGCTCAAACATTGCAAATGTCACATGACTAAAACTGAAATAATTGCAGAATTATGTATGGTGCATTTTTTACCTTTTAGCTCTTAATCATTCTGAATACCTAAGTTAACAACACTTCTGTGAAGAATATGAAAAGACATAAAACATTTCCCAAAGTAGTAGTGCTTTAACATCATTGTCTATAAAACAATTGGTGAAAAAACAACTTTCTGATATCTTGCAATACAATCTGCTGAATTGTCTGTTTTAAAAGATGAGAGATAAGCGCTTAGAATGAAAACATATCTCTCCCCCTACCTTTTAACTTTCTAAGAAACATCACATCAAATTTGAAAAAGAAAAGAACAAAAAAAAAAAAAAACCTTCAGTCTTTTATGAAATTACAAATCAGTAATGATGATATGGGTAAACATACAGCCAGACATTTACTCTTAAAAATATTTCTCCCAAAGTTGCTATTGTACTGGAATGAAAAACCAGATGCATTTTTGATCTTCAGTCACCACCTGTGTATCATCATTGATGAGCCTACATCTGAGCTTCCTAGTTTTTCAATTCACTTTAATCAACAGCTGATCTTGAGTCACTATCCAGAAATGAGAAGTCACGCTCAGGCTTTAACCTCTCCTCACATGTAATTCTCACTGGTCTCCTTCCGATATATGTCTCACAAAGTACCTCCAACATATTTCACTGAAATCTCAATCCTTTCACTAATCCGTTCTGGTGTTAAAAAAAAATAATACCAAGTGTCACCATTTTTGGGGAGTCTCTTTTGTGCTTTACACAACCGTGCCATGCGCTAGGAAGTCTTTTTGAAGGATTTCAGAATAGGATAGATGTTATTGAAGGCATCATAGATCTCCTGCCTCACTTTAGCACCTGTTGGTAGAAGGAAAAAGGGAGAGGTGTAGAAGAAACAAAATAATCACATACACTGTAATTTATAGGGAATAGGTGTAAGAATTTTGATCTCTGTTAATAACAGGATTTGTCATGTTATTCTTTCAGGTTTTGATTCTTTTACTAGCTAATGAGATTCTTCAGACAAACAGTCTAGTAAGCAAAACTTATGAGATATTTTATTGACTAATTACATACAGGGACAGGACAATATGCTGAAAATTGCTAATTTGCTATCAAACTGTTATTTTCCTGTATATCTATATATCTCAAAGAAATGAAAAATATTAAAACCACTCAAAATGTCAAAATATATGATTATCATTATTTAACAATAATTGTTTACCTGTTAATACCACCTTTCCTGAAACAAAGATGAGGAGTACAATACGAGGTTTCACCATTCTGTAGATCAGACCTGGAAACAGCTCAGGTTCATAGCTATATAGAAGGGTTTAAAAAATATGATTGAAAAATAAAAACAAAATGAAAAATAAAAACAACAGAGAACAATTACTGAAGTTTGAAAATGACCAATTTATGGCAAGTCATAAACTGAAGAAGAATGGGAAGAAGAAAAAAAAATCAATATTTTAACTGATAGATTTGATTTATACCATTGACCATTTTTAAATGAATTGATTATAAACATTCTCAAATTTCACAGAATAAAAAAAGAGTTAACTGTACACTGCATAGTTATCAGCAATACTATTTTAATTTGTGACATATGACCTATGTCCCAATGGCGCAAAGATTCTGATAGGTGATAATGTATTCCATTGAAACCTTCATGTGTTCCACCTTATCATAAATTATAATACAATCAGTATGGATATCCACATATTGACAACAGGAAAACATGCATCTAAATACAGAGAAATATCAAATTTGTTTCTCAAGGGATAAATAATACCAAAACACATTGTGTGCCTCGTTAATATCTGTACATTGGAATTACCTTGAGAACTGTCCATGAGTTAGCACCAAACCTTCAAGTCGGATGGGAAACTTGACATCACAACTACCAACCATATTCTGGATTTTGAAATCCAAGAATTTTGCCTGGTGAAAGACAAATGATGATAAAAGAGATAATGCACTTGTTTGCTGATGTACTTTACTTGTATCGTAGCATCGTTCCACTAATGCATATTAATGACTTCCAAATCAAAATTATTATACAATATTCAAGAAGCAATGTATTAAAAAGATGATGATCACGGGTGAAAATTAGTGTTTTAAACAATTATACCCTAGTCTCATCATATGAACAACAAGACCATATTATATAAAAAATGGGTAATACAAACAATGAAACCATTCATGGTAAAGAGCATTACAAGTTGCAGTAATATATATGCATGAGAATTATAAGAGCTCAATGTGTAATTATTGCATACCGGTATTTTTTAGCTCAATCAAAGAGCTAAGTTTTTTAAGAACATTGACACAATTATGTTAAATTATCTTGATGAATTTTTTCTCTTCTACCGACATGTTTACATCTTCCTCAGATTAATACAAAATAAGAAATTAAGGCAAGCTAGTAAACTTATTCATCATGATGCCATTCAGAATCTCCACTTACTGCGAAGCCCAATTTCTGTACAACTCTTGCGTATTTCCTTGCAGCTAATCTGGAGTCATCTTCACTCTTTGCACCAGTACAGACCATCTTCCCTGAGCTGAAGATTAGAGCTGTGGTTCTTGGCTCACGTATCCTCATGATCACTGCTGCAAATCTCTGTAAAATGTGAAAATATGTATTTCATGAATTGATATTATTATCAGTACCTTACTATGATCTCACGCAAATATTCAATGCAATCAATACAATTCACATTAATCATATACTTTTTGATTAATTTTACAATTAAACAAAGGCCTTTCTGCTCTTTCTCAATGCATTAAACAGCAAAATACAAAAACTAATATTTCTTAATGCTTTTAATTTTCTTTCTCTTGAAGTGGATCATTGGAGAAAGGAGGAAGGCTCAGCCATGTTGAATTAATCTTAATGAGTCCCCTACCAACAAGTTTACATCTTCCTTAGATTGATCTTTTTTTTATAAATATGAATAATTGTTATAAAGGAAAAAAAGCATATAAATTTGGCAATATATTGTACATTGAACATGACTGAAGTTGCAATTGCTTTAAAGATGAAGTTGAGTTCTGGTCATGCGATCACATTGTGAAAGAAACGGTGTGGAATCGACCAGAAAAGGTTGATCATCTAGCATATAAGAATTTGTGTGTATTGCAAGGTTCTGGAATCATCAAAATGATAAGAAATTTGGCCAAGTCTTGGTAAAGTTACAAACACTGTACACAGAAAGATGTATATGGGACTACCTGAACACGTGGCGTAAAAATCCTATACATGACATATTTATAATATAAAGGCATTTGAAGAGCCATGCTTTTCAGGGAACATGTCTTATCTGATGTTCTTCCACACTTGCATAATAAGAATGATAATGCTCACAAATTATTTTTTCACCTCTTCCCAGAACTCAACCTTCTCTTTAATGCTATACCTTTCAACAAAATCTATGGCATTCATTTAATTCTATATTTCATTTAAAACAGAATCTGTACCTTTTCAATGTGTTGACTCAATTTCAAACTGTTTGTTTGATTTCATAAACATTAAAGCATCATACCTTGGGGTTGTATTCTGCATTTCTTGCATGGAGGGCAATTTTCTTCAGATCTAGCCTGCAGTTTAGATTTACAGTTGACACAATATTCCTGTTAAAAAAAGGAAAATTAAATGATACCAAATGGAAGTGCTTCTGAAAGTGAAAGATACTGCTACCATGAGCAGGGAATAGTGATTTTTTTCTTCTGTCAAACAAACAAAGACATTACTTATAGGAACATTGTAAATAACATGAATAAATACCATGCATATATGATGCTATCAACAGCTAAAATTTTATTCAAATTATTAAAGAAAAAGTACTTTAAATGCAACATACTCTTTGTGAAATCTTAAAGAGAAATTGACAAATTTAGAAATCGAGGATAGCCTCATCTGGGGCAATTAGACCCTGTATTTGGTTCTTCTCAGCACCACTGTTTGTTAATCTTTTCATTAATGAATTCTCTCATTTGCCTAGCTACAGGAACCATTTGTTTTTAGTCGGCAATGGGAGAATTCCTCTTCATATACATCAAATTGTACACTCCTTGCACCTTACATGTACATGAAGGGGACATGTTACATGTCACTGTACTTACTGAAGTTGTGGAACGATGCCTGATGACTCACTGCTAGCTGGTGTAGCTGGTGTTAATGGAGCCATGGGGGAGGGTGGAATAAAGCTGCTACCTGGGGCCAGGGACGACACACTCCCCACCGAGCCAAACGAGGGTGTGCCAATGGAGGGAACAGAGAGGTAGGACTGACTCTGCTGGGAACTGATCTGAGGGTAATGACTCCTCTGTTGCCCTCCATCCTGATTGTCCTGTGAACAATTTGAAAGAGAGAGAGAGAGAGAGAGAGAGGGGGGGGGGGGGGGAGAGAAATAATGTGTTAGATCAACATATTTCTATTATTCTGAACAAACTCACCAATATTCTCTCCTTTAAGAGATTACAAGACAGCTACATATGTAGATCTACTCATTCACAGGGAACTGCTGCTCACTTGCCTTACAACCAAAACTTACAACTTGAACAGTTCTGAAGTTTGTTTAGAACTTGGTTTATTTATAATTTGGAGATCTAGCTGGTTGCATTTTGTCAGACTCACCAAGTCAATTATTGCTACAAATGTACCTTCGCAAGAGTGAAGCATGCCCAGTAGTCGTGCAAAAGAAAAACAATTTAAAACAGGTTGAGTGACATTCTTTTCAAAATGTAAAGAAGAAGTATTTACAATTTTGACTTACAATGCAGGGAATAATTTTCCTGGTATCGCATCGCAATTTGCTATGCATTTTTGCATGACTGCTATACAAAATATCTTTTGTGTAGCAGTTTTCTTCCATAGAAATGTACAGAATTTCATTTGAGATATTTATCCATTGGCTGAAATTGCTAATCAAAAAATTTGAGGAAAATTATTCCCTGCAATGTTTTTCGAACTCCTCTGGGCATCTGTTCAACCAGTTGAAATTTAATTTAAAGAAGTCTTCGATTGGAAAAAGGGCGATTCCTTGTCCTAACCCAATTCATCCCATGTTGTATCATCGATTCAACATGGCGAAGAGAAATTACACAGCATGCAGCAGCACATACCACGTATGTGTACTTTCTCTTTGCCATGTTGAATCACCAGTATACAACATGGGGTGAATTGGGTTAGGACAAGGAATCACCCTTTTTCCAATTGGAAATTTCTTTAAATTGTAATTTCCTGTGGTAAAAAAATGGAGTAAATAAAAATTATGTATTGTAGTCCAAGTCAAAATTGCAATTAGAAAACTACTTCTTTACATTTTTGAAAAAATGTGACCAAACCCGCTATTTGAATCGTTTTCCTATGCAGGCTCTATGGAGCTTCAACGCCCTTTGGCGGCGAAGCTCCCTGGAGTTAGTATAGATTAGATGTAGTCAGTGCAGTATCACTAAGTATCAGTATCAGTTAGTATCAGTTAGTATTAGACAAGGATGTAGTCTAAAAACCTAGTAAGTTTTTCTACCTGGTTTTTGTGAAGGGAGACAGGAACTGCTTGACTAGGATTGTACATGGCTGATCCTAGTCAGTACCTATGTCGTCTTGTAGTTGATCCTTGAACTTAGACTCAGTCTACTCTTTATAGCCTCTTAGATTTAATTCAGCTTAGTCTGAGCTCAGCTCAGCTCGAGCTCTGCCAGCACTGCACAGAGCCGCTAGCCGCTTCTTCGCCAGGCCAGGCCAGGCCAGGTGCAGGTGTAAGTAAGTGACGCCGATAGCAACTCCCACAGCACTGCTAGCACTGCACTGCACTGTTCTTCAGCTAGCACGTTGTATTGTAGTCCGATGCGTTCAAAATCGTGTCTTCCTTTGTCAACACTGGTCCAGAAATGATGACATATATCTCGTCAAACACAACCTATTGACAGACAACACACAATAATTGCATTAATCCCTACTGGACTAATTACTTGTGCGGGTATTAATGGAGAACGGGTAGTAATCCTGTTAATTTCACTGAAAGAAATCACTTTAGGAACGTTGCTTCGCCGTATTTTTAGTCAAACAGTTAAACTGCCCTCATCGGTCAATGAAGCTTAGGATTTTGTGTACGACGAAACTACCGTGGGTTGTGATATAGATTTTTCCACTAAAAAATACGAAAAACAATAAAGAGAGGGCAAGATGTCGAAAGATAGAATAGCCGTGTTTCCATCTCGCATGTAAGTTCTCAATTTTTGTTATTGTAATTTTTTTTATTCAGCTGTCTTTTCGGTAATTCATTTAGATTATGCTGTGTTATTTAGTGTCACTCACCGACTCATATCGCGACTCGGTCTTGTGACCGGGCCGTGCAGTGTGTGCTAGCTTTGAGAGTACGTGAATGAGCCGGGCCGGGGTCTGTGTCCATTCCAACTCCCTGGCCCTGGTTGATCATATGACTCCAGCCAGATTTTGTTTTTTGTTTTTACGGTGCTATTTGGTTACAGTCATTTCAACCTCTAGGATACATGATATATATATATTGCATTAGCTTCGTTTATGCATGTATTTAAAACTACATGTAGATCTATGATGTATCTGCCACCTAGCTATATGATGACCTATCGATAGCTATCTGTAAAATAGCTGCAACAATTAAAAATTTGCAAATATTTTCTGGATAATATGCTACTGCGATTACGACATACCTGGAACTAGTAATACTAGTTCCAGGCCTACGATATGTGCGCTCGGCGTCTAATTATGAAAATTGCTAGATCTAAACAACAAGAACTAGGCCTACAAAGTAAAAGTATATTGAATTAAATTTATTACAAAAATACAATTAAATACACCCCACAAAAGGCACAAGACCACAACTAATCACGGATCCGTTGCGATCTTTCACCATTTGTTGACGATCTTACAGATCTTGACAGATTTTAATCCAATAATTGTAGTAGTGGAATAAATATGTTGCCCCCACAGGACAGACGACAACAGAACTAGAGGGCGCGGTGGGTTGGTCGCTAAAAAAATCCTTCTCATTGGCGACTGGCGAGAGGTAGACCTTAAAACTATGGGATCGAACTTCGGTCAAAGAACTTCTGATAGTGATTAACATGTCAGATTATTTTAGCCAAAGCTGGCAAATACAAATGTACATCATACATGTATGAACGGCATCAGCAAAATAGCCATAACGTTTACGGCTTGTGCACTGAAGCATGTAAGAGCTCTGAGTTCATTGCACCAATTAAACAGTAGCTGATCTTGTTCTACATAGTTCTTTCCTAAGCGCAAAATAGTCATGATTGTCTTCTTGAGTTTTTGTGGGAAACATTGCTGGTGTGGACTCCTTAGGCATAGATCTAGTGGTTGTTAGCAGTTTTTTTAGCACATCATAGAAAATATCTAACACCTGGATAAAGCAATTTTTACGCAAAGTCTTTGCCACTCAACTTATATTATTTTAAAGAAATATTATCCTTTTCTTTCTTTTGAATTGACATGAAAGTCTATTTACAAGAATAAAATACAGCTTTTATGTTCATATATCAAAGCAAGTACAGTTTTATATTCATAAATTGAAAAAAAATCAAGTTTTTATATTTCCATTGTGAGATCTGTTCTGTTCCTGATCATTTGACTGATTTTTATAACTCAAAAAACTTCATTGACCTGTTTTTTTTTTTTTTTTCATTCAGTAACCTGCAGTTTATAGAACCAACTTATGCACTAGGCAAAAACAGTTTACTTTTTTCAAGGATATACATTTTGTTGAGACTCCACCTAATCTTTTGAAGAAAGCCTCCAAATTTAAAAAATGTTTAAAAAAGACACCTCCAATCACTTGCAACCAGTCAGATTTATGCTTCTAGTTTCGTACATGTTAATTTATAAATATTGACATTTTGGTTTCAGCATATATCTTTCCATTAATTTTGAAACAGTTTCAAGTAAAGGAAAAAGATGTACAGTCTGGGTTACAAGCACTCCTCTCCTACCATTAATTTGTCATTAAGTACATGTATATGTGTATCTTATATTATTGATTCTCTTTAACATAACAAACTATTACTGTCAGCCTTTTGTAATGTGATTGTTTTTTGTTTTTATTTACATAAGGGCCCTGACCACCATGAAGATCAGGCTGAAAGGAGCACAGAAGGGCCACAGTCTTCTGAAGAAAAAAGCAGATGCACTGACATTGAAATTCAGACAAATCCTTGGCAAAATTATTGAGGTGAGAAGTACTAATAGTAATAGTAACCCTGCATGCTCTTCATGGGGCCATGGTTATCAAATCATTTGGTTATGGGCTTCAACAGAAATGCACACTTTGATAAAGTATATTGGATTAAGTAAATGTGGATTTGTACACTGTCCATTACTCTGAAATTACTATATCTTTCTTCTACACTTCCCATAGTGATTATTTAATGAGGTGATTATTTTATGTATTTTTATTAAATATTTATGTATACATGTACATGTATGTTGATCTCAGGTGATTTGGTCCTGTGGATTAGTCACCAGACTGTTGATCATAAGGTACAGGGTCAAAATCCCAGCCCAGCACTCATGTCCTTTGACAAGATGTTAAAATTAAATCTACATTTGCCTCTCTCCACCCAGATGTAATTGGGTACCCAATATGTTTGAGCAGTAGTTACTTATGGTAATAAATTCAGGCCCTGGTTTGGAGGAAAAAAACTTATTTCCATGGAGAAAACATTATATTTTTTTCTAAATGGAGAGTAACATACAAAAGCCCTATAAAGAGAACTTTTGACAGTCTGTTTAGTCATTTAGTGATCCTAAAAATTCTACCTGAAAAAAAATTCATGATCAGATTTTCTACAACTTTCATTGACCCACTAATCTTGTTTTTCTTCGTAAAATCAATTTTGATGTTATGATCATTCTCCTCCTAAGTTAACATAACTTTCAGGATACACCAAATCCCTTGTAAATAATCCTATTGGTTTATTCATTTATGATCAAAGACATTTTATGATAAGAACTGTCATAGTGCAGTATGTGACCAAGCAGTAAGAGGGTCTCATGCAAAGTGTGGCTCGGTATTCAACATACCTGACTAATGATATGTACAAGGCTTACTTGAATGACTGCATACAGGAAGTCTGACTGGAATCAGAACAAGAATTGAGAGGAAATAGAGATCCAGGATAGAGAGGATACTCACTGCCATTCACATGTATTGAGATAGAAGCATGTTCATACTTTTTGTAATGGAAGGGAAGAGCATGAAAGACAGATGAAATGAGAGAGAGAGGGGGAGAGGGAGGGGAGGGAGAGAGAGAGAGAGAGAGAGAGAGAGAGGGAGGGGCATGGATTGAAAAAGGGATTACTTGAAAAGCAATATCAGAATGAAAAATACAACCCTTGTATTCATTACATAACATGAGTAATTACAAATGGACAGATTGATATAAAAGACATGTTTCATTTTCAAGGAAAAGATTGATTGGTTGATGCATCGATAAATAGAGACAGAAATATGCCCAGACTGATACATGTTTATTGCTAAAAAGATAAAAGATATGAGAAAGAGAGAGTGAGTGGTGCAAACCGATCTGTGTTATATGAGAAACTTCAAAAGTCTGCAATGGAAGTGTTTACACAGTCACACACCATTACACTAAGATATTTATTATTTCATAATCTCTCTCATTAACTCCTTATATTTCCTTATCTTTACAGAATAAAACATTAATGGGAGAAGCAATGAAGCTTGCATCTCTGTCCCTTGCAGAAGCCAAGTTTGCAATGGGAGATATCAGGTAATTTGAGTTTTATACAACCCCGATCAGATTAGAGCTCATAGTATGATTATTTTCTATTTCATTGTATTGACATTATCTTTAGTTATAGTAAAATTACTTTCTTATCTTTTGGTTGCGCAGATTTTCTCCCTATGGAGAATTAAATGATGTATTTTTGTATAGATGAAAATGGACAGACATGTTAAATAAATACATTTTCACATGACATGCCTCCTTTTTTTTTCTTTTCTTAAAAAAAATGGGATTTAAAGAATAGAAGTTGGAGGATGTAATGTTGTATGGTGAGCAAGAAATCATAAGCAGGGGAAGCTCTTATCCAAAGAAATAAGTATTCCCCTGTTAATGCTATTTTTTCGGCATGAAATGAACATACAAGAATTAGCATTTCCAGATAAGCTCTTTCACTTTAGTTGAATATTATCAACTAAATAAATGTACCATTATCTTTTTGATTTAATGATGACCACTAATTGGAAAATGTATACCGGTAGGCCAACTAACCGCTATTGATTTCAAAGAACCTAATATGTATGGTTTCTAAAATATGATGATTCTCTTTTTGTCTTATTTTCAGTCACAATGTTCTTCAGAATGTAACCAAGGCCCAGACCAAAGTGAGATCTAAGAAAGAGAATGTAGCTGGAGTTAACCTACCAGTCTTTGAACACTACACGGATGGAGCAGATAGTAAGTAGCAATGTGCACTTACCGGTACATGTTAACATTGTTAAGATACTTGGGGTAAACAAATGAAATTGTTTCAATTGTGTCTTAATCATCCCATTTTAAACTAGAAGTTTCAGGCAAAGATTTATTGTTTAAATGTGTTAAAGATTGTAGTTTCTGTGTGTTTAGTAAATATACATGGGGATTCAAAAGCCAAATTTCCAGACAAATCTTATATTTTTTACCATCATTTCCTGCATGTTCATTTGTTTGTGTTTGTCTTTGTTTATATATTTTTTTTTTCTATTGTTATTATCTTGATATCCCAGACAAAAAGCCATCTGGTTGTACAGACATATAACAAAGAAACTTTCTTTATCATGTATATTTCTGGGTTTATCGATATTCCTTTGCAGCCTATGAACTGACCGGTCTCTCTCGTGGAGGGCAGCAGATTGACAGACTAAAGAAGAACTATGCCAAAGCTATTGAGCTCCTTGTTGAGCTTGCCTCCCTCCAGACCTCCTTCATTACTCTGGACGAAGTCATCAAGATCACCAACAGACGTGTCAATGCAATTGAACATGGTACGTACGCAGGATGTACAGTTGGATAAAAGATATTATGAATAGAAGAGGTTTCTTCATCTTTCAGGGTGGACCTTCTCTGTTAGTGTAAGGATAGTGATCAATAGATTATGGACAGTATTATGTGTGTAAAATTTTTATAAGGCGGAACACTATCCAGGATGAAGGATACAAAAATGTACATTTGATGAATGGCATGACTTATATATAAAATATTAAAATCACAAGAAAACATACTATTGAATTGAATATATTGATTCATCTGTCATACAACAAAAAGTCTTTTCCCATTGGTTGAACAATAACAAAGATCATGTAATAGCAGAATTTTACATAACAAAGAAGTGTAAAATGACAAGTATACATTATGTGAACACATTCACAATCCAGAAGAAAATACAAAATAGGTCTCTGGTCCTCCAAAACCATTCCCCTTTGATGTTTTAAGGCCAGTTTTATCAATTTGAATTAGTGATTGTAATTCTCTGCTGAAAGCTTAGATGTAGTTTTTATGTGCCATTCCACCATTGTTGAAGATAATTTTTGACAGAAACTGATCTGAGATCATATGTACCGGTAGATCTCTAACTTGCTTATCTGCCCTTGTACCCTCCATGCAGTCATCATCCCACGCATTGAGAACACCATCTCCTACATCACTACTGAACTTGACGAGCGAGAGAGGGAAGAGTTCTACCGTCTGAAGAAGATCCAGGAAAAGAAGAAGAAGATCAAGGCCAAGGAAGAGCTAAGGAGAAAGCAAAGACAAGCGCAGGGAGACTATGGTGATTCCAGGAATCTAATAGCTGATGATGTAGATGAAGATTTATTGTTTGACTCATAGTGTAATGTTAGGAATAGATAGTTATAGATGGGGAAATATATAATAAAGAAATATATATCTATATACATCAGTCTAGTTCATATGTTGATTATGAGTCGTTTTGTGAAATTCAATTTCTTTCCAAGACATCTCATAAGCATGTATTGGGTTACTGGGAGGAATATATGTCATTTTCCCCCAATTTCGTTTAGATAAAATATTACAAGAACTCATTTGGTGATTATTTGTGTATTTACATGATATATACATGGACAGTTTATGGAATCGGTTTGAAAGTAAAGTGATAGTAAATGGAATTATAGTTATGAGGGAAGGGAATTTATTTGTATGATTTTTATGGCTAGCCTTGTCATGATTCCAATTAGTATCCCTAAAACCTAAAAACATAAAACCATGTGATTTTCTTCTCAGTCAAAGTCTCAAATAGACAGCAACAATGTAATGAACAGTTATTTACAGCTTACTAAATATTTTTGTAACCCAACATACCATAGTTGAACAAATATTGTATTATGTTGTAGACGGACATTCATATCATCAACATTGTACCATTAAAGCACAATTTTGTCAGCTTTAATTTTGTTATGATGTAACTAATGGTCTGTGTAAAAGAATACACATTTGCTCTTATAGCTTTGAATATTGTATTAAACAACTCCTCTTCCATAGTGTATGAATGGCATATTGTGAATTTCATGAAATGGAATTCTAATAATCAATCAATCAATGAAGATGGGGCACTATGTTCATGTGTATGAAAAACAATAGTTTGATTCACTTGTGTACCTATTGCATCATGTATGATACAGAGAAATCGAAGTTTGCTTTTGAATACTGTAGCAAAATCATTTTCTTGGTCTTTAAAAAAGAAAATATTACATGAAAATTCTGTGATGAAGTTTTTACCTGATCTTGCTCGTCCAACGTTGCTAGGTATTGTTGTCCTCATCAGAATATGATCCAGAAAGTCCTTGTGTTGTTAAACGTAGCATGTAAGGCAACTTGTCAAGGATTTCTTTCCTACAGTTTAATCATGTTAATCTGTTGAAAACCAAATCTGTGATAACTCAGGCAGGAATTTATGGTAAATGTATGCAATACCAAATCAAATTGGACTTAGCATGTTAACAATCAAGATTTTGTGTACTGCGCTCATAAAGGCTGTTGGAAATCTAGCTGCCATGTCTCTATTAGTGTAATTTTTACTTGAGTTTGCCAGTAGATTTCATTGTACATTCCATTATGGGTGAGACTTGAGAATCAAAGCCTTGTCCAACCTTTCCAATAATGACAACATAAACTTCCATGATAACTATAGCATTGTCAGTTGGGTTGGATCTATACCAATAACCCATAAACACAATCTATGATTATTTAGAGGTGTAGATTAGAGATCATGGAAAAGTGAGACCAGGCTTTAGTAAAACTAAATCTGTAAGTGTAAGATGTAAACATGTGGACATGTCTTGTTTATGTAAATATACTTGTAAACATGTTTGTCATTATATATTTCTATTTGTGTTTTTAATTCAATGTTCAGTACTGGGTGCTCAATTAGCAGAGTTGACATCTAAAAATGACATCTGCTGTATTAGTATGAAAAGAGCACTTTTCAACAACATAAACACAGGTGTTACCAAGTAAAATACTACCGGTATATGTTTTTTTCTTTTCTTCTTCAGTATTTATGGTCTTGGTATTTAAAGGATGGTCGTGTTTAATAAAAGTCAATGCATGTAAAGGGTTTGGGGGTATATTTCAACAGATTTTTAAAAATCTGCTTTAAATCAGAATAAAGTGACAGTTGTGATAAGTTGAGTTGGGTGCAATATTACCGTTTGTCAATAATTTCTAAGTTTTCAGTTTCAAGAGATTTAAACAAAATAGAAACAGAGTAGGTGCTTCTTATCTCTGACTCGATCAAACAAAATTCTGCCTGTTATTGAATAAAACAAGGAACTACTCTTCTTCTTGTGAATTTACATATGTAGTTTATTACAATATAGAATATCATATATACATCATTGTACATTGTTTATTATGCTTTCCATATTACTCCATTTAGAAATTCCATGTTAAAGAGTTTATGTGAAGCATAATGACTAAAATTGCACTACTTGTGTTAATTATTTGAAAAGTCAGCAATAAAGTGGATTCATGTCTATATACTACAAAAGCATGGTGTTTTTCTGTCTTTTGTAATTGTAATAATAATAATTGTGAACATTTGCCATGCAACATGTCCATAAAATGTGACACTCCTGGGGCAAATATATCTATGAAGTAATTCAAGGAAAAAAGAAAACAAAAAAATATATCAAAATGAATGTTGGTTTTCCCCAACCTTGAGCCCTTAGACAAGTATTAAAATCATACGATACATGGATAATCCTGCAATACTTCCAGTGGTGAAGTGTGGGTCCAGCTATTAGAGAAGTGCGTCGATGTATGCTTCATATTTGATACATGGTCTAAATCAGAAGGGTTTGAAATTGCATGCATAAACAATATCTTGCCCATTTCACAGTGAATCTAATAAAATATTTATTGACAGGAATGTATAGCAGACAATCTTCCCCATGCAGAGTAACAGATAAGTCCATACATTTATATTATCATTATCAATGGCAAGAAAACTTTGGACTTTACATATTTAGTTACTTACATCTCATCACTTTAAAACAACAACATGTAAAGGCACAGTATGACTCGCGAAGTTCATCCCCCCAATTAAATTATCCTTTTTTTAATTTGCATACATGTATATCGACAATTAATAAGTATGTATACAGTTTGAATCTTTGCGATTGTTAATTAAATAACAAATAAATTCATTTCTGATATGCCTCATGAAACATACATAACTTTAAATGTATTTATGAATCACTTCTTTCTAAATCTAAAAACACTTGTACAGTATGTATGATAAAAGCTAATTTCAAAACTGATGAAATTAAATTACACTATTAGCCTATTTTTCTGAAGTCAGAGGCCTCATATTTCTTGTTTTATTTCATTCTCTACCATGTAAATAATTTCAAGTAAAAAATACAAAATATGCTTTAGCAAATACAGACTGCTTTTAGATTTCTAGTACATAAATACAATGGTATTTGAGGTAATTTATTCTAGTAGCAGTACTTGTTCAACAATACCTGAAGCAATAACAATAAAAACACATAGTTTGCTCTACTTATGAAATATACATGCTAAGTACAATGCATTGTGCCACAAACATTGTTTAAATGAGCTTAATTGAAACTTTCTACCAAAGTAGAGTGTTACAAATCATAATGCAGTCAATGTAACCATGAACGCTTGCTTATAACACAGCCACACCGACGAGATCAACAACAAACCGAACAAAACATTACCGTACCTGGTTTGCTAAGCAAACATTGAAAGAGCCATTTTTGTTATTTAAAGCTACCATAAAACCCATATTAACTTAACATGTTGCAGATGCCACGTTTCCTTTATTTGGTACGGATGGTTGTGAGACAAAAGTCTCTTATGTTATTTTAAGATGGCAAGGAAATGCCGCCGCAGATATTGAATTGTTGGATCGTCATGGTTGCAGAGATACCAGAAATGCCACTTATCTGCTTGATTAATTCAGCTAATATCTGACTATACAATTCCAAAGCCATGTTTCTGCATTCTGGTATCTCTGAGTCTTTGAAGATCCATTACCCATAGTGGCCAAGAATATTGGTTTGAAGATGGTTTGTAGTTAGTCTGGCTGTGTGACTGAGATATTAAGTTTGTCCTTGATATGCTATCCTCTTTGTACCATCTTCCTTGGGGTGGATGACTACAGGGTGGAAACATCTGATGATATTTTAGTCATCCTGAAAAGAAATGGGAGAAGAAGAAAAAACAGCCATTGGTCTATAGTCAACAGAATTTCATCACTTAACATTCATGAGAACAAAATTCGCATATAATTATGAATTTTCACTTTAAAAAACCCCTACATCCAGTGCACAGTATATCTATTGTAACTTGTGCACCTTTGAATACGATTTTGCCAGTGACATTTTCAATTAAAATGGTACCGGTACTTCACATTATTCTCCTTTCTTATCTGTCCATTTATAATGCACACCCAACAAAAGTTTTCAACCACACAAGTGTACCAGACCTAACCATGTCATATCCTACATTCAGCATTATTATACCACAGCAATTGAATACATGTTACCATCTCTGATTATTTAATTCTCATCTGATTTAATTCCCAATTGAATTGTATTTGTACAGTGAATGAACAGAGGTTTATTTGGTTGAAGATTAGGTTAATAAGTACTGTAAAACTAAAAACAAGGAGGACCTAAGACTATAATATAAACTGCTTACCAGTATATTAACTTTTACAAATTGCAAATATACCTCTTGTTATGATTCATTCTAACAATGATTATTAACTGCATTAAATTTGCATGAAACTTGACCACCAGTGTAATTTCAAAGTTTCTGGCTTTGAAAAGTATATAAATCTAATTATCATGTTGTGATTTACGTTGTGATATATTCGTTTGTCTAATTTTGTTACACTTTATTCATAATGACTGTCCAATTAGTTGTAAATATTGTGATTCTGTTATATTCAATAAAACATGTTTAAAAAAAGTATTGTATAAATCTTACCCATTCATCATCCCCAGCTCCTTCATTCTCCTCCTGCCCTGGTTTGGGGTTGGGTGGGTCCTGTGATGACTTGATGGTCATGATCTTGTCTGTCCAGGATTCCCCCAGTTGACCCGACCCAGCCATGTTGGTCATCTCCTTGGAGCTTGTGTCAAGCTTTCCTACTGAGTCTATTAACAATGGGAGCAAGAATTCAAGAATTGCACTGAATTACAATCAGAATTTTGTGATTTAATTACACAACATTTATAACATTTTCACAAATATCAAGAATGTGATGCTATTGCACATTGGATCTATTTACTATAGTTCTCTATAGTCATGCTGGTATATTACATGTCAATAGGGGCTATCAGCATTCAAACATGAGTCATTTGTAATCTACAAAAAATATGTCAAAATCTCAAGCCTTCAGATGCAATGATTCATAAAATAGGTTCTGCTGTACAACCCATATATATATACCGGTATATGTATAAACTGTGACCCATTCAAATTCCCTGCTTCTCTTAAACCGTGAGTTTGTGTACTGGTATTTGTCATTATTTCAAGTCTGGTAAAACAAATATATATGTCTGTGTTTTCAAATTGAGACAATCAAGTCAGCATTATTGATTTTGAAAGTGCAGCATTTTTCTGTTTAAACTGTGGAGGTTCGAGGCCAACTCCTAAACATAGAATCTCCGTAGCTCAAATGTTTACCAATGAAAGGTCCATCTCCTTTAGTCCTGAGCATGATGACATCACCATCTTCAAATTCCACATCCTTTAGTTCCAGCTCTGTCATCCAGAATGCAAGGCATCCCTCAGGGGTGTGTCTTTGGGTCAAACTGGTCAGAGATGGTTTGTTGACCAGTGCAGACAGCTGGGATTGAGTGAGGCGGTCAGTCTGCCCTTTGGCCTCAACCTCTTTAAAATCATACAGGGTAAGGTTTGTCAGTGTGGTCAAATTCAGCTTTACATAAAATGCAATAAGACATGAATAGATGGGTTAGGACAAAGGTGAGTGGGTCAACCATGTACTAATTCTATTGAAAAAATAAGGCGCCCCAATAATGAATGACAAGAAGAAGTCGAGAACAAGTATTTACTATCATCAAAAAACAAAATTTGATCATAATACTGTTGAATATGATTATTAATGTAGTCATGCACATAAGTGCACACTGTAGCAGACAAGCATAATGAAGGTTAAAACAAATTGTGATTTTTTATTTTTTTTATGGAAGTAAACACATCATAAAGAATGACATCATAAAGAATGACAACTAGAGAAACGGAACTGAAATAATTCAAAATATATGAATCTCGCAGGGAGAAAGAGACATTAAAGGAAAGTAAGATTAAGATAGACTGAGAGAGAGAAGAGAAGAGAGAAAAGTGAGAGAGGAATGAGGAAAGGGATAGAATGAAAGTCACAGAGGAGGAAAGGGGGAGGAAAAGGAAGACAAGAGGGAAGAAAAAGTAGGGAAAGAGAGAGAGAGAAAATGGGATAAGGAAGGGGAGGATGGGAGAAGAAGACACTTACTGTATGATGACATGAGATAGCCAGTATTGACCTTCTGTGTGGCATCCATGTTGGATTCAATCTCTTCACCTTTACTATTAAATTGTCTTCTATGAGCAATTTTCACTCTCACATGTAAAACAAAGTATCGACTCTGAAAAGAAAATATAAATAATGCAGAGTTGTTTCATTTTCAATAGAAAAAACTTATTAATAATAATTGCCACACATTACTTGGTAAATGTCATATATTTACTCTGTTATGTCGCAAATCAATTCATAACTGAACAATACATTCATATTGAATGAATTTGTGAATGAAATAAAATATGCTCATATCCTTGAAAACAAATAATTCTTAACTCATTCTATTTCTTTTATTGTGTCATTACAATCAATGTCTAAAATTAAGTGAACAAAAATGATAACTTTAAAGTCTCTATACCAAGCTCGTTTTTGTAGCAACAAACAAACTTAAATTACAAACTTAAACAGTTTTATGACTGATGTAAAATAAGCTTATCACTAAAAACTGGCTGTCATTTTACCACAAATTATTCTATGATCAGTACTTAAGCTTATCAACACACTTTCTATATTTCATAATGAAACTTGAAAGCCAAACCACATCTTGTACTTACTTTGTTTTGTTTAGAGTCTGTGATGACATGCCTGGATCTTGAATCAATCTTGCCTTCCAGTATAGCTCCAGATCCACTGCAAATTTATAAGAAACAAATTCTTTACCTTTCTTTCTTTCTTTCATTGATTTATTTTCATTTCATTCATTTTCCACATTTCAAAAGATTTACATGATATACATCATAATTATTTAACACATTAATTACATGATACAAATTAGGAAGAAAAAAATGAAAAAAAATCAACTAGATCAAAAGCAGAAATACAGAATATTAACATTAGACTACAAACAAATTAATGTCAATGTGGGGATTACAAACAGTGATAAACTTAAACAATACATAATGCCATAATTTGTATTAATAAATGTGTAATTTATATTGGAAAAGAAGACATAACAAAGCAAATTATTTCAATAAATAAATAGACTAATAATCTACAATTCAGTTGAGGTAAATGAATTAACGGAAGTAGATCATCTAGGCTATTTAAATATCACTACACTAGGTCTAGACTATTAACATATGGCTCAAAAATCACAATACTACAACTTTCAGTAATGACCATTTCAGAATGAACATGATCATGAAATACATCATTAGCATATAGACTTAAATACTAATCTGATAATAAAGAGAACAGTGTAGACATACATTCAATTTACTAACATGATTTGATTAATGTGGGACTAGCTTTGACAATTATAACTTTTATTTTTAAGTCGCTGCAGCTGCCCAGATGATGTTAAATAAAACATGGTAATCTGTCGACTTGTAGAGCATTACCTTTGAAATTGCTGTGGATTCCAGTTCCCAGTCTGATTCTGTACTGGAACTGACTGAAGCGGCTTGTTGTCATAAATTCGAGACATATTCAACGCAGTTTGTCCACTCAGCCGCAGTTTTGACAGTGAAGCTACTAGCTGCTGTCTGAAGGACGGAAGGACCCACCCGGCTGGACCCGGGGGATTTCTCCGAGGGTACCCGTTGAAACCCAGGAAGTACGCGGTAACTCTTCACATTCTATAAACGTTGGTCGAGGGGGCGTGGTCTAGGGAATCCTAGGTTTTAGGGAGCGCGCGGTGGTGCGCTTCAGCATCGTACCGTCTGCATCATTGATGCATCCTTGTTAGGATGAGAGAGGATTCAGAATAGTTACAGTGGAGACTATTTACTAACCCCATTCTAGCCTTTCAGTCTCAAATGACCACCATGGTGAAGTAAATGAGTACCTGGTATGATTATTCCTTGAAATTTAGTGGGAAAATAACGACCATTAGTTGTCGATTCGACTTAAGTTAGTGATTGCAATCCTAAGTAATAGTCTGAATTTCAGACCTTTTTACCGAATGGTCGTACGTTTTGTGCTGCACAAAGATTCAATCAGTTTAGCCATTACATGTAGTGGGTTATTGATGTGGACAAATGCGCATGTACCTGTTGCAGCTCATTTTATGTATGTTATTACCAAAGAAAAATATACCAATAAGTCACTCAATAGACGATAGTGTCTGACAGTGAAGTCTAGAAGGTAAACGGGTTCCCTTGCATAATTTAAATACTAGAATAGTGCTAATTTTTTAAATTTCACAGATAGGACATATTTATAATTCCTGCAAATTAGTTCTACAGAATTTGATGTTGGCTGCAAAAGGGAGATGGTATCTTTAAGAGAAACTTCATCATCGCACCAATTGCAAATTCGTCGCCGATTGATAATTACAACTTCTTCCGACGCATCCATTGGAGCTTCGTCATCACATCAAGAGAAATTTATGTAAATTTCGTCATCGAACGAACTTCAACTTCTTTACTGCATCAAAAACAATTTTGTTACCAAATTCACAAAATATTTTTAAAAATTCGTCACCAGAACGTCATCATCGCACCAACAAAAACTTCATCACCGTACCAACAACTTCGTCTCCACAATAATAACAACCCCAAACAGAAGTTTCGTCACCACACCTGGTGGCGGATCAATAGGAACATACATGGAATTATTGTCTTCATAATTCCTTACTAAAGGTAAAAACAAAACACAAAAGAAGAAAAAAGCCCCACATATTTCACAAAATAATAATGGCAAGAGATCACAGTTTTGTTACTTTTATTCATGATTTTAATGTAAAAAGGAAATATTGTCTTTTGTCCGATCCATATCATTAGAGTTTCTTCAACTTCACTACCTATCCAATATTTCAGATGATTCATTTTCCTCTTGAAGAATATAAAGTATTCAGCTCTTGTTGTCTTTTCCCCTATCCTTTCTCGCCTTCATCTATAGATAGCCATATTTTTTTAAATAAGTTTGATCCTAAATGTTGTTTGTTGAAAGTCCGGTATTTTTAAAGTTCAATACATTTGTTGTTGTTTTTTCCTCTCTAAAGGAAACAAAAATGTCTACAATCAACAGTAAATTTGGGGTAATCCATTTCATGAGTTGTTTGTCATTCACCCCACCAAGGTCCATTATTCTCACTTTAATACAGTTCTGCATTTTTCTACGCTCCAGTCTCTATACATGATCATTTTTTTTTCTTTTCATGTAATTCATTGAATATTTTTGTCGATAACCTTTTTTCACCAAACCCAAAGTTAGTTATTATCCATGTTAAATGTCAGTAAATTTCACGTCCACGAAACATATCTCCGATCCATGCTGCATTGGTGTTCGTTCAAAGAATTGTTGATATCAATTTCAGTTTGACAAGTCAGAGTTTATCCAGATACCAAACGAGAAATAAACATAAACTTGTTATTCTCTTGGTCAATATATAGACCGAAATCGGAAGTCCTTCTAATATCATTTTCTTTCAGTTTGCTCTAAGAAATTTGAACTTGATTAAGCCACTCGCTCTCCATCACCTCTCCTAGTGTAAGCCTGGCCTTAGGGGATATGGTCAGCATGCTTCTGATCAGGTCCCGGCACTCGTCTCTGACGGCAGTGTTCTTGCTGGCGTCAAAGTGTGCTCCTGAATACTGCTGGTGTAGAATTTTCTTGATGTTCTTGACGTCATCTCCGAAGGGCATGCATCCAACAACTAGGATGTAGATGACCACGCCCAAAGCCCACACGTCACTCTTTAAAGGACAATAAGGCACGGAGCGGATGATCTCAGGAGCAGCATAAGCCGCAGATCCACAGAAGGTCTTGCTTAGGCTACCCTTCCCGACTGACCTCACGAAGCCGAAGTCAGTGAGTTTGATGTTGTTGCAGCGATCAAGCAGAAGGTTTTCACACTTTACGTCGCGATGTACCACGTCCATCCCATGCATGTAGAGAAGAGCTCTTCCAGTCTGGAGAGACCATTTTCTCGCAAGAACCTCGGGGACGGCACCCTTGGTGACCGTGCGGATATACTCCAAAACATCACCAGATTCCGCTAATTCTAAAACCATATAAACTTTTTGATTTTGTTCAAACCACTCATAGGTGCGGAGAACATTAGGATGCTGAAGCTGACGAATGACGGCCAGTTCTCTAGGGAGAAAATGATCTTGGTAATCGCGAGGTGCTCGTCTTCGGTCAATGATCTTGACGGCGACACGCTTACGGGTTGTCTTGTGCACGGCCATTCGTACCTTGGAGTAGCTACCAGAGCCGAGTTTGTGTGCCAGACAGAATCCATGGCTTAACATCACAGTGCCATCATTAACAGCATTGTTCGGAGAAGCTCGTTCTGGTGTGACGGCTCCTGCTGGTTGGGATGTTTGATTTTTACCAATAGATCGGATTTTCAAACCAAGGGATTTTACTGAACTCTGCATTATGGTTTCATTTACTTTTTTTTTCCTTTTCTTGAAATATCTGATTATTTACCTCTTGATTCAGTCAAGTTCAGCATGCTAATGTTTGATTATTAACTATGTGGTAACCAATATGTGGCAGAAGAGAAATAAATCATTTTTACGTCATAAAGGCGATGCGCGTAACCATTTTGTAGATGCGCCCGATGGCAATAATATAGGTCACATCGATGGGGTCATATATAGCCGCTCATAAAAAATATCCATTGTTGCGTCATGATAATGATTGCGCGTAACCAATATATAGGTCACCTCAATGGGGTCATGACTTCGCTCAGGCAGTCAGCTTGTAAAATGTGCTTTGTTACGTCATAAAGCCGTTTGCGCGTTATCCGTTTGTGGTGCGCTTCACATCTTGGTAACGAGTCAAATCAATGGGTCATATATTGCGTAGCCAGCACGACAGCCATGATGAATTTTCAAAGATGATTGTAAATTAGGGTTCTACTACTGCCGATTGATTGTGTTTATAATATGATAACGAAAATTATTATTCCTATTGTAATTCGGATAAAAGCTGATAAAGTGGTTACTGAAATTGTTGCCATAATTTTCCCGCCTTAGGAGAATAAGTTTGATGAAACTAATCCGACAGGGAAGACTAAATACCATAATTAGGAAGGACAACAGTTATATAGTTCATTAAAATGTCCATGAGTGCAAATTGGAGAAACATGTGAAATATGTACATTCATATATATATATATATATATATATTGCATGGATCAACAGTTTACATGGTATAATCATGACCATCACGGTGGTAAACACTGGATTACGATCATTATACATTTGCTATATTATTGTAAATAATACAGAAGCATACAGAGGTATGACACAATATCAGCTTAATTCTTGAGAGATTGCCACACCTTATCATCTAACGATATATTTTTTAAACTGGTAGAAGAAGAGAAAAAAACTAAAGCTTCTACTACTACTAGGCTAAGCTACTATTGAACTACTACTAAACAACTATTAGATTAAAACTAAATTCAACAAATTAAATAACTGAAACATGGCCGTAATCAGTACAGTAATAAAGTTATATTTGCAAGTTTTAAATAAAAATATTAGATAAAGTCAAGAAAATTAAAGAAAAGAAGAATGAGAAAAAATAGAATGGAATAGAATAGCCCTAATATTTAATATCCAAAAATTAACATAAACATGCAACAAAAATATGAAGAAAAGAAAAGATATGAAAAGCTTCTATTATTAGAAATTATGAAGATAATCTTGTAGTGATAAAACGAAATACAATAATGAATGTGATAAGGTAATTACATCTTTGAGAATAGCAGTTGCTTAGCTGCTCTTTTGAAGGAATGCACAGTCAATACATTTTGAATGTCAGTAGGTAGAAGGAAAAAAACGGTGATAAATAACTGCTTTATCGTCATTTTCGTGAATATACAGCGTTAATATTCCCAATTATAGTGTGAATATAATATCAAATTGGAATTATTATTAGTAAGGTATCTACGGGGAAGGGGGTAAATGGATTTGCCGTATGTAATTCACTAAACAATGAAAACCTAAAAATAGCTGCATATGAATAAAACTCAAATTTGATAATTTGTTTCTGTTTGTTTAATGAGCGTGGAGGACAGAGGAAATAAAAACCAAATAACTTTCCTTGTCAAGTTGAAAGAAACAAAGAGAGGTAGAGACTCGGAGGGGGTGAGAGGAGATAAAAAGCTATGTTGAAAGGGGTATGTAATAGGGAGATATAATTTTTTATTTAAACAAAGGGGGAGATAGTGGATATGGGAAGAGAGGGAGAGAGAGAGAGAGAGAGGGGGGGGGAGAGAGAGAGAGAGAGAGGTGGAGCATAATGTTTTTGTGTTAGCCAACTATGTGTCTCAACAAATAAGAAGTTGTCTCCATCCAACTTTCACCCTTTCAAGGAAATAGTTATTATGGTAAATCCTCTTTTATATAATAAAGGATGAAAAAGCGGCAGATATAAATAAAATAAGAATAGTGGATAAGTATGTGAAACAAAGTGAATTAACAGACGGAATGTTATTGTTCTGTTTTTTTAATAAATATTCTACAAACTAGTTGAACCTTTACTGAGTCGAAAAGCTGTCCAGAGGAAAAGCACAAGAACTTTTTCAAGAAAAAAAATATATTCAAGAACCAAAAATACCAATATAATATGACATACGATATGGGTCTTGAAATAACTAATACAAAATATACATATTCAAACAATTAAAACATCTTCTATATAGACACACATTTGTGATTATTAGTTCTGGGCTTTTTCATAGTTGTAATCAGTCAAAATCAAAATCAAGACTTCAATCGAACGCAAGTCAATGCATCATCATTATAACTAAGAGATAGATATGTAAGGTTAATGGCTGTCATTCGTTGACGTCATGCGTCAAGCGCCTATAGCTAGACAAGGCGCATGCGCGTTGCCATACGCGAATATATGTACGTACGTACTCATTCACAAAATGAAACAAGTTAGAATGCTGACATATTCGCATAAGTTGCAACGAAAGGGAAACGCAGCCATAAAAGACACATCAGGCGAAAAATTCACGACTTAGTGCAATCAAGTTTTCAACAACCTGTCTTAATAAGTCAGAAAAAAGGGCCGACATTTCTTTTTTAACTCACAAAGCTCCAAAAAATAATCTTGGGAACAAATTATTAAAAAATAAATATATGAAAAGAGAAAAAAATATGTTATCACCACAAACTAAGATGGGAACAACGCCTCCGACGCCTTCGACGCCTGATCCAACAAGAAACATGGCTGGCACGACGTCGGTTCGTAGAGTTATCAACGAAGAAGTCATGTTAAACAAGAAGGGGTATACCCTGGGGTTGATGTTAGGGGAGGGGTCGTATGCCGCCGTCTACTCCTGCCAACTGAGCAACAACAGAGGAAAGTGTGCCATTAAAATAATCAACAGAAAAAAGGCACCGAAGGATTTTCTGGAGAAGTTTCTTCCGCGAGAAATCAAAATCCTGAGTAAAGTACAGCACAGAAATATTGTCAAATGTTTTGAAATATTTGATACTGGTACCAAGGTAAGTCATTCCATTCGTTTGTCGGCCTATAGCTACATGTAACAGGTATTGCTCTATGCATTAATGATCTTTTCTAACAGGGAGGGATAGAAGGAGGCGGGGAGCGTGGGGGGGGGGGGGGGACTAGTTTGATTCTTCTTGATATCTTTAACAAAAAACTATAATAACACTGACTTCTTTAAACAAACAAAAAATCAGTACAGAATTGCTTCCGATTTAAAGAAAATAAATACATCTTTGAAGCCGATCAAACTTTAAAGATGCCGATTGACATGATATTAACAGTAATTGCGGAATTTAAGCCTTAAATAGGGCCTGTAGTGTGGTGGATTTGAATTCGATGTAATAATTTGTCAACTATATTTCTATATTTAATTAAAAATCAATTACAAATTTGACAAATTATATATACAAATATAATTATGTTTAAAATCTGTTAGGTTTACATGGTGCTCGAGTTAGCGGGACATGGTGATATGTTGGAATACATTAAACTTCGACGGTCGTTAACCGAAGAAAAGGCGCGGGCATTTTTCCGTCAAATGGTGGATGGAATTGCTTACCTCCACAGTTTGAATGCAGTACACAGGTCAGTAGACATATACAAATTTGTATTTAAATCTATCTTGAAGAGTGAATAATATGTCATTTACATGTATGTATGGTTCTAGTCAAATGAGCATCAACCTAAACCAGCTAGCTCGTAATCAGTATGATTGAATTCTGTTAATATTTAACGGTGGTCGGATGGTGATGATCAAAATTATCATATGATGAAGATCATTTTTATGATGACGGTGGTGGTGGTGGTGGTGGTGGTGGTGGTGGTGGTGGTGGAGATGTATGACAATGGTTATATTATGTGATGTTATTCACCGATAGTGATATTCATGAGGTGAAAGTGACAATAGACATAACATGAATAATGATCTTAAAGTTTTTTTGTAGGGCCTTTATCTCTAGAAACTATAACGCCAATAAAATGTATCCTGTAGGTTTAGTTATGAATTATTACTTTATTAATGTTTGTATTTTATTTCATTGATTTATCGTTCATCTTTTTTATTTGTCCTTTCAGTCATATCACTGTGCCAGCTTGAAGATTAACACCCCTCTATAGTTATCTTATACATTGGTTAGGGATCATACTAATCATGATTATAATTATGACAATGTTTAAGGCATTTACAACATCTATTCCCATGTTCCTCTACACTTTACTTCTTCTTCGCCATACTTATATATTGTCCCTCTCTTATTGGCGGGTGTTTACTATCGATATTGCACTTCGGGTTTTGTTGAATAGTATATATTACATACTCGCGATTTCTCAAGTTATGTGACCATGAATTCAATCGATATTTTGTATTCTTATTGATTTCTTTTGAAGGGACTTGAAATGTGAAAATATTCTGCTGGACGCATCAAACACCATCAAAATATCTGACTTTGGTTTCGCGCGTTATATGGAGCCAAAAGATCTCAGCAAGACCTACTGCGGGAGTGCTGCTTATGCTGCCCCAGAAATATTGAAAGGAAACATGTATAATGGTAAGTTATTCTCCAAAATAAACGCAATATTCATTTTCCGTGATAAAACCTAAAATCCTGATAAAGTTTAAAGAATAGACTGATTCAAAGTACCCATATGTGAGCAGTGATTTGTAAATCTCCATCTTAGTTTCATGGATCGAGGAATCTTATCGTCCTGTATTATCAAAGCAGTAACTTACTAATATTTACATGTATCTACAGTATGGTTTTACCCCCTTCTGGATGTTGATAGAGATATAACGACAGTTCATGCTTAAAATATACATAAAAAGAACTATGTTAAAGTATGAAGCATGCGGCCAACTAAAAATGATGAAACAGATTTGATGTCGTTCTAAAAGTATCTGATTCTGAAAGAAGAGAATTAGTCCCTTAAAGTAACTTACATGAATGAATGTTCCTATTCTTTATCAATACTTGTTCAGCTTAGTATACGTCACTTTCTAATTACCGTTCAATTAGTAAGAACCATCTTTAAATCGACTTGAAAATGCACTTGTATACTTTCAGGTAAGGCATACGACGTATGGAGTTTGGGTATTATTCTCTACATTATGGTATGTGGTACAATGCCCTTCGATGATTCTAACATCAAACGGATGATCAAGGACCAAATGGATCAGCGGCTCTGCTTCACGAAAAGGAAAGAACTCACCCTACTCTTTAAAGATATCGTTCTGGCTATTCTCCAACCATCGGCAGAGAGGAGGTGAGAATATGAGAGCAAGTTGTATGAGAGAGAAGGAGAGAAAGAGAGAATCATAGCCGATGACATAGGTTAGAAATAGGGTGTGTGCATTTTTACCCCTCATTTAAGACATGAACGATACTGTATGTCAAAGCTTTTAGAATCATTTTTTGTAGAACTTTGTTTGTTTTAGTGGGTGGGGGGGGGGGGGGGTGAGGCGATTGTTCTGACAAATTGAAGGGAAGACCTTCACACCAGCCAATACAGTGAATTTCGCCACAAAATGTACCAACACATGTCAAAATAACCATGATTGGTTGAACTGGGGTGAAAATATTGATAACAATCATTATTCATGAATTTGGTTTGTTTGAATATCAATATGCAGGCTGAAAGTAAATGATATCCTAAACCATCCATGGATGCAAGACGGATGCAACTTCAAGCAAACCCCACCCTCCAGCCAAGCTGGCACATCACGCTCTTCTAATGCCTCTTCCAACCGTCGGAGTCCTCCAGCACATCCCCCAACTCCAACCCCTGCAACCAGCAACCTAGTGGAAAGTAACCGCGTCAGCGGTAACAACAACGCAACAACGCGGTCAACGCCACCGCTGCGGGAAGACCGATCTACGGAATCGACAAGTCGCTTTACGCAGAATTTGACACGACGCAGCAAGAAGATCGAGCCGGGTGCGTCAGCCGTGGCGTCTGCAAGTCAAGATAGTATACATTCACCAATGCCTTCAAGAACCACCGATGTCGGGAGGAACACTCCAAGGGACGGTCATCGAGAACGGGCAAGACAAGGAAATACAGCAACCAGGCAGACCAGAAATGCACCTTGATCCAAACAACTTCCAAAATCAGTCTTGTAAAATTTAAATTTAGAATGAAAGTGGCTAATTTCGAATTTACACTTAAACTTTTTTTCTTTCTTCCCTGTATCATAAATCAAATTATTTAATACGAGCCTTTGCGCATTAAATCGAAATAGGTTACATTTGTATTCATTCCCGCCATTTCTCCATTCCAAATGTTATTGAAATCCACTTCCAAATTGTATTTACTGGTAGTATATTTGTTCATTTTAGCCATAGCAAGTGCTTGCACTGAGCCGAGAAGCATATGCAATTATCTTTACAAAGTGCAATATAAAAAAAAGACTGAAAAATAATTTACCTTCTATTGTGGAGGGCATGATACGACAACATGAATAACTATGTTTATCTCCTAAGAAAAGTAATCATGTTTTTCAAGCTGTAAATACAGTTCCAATGTAAATAAAAATGTATCCATTACAAATTTGATGTGAAGATATTACTCATATATTTTGTCTCTTTCTCGTTGTCTAGCTACCACCACACAAAACAAAAACAATCGAACAGAAACTATTTCTTAATGTTTTGAAATATGTTTTATTCCACCCTGCAAACGCTCACACTTGATAAATATTTCAGAAAAAACTCTTAGGTTTGCAAATTTCATTCCATAATCCAAATCAGAACATTGAAAATTAAAAAACAACAGATAAACATGTACTTAAAATTTCTTCGCAAAAGATATACCAACACAAGATTATAGATGGACAAGCAGCAAAACAGATGAGCTGAACAAAATATAGCTAAAGATTGAGATGAATTTAAACAACTATATAGAAGATATATTCTACATCATAAAACAAATCTGAAATCTATATCTCTAAGATTTAAATAAACATAACTCAAAACATCTTGAGTATGTGTGTCCATCTCAGGGGGTAGATGGGGACTGGTTGTATATCAATTGTCTCCATCCTTCCACTCATTTCTTTATTTACCATTTTAAGTTTACCATAATCACTAGGGTAGCCCTGAAGGCGCAGACGTTTTTTATACTCTTGTACAGTGGACAGGAGGGTAATTTACCTTTTTTGTTTGTTGCTAGAACACTTATATGAAGGGTACCATATAGTGGAATGCTAGCATCCATGTTTTAAGAATTAAAATCATAATCTTGTTTTAAATAAATATATCGAAATCATTACTGAGTCAGCAATTTTGTTTTTCTTAAAAATAAAAATAAGGGCCTTAAAATTGTGTAAAAAAAGAGAATTTTCTAAATCTTACCAAATTATTAGGTTACTAATATAAAGAAGCATACAGAAAATATATGTTTAAAACTGATGTACTTATACATAAATTTACATAACAAAAACAGTTTTTCATTCAATACTGTTTAATGGAAGAAGAATAAAGACAACCATCTGATAAAAATGAGTTGCACTTTGTGCATGTTAACCATATTCAACCACCAAAACAAATTCACACTTAATGAGTTGAGACGTCACACCCTCTGTTAGAAATACTTCCCAATTTAGATAGTAATTTAGATATTTACAAACATAGTGTATTACTGCATGTTTTCAAGGTAAAACTAGATAGAAAATATAAGTCAAGATCTTTATTTACAAATTTACATGTTCAATAGGATACATATTTATACAATTGATTTGAATATACAAATTATCAAAATATACTTGAAGAGATGTTAATCAACTACAAGAAATGGACGGATATAAAATGATTGCTAAAAGTAAAGCAGCCATGCAGAGCATTACTATGATGCCTACAAAAGACCTGGACGGATCTAAACAGCAGCCAAGCAGCATTTACACTAAAAAATGGACGGAAAAGAATATTGAAGTAATGATTTATACTACATAGAATACTGCTCTTTGGTACTTTGGTCACACTTGATCGTCAGTATATGCATATGACATCATCAACTCATACATGTATGGACAAAATATATCAACTAAACCTCTTCCAATCAAAACATCAACATTTACATGCAATATCTTTGCATAAAAAAATAAGACCCTATACAGAAGGAAAATGTGAAAAATACTGAGGAATGAAATAAAATAACATTTGCAAAATTTCAGAAATGTTCCCCAGGTAACAGTGGGTCTTCGACACCTAGTGGATGCATATTCAAACAAATAAAAATATATGTTGAAGTCATTTTGCATGATTGAAAATTTTATGAAAATAGTTTAATGGTGTTGGGATATCTTAAGATGTCAATGCACAGACATAATTTTTAGCAAAAAGTAGTTTGATGATAAAGAGGCATTTTGCACATGTTTGAACATGTAAGAGGTAACTGTCCATGGAATCCCCACAACTTCTTATCAATTATGCAACAATAACAAAATTAGATAAGGCATTGGTAAATATATTCTTTCGACTGAAGATGAGCCAAATTTAACGAGATGCTCATTTCACTTTCTGCAACATACAACCTAGATGATTCCTAACCTCTCAGCTATTTTTACGCAAAAGGGAAGATGGTAACATATCTACATACATAAACATTGAGATATTTCTCATGCTACATTACTATCTATAGACTAAAAGTTGAAGGTTGAAAATCATAGCCATGACCATGAAAGAATTGAGCTCTATCATCTACTATCTGATTGTTTTGTCTGTTGTACGTCGCCGTGGTGATGGAAGGGGTGAGCTATTTGGAGAAATGGTACCTTTCTTCTGACCTTTGCTTGGCTGTCAAGTTTGAAAATAAAAGAGATAGAGAGAGAATTATGAACCCTCTCGCATATAACTATTGAGTTGCATGTTTAAAATTCATTAAACTACATGTAGCAATGATGTGACGACTGCATGTGTACCATCTCAACAGATTTCATTTTTTTCACAAGAATTGTAAGCTGGTTTTCTGTAACCTACAAAAGGCCCGACTGACTGAATCCACTCATGAGACCCTCCCATCCCCACCCCACATTCTCTGTTATGTACTGATCAAACTGAGGATTCTTAGCTCGATTGAGTTACATTGCCCTTTGCTCCTCATTCTGAAACAATGACAAACTATCTCGAAAGTGGCTTCGGTATGTATTTCACATACTCATAAATCATTTTATCTTATATTAGGAATGGTAGTAAATTATACAAGCACTTACCTTTGTAGAGACTTCTTTGACAGGTGAAGGATCCCTGTTGTTCCTAGCTGGAGGTGCTCCATACAGGTAGGAGTTATTGGCTATAGCTGACTTGCTGTACTCCATAGCTGGTGTCTCCAATCTCTCAGGGGTACTCACCTATGATAGGTTGAAAGATCAAGTCGTTATCCATGGGAATTCAAATTGTAAATTATTGCGCTTTCATTTGAGATTCTATGGATTGCACAAACTTTATGTTCAGGGATCAAGCATCACAAATACAGTTATTATTTCATAATCTATTATCTAGGAGACATTATAACTAACTTTAAATGCACATTACAACCCCAAATCAATGTGCTGAATATTGATATGCATGGTTTGAAGAACTGTATTTGGCACTAGATAAAAGAGCCTAGTATTCTGCACACAGCTGATTTTGTATCAATGTACTAAGAATGTAAATTAACCATTTTCTTCCAGCAAATTTGTCAGTCACTGAGACATGTAAAACAGACTCTAGATGATGCCATATAACAATATCTATAAACTATTAATACGCCATTTTAAGGCATGATTCCCCTCAATACAATTCCATAATCTACTCACCCTATAGACAGGTAGGGCTCTGAACACTGCTCCAAGACTCATTTCTCCGGTCTTGAAGCTCTTGAGATGATCGTTGTAGAAGTGAGGTTTCTGAAGCGCTTCAAAGAATTTCTTATCTTCAGGCTCCAGCTTCTTGTTTCTGGTCTGTTGGTAGGCTGAACGACGGAATGGCTTCCATCTGTATCACAACAGAGAATGTGAAAGTGTTTGTATAGTTATTTAAAATTGCCTGTGACAGTTCTGTGACAAGAGTCAAGCTTACAAATTTTTAATAAAATGTGATCATTAATTGAAAAGATATATAACTTTGCAAAATAATAAAAACAGAAATTATGTATAATTGACATGTGTTACACTGTTGCAAAATGAATGTTGATCATCCATTGTTCTTTACGCTTAATTTTCTTAGAGCTCTCTACTTACTTGTCACTGTCAAAGATGAGTGGATACTCATAGCTTTGGGCATTCTGTTTCTTCTTCTCGTTCTCCCTCTTGGGTGGTAGCAGAGGTCTCTCAGCGATGTCGTAGGGTAAGACAGGCTCACTGGAGCTCTCTGCACTGGGGTAGTTCCAGGGTCTATGCTGACCAAAGAATCCCATGAAGTGACTCCTCTGAGGGCCATCACCAAACCAAACCCTGGGATTATATTACAAAAGAAACATGTGAAGTTGAATCTCTGAGTTTCAACTTGCTACCATTCCATTTCCCATTATCATTTGCTATCTATGTCAATTGTATTTTCTTCTTTTATACCTTCCTTCTTGACAAAATAATGCAAGGACCATTCTCTTTATGCATTATAGTGTACAGAGCAATTTGTGAATTATACGTTGAGACAAAACAAGAATAAATTGTGACCTTTGTTTTCCCTGGATCTGTTAATCCTTTGAAACTGAATGAAATCACCAGATTACTTTCTTATGTAAAAGAAACCTGAGTTAGACATACCTCACTGAACCATCTGTTGATCCTGATAAGATAATCTTCATCCTATCCACATAGATCAGACTAACAATCTTACTGAGGTGAGCTCTCCAACTGATCAGCTGCTGCACTGCTCCCTGTTCATTCAGAAATAAGACGAAATAATAGTTGTTAAAGACATCTTAAATAAACAACAGACAATTGTTCCACTTATTCTTGTATTTGTACAGTACACACTAGAACATAATTGTCTCAATGTGTATCCTCATAATCATTGTATTCAAAGTCTAAATAAACATCAATTCATTCAATTTCATTTATTTCCCTCTCGATTGAAAAATAAAATCAAGATAAAAAAAAAAAAATCATACACAAAATTTGGAAATGAAATGTTGAACTAAAACAAAGCCCTTAGGCCTTGTACAATTGTAGTTACTTAATATGCAATCACATAATATGGAATTGATAATTAAAAACATTAACAAAAATATCACTTGAATAGAAATATAACAATAACTTCATGAATACAGTTAAGAATGTGAATGAAACTACAATTCATAGTTACAATTACAAAGTACATAGTATTGACATGATATTGCAGAACTTACGTGTTCATCTGTTAGAGGATCCTCCAAGAGCTCAGCAACATTCCACATCGTTATGTAACCCTCTGTTAACAATGAGCAATGAAAGCACGGACATGAGAAATGCTATAACACTACGTTTCAATTTTTTATACTTTATGCTATGTAATTGCAAGACTCACAATCACAATACAAATGCAATTACGTGTGATCATATGGTAGATAAAGGCAACTTCTTAATGGTATTTACTCAAGTAATTTGATTAGGTACAGCACTATTAAACAAGGGCAAGATACACATATGTATATTTATTTTACCTCAAATGAACCCTGAATTTTCATTTCGTATTTGAAGCCTTACAAACACTGCTACAAGTCTGACCTAATACTTTCTTTGATGATTACCTTATTACATTTTAAAATGCCATCCTCCTCAAAGGATTAATATCAATTTCTCATTACTTACTCATATCTCCGGTAATGATTATGTTACAGTCTATATCTGAGCAGATAGATGTGACAGCTGATCCTTGTCGCTTTGTCATAGGGCTCAGCATCCTCACAACCTCTCCCTATAACCATGAGAGAACATTAGAAATGGGTTTATTAATCATCACTAACACGAATACAACATTGGAACACGAATGAATACTTTATTGCACTTGATATTAACCAATCAAACAGGCTGGAATACTCATCATATTGTAACATAAAACAGCATTTTCTTACCATAAGATTATGTAATAATAATCTTGCAAATATGATAATTCTATGAGAAACATAGGTCCTAAAGTTCATGCACATAATGGCAATTCGAGTCTTGGAATTTGGAAACACTATTGAATATGAAATCACCAAAACTGTAAAATAATGAAGTTGTGATGATATTTAAGCTTTTAATCATAAATCTAATGCACAATGAAAACATTGATCCGCAAATACAATCAAAATGCTACCTGAATTTTACGTTCTTCTTTATTTCTGTAATGTTATTTTTGTAACCTTTCTGGGCCATCCCGTTCACTCGAACATTTAAAATTATTCACCTATTTTGTTTTATAATAATGTAAGAAAACTTTCTGTAAAGCAATATTCTGAAGAATTTCTATGTCAATGTATATGAAGTCTTATGTATGTAAACATATTTTGATTCTTTGTACGTTTGTAAAATATGAGCAAAACAAATTTCCTATATTGGACAATAAATTGAAATTGAATTGAATTGAATTGAATTGTTTAAAGGACACCATGATTACCTCCATAGTCCAGAATCTGATGAAGGAATCTGCATGAACCGAGACGAGAAGAGGATCATATTCTGTGACCAGCATCTTAGTATTAGGGTCCTGCTCACTCTCTGGCTTAGATCCTAACCTCTCCATCTCCTCATCTTCCATCTTCTCTTCCTTCTCGCCATCCTGAATGACAGTATCCATGTATTCAGCTTCTCCATCCCTTGGGCTTCGAGCATCCTCCTCCTCCATCCCTTCCTCATCTTCATCCTAGAGATGGAATCATAGGCAATATGGGATATCATGATCTATTTAAACATTTAGTTTAAGTACATGTGATATCTCAATGGTGAAAATAGGATTGTGATATTTTCGGGTTTATGAAACAACATCAATCCAAAATGTCTTGGGCAGCAATGTGGCTATCAAAATAAACACAAAGTGAGAAGAGTCTCCTTCAAGGGAAAGTAGTAAATGATTATGGTTATTTCATGCACATGCATTTGTCAAAAAACATAAAAACAAAATGTACAAAACACACAAGAAGAATTTGTCTAGTATCATATTGAGTTTAACACTTTCAAATATATACTTCTTCAAATTGTTTTGAGGCTGATTGATAAGTATTTCAACAGCTTTTTCTTGAAAATACTGCCTAAGGGCCTTCTTCGAATGAAAATAAGCGATTCATAAACTGATCAAAAGTCTGATTCTAAGCAAGACGAAGGTGGCAAAGCTGACCTTTTCTTTATGAGTTAACGATGAAACATCTGAGTCTTCATCACCCTCTGTGATCCCTTCTAGCTCTGAACCAGGAGTTGAAGGTCCTTCATGTCTCACTGTCAGTTTCCTGGCACAGGAATAAAGCAAATGTGAATTAAAGAATGTCTCTGACAAAAATAAGTAGATTTTACAAGGTTTCAAAGGGTGCTGTCAGAGCGTAAATAATGTAGAATGCATTTACTGAATCAGGAACATACTGGTCATTTCTGCAGGTCGTATCTTTTGACTGTATTTCATGAAGACACTTCTTCAATTAAGAGATCAGCTATACAATATGTCCCTTCACTATTTTACAACAAATATACAATATTGTTTGGTCTAGACATACATCATCAAAGTAGTGCTAGGTAATATGGACCAATGAACTTGGTACATTTTAAATATAAATAAAGGAAACTAATCTTATTGAAAGGGAAAAAGTAAGCGAAAGTCAAACAAGCTTGTCAAAGGGGCTATCTCACAAAAGGGATCCATATGGCTTACTTGATAAAAGCAGGATCTGGTCTCCTTGTCCTGTGGATGAGAAACATCATCATATAGACCTTGTGAGGATTGGGACTCTTCAGTCTACTCTCGTCATCAGGTCCAGGAGCCAGTGGAGGCATCTCAAATCTTGACAAAATAAAAAAGACAATATATTTTACACAGTTTAACGCAGAAAAGAAATGTATAATATGCCATAACAATGTAACATATAATTTGGTGAGACAATACTAAATACTGTAAGAATCCATTATTACAACAATAGCAATATTTTAATAAAAAATGTATTCCCAGGTAAATGACAAGCAAGTGGCTATTATACAAATAATACACATCAGTGAGGGCATGAGTATCGCCTCTGGCGTGATAGACTGTTCCAAAGGTACCTCGTGTAGGTAATTTTACTAATGCCTTAACAAAATGATGTGTATTATTTGTTTTATAAGATCATGTTTTATTTGTTTTATAAAATGATGTTTTATAACAAGATTTTGATATCCAAATTACGCGTTAGGCAAAAAAAATGCCTGATCACGTGTACACTTTCAACCAATCATTTGATTAGGATCCACGTCATCATCTTATAATACATGTGCCATCTAACTTATTCTCATGGACCCATAACCTTGTGCTTGAGGGCTTCTTCTTACATGATATCATGACGACATTCAATGGAAAGACTTTACCTTTAGAGCAACCATTAACCAGCACATCTGGCTTAATCAATGCTGCGCATGTGTCAGGGCATAATCGCTTGGTTGGGATTTGAATCTAAAATCCTAAGATAAGGATTCAGAGGAAAAACCACGCCTCCCCAAGGTCTTTACTTACATGTTATCAATAGCACCTCTAGATACATCCCACAGGAGGATGTTCCCATTAGAACATCCGGTAGCAAGCACATCTGGCTTCATGAAGGCTGTACATGTCATCTCATAGTACTGAAGGATGTCATCCTGGGAAAATAGAGGTTGAAAGAATTATTTACTTTCCAAAGGTGTTTTAAGAAGAAGAAGGGAAATAAGATGCATTTATCTATCAACTTAGTATGTGAAGAGTACTACATGTATTAGACTCCATGCAAAAGAGGAGGCGTGATAGCTCAGTGGGTAGAGCAGTGGTCTTGTAATCCGGTGACCCAGGTTCGAAAACAAGTTGATGCGCTAGCTAGTGCCCTTTGGTAAGGCATTAATCCTCACTACCAGGTCCCTCAGAGAGGACCTAAAGCCATCGGCTGTCTGGTTGCTTACTTACAAGCATTTATGCTTTCTTAGCAGTCAGGTAAAATAACCATCACATCACATAACCATCACATCACAAAAATGTTTGGGAATCATTGTATAGCTATCATTGAAACAAGGGGTTCTTGCCATGGCTCTTTCTGAAGTATTTGTCCAAATTTGGTTTCATTAGTGTTTGGATGCACTAGTGTTGAGCTCTAATTGTGCTGATGTATTCTACCTAAGAAGCATAAGTGTCATAAGTGCAAAGTCAAATATTATCTTGGAGTCATTTGTTTTGTGCATATATTGCATCTTGAAAAATATGTATGTAATTGCAACGTTTATTATTAAAACACAGATAATAAAATATCTAGTTCTGAAGGTTATTACACTCACCTCCTTCGCCATGTTTGTGACCTGTGCAACAGTTTTGCCAATGGATGGGAGGGGAGCTGACCTGTTGAAGGAGCTTACACTCCCACCGCCCCTAGCACTGCTGCTTCCACTGCTAGGATTGGGACTACTGGGTAGGAACAGACTGTCAGGTAGCTGGGTGTAGCCCGAGAACTCTGCAAACAGGACCAAGTCTCCGTGATCAGCAGGGTCCTGGACATAAATAATGGGAGGATCCAAGACAAAATTGGGTGTTAGAGCAGCTAGCAGATAGTCCAGTTCACTGAAGGTATAACATACTATTTCATTCAATCACACAGAAACTATATAAGCTATAACTCAGTCACTCTTTCTCTACCAATAAGCGAATTTCAATGACTTCCTCTTTCTCTCCATCTTACCAATGCTAAATAATTTCTGCAAAGGTTGACTTACAATATGTATTTTAGTTTTGTATATGTTTATATCTCTCTATATTTTTTAACTTGTTGGTAAATTGAACATTTTCAGCCTGCGAGCTGCTTGTTTGATGTTATTTCTCAATAAACCAAACCAATCCAATCCAATCCATGTCTCTTACTATCCAATTCATTTTCACCATCTCTGCTAACCCTAATTTCTCCTGATGCACTCACCTCTAGAAGCTTGAGTTTATTGTTCCAGCCCAGCACAGCTAAGCAGCGGTGAGGTTTGGGGTCATCAAACTTCTGGACTTCACAGTAAAGCATGGAAGCAATGGATACATCCTCCTCCTTCTCATTCTCTGACCAGTAGACCCAGGACCGGATTTCTTGACCGCTTCCAAAGTCCCACACTTTGATGGAACCTTTAAAAAATGGTTAAACATGTAATTTTGTGAAAATGAAGGATTCTGGAAAATGGTTTAATTCATGCACTAATAATGACTCACTTTGAGTCTCAAAAGAACATCTTTGTTTTCTGACCAGGTCTTGAATTTTAGGCATGAAAATGAAATTGTAAATAATTACATTCTCCTAGTTACACTTTTACTATATATGCCTAATAATATTCCATAAAAACTTATAGAGATTAGATGTTCTACTATCCAGATATAGCCTATCATTCCTACTATGTCCAATTAAATGCATATCCCTGCATCAAAAAGTTGCTGTACAATATGCAGAGCTATACGTTTGCTTTTCCAACACCTATTAAAATGGATCAGCCATCTTAATGGCGCCTAATCAATTTAAAGAAAGACATGACATACGTTTTGAAGTTGAACTTATCTAATAAGTTTTTCGACAAAATACCAAAGCAACATCCAACATGTCACTGATTAACAGAAGACTGAGGGGAACATGAAATGAGAACCTTCTGAACACATTATGAGTTTCCATACCATCCATTGCACCAGATGCCAGTCTATATCCTGTTGTGTCGATGGCAAGGGCTGTGACTTCTGTACTTGGCCCATGTGACCCAGTCACATGATATACCGCTTTGCCAGATTCTAGTTCCCAAACCTGTAGAGAGGGAAAGTGTGCCATTAATTAAAGTACCAATACCAACGATATAGCATCGGAAAGATAAACAATTAATTCAACTAAGTCAAAAAATGTTTTATTAGATACATTACACACGCAACCACACCAAATGAAAAACTATCAAAAATTACTGACATAAACATTCAGCATTCCCAACTCATTCCTCATTCATCCAAAGCTCTTACCTTGATAACAGATTCTGTACAAACAGAGACAACCTGATTGAGTTCAGCATTACACAGTACATGACTGATGGGTCTGTCATGGGTGTGTGGTACCTGCATCGTATCTTGAACTGTTCTTGTGAGAGGCCACACATCCAATACGCTAGAACCTGTTGATTAAGTATTGAAGAGGGTGAAAAGGGATCAAGGATAGGCTCAATAAAAAAATTGAAATAAAAGTAGAAAATAATTTTAATCGGCAGCTTTAAATAAAAAAAACAAAGCCTGGAGGAAAAACAGGACAAGTACATATAAGCCTTGCAATGTATTCAATGCTGGTAACTGAGTTACAGGACCCCAACCGTTTGGTTTAGTTCTAATTCTATGCTCTTTGAGCCAATGCTTAACCAATGTAACTTTGTTCACTTTAAACATGTATCTCTGTGAGTGATAAGTTTTGTGTGAAATAAAACGATGGCAGCGGTGGGATATGATAAATGTAAAAACTGCATTTCTTTATAAAACTGTCTTAATAATAGCCTAACTATTTTGTCTTGACACTTAATAGATACAACAATAAGTAAGAAAAGGAAAGCACCCCTGAGAACCCCTTTTACAGATTAAGCCGAATGTGCCGTAGGTCCCAACACTTGCCTGTCATGAGTCTCTCATGTTTCTCATCAAACACCATGCAATGAATCCTCTTCTCACCAGGCCTGTCTTCATTGTCAGTAAACACCTGTAAGCTCGTCAGAGTGTGAATGTCCCATATTCTGAATACCTATTGTTCAAAGGGAGATACACAGACATCATCATCATTGTTTTTTTGTATTGAATATTTAATTATAGAACAAATAAATCATGTAATGATGAATGTCACAAATCATTCTCTTATGAATCATGACAAGTATACACATTAACCATTAAAACCAAATGCAAAAAAATAAATATGCAGCTAGAATCTGTCATTACATAAATTCCGGATTGGAATACGACATGGTAATCCATTTCTACAATAATAGTTTTATAAAACACTTGCAAGTATTCCATCAAACTCATTTAAAAAAAAAAAATTCCTGGAGAAATCATTTTTCTTTGTCACATGGTTACTTTAATGCATCTTCTAGCAGATAAATTAAGATAGACAATACCAATATCTAAATATTTACCCTAGCTGTTGATAAACTAATGACATGCTGATCCTTCTCATTGACGGCTACATCAATGATGGTGAAGAGATGACCAATCATCTTGCCCGTTGGTCTGGAGAAGATATGTGGATGCCAGATGCGGACAATCTTATCATTGCCTCCGGTTGCTATGATATTGGCTCGGGAACAGAAAGCAAAGGAGTTGACTCCCTTAGGGATACTGATGGACTTGAATGGTCTGTAAAGAGTAGGAGTTAATATCAAAAGGGTGTTTGTAATAAATCATAAAATAAAATATCACATTGATTCAAATGTATTTATCCTGATCACCTGAAGCAAATCTTTATCAGATTTCTGTTATTTCCCCAACTGCAGCTCTTGTCAAGTCATATGTATTTAAGAGCATGATAAGTTTATGGAAATTGAAAAGATGGGCTATATCACATAAAATATATGGATGCTTCCTCTTGATATTCCATCGTATGAGTTACATTAATAATGTTCAAAACTCAATAGAATGTCTAGTAGCTAGGTATAGTGTTTGTTTCAAATTCAATATTAATGAAGAAAAATAAAATATCTCACACCGAAATCTGGGTACATATATTATAAAGTGTCACCATTCTGTCAGATTACCCTGACTATTAAAACCCTTATTTGTACACAAGCATATAAGTTTGATGGGAATATCACATCGTGCCAACACAGAATACAGGTATGATTGCTCAAGAAAAGACTGCCCTCTACTTACAGATTGTCTGTGATTCTATCAACCGACTCAAGTACAAATGAAGTATTACTGCTTGGAGAACAGGATGCGAAGCACCTTAACTCAGGGAAGTATTTGATCTTCAGCACCCAGTTGTCATGAAATTTCCTTTTCACAATCGGACTATGGAGAAAATTATTCCAAGAGATGACATATCAATACAGCAAAAAAAAATACCGGGCAGATAGGGTTTATAAAAAAATTAAAGGAAAAAACACTAATTTGCAAACAAAGTTATTAACATTATTATGGTTGGTAGCCACTGTGGCATGGTTTGAAATACATTTCACATGAATTTGACAAACTTCTGTATTAAATCAAATAATGATGAGACATCATTTCAAAAACATTATCGAAGCTCTTAACAGCATCAGCCAATATATGGTGATACAGTGAAATTTTGAAGAATTAACATGTTCACTGTAGATAGGCTACTATGATAAGGCTTAAGAGGAAGCAAGACACATTAACATAAGCATATTTCAAGATATAAGAAGAAAGTATTTTTTATAAAGTTCTGAGATGGGAACGGTTAATAATTGAGCATTGCTAAGAACAGGGATATTGTACAAACCCTGGATATGAACTTACTAGGTAAGAGTAGCTGGTTCAATGATGAGATTCTGGTTGCGTTTGTCGACCTTGGCATGCTTGGTATTGAGATCCTTAGCAGCTATAGTGAGGAGACTGATGGACCCTTGATCATCACCAAACACAAGGCTATCCTCATGGAGGTTTTGGGCGTAAGGGACCCAGGCAAGACATTGGACTGAGTTGTCGGTGGGCTTGATACAAAAAATGCTCTGTGTTGTTCAAAATCAGAAAGGAAACGATTGATTAATATCATTATCATGGATGAATGACTTTGAACTGAAATCACCAATAAAATGATTGCCATTCTTGTGGAGGTTTCGGAAGTTGGATATATCAGAAAAACATTGTAGTTGTCACTAGACCTGTTGAAAAGATGTTGCATATCACTTCTATTCAGAAAGACACAGACAACCTAACATGCATTTATAATTGGTCCATCAACTACAATTAAAGCTCTTCTTGAGGAAGTTTTGAAAAGGGAAGACACTGGCCAGATAATGGACAGGCCTTTCGATTTGACCTGCATTATCTGAAAAACTCAGTCAATTATGAATGAAATAGGCAGCTGGTAAGTCATAATCTTTGATAGTAAACAGGTGATTGCACCTGCTTGTCCGTCATTTCTATACAGGTTTCATTACATCAGTTAATGAATGATGCAAGTCTCACAACAACCGCATCGCTTAGATTGCACCAAGCCGCAGGTGTTCAGGAAGTTCTCCATTGCACTGGTCTACATTAAAAGTGATGAAGAATTGATACGTAATTTAATATTGTGCTCATAGACTGTGCAGATATTGACAACATTTGTGACCAGTAGTGACACTAGGGCAAATATTTTGTAGATTTGTTTGGCAATAGCTGTCATGCCTGAAAGTGAATTCAAGTTTTGAATAAAAAGCTGAGATGGAGAGGATACCATGCAGAATAAAAATATAAAGGAATTAAAAATAGAGATATAGAGAAGGGTAGGTAGATGTGGATTAGAGACTTTTTTTAGATTTTACTATCTTCTCCTTTGGAAGTTAAATAGAAACATATCACAGTTCTTGTTTGCCTCTCTCCCTCTTGATATAATGGTCTATTTGTGTCCAACCTTCTTTTAAGCCCTTCTTTACACTAGTAGGTTTCACACCCTTACAATCCTGTTTAAATCCACTCATTGTTATAATGCATGGAGCTCACTCAATAATTGTTTTCTATTTTTAGATTACTAGAATCTTTCTGTTTGTTCTCTCACCTAAAGTTCAAATAGTGGGGCTAAAAATAGCAACATGCCACATGTACCTGTCTTTACCAGTATGGCCTTCTTATTAATTTGATACAATGCTCATATCTTCTTTACCAACAAAATATAAATAGCACAGAACATTTCCTTTGTATCAGCATTCATTATGATGTCTTCAGGTTTACATATGGATAGCTACTGAAGAAACCCATCCCCAAAGGAGACAGATCTTTAATTTATCTTGATTTGAATATGCTCTCTTTTAATATGGACATTCACTTGCATGACAAATATACAGGTTGCTAATGAAAACCTGATTACTTTAAGCTTTTACTAGATATGTCTTACAATAGAAACAATCCTATCTTACCTGGTTCTTTCCTTTAGCTCTGTGATCCCAAACACAAATACTACGTTCTGTACAACAAGCGATCCTACGCAGACTTGGCAAATAGTCTACTCCTGTCACCCAACACGTCTCCTACAAATGTGCACAAACAAAGACAAGATATGAAAAGACAAAATGAAAGGCCATGCAACTTTAATTGCAATAAATGAAGATAAGAGAACATAAGATGGCAATTAAAAGAGGATATAAAGGCAATGACATAAACAAATACAACTCATGATATAGCAAAAGCTAGTCATGTGCCTCAAAATGACATAAAGTATGTGTTGACACGCTATTTACTATTTAGAAACACATAATAAACAGATATCAGTGATACATATAGCCTACACCCTCCAAAATCCATTGCTTTAAAAAATTAAAATAAATCTTCTTTTTCTCCCTTCTTCTACAGCTCGTTTTTAACAACACTCTATTATCCAATTCACTTACAAAGAGCACAAGAAAACAACATAGAAGAATCAATTCACTCTTTTGTGTACAGAAGATTAGTATTTTAGAAGCGTGAAAATCAATATTAAAGATTTGCAATAACACTGGGCCTAGCAATTTCCCTATTGTTATGACAACTTCAACAAAAGGATTGAAGTCTGAATGGGTTCTATTCAAGGAGGCTCATCAAAAAGGCCATTCATAAAAGTAAGTCTATATTACATACAATGTATAATACACTGTACAATGATTTTAAACACATCCTTTAAAAACACAGCATCCCAAAGTCTACTACACATGTACATGTACCTACATTATACGTCTTTCTGTTTTTTTAAAAAATAAATGATATTGGAGCATAAAATATCTACCGGTATTCCCACAGGAAATGAATTTGTTCAGAACCGATTCTACTCTGTGGGATAAGTATAGTCAGATGTACAGGGCTTGCTGAAATCATGACCCCATACTACTTTTCACATTCTATTAAAAAAAGTAGACAAAATGATAATGATTCCTCTATAAACATTTATTTTGTAATATAATGTAATGATCCTAAATGACAAATGACACCTCCCTCCCCAAGCAAAAAGGGGGATATGATGAGAAAAGATAACATTTATATGTCTACCGGTATCAGCACTCTAGAGGGATTTCTTGACAGAACCTAACTGATCTTCAGTCTGTTTGTAAACATCTCAAGGCAGTGGTTGAGGCATGTTGTTGCTACCCAAGGGAGGTATTTCATATTTGCAGTAGAGATTACAACAGTCTCAATTAGAAAGAGCCAGAGAAGCTTTCTTTGAGATATATTTAAGCTGCACATGTAGTTTGTTGAATATTGACACAAGACTGGTAAGAAAGCCCATGCAGGCCTGGGTATTTTTATATAGGCCATTTATAGAGTTTCAAGGGCCCAGCTCGAAATATAACCTTTTGTGCTTTTAGTTTAATTCTTTTTTTTAGAAATGATGATTGCAGCCTTGTTTCAGAGCAGAAGCCTGGCACACATTGAAAATAGAATTTGTTCAACCGTCCTCTTAAAAGGAAATGCCTGCACTAGCTGGCTGCCCTAAAAAAATCACTTATACCAGTAAATCTGCAATGTGTGCAACTTTAAAATGTAAATTGCACACTTGTGTACACTTAACCAGTAAAACAATACAGAGAATGAGAATGTCATTAAAAGGTGATCTGAACGTGACCACACAACAACGTACCCTCCATGTCACTGAATTAATTCACCGCCAGTGACGAATTAACAGCAGTTAATTGCATGCCCTGTAATACAAAACACCACCTCTATTGACTAATTAAAAGCACTTTACACCCACTTCTAATCAAATATTACTTAAAGTGTACAAATTAATAATGAGCTGGTACTGGAAAGTTGTTAATATGTGGTGTATCAATATACTTACATTGACATCACAGCATGCTTGTAATCTTAGTGTCTGTGTGAGATGGAAAGATAAAGAATTTCATTTATCACACTTTTATCAATTGAATGTGCAAATTATTGTACTTACATGTAGTACCCAATATACGTTTCTTTTCTTATTTACAAACAAAATTTATTGACATATCAAACACACACAAATGTGGGTATTTATGAACATAAAATATAAAATATAAAATCAGTCTTCTGCCAAATGCAGCACTCTTCCTCAGATCAAATCAGTCAAAAGAAATGTTGTGTATTTTATATACAACATACTGAGCATAGTAACCTTAGCAGAGGTGGTATGTATAAATAGAGGTTATACCTTCCATACAAAATACAGATAAATACTATTTTTAGTCTTAATATCACATCAATAATCTAATGATTACAATATCCTGTTAGTTTGAAGACAGCAAAGAAGAGGGTTTTTTTTAAACCCAAATTCTACACTTAAATAAACAGAAAATTGTTAGGTACGAAAGATTTGATGGTTTGTTTGGGTTTTATTATAAGCTTCACATCTTTAACTCCATGTATTGTACAGCAGTACATGTACAAGCCTCTATTTTATTTCTGAAGTCACAACCCCACACCAACCTGTATGCAGTTATCTCACCTTACAATTCCATACTGATATAACACCTTTCTGTGATGCTGCTAGATACACATCTACTTGAGGCACACATGTTGCAGCATGGATTACATCTCTTCTCTTCTTGTCACCTTAATTAAAAACGTAATAGAAATGTGTTATGATGATCTTCAAGAGTCCATGTTTCATATTAATTTTAATTTAATTGTTCCAAGACTTTAACCGATTAATTGAAATAATCATATTTGATTACTTATTAAGAAAAGAAAATAAAGGAAAAGAAAAAGAAGACAGACTGACTGACATGATATTTTTGGACCATGTTTACCGGTATGATGTTAATAAGAATTTGATAACCAGTCTGGAACTATTAAACCCCAAAACAATTCATATATATTCTGATAATAACTTTACACAAAATGACAAAATTATAAATCACACTCAAGCAATTTTAACTTGGTTCATTGATTTTCTAGACTTCTCGTTCATTCATGCTAAGCTATGATTCAATTGATTCCTCATATATGGTTTTACCTGCTGCCTCTCCAACTCTCTGTTTCTTTGAGACTGTGAAGACACTGATGTCTTCACTGAGCATGGGCTCAGGTTCATCAGTGGTAGATTGGAAATATCCAAAAATCTGGAAATGAACCGGAGAGGAAAGCACTTAATGCACATCAATTGTTGATAATCACACAGACGTGACAGAACAACCGCAATCCTCATAAAATAATCAATATTGTATAGGTACCCATAAAACATAAATATGCAGTCATTTTACTTAAGTTCCTTTGGCAAGAATATAAGATGTGTAGTGTTAGGATATCTGAGCAGTGAGCAGTTCCTTAAAATATCTTCTATGTGTCAGACTTATTCATAGATATTCATCTCTTACATTTAACTTTTTTTTAAATTTTTTACTTTGAGAACAGTTTTTCAAAAGTCCTTCAATGTTAATACCCCTTAAGACTAGGAGTTAAAAGGAAAATAATGTTCAAAAAACTTCTTCAATGATGTAGTGGTATTTGCAATTCTGATTCAGTACACCATTTTTCATATTTTGTCAATAAATGAAGAAAAGAACATTATTATATCACAATCTCATCAAAATGCAATACAGATAAAAGAAAAATAACCATCAACTGGTAAATAAGATACATGTATATAATTTATATATGTGTTAATTCAAAATGTGTTCCTTTCATACATAGGAATTAGGATAAGATTGCTAGGAATCATTGTACGGTACTCTTGTATAAAAAAAAAAGTGTACAGGTACTCCACTTCTTTCTGTCTCTCTCTTTCTCTTTCTGTCACTCGCTATTATTTAAAAAAAATAAAGTTCGAGTATCTTAATTGTTCCATTAAGAACAATACATTTTCGCACTGTCATTGTCCTTTGTACCCCACGTTGTTCTCCCCAAATTCTTTCACCATCGTTTCTAGCTTTCTTAGCATCACATATAAACAAAATATCCTTGACAGGGTATAGTTCATTGATTTTACCTCACTCCAATCAACCTTAGCATCTGGATTGTTGCTGATTTTCCTGAAGATTGATTTGAGATCACTGCTTCTGATGTCTGGACCAAACAAGGCTTGAATTGAATCACAAAATGTGTCAAACCTCAGGTTTTCTGAAACAATGGTAAAATAAAAAGTTGGAGTAACAGAAAATTTCCCAAATACAAATTACAAGTACCAAATGAATAATAAATATGGACCTTGTTTAAAGGCAGTAGCTTCATCAGTATTAACAATGTTCTCCCTGAGGGTCATGCAACCATATCAGCACTCGATCTAACTTTATGATGACATCATGCAGTCCTTAATAAATTGCAACTCTTTACAAGACGTTGGCCTGATTCTTATAGTGTGTCTTGCAATAGTAAATAATCATATCAGGTCTAGAAATTAGGATTCTTTTATTATATTCTCAATTAAAAGATAAGAGCAAAAATCTGCTTAATTTAGAGATCACTTGTACAATAAAAAAAGTCTCACGTCTACATTTTGCTGTTTCCCTTCAACATGATAAACAAAGTTTTGATTTGAAAATACAAAAATCCAAAGTGGCATAGAAATAGAATGACATTATCAGATATTAGAGACTTCTCATTTACTTGTAGAATCACACATATGTTCGTGTTTGAAATCAAATGCTAGGAGTAGGATGTGGATGCATTTTTTATATGATTTGGAAACAAGAACAAGATTTATGTTTACATGTACAGATCAGATAATTAGATACACTACTTCCTTGTTCATTTAGGAACGACTGACAATTCAAACAAGTGTAGAATGATTGAAATATTTAGCTTACTTGTTCACTACAGTTACACAGTAGTACACATATTGCACATCTTCTAAGTTTTAATACAACGAAGCGAATTCTCAGACATATTGAAATAACTGGAGATAAAGAATGATACACTTGATGGAGTTTTAAAACAAACAAACAAAATATATCATATACAACACAATGATACATCATGTAATAATAATAATATGTGTAATAATGATAATAATTTATGTGACAAAACAAGCAAGGTATTTTCCTGGTCAAATTTTAGTCCATTGAATGTGGATAAGAAAAAGGTAAAATAATTTCTACGCTTCACAGCTATCATCAATTCAAGACAAACGGCGCATGTCGATGTCCACACCAGGCCAGGGAGATGGGTCAAGTGCTACGGAACCTACCATTGATTGCCTGCCGTCGCTCCTCCGCACTCGCCTCGCTGTCCTGCTGGGTGAGACGGGCAATAAGTTCCTCAAATTGTTCCAACTTTTGTCGAAAAGTATTGGTGGTATACGGCCTCGGAAGACCACCAGACGATTTCTCAGCTGCCTTGGATGTCATGTCTGGTTATAATTCCATCAGGTTAAATAATTCTCTGATCATGGTAGTATGAAGAATATCCAAACAAATTAACGGGATCAAGAACCAATTAAGTTCGCAACAAGTGGAATAAATCTTTCGCAGCGGTGTCAAAAACGTCCAAATATTGTGTACGCGTTCGAAATAAATTGAGCAATCACAAAACTTAGTTATTCCGATGTCTGTGCATGATGATTTTCTCCTTTTCGACACAAAGTACGCTTTCAAACTCCAAAAAGTAGAATATTAGAAATCATTACAATCCCCGCCTCGCACATAGACACTGGTTTATGTTTGGTATTGGGTCGGCTGGGCCAAGATCACACTGTGTCGTGCCTGTCGTCTGTTCGTTCAAGCATACCAATACATTACATACCGGAGGGAACAAATCGACCCATGAACGACCTCAGATAGCGTGTAGTCACTATGGTAATCGCCGGTCGGTGGCCCTCGCATGAAGCCAGCAAAATGACAAAGGCAAACAATGGTCGTTTCACGCAATGTTTTAGACGGATATAAGGCGATCGATTCTTTCTATTAGACGTCTATCTATGTGACACCTATACCCCTCCAGGCATTGCCATAGGAGAGGCTAATTCCTTTCATGTGAACTTGAAGGAAACTTTAATTATTTTTCATAGTGTTTATTTGAGATAAAAAGAGATTTGATTACTTTTTAGAAAAACCTCCTTTACCTCATTTTAAAAAAATGTGTATGGTTTGTAAGTTTTTTAATCACATAGTTTGTTTCTTCTTCATGATTCTTGTTATTTGAAACTATACCACATACTGACATGTTAATTGCTGTTGACCATGGACATCATGTAACCAAGCTTACTTCATTGTTGTAGACATTCAAGGACTGTTAAAGTACAATGTAATCTACCGGCCCTGTGTGGTTCCTTCGATTAGTTCTTCCCTCCTGGCAAATTTTAATTTGGATATATACCAACATAATTATGTAGCTTTCACATACCATAAGTTATGAAAGGAAGGATTTGAGGTAATTTGTAAATAGATTTAAGAAAACATTCTGTACTTTCTGTTTTTTCAACTGTTTCCCCAACATAGAAGTCATGAATATAAACTGAATATCAAAGTAATAGTGGTGACGACACCCCCCCCCCTCCCCATCAATATCAAGGAAAGAGTTGCAATTGAACAACATCCATCCATTTTTTTAATAACTATGAACTTCAAGGTAATACAAATAAGTTGGTTTCAAAACATGAGTGTCTGTATTTTTGGAAGTTTTCTTCTGGAGTTTATTACAAAGTATTCTCAAAATAATATAGGTATTAAAAAGAGACTCATTTCCATTCTAAATTATGCTCTAATCAGTTTAAGATAGATGTATGCATAATTTAATTTCCTTTTTCCTGAAAAAGGCTGTACTTCTAATAATAAAATATGGGGACTGAAATTTTACAAAGAATGAATGAAAAATATATTTGTTGTCAAAATGTCTAATATCCTATTAATGTGTAGTGTCTTGTATATTATGTACTTTGAATTTTCCATGCACAAGCAGAGTTTTAGCAAGTGCTATGAATAATTTTGTTTCCTTCTTCCAGATACACATACCCGGATTGTCATCACATCCCTCTTACCATCATCTCAACCATGGATACAAGTATCATCATGATACATTGTGACTGTTGTGACACACTGAAAAGATAACTTCATTATTCAAGCAGATTAAGTTGAACTAAAAACCAACTCCAGAAATAATGACAATAAAAATTGAACAAATAATCATGAATAGATTATTAAAAATTATCTAAGGCAAACAAAATCATTTAAAAAAAAGGACAACACAGGTTGCGAAATTGTATCAAGTTCTATACAATCAAATATCATTTATTCATAAAAGTGCTTGCAACAATAATACTCAAAATGATCTACATGATCTTAATATAGTTTGTACATTGTCTACACATAGTATAAAATGGTTTTGGGGTTGTCCTTGTGAGGTGCTATAACTAAAACTACGGTAAAAACACTGATGTAGGTTCACACAGCCATGAATGATTGCAAACATGGATAATGTTATCCATTGGTTCGACTCACATACATTTAATGGTTTAAGAAATAACCTTCCTCATTACCAACCATTGGAAGTTGTGTATCTTCTTCCACGTATCAACTGATGAGTATTGCCAAAATTTCTTAGTTGAATTACGTAGAATGGTTTTGGGGAAGAAGTTGGCTTTATTTGTGATATGACTTTCCTCATAAGATAATTAAAGAGTCATTTAAGATTCAGATCCTGATTACATAATCATAATATATCAACATCAGTTCATACTTTGTATTGATTTAAATATCCTTATAGTCCTTACAATTTCTGCAGCAACAAACATTAAGTAAATTCAAAAGGGGCTTACTAATTGCATGACCTCTGTTTAATTGTTAATTAATTCCCCTTTTCCTAAACATTCAGCCTATATTTTAACCCTTAAATAGTCTAAAAGAATTTGAACCATGTATACCATATATTTTAACATCTCAAATTTATTTCATCACCCAACCCATCATTTATACTATTTGGATTTGTATCGATGAAGGCTTAACAGAGAAATCACATCAAATTGGAATGAGCGACAGATCGAAATTGGAAAAAGTGCATGAGTTACAGGAAATAAGGCACACAAGCCTTTGGCTAAAAGAAACCTAATGCGTTACTGAAGAATAAAATAACATAGGGTTACTACTGAGGGATTTACACAGCATTTCAACCAGATTTTTTCCTTCTAAAGGATGGCAAAAAGCCACACACGAATGTCATATAAACACAAACACGTTTCAATATTTCCATTCAATAGTTCTCCCAAGATATTCAAATTGCTTTACATGCCAGTAATCCTGTATAGTGTGAAATTCTAAGATCTTTCACACATGAGATTCCAAATGTTCAGTAAAATCTTTCACTTTTTCCGTTTATATTTCATTTTGTCATCATGCAATTATAATGCAGCAAGCTCTCAAAATCTGTTTCAGAGGGAGTAATGTACATGCATCTACTAAACAGCTATAATGTTTCTAATTTCAGTTCTCTTTATAGTCATATACAGTGTCTATACTATGATTAGCAAGCGCTATCACACCTTATTTAATTTACCTGTAGCGGTTCTTGTGTATAATATTTAATGTGAAGTTTTATATGCCAAACCTTCAATATGTTTGCGAATAAAATTGTGAATTAAATGGGAAAAGACATGTTAAATCATTAACTTAAGTACATATATCCAAACTTACAAAGATCTTTCATAGCTGTATCATATATCTCCACACATTGAAACACTGGCTTCAGATGTTCAAAACGTAAGACAAGCAAAATTCAAAATGACATATCTGAACAGTTTAAACAAGGTATTAAAAACAAAATCAAAATAAATAAGAGCAATGTTAACAAAGAAATAGAACAACTTATAACAAAGAGAAGGAACATTTCGAAATTGGCAAAAATCTTATCAAAACAAATTTAAAACGAACTTTACAATTAACAGCATTTCATCTATTTGAAAGATGTAATAAAGATATTTTTCACTTTCTTGTCTCCTGATTAGAAGAGTGGTGTATTTCACATATCTCCACAGATTCCATTACATATTACCTCAATTTGGAGCGTATTTCTTGAAGAAAAAAATCACAAACTGGTAATAGGCAATTTTACTCCAACCCACCAAGATGCAGTACAAAATAAATAATGCATACAACTTCATTTCAACTAGTAAATAACAATTCATCAAATGCCTCCTGTAAATCAGGTTGGTCCAAGTCAAATTATTGTAATGTACACAATATGAATTCTTTTAAAACTTACTTAAGCAATGACATTTATACTGAAAAGTGAACAAAACTTTAATCTGAGATTCATGATGGGATTTTCATTGTGAGTTGTGTAATTGATAATAATCTGGAAGAAATTCTTTTCTACTTATAGATTTCCAGCTGTTGGTCTCCTTTATTCAACAACAGAAGACTTAGCATGAAATCAAAGTTGATACAAATCTGATTAAAGTTACACTATTTCTTAGCTCAAGACCTAAGCATGAGCCTGAACATTCGGTTGCAGAATAAGCTTATTTCTCTTCTCAAGCTTACAGTTTCAGCAGGAAGTAGTTTAAAAATTTACTTTTTTGTTTCTTCCCCTAACATTCAATGGTTTTCTCAAAATGTATTAATACCACGGATCCAGATGATTGCGTAAGCAATGGTAAAATACTTCAATGTTAATTGTGAGCCAGCCCAAAAGGTTACTTGTCTAAATTTGTTTTCATCAAATCTCCTATAAAATTCAAATAGGTAGTTACATACATATCAATAAGATTTGGACAACCCGGACTATATCCACCTTTACAACTCGGGTGAAAATATTACTTTCCAGTCCTGTGATGCTAATGCTTAATCATTCTTCTTTCACTCACTCCTTCAAACAAATTATCATCAAAAACACTAAATAAACCAAAAACGAATACTTCAAAATACATTTAACCTGGAATATATATAAAACTGTTAAGAACTGTCCAACTCTTTAAGTTTTTAGGATGTCATATGTAAACCTGTTGGCTGGCAAGCTCGTCTGTGAACGGGAACACAAGGTTGGATGTGCAGAAGTAGAAGACAAGGCCGAAGGCGATGGAGATGGGCAGAGCAGGAAGGGCCTTCTTGAAGATGGCCAGGAGAATGAGTGTTAAACACAACCCCTGGAGAAGGAATAGATCGAATGAGAAATATGTACAATTATGGATAGGTCATAGCAAACATGCTGATAAATACATGAAATACTGAAGCAAAATGCACTGAATAGCAAACATGGATTAGAAAATCAGTACTGCCAATAGTTACATCTATCTGCCCAAATGAATTTTATTTTCTCTCGTCATGTACTTTCACTTCTAATTCATTGACCAAGAAATGGTATCCCAGTGGTAGTGTGGCCAAAACAAAACTTAAATACAATAAAAATGTGAGTATGTGCTAGAAGCAAAGGCTTCTTGAATGTCAATGATACTTTAGGAACACTTGTTTACAAAATTATTATAAAAACAGGAATACTATGTACATCATCCACATCTTTATATTTTATAAGTATTTGCCACAGTATGAGTATTGTATGAGAAAATGTATAAGTGGGGGAGAATGGTAACAATAACTCTGATTGACTTACAATAAGAATTGCCACAAAGCAAGCAATAGTGGTAGTCCAGTCTCCTGATGCTGATGCTTTCCCTACCAACACACTGTAGAAGATGAAATCTCCCAGACCCAACTTTACACCACCTGCAATGTACAGAAGGAAATATGTTTGAGGACAAGTTTACAACCAACTAATGGAGATGTTATGATGTGAACCAAAATTCTAAGCATCAAAATAGTAGGCAAGCATGAACATGTATGGCTGAAATGCACATTAACAAAGAGAGACCAACATCATTCTCATAAGAATGACACTATTGCTTCTAAACTATAAAGAACATCTTAGTTTTCTCAGAATTAATGTGGTGCATTCCAATTCCATTCCAATCGTAAATAAAAGTTGTCCATTCAATAATAAATAATCATCAAAAATCCTTTGATTATGGTTTTTTTTTTTATTATTATTTTTTTTTAGGGGGGAACTTAGTGCTGGTATAAATATGATTATAAAGGACAACTGTCAAACAAAATGAAATGCAAGACTCAATGTATTATTTTTAACTATATAACAGACATATCACCCATGTTTTGCAAATAAATAATAACTACACATATTTATAATTGTACATCTACAATATCTTGGTAACCTTAGTCAACCTCCATATATTTCCCCCTTGCATGCTCTGTCTCCCCTTCCAGCTATCACTGTTGATTTCCTGGTTCAAAATATCCTGTCTCTCTACTGTGTTCATCATGATTCACCAAAGTCAGGAAGGAATTGTTTCTAACCCACTTATGTAGATTACAACCTACATACATCCTGTTCAGAGCCAGAAAGGTGTTAACTCTGTGTTAGAGCATGAGTTAATGCCCTTCTGGCTCCGAACAGATAGTATATAGGATCAGGCATATTCTCTGTGGGGATACTTTGTTTTTATCTGAAGTCTACACCATATGGATTACAACTTACAACGTATGGCACTGTTCTTTTTTTAAGTGTATAGTATCATATTTTGATTGCAAGATAAATCACAAACATATACAGGTACCACTAACATTACTATTTGTGACAGTTCATCTAAGGAGCTGTAAACCCACAATTTTTGAAAATTCATGAAATGTAGCACACTCACAATACCCAAGCAATATCTATGAATAATAAATAACTGATGGTTCATTCTCTGAAGGTTTCAATCTTTCAATGTTAAGTATGTATTCACAATTGAAACCTTGCAATAACAGCATGTGGAAGTATTTTGATGAAACAAAAGTTTCCACAGGGTGTGACCAAAAGCTTTCAATCATGAACTGAAACAATTTTTTCAAACCTCAACCTAATACAACTTGATTTTTGGTATAATACACATTTCCACAGGTGACACTTCAAGTTGTCTATTAAAGGCATTGTATAACATTGGTTTAGGACAATGTACTGCAGGATGAATTCCAAACTCACGTTCTTCCTCTTCCTCCTCATCTACTGGAGGCTGTCTATTGCTAGGACCATTGTTCTGCCTCAGCGCCCGGACAGCTGCCCTCCTGTCTTCGGATGTGACGCTGGAGTTTGCACTCCTTTCTAGATCCCTCTCTCTTCGTTCGGTGAACACGGTATCAAAGCCGCCGTTAACCTCCTGGTCACTGGACACCGTTTGATCTTCTTGCCCACCTGAGAAAGAATGTAATAAATGTTACAATATTACTCCTTACTTGGCAAACCCTACACCTTCACGGAGTTGATCTAGTGGTACATTCACTTGATCAAGTCTCTGTTTTTCGCCTACAGACTGACTCGGGTAGATCCCGGGTCAAAACCAAGTTCAGATGGTGAATTAAAAGTCGGTTCTCAGTTGTAAATAATCATATCTGATTGATACACGTCTGTAAAACCAAAATCACACACACACATACAGTTGTCCCAGTGGCTAACTACACTTGACTGTGGATGTGAAGGCCATGGGTTCAAGCCCTGGCACACCACTAACACCCCTATGTAACACATTTATCTACATTTGGCACTCTCTACTTGTAATAATAGACCACCTGGTAGGATCTATTCCTAGATATACATTGGGCACTGAAGACTACCAGAGCTAAAATCAGGGTTTTGATATTAAAAGCACTATGGAAATAACAAACTCACCAGTTGCATTTTCTTCAGCTGTGTGTTCTTCAACTGGTGGTTCCTGTTTTGCTTTTGATTTGGGTGGCGGTGAGTCAATGTCTGCCATTCCAACCAACCAGACCATTGTTGCTGTATAGAAAGACAATGAGGATTAGTAAAATACAATCAAAAGCTAATCACATGATATACATTTAATGTATGGGACTATGCATCCATTCAATGTATGTATATTGCAAATTGGAGCACTATTCAAAACTGCACAACACATTACTGACATTAACATCTACTCCATATTACCCACTAGTAAAAGAGCAGAGAGCAAATGAGAGTGAGAATGAGAGTAAAGAGAGTAAGAGAGTAAGAGAAGAAGAGAGTAAGAGAGAGAGAGAGAGAGAGAGAGAGGGGAGAAGGGGGGGGGGGGCAGAAGAGACAGATAAATACTGAAAAAGTGGACAACAAAGACAGTATTAATAACAATTTCTCATGATTTAAAAGGAGGAAGAAATATCAAATATCCTTTAAATGATCCTAAGGGCAAATTCTTTAAAAAACATTACATTCTAATATTTGACAGACTCAGTCAAAGCATACAAGCTAGGCTGCAATACTAGACAGAACTACGTTTGCATCTGGATGTTTGATGTATAAGAGTGTATCTCACATGAATAGATGAGTGCAGGAAAGATCTGTTCATCTCTCTCCTGAGCAGTCTCTACCAGCATTCTGAGAGGACCCTTAGGGCACAGCACAGCAAACAGATCTAAAGAGATAAACAAACGAACGAATCCAAATCATCTAGTCTTCTTTAACCATTACATGATAGTTTAAAAGCTGTCTGATCATATTTTCTTCATGATTATTCTTGGAGGATAAAAATTAAAGGTCATTCCATTCTCTTAACATCACAATAGAGTTAACATGTATATGCTTAGCAAAATCTTATAATGCTTTGTAAACCGGAGTAATCAAGATGCCTAAAGGTTATTTAAATATCAATATGGGGTAGAAGATAAATTAAAAAACAACATACCGGTACATAAAAAATGTAGGAACTAGCTCAGACAAGAAACATTCAATTCATGTGAACAGCACAATGATAAAGCTATTTCTATCATGAAATTGGTTATGACCTTTAAAATAAAAACCAGATGAGTGACCAGACAGGAAAACTCACCATAAACAGCAATGGCTGCCAGGATGGTCCAGAGGGTCCACTCCGGGAGGTATTTGATGAAGATGAGAGCCATGAGGGCTGAGATGACGATGAGGTAGAGCTGCTGGAGACGTAGAGGCCCCTTCCAATGGATGCTCACCATGCCCACCATGCCAAAGTTCCACATGATGACTGCTATGGTGAAGTAGTCCATTGGGATGTTGTAGGTTACCAGCAATTCTCTGTAGAACAAAAGAATTGATGTCATTTCATACATGTAGGTCTGTACCACCTGATAATCTACATCATGTCGTATTTTATGGTTCTCTTCTATAAGCTTATATTTAATGTTTTCACATTGTTCTAAATATTGTACATATTGTAATGCATAATTTCTTGGTACTGGTAAATAAAATAAATACTGATAGAATCAATCAATCCATCATTACAGGTGGTAGTAGAGTTGATGAATTTGAATCAAGTGTATTGTCTAATCTCTCTTTTCTTTAGTCCTTTTTCTTGTTGTTTATTTTTATTTATTTGTTACATTATTCTATTTATATTATCCTGTGTATTGTAATGTGTTTTTCATTCAGGACTATCAATATATCTTTTAACATTATGTTCAATTGGCAACAAATATATTCATGTTATAATATTTGGCAATATTAACTACATTCAAAATATATTTGAAGCCACATTCACAGATGGTAAACCACGTTTAAAAAAAGCTGCGGTAAAGTAAAATCAGTACACATTTTTGCCACATACATGTACCCTTATCTAACACACACATGAGATGAGTGCACACTGTAGGGGCCATTCTACTAATTTGTTGGTTCCCTAATCCCCCCCCCCCCAAAAAAAAAAAAGAAGAAGAATTGTCCGGCATTCATTTACATAGAAGGGGGGGGGGGTCTTTACTCTGCTATTACATTTTTACACATTTCACTATACTCTTGTTTGAACAGGATTAAAGGCAGCAATTTGGCGGTAGAATACATTTTGCAAATCAGAAAAGGATCATTATTTTCAAAGGTTACATATATGTGTGTATACTCACTGTAAATAAAAGAATGTGAAGAAAAACAGGAGAAGAAGTGATGATAAGACTAACCAACCATGGATAACCTGAAAATTAAAAAAAAAAATCAAAGGCATTTTGTTCATAACATACTCTACATAATAACAGTTTGATACAAGGACAAATGTATTACAGTAAGTCATCTCTCTCTCCCTTTCTCTATTTCTCTTTCAAAGTATGCAAATTGCAACAGATTAGGCTGCAAAATGTCTTTCGTTGAAATAAAGTTATCAAAAAACATTCCCCTACAATGATGTTGAATTCAGGTTCATGTTCACATGGAGCATTACTTATTATCTTTTAATCACAATGTACAAAATTGCATACATGTGGTAATGGAAACATATACTGTATATACAGGTATCGTATTCATTAATGTGTCTTTTTTTTTACATATACAATCCATTATGAATATTAGATATACATGTACAAGACAATGAATACAGAGTGTTCTGTAAAACATACTGTAAATTTGGAGCCATATGGGCATATGCTTTACCACAGATTTATCACCCAATCTGGCTACAAACTGATATGTCTACTATTTGTCATCGAAAAATGTATTGATATGACCATTGCCCAGCGGTTGTGATACAAAGAAGAACCATCGGTCGACGGTCATTCAAGACATTTTTTAATTTTTAGGACAAAATGAATTGATGGAACAAATAGCACAGAATATACCCTAAAACATATCTTCTTCTATAATGGGTAGGATGGGAATAACTTCAAAATAACAGATGTTTTATTAAGACAGCTGTTGTTTTTTAACATTGTGATTGATTAACATGCTCAATAACACAATCATTGTAATCTTAAAAACATTTCACACCATTATACCACCACTACACAGAATGTGTGAAAAACAACTATTGATCAAAAAGAAATCAATAAAATTGTGTTTACTTCAAATCCTTAACATTCTGAAGATATCTGATTTACTTCAGTATAGACAATTAAAGGTATGTACACGTACGTGATTGTATAACCTACAAGTATTGATTGGACAAAATCAATAAAATTTTGTTTATTTCAAGACCTTAACATTCTGGAAGTATCAGGGGGTTGTTTCACGAAACCAACTCTTGTACAATATGACAATTTCGTGAAACAACGCCCAAATTTACATGACGTGCTGGTATTGACATATACATGTCCAAATGTGCATTGAACAGAGAGTGACATTGTTTGGAGGTTAACAGACATACAATTCAAGATAAGGGTGAAGCTTTAGATAAAAGTAAAAAGAATATTTTTTTCACTTTTAAACATAGGTATTAAACAGAAGTAACAGAGTGGAAGAGAGGAAGAGAGAAAGACTCGGAGGGAGAGAAAGAAAGAGAGGGGGGTGACAATGCTATACACATCAATTTCTGTAACCTCTCTCAACAACAACATAAAATAGCTGCAAAAAAAAAAAATTTAATTAAATTCATCAATTGTATTCATGAAACTTACTAACCTTATAGCATCTGTATTTATAGAGAACAACAAGAAATATTGTCATAATAAGAACAATGCCGATGATGATGAGAGCATTTGCCAAGGCGTTCCAGGCTTTGGTTCCAGCCTGGTCAGACTTCTCATGGAAAGGAGTGTAAATCCTGGTAGGTAAAACATAAAGAAACAGAAACAAGAGAACATGAGTAAATCATCTCTCGATTCATAAGCATTTTACATATTAAAATTATGTGAGCATGTGATATCAAAAACTGATTAAAAGTTCTCCTGTGATAAAGAGACAAAAAAAAAAATTTCATCAACTCATGTCACATAATCAAAGTTTTTTGTTTCTGTCTTGTTTTGTATTTTGTTACCTTTGCATAATTTGTTTAACAAATATTTTCCTTCACCATAATCCCACTATCACAGACACAGACAAAATGTGTGGTTTTGTACAAACTAGCGTCAGGTATACCGGATGGTTTCACTAATATTAATAGCTTTCTAATTATTAAGACCAAAACATACGGGCCAGTAACTGAAGTAGGGTTTACCAAGCCCAAGCCTCTGCAGTGCATAGTCAGCTAATCTCTACCAAGCTTAGTGCGAGAGGGTACCAGGTATGCGTCCGCGGGGCCAGACAGGGCATGGCTAGCTTGGGGTACAGAACCATGCTAGCTAGTATTCTAGGTTATGTGAGATGTAATGTTCAATAAAAGACATTCCTCTTGATGAAAAGTGAATTTGGATCTAAATTTAGATCAAAGTCTCTCTAGTATCATCAGACTTCAGGCACCTTATTTTTTCTCGCCGTCGCAACAACGCATGAAAAAAAGTGAACCAGACTTAAACTACCCCTACATGTAGGTGCAGTCTAAATTTTGAGAAAAGTTGGAGTTCCTTTTGTAGTTACAAATTTGTTAATTAAATTACTCATTATTCATAAGTATCAAGCATTGCTTTTTAGTGGACCCCTCTGTTTCCAAAATGTATTCCTAGATTGTTGTAAATGTTTATAATTGATTTGTAATGTTTTTTTGGAAACGTAAATTGAATTGAATTGAATAGAAGCTACATCCAACTAATAATTGACAGATGATGTCAAAGAGGTGGAGCTTAGCAGGTCTGAGAAAATTAATTTTTATATACCGGTATATTGTTTTAAATGTATGACATATATTTACGTTAGATATTTCAAAAATAAAATATGAGTTGTATGCAGTCCTGTACATCAACAGGAATCAAATTATATTGGATGTCACCCGACCTTTAATGGAATACCTCATCGGTCCCCAGGAAAGAAACATCCATAAATATGAATACGTTACTAGACTGGTCTATTATGTACATGCATTAATAATTCATATAATTCACATGAAGAATATTCAATGATAGTTTCAAGATGCCTGACTCAGCATATTTTACATGTTATTTCTGCCCTGGAATATGATATGGTAAAGCAGGAAGGATAAAGCCCTCTAAATCTGTACTGGAAGTCTGTTGACCTTTAATTCCCCTTATCATGTACATGCAGCATATTAGAGCAATGAAGAGAATATGTATTAGGTATATTTGTTGTATACCAATGATTTCCATGTTACAGCTTACCTTGGATTATTTATTTTGAGAAATAAAAGTCAGATTTTTATATTTAATATTGCACAATTTTTCCACAACTTACAAATTAAATCAACTACCGGTATTGAAAATCAGCATTTCTAACTCGTATCTATATAATTGATAAATGATATGATAACAATTCAGGTAACTTCAATTCATCAGCTTTAGAGCCAAGGAATGAATATCTTTCAATAGATCATTACCATTGAAAGTGACCCTTACTTTATGTCCCAATTCCAAACATTATATATTTTCTTGCAAGATACAAAACCTGAAAAGTCTCCATTTGCTTAAAACCTGCAATTTGATACCCTGTGTATGGGCCCATTTCTGATCCGAAGCAATATGGAGCGTCTTTAATAAGACTCTGAATTTGATAGATGGAAGGACGGCAATATGAGGAGTTTATAATGAGCAGAGTAGTAATCCATATATCCCGAACTAATTAATCATTTTGAGTCAGAGGGGCCAATAGTATAGATGAGGTTGAGGTTGATGTTCAAGCTGGTGTAAAGATGTAAATAGACTAAAAATCTATTTATGGCATAGCTTTCTCTAGTTCAAATAGTTTGCTGAACATAACTCCTCTATATAGATATTGTAAGAAATTCAGAGTACACAATCCAATATCCCTGATAGAATATTTGATGTTGTTTTATTTAAAGACCTCATACAAAAATAAATCTTCACAATGAAGGATTAATCTAATAATAAAATGTAGTAATACATCCCAAATGCCCCATTCACCAGGAAGTGCATGAAGAATATTCACATTGAACAGCAAAAGACAAAGCTCAAGTCCAATAGGGCGGATTCACAATCAACAGTGCCTCACCAGCAAACCGTGACAGGCCAATTTTTCAGCCCCACAGGTCATATGTAAACAAATAATCATATGCATGTACGCAAATATATACAAATTGTAAAACGTTAGTGTGATTCGTTTTATGTTTTATGTGCATTGTTTGTTATTGTAAAATTATTGTACCTGTATTATTGTATTATATTGTATTATAAAGCCAATGGAAACAGAATTTCTATGTATTACCATGGTTCAATAAAGATGAAATGAAATGAAATGAAGTGAACATCATTCAACCAGTGCAGCGAGTGCAGTGAAACGCTAGCTACCAATCGAAATGACCAAAGCAGTCTGATCTGTGTAAATTCATTCAATGAGATTGATTGTTATGATATCAGCGCACATTTTTTATATTAAATTTGGATGTCAAAACCCACCAATTGATGCTGACTGAAAATTTGGCATGATTTTGAACAAAAATTAATACAAATGTTTATTTTGGGCCAAATAATGACCCAATTTTTAAATAAAATTTGAAAAATGTGGACGATAGCATCACCAAACATCTTACAAAACATGCTGAACCAACAGACGCTCACTGAGAGCTCTGGTGGGCCAATCAAGTGGTTCACTGCATCTCAGAAAGACTAAATGATTTTATAACAGGCAATACAAGGGAACAGACTGATACCAACACAAAATAAAAGTTTTAAAAATCTGTTTACATCACATCAAGGAGGTATCCATATATTCTATATTTAAAGTCTTGAAGTCCTATATCTGCAATGTTTCCTACAACATGGGCAAAAAGCGAGAGTCCACAGACGGACAGCAGTTGGAAGGACCATATTGTTGTTGATGGGAGTCAATTTGACCACTTTTTCTTGCATCAGGGCACAATTATAAAATAGGTTAGGCCCCTTAAATCTTTGCTGATAATAACAATTGGAAAATTACCCCTGATCAAAGGTGACCATAATGGTAAAGTTTGGGCCAGAAAGTGGCCAAAATGACCAAAATGTTGTGAGTAGGGTCAATAATACTGACAATTTTGGAATTGACTTTTTCCCAAGAAGCATCACATCAAATTTAGTTAACACTGGTGTTGCTGGATAAATAGCGCTGTGGATTATGAATCCACCGCATCAGTTGTTTTGAATCAAATCTTGGTTTGCCCAATCTTGCTTTGACTAAGTGTCTATGTAAATTAAGTCGTGCCAATTAGTATCTACAAGTACATGTAGTATCCTTTTTTTTAATATCCTTTTTGTTTGAGATGTAAAAATGGAAAGTTGCAATTTGCTATTATATATTGCATATATTTATGTGAAAGTAATATAAACTCCAATATCTTGTAATATTATGACAAATTATGTATATGTTATCATTCTGTTATTATTTCTTGTGCATTGAATGAACAATAAAATAAATTTCCAAACAAAAAAAACTTCCCAACATAACATAGACAAAACTCACAGGTAAACATCACCAGACTCTGTGTAGAAAGAAACGGTGGAGATGGTTGCCACAACAACCAACATACAGAGGGAGACAGGCACAAATAGCATGATGACGTGCTTGGCCCCATACTTGAGCATCTCATCCTCTTCTTCCTCTTCCATTGGGGGCGGGTCTCTCTCCCTCCGTCGCTCCTGGTTCGCTGGCCTGTTGCCTGCATTGGCCTGGTTAGTCAATGAAAAAAGAGAGAAAAGGGAATTGTGATTACAGGAGGATATAACATTATGTTATAATTCAATAATGGTAACATATACGGGCACACAAATGAATCTCAAATTCATATTAATGCTTTGTCAAAGCTGTGAACTTTTCACTATTATATGTAATAGATATCTATTTTTAACCAATTCTAGATGCAAAGGGCGTAATTGAATACTTACTATTATGTGCTGAACAACTAAAACATTATCATTAGTTACTATAATCATAACCCATCAGTGTTGGGCCACTGACGGGTTGTGGGGTCACAGTGATGAATAGAAATATTCCAGCACTTATTGACACTTCAATGGAATGACATTCAATATCACATCCTTATTATTTCTGTCTTCATAATTCAATTTGAAATATGAGCACTATCCTAACCATGAATCAATGACAATCTATCAAGATCATCATCATAATACAAGTGAAGGTGACCAATAGAGGAGTGGAAAGTGTGGACAGGATTTCCAACAACATTAAACATCTACATGTATGTGTATTGTGTACCTCTATGACAAATAGACTTCCGAGTGTTATATAGGGCAATTGATAAAGATATGAGCATCCAGACAGTCCTTCATAATTATTTTTCATAAAGAAGGAAGTACCTGTGGTTAGTGGTTTCCTGCAAACCTGAACAAAAGTATACATGTAGCAGAAAAGCTACACCATGTTTGTTGATAAATATTCTACATGTTACATGTTGAGTTAATAAGTGAGAAAATGTGGCTCTGTAATAATGCCATGGATGATAAATTCTGATTGCCGATCAATGAAAATAATTGAAGAAAAAAAAGTTTGGGGCTATCAAATACTTAAATAACATGCATAGCTAGGATTATTTTGTCATTTGGAGTTGTTGTAGACCATGTTGGTTGATACTAAGTGCTTTTCCAATACTTTGAAATTAATGATATTAGTCTATTAAAGAGAAGAGGCAAAACATGCGAGTCATAAATTTGGATCTGAATGTAGGCACACATTTTTTCCCAATGTCATTATAACCCAAAATGGCGGCTCGCATGTTTTGCCTCTTTCTTATTTACAATACAAGTACCAAGAAGATTTTCAATTCACACATTGAAGCCTTTGGCTCCTGACAGGTATAAAGTACAATTCTGTTCTGATTTAGCAACATTACATAATAATTACAATAATCTTAAAAGAAGTTAGCCAAAGAAATTAAATACTGACTAGACATACTGATGACTACTGCCAACATGGCAAGTGTAACTACAAAAGTATGAATAGATTTCCTAGACATCTTTAGTGTGTTCCAACAAGAGTTGAAGTAAATGGATGAAATGCTTCCTGAGAGGCAAAAGAGCCTTTGTGAAAAGAGACTCGATTATTGCCTTCTGGCTCCCAGCAGATGACACCTTGATCTTTCAGCAAACTTACTCTTCTATTTCTGCCTCTTTGGAAAGATGCCTCAGACCTGGACCGGTCTGGGTTTATAAGAAGCACCGCACACTCGTCCACATCATGGTCACTGTCCTGTGTATCACTCATTGTCTTAACTGCTTCAGTTCAAAAAGCACCCTATTCATACAATGCCCTGAGAAAACAAGTGTCTAATTTAATACTATTTCCAGTTTATATATTTCAAGTTTATATTGTCACTTTGGACCTCCTCATGTTTCCCGTATCTTGGCAATTAAGATCAAAGCTGGATTTCAAATGATCAGTATCATCAGTTATGGACCACTTCTTAGGCTTCAGTCTTTACCTATCTAGACCTCAACAATCTGGAGCTATCAAATAAAAAAAAATATCCCTTTGGCAATTTTCTGTCCACCGATTAAATAAAAGCAATAGCAAACTCACTAGCTGGAACACGTATTAGACTTTTGAGCAAATACATGTAGTATGTAAATAGTGGGGAAAAGTGCAACAGGTGTGGTTTATACTTCTTCATATAGTCTGGCACAGATTCTTCTGTCTAGTGGCAGATAATATCCACATCTACATCTATCCACATGGCTCAATCATGGGTCTATCAAGTCCTCAAATCACATGAAGTTATTGCAAATTATTTGTATTTCCTTTTCTGCACAAATCCATGCATAATGTACCATCAGATCATGTGCAAACACTTTGTACATGTTGTAGCAATCATACAAAAGGTGGAGTGCCTGTATCATATGTTTCTTTAAAAAAGATATTTGCAAGCTATTTTTCAAAATATGAAAGACTACTTTGTTAGTACACGATCAATTAAGACAGCGCGTGTGTTGCAGAGGACCAAATTAAGTGCTCAAACTCAAAGACAGCTCCCCAAAAGTAATACCATTCAGTCTGCACAACAGAAATTTGGAATTCAATTCCTAGTGTCATTTCCTCCTTGTGTATACATGTACATGTAGACCAACACAGCAACACATGGCATGTACAAATGTATTTTCATTGTTTATTACACCACTTTTGCCAACTGCCAACTGAACAATACAGTGACGTGGATCAAACTTGACACCAATAAAACATCCATAAATCACATAGTATAGTACCAACTGTGTTGTGTGTGCAATGTAGATACTAGATAGACAAAAGACAAAAGCTTGGTCACATTCCAAAGTCCGTTCCAATGTTTGAATGCACAATTGAACACATTAAATAGGCAGATACATAAAGAATTTTAAAGAGTCAAAGATTGATGTCACTGGAAAGATATAGCAATAAAAAACACAGTAGAGAAAAAAGTTGATGTGACTTGAGTTTTGAAGCTGTTCCACCACAAATTTTTCAACCTAGAATGCACAGGTTACCAACATAGTTTGGTCCCATACATAACAGGCCACTTTCGTAATGTGATCAAATTTAATGCGCAAATCTTTGTTAAGTGCCTCCTTACAACTTACTTCATTCACCTGTTACAACTAATTGTATCCCAATACCAGTAGTCAGAATGCAAATTGCATAAGTAGGACATGCAATAATGTTTGTCCTACCTAGCAACAATTAATGTATGCAAGTTGCATTCCGACTATTGAAATACAATTATTCATAACAGGTGAATGAAATAATTTGCAACAAGCCACTCAACCAAGATTTGTGCATTAAATTTGATCACGTTACGAAAATAGTCTATTGTCTACAGCAAGTTGGCCTACATGTTGTACACATACTGTAAGCCACTACACCAGATTTCATGACAGAATCAACCTTTCAACCTGGAAGAAAATAATGAGCAAGTTCAGACATCACACACAAAACCACTGGACATTTAATCAATCTGCCTAATCCTTCCTCTGAACTGTTGGATAGTAATTGTCACATGGTGGTGGGACTTGATGAGAACACACCCACTTCTCAGACACAACAGACTCCACTCTCTACTCTAGCTAGCTGCAGACATATTCCAATAATGGAGCTTTTACAGCTCTATAATCCAACCACAGTTGCTTAGTACGTATCATACTTTGTAATGTAGAATATCCAAACAATCAAATCTTTGGTAGGAGTATTCACAGAATCAGCAGCACCGACTATCACCAGCAACAACCACTTCAGGTCAATATACTGGGTAGTCCTTGTTATCTAGTACAATGCAGAGAAAATTGAGAACTGGTACTGGTACACCTAACGTTTCAATGGCCTTTACTGATTGCTATACTTCATTCAATGATGTAACTGAAGTGATATTTTGTGGTATGAAATGACTGTCAGGTGTGTAGTCATACAATGATCTCACAGCTGAATGCACTGCATTTGCATGTACATAAAAATCTATTTTATAGCACTACCGTAGTTCAGGCTGACATGTGGAATACCGGTATAGGCCCAACATGTACTAGTGGATCCGGGTAAACAGTTAATGTCAATAGAACTATTGGAGTGCTGTGTTTAATCAAGATAACAAGTTAATGGATAATAAATCCTACACAATTCAGAAGAACATGTATGTTGGGGGGGGGGGGGTGATTCACAAAGATCCTAAGTCGGATTTAAAAGTTATCAAGAGCCATGTGTAGCCTTAAAATAAATATACCGGTACTCAAAAGAGAAAAATCAATTATTTTAGACTTTTATAAATTCCACATCAAAAACATGAAATCTTCTTGATAATAGAAAATATAAATGATTTGAATCAACATTTTATGCCTTTTAAAACAACTTTTACAAAATTATTTTCATAGATTGCTAACAGCTTTCCATAATTTTTTTAAGTCCAACTTAGAGATAAGCTCAACTTAGGATCTTTGTAACCCCCCCCCCCCTTGGGTTATTACATATTAGCTACAAATGGACAAGAACACAGGGATAATGCATCATGCCTAAGCTAGCAGAACATTTTTTATTCAAATCTTATCTTTGAGTAATCAAAGTTTATTATGAAATATGTACATGGATGAGTACCATAATATTGCATCTCGCATTACTACACAAGAGAAAATAAGAAACTATTAAGACCACATGTACAGCTGCAGCACAAACACCATTTAGGATTTTTTTTTTTGTGGACTGCCATTTTATATACTATTTATACTACGTACATTACATGTATAAGGCGCTATCTCATTTTTCAACAGCTGGTTAAAAACTATTGAATATTTTGTGGGACACCACAAATATTAGAAATGGTTATATTTATGGATATATCAGCCGCCTCGAACTGATTTTGTCATTTAAATTGTATGCTCTTTCAAGTTTGACAGTAACTTTTTTGTTATCTCACAAAAAATTATTATGTGTAGCACCCTCTATACCAAAACTCAAATATCCCTTTAATTTTGACCATTAATGAAGGTATACCCATAATATATTGGGCTGGGATCTACATGTCTACAAAATGAAACAGTGAACTATGAACTACATGTACATGTAGTACAGTGTACATATATATTCTCTGTTACACCAAATTGAGCTTTCTTAAATCAGAATATATTAAGAACCAGATTCAGACATTATGTTGTGTATTTGTTGTGCCAGCAATCAAACACTACAAACTACATGTAGTATG